GTGACGGCGGGAACCTGTCACCTTTTCGTCCTCTTTCCCTCTCCGCCATTACTGGAACCAGGGGGTCCGGGGCACACCCGCAGCCATCGACTTGTCGCCCAGACCCGCATTTCGAGCTGGACACCTACTCTTTCGGTAGTCTTATATATCCTGGGGTATCATAACGCATAATTCTCGCTCTATCTCGCTTGTCACTCGACCTCTCCGGATCCACTCTCGAGATGTTTACGGGCTCGATTCGGCTGTTGCGGCCGCGGTGTTGAAGGGAAGGGTACCAGTCTCCATTTTATTTTATTTTCATCAGGATATCACGGGTATGGGTGAGCGGCCTTTTGCGCTGGCGATGACGAGAGGGAGACAGAGAGATCCGGTCACATTTTCTCCCGGACGGACGCTGACGTTGGAATTGGTGCTGCGACATTACTTAAGAGTACCATGGGCTTAGCTGGGGAGGGAGGAGAGGCCGATCCGCGAAGACGATTGGGCGAGGGGTCCCGGGAGAAGAGGGACCTTGACGAGTCGCTCTGCACATGACGGTTTATTGATTAGATAGGCGCCACAGACCTATTTCTGGCCAGGGTTTTCTAGGCGGCGCAAAGGTTCGGTTTGCTGTTTGATTTCAGTTTGGGTAGCATCCCAACCCGGATGTAATAAGCGTCGGGAGGTGTCATCGGTCATGGGATAACACAGCACAGCGTTTCCTTTCTCGGGACTGGTTATATTTACAACCCTTCTGACGGCGTTAAGGGGAGGAAATACCGGTCTGGCCGTTATCAAGTAACACTGCTTTTTTTTTTTTGGCAACCCTCAGAGCGTTCCAATATCACATGTGCGACACGAACTATGTGCACGTAGAAGGGTATATGCGCACCTATATGTGTGTATAATAGATATATACCTATACATACGATGTGTAACATATATAGCTGTGCCGGTCTCGTGATGTCTATTCCGTGACATCGGTGGCTGTTGAGCACTACCAGCTAGTCCGTAAACACAACGGCGGACTCTCACCTATACGGTCTTGCTTATTTTTGCCTTCATCCGAGCGAGTCGGTGAGTCGTTCCGGGATGCTGGCCTACGCCATACCATCGTACATGACATACACAGGTATTAGGTGGCGGAGCGAGTTATCCCAAGTTGGCCTGCGCTACCTAGCACTAACGGCCCAGAAGGGGTGGAAAGTCGACAGATATGGTAGCCGATTACGCTTATAGCAGAGCAGATATACCCCTGGTTACGTCTTGGGGGCTGGCGCAATCCGCCCACTGCGACCCCAGCGGCCACCCGTAAGGCGTGGGGACGGGAGATATCGCGGACAAGCTGTAAAGAGGTTGTCTCTATACGGGAGAATCCCTCTTCAGGTGCAGCAGTCAGGCACATTATCACATATGCTCCCCCCCCCTCCCTCTCTTCTCCCTTCTCCCCTCCTCCCATTCCCTCCCCTTTCCCTCCCTCTCGTCTCCCCAGGTCCCGGTCCCGGATCCCGCCTCTTGGAGCCGTTGACGAAGGAAATAATATCAGGACGCCACAATCCTCCCCACCCCCCCCCCCCCCCCCCCCAGCGCCAAGTCAACCAGCGGCCGAGAATATGTGAGAGCGTTGGTTGAGAGAGAGAGAGATAGGTCTAGCTTCCTCCACACACAGACAACAAGGGCCGCCCTAGCCTCCCGTGCGTAACCCACAATAGTGACTACGAAGGGACGACGGACGAACTCGCTATTCTACCCATACCTACACGGCCCGCTAGGTAACTCCCTCCACCCCTTCCATTCGAGGAAAAACGTGGTCCGGACGACCGTGTGGCGGCAGGCTCTGGTTGACTCGGTTGGGGAGGCCACGGACTGAGCACCCTCTTGCCCCCCTTCCCCCTCCCCCCAGCTCGTGCAGGGTGCCCGAGTCCTGGGTTCCACATTACCAGTCCGGTCGTGAGGCTATACTCGCGTGTGTCTGAAGCCTGAGCGGGATGTGGAGCTTGCTTGCTTGCGGATGCTATCTAGCTGCCAGGCATAGCTATGTAGACACCGAAAGGGGAGAGACGGTGGACACCTGTACCTTTTGGGTGTCTCCCTCGCCTCCCCCCCCGTTTCCCTACCCCCCAAGGGCCTAAGTCCCTGAGGGCCGAGTGGGGGGTGGTGGTAATGGAGAAGAAAAGATGACAGCGACGTTATAGGTGACTAGAACATATATAATACGGCCTGCACTTGTCATTCGCGAGCCCCCCGCCCCCTTGACCGAACAGCGGGTACCGCGGTTCGACCGATATCGACGTTGTATCTCGTGTGAGCCACCCCAAGCATTTGGGGCAGGTCGCCCTCGGGAGCATCGTATGACTTGCATGAAAAATGCCTTGTTGATCGTAGCCGGCCGGCCGTCCAATGGACGGTTGAGATGACCAAGATGCCGGTGAAGGGGGGGCTGCGCGCACACCCCCCCCCTTCCCATCACACGCTCGCGCACACGCATGCATACGCACACAGCGGCTGCAGCCGCCGAGCCACGGCATCGTGTAGCCGACGTATAGGGTGACGTTTCTTCTTCTCCAGCAGCCTTCAAGGGCTTGGTTGTTGTTGCGGGCTCGCAGCAGGACACGCCAGGGAGCCTCGGGTTGCGGGGAGAGCCGTAGGTAGGTAATAGCTGCAGCGCCGTCGAGCGGGCCAGCTCGGCATCCCTGACACCGATCACTGCTGCGAGACGCAGACGGAGAGAAGAGGAAGAGAGAGAGAGAGAGAGAGAGAGAGAGAGAGAGAGAGAGAGACCACGTACGCATCTTGAATCCTTCGACCGGCCGTGTTGGTCCAAGCACACTAGGCGTGAGCTCCTGGGGGCCCATGGGCCGTCGGCCGCATCGGGAAAAGGGACCTCTCTCTCTCTCTCTCGGCGGTACGCACGACGCGCACACGTACTTGGGGGGAAAGGCAACCGTAGCGCGACCCTAGCTCGCCGAGCTCGTCCCGTCTTCTCCCCCCCCCGATGAGGAAGTGCCTATTCCCAAGTTGGGGAGGAGCCGTTGGGCGGACGGACCTTCGATGCTACGTAGCGCGCGTGGGCAGCGTAGTATACTGGGCGTCGCGAAGCTGTCACCTCGCCGCAGGGACGGGCGGCTACCCGGGGGAAGGGAGGGGGGGGGGGGGGGGGGTTCTCTCTCTGCGCCCTGGACGCTGGAGCGCTGCCGCGCGGCGATCCACGTTTCATCGTGCGAGAGAGAGAGAGAGAGGTGTGTGCAGCCGTCACGCATGGCTAGCTGAGCCAGCCAGCCCGGGCTCAGCTCGCCCAGGACCAACCAGTGTGTGTGTCGAGCGCAATCGACAGCGCGAGCCGTCTCGTCTCGTCTCGCGGCTGCCGTGGCCTGGCCCCCCCCTTCCCTCAACCCCCCTCTCCGCGATAGGCGAGTGTCTCGCACCCCTGACGCCGATCGCTGCCATCGCGTCAGCGAACACAGATCGCGCGGAGCACATCGGCCGCCGCGATCGGGCTCCCTGATCTGCCTACGCGGAGAGAGAAAGACGACCGTGGTGGTAGCGAGAGAGAGAGAAAAGAAGAAAAATAAACGATGTCTAAACGTCGAATCCCTCGGCGACGCCACCGTCCCTTATGCCCATCCAGGGCCCGTGCGTGTAAGCACGTAAGGCGCTCGAGATATAGGTAGCAGATGTGTCCCCCTAAGGCGCTAAATCCGCACTGTGGCGGCCGAGTTCATCACTTGCATGCCAACCTCCCTCGCCAGCTCCGTTGGTTCAGGGCCCCTACATGCTACGCAGTCCCTACCGCGAAGCCTGAAGATAGGGGGTAGGTAGGTAGGCGAGTAGGTGTTTTCGTTCCATATACCTACACAGAGAAGAGTCCCTGGCATCACGACAGCGCGCCTCTTGGGAGGCGTATCGACTAGTCGAAAAGGGGTAGGTAAGGCATAGGTGTAGGTATAACTATAGGTATACAACCCATATCAGCGGCCCGAGGGCCGCCAGGCATGCACATACATACAGAGACGGTCTTGGTAGCCTCCTAGATGTGATAGGGGCATTTCTCTGCACGGAAGAAGAATTCTCGCCCCTTACTCGTTGCACACCTACTTATCCTCGAGTGTCCCAAACATCACCACTCGGCACGAAAAGCCGGATCTGCGACTCGAGCATAGGCCCAGACGACGTGATTCACCGAAAGGGCTATCCCCATCCGTTCGCCTGTCCGCTCTCTCTCACTGTTTGGTCGCAGGGCACCGGCGTCCCTGACGTGAGGAGTTTGCTCGCTCGACCCAGGGGGGGAGAAGGGGGGTACCGATATCCAGTCTCCTATATCACCTAGCGATAAGAAGGGCCGTTCACTCTCGCGCGGCTATCTTAGCGTTGGGGCACGGGGCGTCGCGCCCCCGGGAAGAGGCTGGCTGGCGAGCAGCGGTACGACAGCGCGAGATCTTGGTCCGACGGCGATCTCGACGCCTTGTCGCCAGCTCGACCTTGCCCAATGGCGACATTCCGCTCTGCCGTCGGCACAAGGGCACCACAGTTGCTCGGATCCACCCATACGACCCAGATCCTGCAAGGAGCCGTCCGCAGGGAACCTTCTGAGGAAGTATCGGATACCTGTCTCCTTCTGCTATACCCCCTTGCTGGCTCGGATCTCGCGAATTGACGATGCGTGACGAGCCGGTATGCAGTAAAGCCGAAAAAAACAATCACAATAACAACAGAGCCTCTCTGCCAACCCTGGCTTACCAGCACCGGCGTATCCCCAGCCCATTCCTTATCCGGAACAACTGGCAGCGAGAGTCCGGTCCATCGCTATGGTCCTTGACGGGCCGTCTGGAGCCGTGTGTGTGTCTGTGTGTGTGCGCCAAACTCTAGCAACGTGCTCTCTAGCAGTCCTGCTTCGCCACACAGACGGGAAAAGGAGAGAGGCTGGTCGGGAACTGTGTGAGGCGGGATCTCCAACCACCCCCCAAGCCCCTATTGGGGCCAGGGCCCGACTGCAGGAGTGCCTAGACATCCAGCCATCCCCTTCGCCCCCAGCCAACGCCCTCGGATCCTCACGACGCGATACAAAACATCGAGGCCATCGGAACCGTCGTGCAGACAACCACAACACCCGAGACACCATCAACGCGGGTAGCGTAGAACGAGACCTCCCCTTCCGCCCCCTCTCGAACGCGCACCGCTAGGGGCTAAGGCAGAAGAAAAGCCTTCGCCGGCCAGATGCCCGGCGGAAGTCCATCCCGGGGGCGAGATAACGCGTCACGGACGGACAGACGCTTGGGTGTCGGATCGAGGACAGCGCACGCACGCGCGTTGACAGACCGCTAACCGCCTCGGGGCTAATTTCGTCACTTTCCCCCCTCCCTAATGGATCACGGCTTCGTTGTCGCTGGCTGCTCGCTCCGAGCTCTCGAAAAAACGAAGGCGCCATCGATGGGTACCCGGCTCGCCTCCGACAGGGGAACCGCTGCGGCTCCCGGTAGCGGGTTTCGACACTTGGGCGCGGCGGACCACTCGGCTGGGAGATGAAAAAAGAAGAAGACATCCCCTCAAAGGTAGTCCGTCGGCAAGGGCTGGGGGTCGTAGAGAAAACAGCATAGTAAGCAGTTCCGCTCGTCGCCGCGTATCGCATCCGGACAGTGAGCCCGGCGAGCCGGGTGTGTTGGTGAGAGAAGAAAAGAAGAGACGAGGGAGAGAGGAAACGAACCATGGCATCGCGGAGATAGGAGGCGGTTCGTCGGCATTCATTAGACACGACGACGCGAGCTCGGGGGTCATCGAGACCGTGTTTAGCGAAGTTGTCCTCGTCATGTGCACGCAGTAAGTGCAAGACCTCTCTCGACTAATCCCGTTTCTCTATATAGAGGGCTATCAACTACTCGTTCACACACACACTCTCTCTATAGGTATATATCTCTAACAACGGGGGTACCGGATCAACAGTCGATAACGAGAACACTCGAAAGCATCTCAGCATCGGACCTGAGAAACAGCCGCGGCGAATGTTGTCCCTCTCCGCACTGCTCTCTCTTCTCTCACCGTCGAACTTTTTTCTCGCGACATCCCCCCCTTAGGGTTTCGCCATCTTGCTATCGACAACATCTACGCGCGGTTTATCAGTTTGATCATCGGCTTTTCCGGTGACACATCGACCGCCCGGGAGGATACAGTCTCCTCTACAAGACAAGACGCCTCCGCGCCGCCTTCGGTGCTGGGTTCGCTGATTAGTCTCGGGAAACTGCGCCTGGCTTTCGTCCCGGCGCGCGGACCCGAGCCCCGTGTGAGAATAGCCCGTGGTTCGAATCAAGATGCCTAGTACCTACATAGGCCCGCTCTGTGGGAGTGGTAAAAAGAAGGGGACTTCCCGAGAAGCGCGACTCCCGTGGACAAAATCGAGCGGATCTAGCGAATGTTAGGCCGAACCTCGACGACTGCACAGCGAGATACGAGTTGACGCTCTCTAGGCTGCTCGAATTAGCGGGCTCAGAGCCACAGACACAAGACCCTGCGCCCGGGCAGCTTAGATGGCTACACCATTCCGACGAACTCCCCGTTGCGTTCGATATACGACGCGGAAGAGAAGGGCGTTTTCGGATACTAGCGCCGCGAGATACACAGATAATACCTAGGTAATTAGGTTTCCGCTCACGAATCGCCGCATAGCCGAGGCCCGGGGACGACTGCCGCAGCATGGCCGCTCGCTCTCCTGCTCGAACGATACGTTCTGCATCCGAACCGGGAGGCGAAGACGTCGAAGGGATCCGGCTCCGAAGCCGCGGAATCCTCCCCGCCAAGTCCGCACTAAGTCGAGAGAGGGAGAGTGCTTTTCGATGTGCCGAAAAACTAGTATACGCGCACTACGCAACGGCTTGGGGTGCGCGGCACTGACGTTGGGGGGGAGGTATTACCGGCAACGGCGAGCAACTGAGCGTCCGACACGTCTCCCAGCACTAGGCATTCCGTGAAGGACCGGGAGGGGAAAAGAGGAGGGAGACGAACTAGGCGGTAGGAACGTACGAGCGATTCGATCCCTGGAGGTCAAGACAAAGGAACGGGCAGATCCAGATTCATCCTACACCGCGATCTCGGCCCGCCCGCGTCGCCGCCGCATCTCGTCTAACGAGGGCGCCTCGCGCCATGATCTCCCGAGAAGCTGCGCGCGAAAGAACCGACCGGAATCACGGAAAGAGGGAGGACGAGGAATTCCGGGGGGCGGGGAGGGGGGGACCGCAGCAGCGCCAAAGAAGGCGAGAGACGGACAGCTCTCGGACCCTGCAGCGGGAGCGGAGCAGGCGGCCGAGGAAGATGAGCCGGGAAAAAGGAAGGAAAAGCGGGAAAAGAAAAAAAAAAGGAGACACAGCGAGAGACGGACGAACACGAAGGACGACGAAGGCTCGAAGCGAGGTCGCGATCGCGTCCCTGTATAGGACATAGACACGCCATGGTGCGTCGGTATGTACGGCTCTCCGGCCTGCCGAGCGGCGCGCGGGCCCAGGCCTGGGCCCGGGGTTGAGGATGAGGCTCTGGTCTGCGTTGACACCCACGTACCTACCTATCTACCTACCTACAGGAGTAGGTACGTGGAGAGCAGGCGGCAGCAACAGCGGGTTTGTGGACGACGCGGCAGAAGCAGGCCGTTGGGTCTCGCCACTGCGATCCCGACGGGGCACCTCTACCCGTAATAACCGTAAGGCCGCGGTCCGAGGAACGGATTAAAAGGAGGGGGGTTCGCCTCTCGACCACCTGACGGGCCTGTGGTCTACAACGGCCGGGGCATCGGGAGGAGACACTCGGTCTGTGACCTGTTTGTCTGGGCCCGCGCCCGAGATATCTGAATCAAGAAGACGAAGGGTACCTATATAGGCGGACGAGCATCCTTTCTGCCAGTACGCCGATGCTATGTTTCGGTATACCTACGTGCACGCACAGGGGGTTGAGGAGCCTGGACAAGATCGGCGGGGGGGGATAACTGTGCTGCGATACGCAGGCTCGTCGCGGTCCGAGAGCGAGACGTGATCCGGGATATCGAATACCTATGGAAATGCTTGGCCCGGTTTATATGAGAGATGTTTATTGCTGTCTCGCTCTGGGAATAATACTTCCTCCGGCAAAAACGGTGGTATACCTACTGGTAATAAGACGTCAGATGTTCTCTGGACGATGTGAGGTTGTTCTATAGGAGGTAGATACTGAGGTACCTATGTACTGCGTTAGTAATACGGTGCGATTATGTGTACCTACTATATTGCACTATTATCACGTGTGCTGGAAGGTGGCTTGGTGAAGCGTGGCTTGGCGGGTTCGTGGCTTGCCCGAGGGTGACTAAGTTGGCTGGTTGGACTGTGCGGGTGGGTCGCAAGTACCACATACCGACCAATTTCATGCTGCAGAGGGTATATATAGCCAAATGGACCTCACCCTCTCGCCTTCGGGCATTTGGTCAATTTGAAACGATACAGAGAAGATTAGCATGGCCCCTGCACTAAGGATGACACGCTACATCAAAGAGATGCTAAACATTTTTTTGCAATTTTTTTCACCCTCCCTTCCTCGCATCGCGAACACGGGCAATTAATAGGGTTGTGTTCGCGCTCGTGCTGGCTATCGCACATATATTTTAGATCCTTCGTCCAACGCCTACAGCCGTTACAAAAACACAGAAAACTTATGCCCACTGCCCGTCTTGAACCCTCCGTCGACCTCCTTTAACGCACGATCCCGCACGTCTCCACGCATCCTGACGCGTAGCCGGCCGCTGGCTACCTCGGTGTCAGTTCACCCGGCTGCGTTTTCCGTTCTACTAGTATCCTCTTCCTGATGATTCTCGCCATAGAGTATAGCGATGCTCGATCCCGCTCGTAGTATAGATGCATCACTCCCCTCGGCCACAAGTCGCTGCGGATCTGCCTGCCTCCTCATTTCCTACCTGGAAAGAGTCGAGATACCCAGCGACAGCGACACCTAGCTCGATACGAAAAGGAGAGGAACCCAATAAGACAGCGGATGTCTACATCAGCCCATTCAATCGAAGAGTGAAGCACATGCATGTATACATATGTCTAGCCTTGTCATTATTTCATATATTTCGTCGTCGCATATTACTCTTGCAATACCTAGACACCGACCTGGCCTTCTCTGGGGTTACCTAGCTCCCTCTTCTCCCCCCTCTCTCCCAATTAGACCCTAGACCGCCCCCTACACCTTCTTATCAGCCGCGGCACCCGCCGACGCTGCCCCGGCCGCGCCGAGCGAGGCCAGCGTCGACTTGCGGACTAGCCTCAGGCCCGCAACCGCGTATACGAAGGCCTCGAGGCCGAGCACGACGACGAGCGCGACGAGCGCGCCGATGACGCCGGCCACGGGGAGCGAGACGGCGTTGGTCGACGTCTCCGGCGCCGCGGCCGCGTCGCCGTGGCTGCCGCTGCCGCTGCCGCCCGTGATGGCCTCGTCGGCGCACAGGCCGGTCGTGTTGCCGCAGGCGGCGCACCAGGCGGCGGTGTCGCCGATGGCGAACTTGGCCATCTCGGCGGCGAAGTCGGGCCAGGGCAGCGGCGAGCGGCCGGTGCCGAAGAGCGGGAACTCGCGCGGCGGCGCCTCGGCGGCCGAGCCGTTGGCCAGCAGGAAGCGGACCGCGACGTCCTCGGGCGCCGGGTAGCTGCCGCCGGTCCCGACGCCGCTCGCGTTCGTCACCAGCTCGAACGCCATCGACGACGCGTACCCCACGATCCCCGTGAAGTCGTCCGACAGCCGCCCGAGCCCCGCCAGCCCGAAGAACGACATGAAGCTCGCGTACGCGCCGAACTGGACGCTGAGCGGCGTGCGCCCGCCGCTCGCCAGCGTGTTACTGAGCTGCGCCACCACCTGCGCCGCCAGCGTCGAGCCCGCGACGGCGCGGATCGGCTCCGTCTCGTTGTACGCCAGGTTCCACTCGTGCTCGTCGGCGAGGAGCTTGAGCCGGCGCATCGTCGCGTCGGTGAGCAGCTCGGCGCCCGGGATGCTGACGTTGTGCACCGTGGCCACGTTGATGTAGTCGAAGATGGTGTAGCCGTTCTTGAAGTTGGCCTGCGCCGGGCTGAAGACGCCGCCGATGACGGGCAGCAGGCCGCCGTAGAAGGCCCGCGTCTCCTCGAGCGTGCGCGCGTACGCGGCCGACTGGAAATAGTTGTTGGAGCTGACCATGGCGTTGCCGCAGCCCGAGCCGCCCTGGAGCCACTCGTTGTTCTCCGAGTTGGGGTTCGACGAGGCCGTCGCCACCGCCTCTACGGGGATGTACTGGTAGCCGCCGAGCGGGTACTGCACCGACGAGCTGTTGGCGAGCTCCTGGATGCCGATGACGCCGACGGGCGGGTAGGCGCCTTGCAGAAACGCGATGGCCGAGGTCTGGAGCACCGAGTCGGGCGGCGAGATGACGTTCAATTGCGTGCTGACGGCGATGTCGTGGCTCAGCCCCAGGATGGGCGAGCTAGCGTCGGCCGCGATGTAGCGGCTGCGGTAGTAGCCGCCGGACTGGAACGCCTCGTCGGCACCCAGCGCGGTTAGATTCACCGGCGCCAGGCTCTTGGGCGTCCGGTCACCATGGCGGTGAAAGATGTAGACGCCGAGGACGGTCTCGCCCTTGGCGAAGGGCAGAGCTGCCAGCGACACCACAAGCGCCTTCAGCGCCATGGTTGCGAGTTCCGACCTATGTCCGCTTGGCCTCCGTAGGTAGTTTTCTGTCCACTCGCCAATGCTTAGAGACGAGGACACATGCACGTACACGCGCCTTAACCAGGAGCAATCCAGCCCAGACTGAGAAGCTTGGAGAGGGGAGAGCCGAAGCCCTAGATGGGGACAAAGACCTCAAGTATTAAACCCTCTTTTGGTTCCCCTCTTACGCCTTGCCCCGCCCGCGTCCACACCCGGATGTAAAGTAGGGTTGCAGTGGCTCTAGCGTAGGCCACTCAGACCCAGTACCGGGAGAGAGCTGGTCGGAAGAACGTATGAATGCTAGGTACTGCTATCTCGTAGCGATAGCCGTCGACGCGGGACCGACAAGGTCAGGAAAAAGCCTGGATGGAGGGGAACCTCAAGAGACCCGCCGGGCCCAATCCCCAATCTTTCTATCTTCTTTCTACCTGCCTAGTTAGGCGGTGTCGACGCTGGCTTAGCCGATCCCGGTCCTCCGCTCCAAAGCTCTCTCGGGAACCTGTGCCGAGAGCAGACTGGCCGTCTGCCTTCGAATTGCCCAATCGCAAGCTGCCTTCGATCCTGATAGTGCGTACGGGTGTCGGAGGCACAAGAGTCTTGCATCTCCGCCGCGGTCCGATAGATGGGGAGAGTGGGGTGATCCGATACGGATCAGGTCGGAGAGGGAGGTGAGGAAGAATGGAGGTGGGTGGGTTCCTTGGCTGGCCGGGGCTTGCTAGCTAGAGGCGGACTATTAAACGGCTAGGCCGCATTTTATACGCCCTTTCTAGGTTGCCAGAGATAGCAAACTTTTGTCACGGAGATACGAGATGAATAAGAAGAAGACGGGGAGGAGGAGGAGGAGGAGGAGGAGGAGGAGGAGGAGGAGGAGGAGGAGGCTGTCTTGTGTCTTTTTGTACCTCGGTGGAAGAGAAGTGCCTAAGTAGGTGTAGCCATACCAATATCAGAGAATGGTACGAGGCCGGAGCGAAAAATAAATAAGAAAATATACCTACATCGTGGAGTAGCGCTCCTACCAGCCACGCCATGCAAAGAGAGAGGGTTTAGAGTATTAATGTATCGTGCGCTAGACATCATATCCTCATGTGGATTATATCATAGCATGGGGTAACGGACGGAAATGAGACGCAAGTCAAGCTGCTTGGATCGGCGTAGAAGGCGCTGCAGCACTCTTTTAGAACCGCACGATTGTCACCCTGCCTCTCATGTCCTCGCCAACGACCCACCGCTCGTCACCCACTATCTTTCCCTTGCCCATGAGCTCCGACCACATCTCGTCCGCGAACCTGACCTCAGAAACCTCGTCCGCTCTGTCGATGCCACCCTCCTCGTCGTCATCGTCGTTGCTGCCGTCATCACGGATCCCGTTTTCCTCCTCCTCCTCTTCCTCTAGGCTAATCTTAGGCAGCACGAACGACGACAGCGCCTCCATCATGAAGCACTGGCGAGCCACGATCCGCACCCCGGCCCCGGCGTCGACCACATCGCTTACCGTCAGGTAGGGAAATTCCTCGTGGCGCCAGCACGGGGCCCAGCCGGGCCACGACGTCGTGCCGTCCTCGTCGACCACATCTAGCGCTTTGCCGCCGGCGCCGGAGGTGGTGGGAGAAGGAGACGGGGGAGAGGGGGAAGGCGGAGGAGACGGCACGGCCGAGGCTGAGGCCCGCCGCTTTCGTCGCCGCCGCGGCGTCCCGCCGACCCGGGCCGCAGACCCGGCGCGCGGGCAGAAGCTGAGGTGGACGTCGCCGTCGGCGCAGCACTCGTCGTACCAGCGGGGGCCGGTCGCGTCGGGGCCGAAGGGCACGCCGGTGCAGCGGACGATGTGGTGGCGCGGCGGCCACAGCGACGAGTGCAGACCCGCGAGCCAGCGGTGCTCCTCCTCGTGCACGTACACGTTGGCGTGGTCGAGGCGTAGCTCACGCAGCGTCGGCGTGTGCCGCTGCCGCAGCCCGAGGAACTCGAGGAATTCCCAGCAGAAGCGGCTGACGACCACGGGACCCTCGCACCCTCGTTGTTCCTGCGATTGTTGCTCGCATTCTGCCGGCGACGATAATGACGAAGAAGGCGGCGGCGGCGGCGGCGGCGATCGGAGTTGAGGCTTGCGCGCCCCGGTCGGGTCCAGCGACGGCCGGTACGGCGATGGCGACGAGATGTCCCAGACCGTGAGCTGCTCGAGCGGGTCCTCCTCGCCCCAGGGGGACCGGTTCGGCTGCCACAGGTACAGCGCGTAGTGCGTGGCCGTGTGCGCTGAGAAGAAGCGGTCTTGGCCGTTGAGCGGCAGCCCAAGGAAATGGATCTTCCACTCGGAACGAAAGGTGATGTCCCAGGGGAACTCTGACTCGGCCTCGAAACCGAGCCCGCGGTGGATTTTCGATGCCGGTTGCTTATCCTCCCGTACCCCCTCCCGTCCTTGTTCCGGCTGGCTCTGCTGTTGCTGTGGTTGACGTCCTCGCCGCCGTCGACGCTGCTCCCGCCGCACGATATCGAACGCGGTAGAGAAGTGGCGGTGCACCATCTCCTGGCTGTTCAGACGATGGTATGGCTCGCGCTCGCACCACTCGATGATGAGTACGCCGCAGGCCAGCCGCAGGCGGCGTACCGTCTTGTCAGCGGTGTCGAAAGGGACCACGGTGCGGCGCCGCGTCTCAAGGTCATACGCGATGTAGCGCCCTCCGCCGTCGTCAGGAGAAGAGGGCGAGGAGCGAACCTCAGCGTAGATTAGCAGGCCGTCGTCGGCACACCAGGTCGGGTCGCGGTGTTGAAAGACGGCGGTGCTGTCGTTCCAGCGCAGCCAACGGTTCCAGGGCGAGACACCGCGGAACCGGCACCCCGACCCTGGGCCGGGTCCCGATTCGGTCGCTCTGGCCGTCTCGGACGCCTCCCGGAGCACGTCGATCTTCTCGACGAGGCGCGGCCGCGCGGACCGCAGGTGGTAGTAGCGGCAGGCCACGACAGCAAAGATTCGGGCCCAATCGGGTTGTCGCCGGTCGTCGTCCCCGTCGCCGTCCCCGTCGCCGGCGGCACCGGGGGCCCTACGCATCTCGCGCGAACGGGGAAAGTGCCAGCGCATGAAGCTCCGCGAGACGTCCGGGTCGGTGAAGGCGGCCTGCCAGGCACGGCTGACGCGTCGGCACAAAATGCAGTCCTGCGGCGAGAGGTAGGCGGCGACGAGAAGGAAAAGGTCACTCGGCAGGTCAGTGAGATCCGGCGTTATTGCGGAGGCAGCCGTGGCAATCGTTGTCGCCGTCGCCGTCGCCGTCACCGTCGCCATAGTCGCCTCCGCCCCCGCCCTTCTTCCTGTAACCCTAGCGGTGTTTGTGAGATTGCTACTGATGCTAAGCGCGGCTATAATGGTGTTGTTATCTGCGGCATCCATAGTCGGTTACGTTGACAGGGGGGGCGTTGGATGTAGGCAGATATAGGTAGATGTAATAGCCTGTAGATGGATGGAATTCGGTAGAGGGTTCAATTGTAAGTTGATTAGCCTTAGGAACCACCCAGGTATACCTACCCGTTATATGCTCCGCACTAGATAAATGAATGACAGAGGGCGGGATTAGATGAGTAAACGAATAACCGAAGTATGGAGCAGAGAGGGGAGGTTTAAATACTCGACGAATCTCTCGGGAAAGGTGTAAAAGCACGTACGATATACATATGTATCTTACCGCCATTTCGATGAGCCGGACGGTAACATGAGCCATCTTTATGAACTCCTCACAACGAAATCACCAACCAGTTATTGCATATCACCTACCTAGGTAAACACCTAATATCATATAGTTGCCTATTTCGTTTTGTATTATGCCCCTGCCTATGTAGGTACCTTATACGCCATCCATCATCGACTCCACAGGCGCATCTCGATAGCAAGGCATCGGCGGCATCCCTCTTCTTCACTTTTCTACTTTCCCTCCCTCCCTCCTAGGACTTGTCACCGGAAGACAACGATAATTAAATTGATCGACAGCGATGCAAGCTCGCCCATGCTCCTCGGTACTCACGCTTGCTACATCTGCCTACCTGTATTCGAATGCCATTATAGGTATATACAGTTCGTAATACGAACCCCAACAATCCCCCCCCCCCAAAAAAAAGAAGGGGGGCCCATCCGACTCTTTTATCTTGCTCCAACTAACCTCATCGCCCTTTTTCAGCCTGAGATGGCGGACACGTGGATAGTATGGACGGGTCCGAACAGACTGGACCTGCTCACGCCTCGCTCGGCTCGATGGACCGACTAATTGTGCGTCGGCATCGCCACGTCTGCCTTTCGCGAGATCGCGTCGGCGCTCGACCACAGCGCCGTCACCGTCTTCTGCTGCGTGTAGAAGTTGATACCGGGCCGTCCGTAGAACGTGTTAGCGCCGCCGCCCGCGACGCTCTTCTTGTTGCCCGTGAACGAGAACATCGGCAGCGGCACCGGGATCGGCACGTTGATGCCCACCTGGCCCGCCTCAATGTTGCGCCGGAACGTCTCCGCCGTCGGCCCCGACCGCGTGAAGATGGCCACGCCGTTGCCGTACTCGTTCCGGTTGATCAGCTCGATCGCCTCGTCGAGCGTCTCCACGTTCAGGCACACCAGCACCGGCCCGAAGATCTCCTCCTTGTAGCACCTCATCACCGGCGTCACGTTGCTGATGATCGTCGGCCCCACCCAGTTCCCGTTGGGGTACTTGGCCGGCTTGAAGCCGCGCCCGTCCAGGAGGATCGTCGCGCCCTCCTGCTCCGCGCTCGCGATCAGGCCCTCAATCCTCTCTTTGCTCTGGGGCGAGATGACGGGGCCCAAGTCGGCCCCTTGCTCGAAGCCGCCGTTGACCTGGAGCTTCTTGGCGCTCTCGGCGACTTCGGCCAGCCACTCCTTCGTCTCGCCCACCATGACTAGGGTGCTGAGAGCCATGCATCGCTGGCCGGCAGCGCCGAAAGCGGCGCCGACGACGGCGTTGATGAACTGATTCTTGTTGCAGTCGGGCATGACGGCTGCGTGGTTCTTGGCGCCGAGGTTGGCCTGGACCCTCTTACCGTTCGCCGATGCCCTACTATAGATGTACTCGCCCGCCTTGTTCCCGCCGACGAAGCTTATGGCCTTGATCTCGGGGGCGTCGAGGATGAAGTCGACAGTGCGGTGCGCGCCGTGAACAACATTGACGACGCCGTCGGGGAAGCCGGCCTTCTTCGCCAACTCGACCAGGATCATCGCCGCGCCGGGATCCCTCTCAGACGGCTTCAGGATCAGGGTGTTGCCGGTAACGGTGGCGATCGGAATGCACCATAACGGAATCATCGCGGGAAAGTCTGTCAGACAGAAACAGTATTAGATAAACGTTCGCAGGCACAAACAACTAACCCATTTGGCCAAAAATGAGGGGGCAATAATCATAATAATCATAATAAACAACTAGGCAATACGTACTGAAGGGGCAGATGGCGGCAACGACGCCCAGCGGCTCCTTGTAGGACCGCGTCTCCATATCCTTGGCCACCTCGAGCAGCTCGCCTTTGAGCAGCTCCGGAGCGCCACACGCGGCCTCGGCGACCTGCAGACCGCGCAGCACGTCGCCCTTGGCGTCGGCGAACGTCTTGCCCTGCTCGAGGGTGATGCTGGCCGCGAGGCGGTCCCAGTTCTCGCGGATCAGGTTGACAAACTTGAACATGATCTGCTGCCGTGCGAGCACGCTCGTCGCCCTCCAGGCCGGGAAGGCCCGCTGGGCGCTGTCGACGGCGGCCCGCAGCTCGGCATCGGTCATCTGCGGCACGCGCGTCACCAGGTTGTTCGTCGCCGGGTCGTGCAGGTCGATGAACTTGTCCGTCTGGCTCGGCACAAATTGGTTGTTCAGAAAGTACGGCGTGTCCTCTGGCGCGGCGATCTTCTCGTGCGTGGTTGGGTAGCTCGTCGCCGTCGAGGCGAGCCCGCTTATGGGGCGGATATGTTGCGCGGTGGCCGCTATCCGCCTCGCGGCCGCTGTCTCGGATGCCATGCTGGAAGGAGCTGTGGGGGACGACAGAAGGGAGAATGAGGACGAGAGGCGAGCTGCGGTGCGGCCGACGGTGGTTCGCGTTCTCGCGAGACGGTGCATGGTAACGATGGTCCCAAGAGGAGGGAAGAAGGAAGAGGAAAAGTCGGCCTGGCGGAGCGGAAAGCTCCTTTTCCTACTCAGAAAAAAAAAAAAAAGAATTAGAACCCCAGGAGCTGCTGAGCTGGCCGCCAACTTCAATCCCGCTGCAATGCAATGCTGGCTCGTCCCGCGGATAGGCTGTGACGATAACCGGAGCGCTCCTCCTCGATGACTGCGGGTTTGTTTGGCTAATAAACCACCGAGTTGGAGATGGGTGGGGTTAATATTTACCGTTCCAAGCCGAGACCGAATACCGGATGGCCGGTACCTGGGGTATTGCGTATATTACGTATTAGCGGCTGTCAACCACCGTTACTCTCCCTTTCAAGGGCGCCAGCCTGGCCCCGGATCCCCTTTATCCTCCCATCCCCTCGTCCACCTAGGTCAGGTTGGTGATAGGTGTACCTAGGCTACCTACACGTAATTATCAGCAATTGTCTTAGTCGCCAGCCTAAAGAGATAGTTAGTAACGGACGCTCCACTGGTGCAAGTCGTATCGACGGGTCAAGTCTTTTGAGGTAGGCATTTCCAACGGCAATATACACGCACTGCCGCCAGCTAGCCGGGCTTCGCCCTAAAGCCGTGTTCTCTAGGCTCGCTGGAAGCCTGCCCTCGGTTAATAAGACCTAATTATTCGAAGCAACCTGACTGACTACGCCCACCCACGCATGGCAGACGATCTCGCACCCGCCACGTCCTCGGCCGATGTCTCTCTACCATAACCCCGTAAGATGCTGCACCCGTACGCCGCCACGACTCGTAGAATAAGTACCGGCGACAAATACAAACGATATATAGCACGCCCAGGCCAAGACTGTAGTCTCCTTTCGCCCACCGGATGACGGATGAGCCTAGATCTTAGTTCTCGAAGCTATACTTCAGCCAGCCACCGAGGGCCCGTAAACTCTCCCATCGCACGTTCTCGTCGGGGTCTCCCATGAGCTCCATGATGCGTGTCTTGAGGCCGAGCTTCTCCAGTTGGTATCTCTTCTCTGGCACCTCCTTCACGAGGTTGCCTACGTCATTGCAGGCGACGGCTAGCACCGCCTTGTCGCTCTCCCACGGCTTCCGCATAATCTCCACCAACTTCCGCGCAATCTCGCCATTCTCGTATTCGAGGATCTTTCGCGCATTCTCAGCCCAGAAGACGGCGTGGCGGTGGGGCGGTGACCACCTCAGGTGTCCCGATTGCACCTCGGCGACGTATTCGTCGAACGTAGTCTTGTTCTTCTGGTATTCTTCGAGCATCTCCGTGAGATTCCCCAGGTCCTCTTGCAAATCCGGGTCGGTCACGCGGCGTCCGCCGACATTCTGAAGCAACGCGGGGAGTCTGGCCAAGACAGCTATGGGGAGCAGTGTAGTGGGGTTGGCTTCGAGGAGGTTGTACAACGTCGATAAGATCAGGCGCGTGGTCTTCTCCTTTGGCGAAAGCCGCAGTAGCTGCGTGTATAAAAGAACGATATCGTATTCGCTGTTCTCACGTTAGTTCTAGGTGGCTCCTCACGTGCTGCTGTGTATGGGTTCTCGCCGTACTCATTCAGTTCGTCGCCGATGTCTTCCGCTTCGAAGCTTAGCTGCCAGAGAACCAGGAGGACGTGGTACAGGAGTTGCAATCCGACCCCTCCGCTTAAGCCCTCGAAGCCTCCGCTCCTCGTCGTAGTGTTCCCGCTCCAGAGAATAGCAGAGGATTCGCTGCCGACACCTGCGGCTTTTCGTAGGATATCGATTAGGGGTGTGACTGTCTCGCTTCGCTGCTTCCAGAACAGCTGTCGAGAAGATCGGCCGTAAAGGAGGGAGGAATACTCTACTATGGCGGTATCTTGCACGCCCGCGTCGCTCGAGTTGTTTACCAAACTGGAAAGGTAGCTCAGGACTAAGGGCAGGGCACGGGCCGTCGACCGCGACTCGTCTTTCGAATTGGCTGTGAGCGTAGCGAGCACGGTGGAGGCTAGCAGGGTGGTGGAATCTTCGGTGTTGGTCGAATGCGCAAGTAGCGGTAGGATATGTTGATACGGGTCCGAGTCCTTGAAGAGCGCCTTCGCCAGAGTCGGAACGCCTACGTACGTTATGTTAGCTACGAGCTGTCCAAATTGGCACATGCAACAGCTCGGAGCCTCGCACCTTCGAGCAGGTCATTCAGCAAGACCAGGTTGTACTGCAAGACGTCGGGGTGCTTGCTCGCGGACTCGAGAACACCCGGCGTGCCCGGTTCTCCCAGAAACAGTATTCGGTAACCGTCGAGGTCGCCCTCGACCACCCGGATCCTCTGCTCCTTTTTGACCTTGTCGACCGCCCTGATCTTAGCTAATTGGGCGTCGGTAATGGTACCTACTCTGACTGCGCCATCCCAAGGAATTGGTCGTTGGCGGATGTTGTTTTGCAGCCAAGCGAGGTACGGAGGAGGGTCGAGCGACATAGCGGAATGGTGGACAGATAGGTATCTAAAGGGGAGGGTCGGCGAATGAGCGGAGGAGTAGTCCGCCGGGGGATTCGGGCCCGGTACGAGGTGATCTAAGCTAGAAGGGCGGCCCGACTCTACGCAGGTGGACGGGACGACGCGACAGCGTGGCCGACGTTGTCTGCCCCGTGATATGTGACACGCAGGAGGTAGGGAGGGCAGGCAGCTACCGTGTCTATTTCGATAGGGTGGATAGGCGGAGGGATGGACAGACAGATGGGCGCAACAAGCGCCTTTTTCCAAGCACAACTCGGGATCGGGGTCGAGGAGGAGGAGATGCGGCACGGATGAGGCTTCGGTTTCGGGTCGTCAACATGGAGCTTAGCACTGGGTTGTCTGAACGATGCCTCCATGCGGTTTTTGGGAGGTCAGTCAGTTTTCAGATACGTACCTACCTAGGTACCTACCACCTACCCAAACGGTTTAGGTAAGCCAGACAAGGATCTTGCCCAAGTTTTTAAGCGGACCTGTCGTCATCAACAGAGGTACGTATATACATAGGTACCTGCCTACCTAGGGCAGGCGTATGAGTAAAATCTACGTGCATCTCAGGAGAGGAGCGATCGAGACTTGACGGATATGTACATAGTGAGTGCATCCATCTACCAGAACCCGATATAGAAGTCATGACATGCCTGCTTTAACCTACTTCTACTCACAGTTGGCATCCCGAGATCTCCTTGATCGAACATAGGGGGTGACTCCCGAACCACTCCGAGCTTAGGAGGTGCCTATATCATAGTGCCCAGCACTCGCGGTGTGTTCGACTTGTGGCCAGTCTCTCTAGATGGAGCATGGAAGCGTCTTAATTATCCTATCCTCTGTTTTCTCCTCACCCATACCTCTTGGTCATCTCCGTCCTTCTCGGTGCGGGTCCCGGACCCGGCTCCGACCCCGGCGCTCTCGGCCGGGCGCAACTGGACCTCCCACAGCCTCAGCTCGTAGTTGGCCCGATCCGCTCGCCCCGAGAACAAATCGAACGACCAGCCGTGCTTCGGGCAGGTGATCCCTGCGCTCAACGCGACGCCGAAGTCCTCGATGTCGAACGGGATGCCTTCGGAGAGGGGATAGGCCGAGTGTGGGCAACGCTATTCCTGTCATTGGTCATCGCATTCTCGCCCAAGCCGAGTTCGCACGAACGGCACACGACTACAGAGACATGCGTCGACGTATGTGCGTGTATGGAGTGCATATGCAATGGGCAGGGCAAGAAGCGGCCAGGTACTTACGTTGTTGATGGCATGGACCTTGCTCTTGTACCTGAATACAACCATCTGATCCCACAGCCCGCCTCCCTCGGAGCGCACTATCGAGTCGCCCTCGATCTGGCGCGCTTGGGAGCTGTCTGTCAGAGGGACATGGAAGACCTTACACCCGGGCGCCGAACCCTGGCCGGCGCAGGGGCGGTGCTCAGAGAGACTAGCGCTGCCCGACTCGGTGATGTCGGGGAACGAGGACGCGAGGCCGACGCAAAACCACGCGTCACCCTTGCGGGACGGGGTAGTGAAGGGCAAGGTCATGCCGTCTCAGCTCCCCGCGCGATTCTCCGATAACGTTGACGCCCGGGGCGGCGGGGGACTGCTTGGGCCTTTACGAGAGGTCCTATGGCTGCAAGTGGGTAGTAGATCTGGCAATTGGTGAGAAGGCTGCAACGAACGAATCGAAAAACGGCCATTTTTACGCGATAAGATCCTAGGCGACGGTATCTACGAATCGCGATACACCATCGCCCATCTAGCTAAAATGTGCGCAGGCAATTCGAAAGTAACAGCAACTTGACCAATAGCTTGGCTAACAATTGCGTGGAGATTTCCTCAACGAGACCTGCATTCTCTGAAACCCCGGTCCGGGTCGGAATGTGAGAGCTGAGTGCGGGCGGCAGAATTCAGGGAGGTTAGGCACGTAACCGCATCGCATCCCTCTGCCTCGAGAGACCGTCGCGGACAATATTGATGCATGCCTACTAGGTACCTACGTACGATGCATGCACACCTAGTCAAGACCAGACGCACACTGCTGCTGAGCGATGTCGCGGTCCCTTTCGTATTTCGAGATACGGCGGGGCTCCCTAACAATGGGTGCCTCTCTCGACGGGGCATGGCCAGTACCAACAGGCGGCAGCGCGAAGAGAGCAAATCGAGTTGCGGAACCCGTTGGTCCCTGCAGCAAACCACCACCGACTTGGAGGTATTGCTACAAGTGCGTAGTACGTACCCGTATAGGCTATACGACATCGCTAGCTGGGAGCAACCGCGCCCCTGTTTGAGATGTCTGATTGGCTAATAGCCCTAGCATAGCGCTTTATCGGGCTGTGGGGGTACCCAGGTACTTGGTTCGCGGCATGTACCGGGATACTTATGACACACGGGGCAGCGTTGTACCTCCCACACATAAATTGGGCGGTCCGGGTACGTGAGCCACGGCCACCACGCAGGTCACTACAATCGATTATCATCGCTGTTGCGACGGCACGGGCCACACTGTCAACACGGAAGTTTGCGCTGTTTCTTGTTTCTGCACGGGGCCTGTCCGGAGAGCTGTGCCAGCTCACCATCGCATAACAGGTGGTAAGTAGAGATACGATAGGGCTGTGATTCGAAAAGTCGACGAGAAGAAGCGTCAATTCCAATACGGCCCGACGAAAAGCAGGTGGGAGAGCCGTGTCGATTTCGATACTTATTTGCCAGAAACCGTCGGCTTGGTCCTGTCCACATGTGGCCGGTGAAGAGATCGCGACCCCTGCCACCTCCAACCCCCTCTGTTTTCTTGGGCAACTGGCGAAAACGCAACACCAGCCCCGCGGCATTTCGTAATCGCAGACCTTTTTCGCCCGTCGCCGTCTCTTCCCCCCGTCCTGAGGGAGGCTGGGAAGAGCTTGCAGCCCACCAGGCCAGAGAGACATGCATTAAGGAACGCACTCGAGCTCACCATCCTCGATCTCATCTCTTTCTCATCTCTTTTCCCTCTCTCTCCCAGCTTTTCCCACCTCCCACCTCTAGCTCGCCCTTATCCATATCCACCCGCTCGCCATTACGCATCCCGCTTTCTCTCGGGTTTGGGTGTGGTGCCGCCCTCGAGTCTCACCGCCGGCACTGACCATCACACAACAGTAGCAACACACACCGGTCGGCTGGGTCTAGTCTGCCCATCCTAGTCCGAGGCATCTGGGAAGTTGCTCCAGCCTTAGATAGCGAGTGGCATTTCCAACTGAAGAGAGCGCAGAGGTGGTAAGACGCCGGCTCTCATTGGCGTCGCGCGCGATAGGCTTGTCTCAAGTTCTCTCCAGACCACTTGCGCCTTGCCCGCATTCCAACGCCTACCACCAGCCGAGTCTGTTTCACCGTCAAACGTGCACACGATGCGACTCGTCCCGGCCGGACCCCTCTTCCTCCCTCTCCTCTTTGCCTCCCTCGTCGTCGCCCACCCTTACCCGCGCGACCATCTCCAAAAGGGCCGCGGCGCGTCCAGCGGTATAGCTGGCCGTGCCGACGCGGCCACGGCCGGCGGATTCGACTTCTACACCACTACCTGGACTGAGACCAGGACGTATACCAGCACTATCAGCTCTTTCGTCGGCGTCACCACACCGGCTTCGGGCGGCGCGAATGGAGAGCCCTGTGTGCCGCCCGAGGGGTCTGGGCAGATCGCCTGCGGCCCCATCTGCTGCGCAAACTGGCAGTACTGTGCTTATGAGGGCCAGTGCATGGCCAACGCTGGTGGTCCCGGTTCTTGGACCGAATGGACAACGGTCGGCGTCATCACGACCCAGTATTCGGCGCCGTACCGTGTCACAAGTGGTAGCACCATCTTGCAGACGTCGACCCCGACTACGACCGGTACCGCGGCTAGCGAAACTGCTTCCCCCTCCGACACCGCCGCCCCGGTTCCTGTCGAATCCACGAACGGCCAGTTGAGCGGAGGCGCAATCGCCGGCATCGTCATCGGCACGATCGCCGGCGTGATCCTGCTGCTGCTGCTCTGTTTCTGCTGCATCGCCAGAGGCCTTTGGGGTGTGTTGGCTGGTATCCTCGGGTTGGGCAAGAAGAAGAAGAGTACGGAACGTATCGAAGTCATCGAAGAACACTATTCGAGACGTGGCAGCAGGCACGGCAGCGCGTATGGCGCCGCGCGACCAGCTCACCGAACATGGTTCGGTGGCGGCGGAGGCGGCGGGGGCGGCGGCCGACCTTCGTCGGCCGGCGAAAGGAAGGAGAAGAGCTCGGGCGCCGGCCTTGGGATGTTAGCTGCCGGCCTCGGCGCGCTCGGCCTCCTACTCGGCCTTAGAAAAGACGACAGGCGCAGGCCTAGCAGCCATAAGCCCTCACGCAGCGAGTGGAGTAGTGGGTACTACACTGACTCCTATACTGCGAGCAGCCCTAGTGAGTTTATCCTTGAAAGAGGTAAACTCCGAGAGGGTGTTTACTGACCGAGATTGTCTAAACAGGTAGCCGAAGCTCGGATAGGAGAACGCGAGACACACGACGATCCAGGCAGTCGAGAGCCACGAGAGTTTCCAGGCACTCGGTTTCCAGGCACTCTAGAGGACCGCGACCCTCAAGAACATCGAGAAGCTAAGAGGCTGTGGTAGTAGTAGCCGACGACCGAACCTCCTCCTCCTCCTCCTTTCCTCCTCCCCTGTACCTTATGAAGACCACCCTTTTCCAAACGAAGACTATACGTAGCCGACCCCGGCACGGTTTGCCATTTCTCTCCCTCCTCGCACCGGTATTCATGCACATAGTACTATAACACACCAAATCACATCACAAACGGCGTTCTGGGAGGAGGAGTTCAGGTAGTTGTTCCTTTACCCTAGAGACCAAGAGGATTTGTTTGTTTATTCGCTTTCCCCCCTTTCTCTTTTTCTCTTTTCTCCTTTATGATGCCAACGACCTCGATTCGATCGGGCCCACGACACCAAGTAAAACCAACATTTAGCAATTCTCCTCACAACCCCCCACCCCTGATCCCTTAATCCTATTTGCCGACGGAGGGAGATGGAGATACCGTCGGAAATAGAGGGGAGGAAATCCTGTAATGACAAAAAGACACTCTCACGGTTTGATGTACATAAGACACGAAAGTAATGTTGAATGCGGCGAGCAGGGGGGGAGGAGGCGGACGAGATCAAGGGATAATGAATGAAAACCGGGGCGAGCAAAGCGGACGGAGGAGTGAGGGCTTCAGAGGGAGGGGGGGCCGGGGGACTGGCCTCTCTCCCTCTCCCCCCTTGGCTTTTGCTCGCCCCGGGAACGAGAGACGGGACCGAGGACGCGTGGACGAAGAGGAAGGAAGAGTCTCCACGCGAACGGACGATTAGACGAGATGAGATGGCCGAGTAGGAAGGATGAGCTCCCCCAAGGGGCCCTTCGCCGAACGAAACGAATAAATGCTGATGAGATTTGCACTGCCTTTGCCTGACTTGAGTGCATCCGGTCTCGCCCGCAACAGCTGTGATATGGGCATGCTTCACCCTCCTTTTCTATCGTGTGTGTGACTTTAGAGGCAAATAAGTGGGCTTCTGCCTTCCGAGGCGAGAGGCTATATACCTATAAGTATTTTCACTCACACCCGTTGTCGTCTACTTTTACCAGGTAAAGAGAATGCCTCCCCGGCGACGCTGAGAGAACCGGGGCATTTTCTTCTCTTGTTTTACTTATTCGTTTTATCTGCTAACTCTCGGGTATCCCCCCGTCTCGCGGCGGCTCTACTTAGACATACACTAATAGGATAGGGTGTAGGAGGGCGGGGGGGTGGTCCCTCAAGATGTGATCTCGTGGGGAAAAAAAACCTCACAATGTCGCGCATAGGGAGGGAGGAAGACAGGCTGCGGGCGCGATGTGTTGTTATATCCTCGTGGTCAGGACTGGGTTAGGTATTTGGTTCCGTTTTCGTTTTTTGTTGGTTTCGCAGCTATGTTTCGCTACGTGACATGCAGATGAACCCCGGCGACTCCGTAATTGAGACCCTTGAAAGCAAAAAGAAACCATTATGCTCCGCGCGCGCGCGCGTCTATTCATCCGCCGCGACGTGGCCCTTCTCGGACACGTACATGCCGTCCAAGAACTAGAAAATCATCCTTTGGTTAGCGAACATGACCATACCGGGTAACGGTGCGAGAGGGTCGACGGCCGGGGCGGGGGTGGATTCGGGAGAAGTGCCCACCTTTCGGATATCCTTGTTTCGGACTCGGCAGATCTGTTGGATGTCGGCGGCACTTTGCGAGACGTTCTCTAGGGAGTTGCCCCAGAGGATCAGCTCGTCCTTCTGGGCTGATGAGATCTCAACCTCGACACCGGGGTGCATGGTTACTCTCCGGACTAGCTTCTCTCCGATGAAGTTTCTGTCGTCGCGATATCAGCCACTTCCCAATTCCTTACGCGGCTGGCCCGTTGCGTGCGTTCCCCCCCGCGGGGGCGGGCGGACGGGTATTCGACAAGGGCCGAGAAGACATACCGGATCTCGACTTCGAAGACACCAGTCTCGCTGTTCTTCTCGATGTTGACATTGATGGGAAAGTGGGCGTAGACGTAGCGCATCTTGTACTTGAAGCCCTTGGTGACGCCGACGATCAGGTTGTAGATGAGCGTTCGGACGGTTCGAAGGGTGGCGACATCCTTCCGCGACCCGTGGTGGATCTCAATGCCGATTACGTTCTTCTTAGGCCGCGAGAAGTTGACGGCGATATGGCTTAGGTCCTTGGATAGCTTTCCTATTTATCCCATCAGCGTTCCTTGCGCCCCGGAGCGGTAGGCCGACCCTCATATGCGGTGAACGGTGTGGGGTGGTCTTCGTACCTCGGGGGCCCTCGACTGTGACGTTGCGGGACTTGATATGGACCTTGACTATCGTTCGGCGGAGCGCATGTCAGCGAATTGCTCGTCTGGTGCTGATGCGGATGCTACCGCGAGGCCTGAGCTGTCTTTCTGTGCCAGCAGCTCCACCACGCATCTCCTTCTTCCCGTCCAGACACATAATCCCCCTCGGCAAACGTACCTCCCTCAGGAATCTCTAGGGTCTCGAGACTGTGGATGTATCGCATCTTGGCGGCGCAGGCGGAAGAGGAATCGGAGGCCCTGGAGGGAATGAAGAAGTCGTGATTAGCTTGCGAGGGTTACCAGAACCAGCGAGTAAATAAGATAACCAGGCCGACAACCAGCTGATCTCGGGGATGCTGGCAATGCGCTGGGGGTTGACGTACCTGGGGGTGAAGGTGAAGGCGTCTTAGATAGGTGCAAAAAGGGAGTAGAGAGAGGCTCACCACTGGTCAAAGTCGCAAAAATCAGTCGAGCAATTGAGGAAATTTGGTGTGTGGGCAAATCGCTAAGCTACAGGCCGAGTACCGCCGTACCTTAGTGATTGTCGATAAATTGGTCGACGCAATTAGGGCTTCTCTCGCCGACGTGGGGTAACATGTGGCTGTGGCGGGCGAGTTATGTGTGGCTTGGGAATATGTAGAGGTACTACGTACCTAGGTACCTCCCAATTAGGGGTATAACGGAATAACTCGGGTTCCCGATGACGAAGACAATGGGAGCTCAAGCCAATCCAGGTCGGGAGGCATGTACGTACCTTTGAATCGGGAGGAAGCTGCAATTGCGCAGTAAAAAAAAGCGGGACGTGCCTGCAGGGTGCAAGTACATATGTAGTTACCTAACATAGCAAGTGCGACTCGTTCGCAAGCCCGTGAGGGAAGCAGCTTCGACTTCTCGACGAGCATAGACACGAACCGTCCCACCCGCCCCGAAACCATCCCAACCTCCCCTCAAACCCGCCGCGCCCGTATCCCTCGACCGACCGACTGACGTCCCCTTGGCTCGGCCAATCTCGCCCAGCATGTCCTATTTCTTCGCCACCCCTGTGGACATAGACATTGTCCTCGAGGACAGCGACGAGCGCCAGGTAGTAGACATAAGGGAAAAGCAGCGCCGCGAGAAGGCGCCGCTGTACATGGACGGCGAGTCCGTCAAGGGCCAGGTCACAGTACGCCCCAAAGACGGGAAGCGCCTGGAGCACACGGGCATCAAGGTTCAATTCATCGGCACGATAGGTTCGTAAGAGAGATGCTATACTCCCGCGCGACTACAGCGAAGTCGCCTGCTGTTCTGAGAGAGAGGAGAGTGGCAGACAGGCAAACAGAAAGCGAGACAGAGACATATGCCCTTCTATTCCTCTTCTTGGTTTCTGCAGTTGCTTACTTGCTCGCTTGCTCACGCGCCTACCGCAGAGATGTTCTTCGACCGCGGCAACCACTACGAATTCCTCTCGCTCAACCAGGAGCTCGCGGCGCCGGGCGAGCTCCAGCACCCGCAGACCTTCGAATTCAACTTCAAGAACGTCGAGAAGCAGTACGAGTCGTACAACGGTATCAACGTGAAGCTGCGCTACTTCGTCCGCGTCACCGTCGCCCGCCGCATGGCCGACGTCATCCGCGAGAAGGACCTCTGGGTTTACAGCTACCGCATACCGCCCGAGTTGAACAGCAGCATCAAGATGGATGTCGGTATAGAAGACTGTCTCCACATCGAGTTCGAGTATAGCAAGAGCAAGTACCACCTCAAGGATGTCATTGTCGGCCGCATCTACTTCCTTCTCGTTCGTCTCAAGATCAAGCATATGGAGCTGAGCATCATCCGGCGCGAGACCACCGGTGCCGCCCCGAACCAGTACAACGAGAGCGAGACCCTCGTACGCTTCGAGGTTAGCTTTTACTCTTACTCATTCCCACTCCTGGCACGCTACTCCTACCTCTATAATTGTCCGAGCTGACCAGGGCCCCGGCCTCGTCTCCAGATAATGGACGGCTCCCCCTCCCGCGGCGAGACCATCCCCATCCGCCTCTTCCTCGGCGGCTTCGACCTGACGCCGACCTTCCGCGACGTGAACAAGAAGTTCTCGACGCGCTACTACCTGAGCCTCGTCCTCATCGACGAGGACGCGCGGCGCTACTTCAAGCAGTCCGAGATCATCCTCTACCGGCAGGCCCCCGACGCCGCCAACAACACCGACCCCCAGACCGTCGTCTCCGTCCCCGAATCTACGCGCCAGATGCCGTTACCCAGACATGAATGATAAAGCGGAAAGAGAAAGAAGATGAAGCTGGATAGAATTTCTTTTTCTCTCCTCGACCTTATCGACTGAATGACTGACTGACTGACCGACTGACTAATCCGATCCGACCCACTGTACATTCCTCACCCCAATCCTATTCCAGTCCCAGGTCGAGCGTTGGAGGCAAAACGGCGTTTACTGGTCTCTGTAATTTATGTAGCATGCGGTTATGACCAAGCAGACAGGGAGGGAGAGAGAAGGAGAAAGCCAAGGCGTTACTCGCGATGGATCACGTAGTTTTTTTTCTTCCTTCTTTGGGTTAATGCATCTAAGATTTGTATTCCCTCCCCCCCTTACCTCCCTTTTCCCGCCGTGTTAACGCAGAGGGAAAAAAGAAGAAAATAACAACATGAGCCCGAGGCGTAGTTACAATTCGGGAGGTATCATCTCGCAGTCGTAGTACCAGTAGTCTTCCCGCATAGTCGTACATTATGACCTATCGCCGTTCCTGATATGGCGCCGCGGCACGGCACGGCACGGCGCTATATTATAAATCTTATCTAATCGTTATCTCACAAGATCTCCATCTCGTCGTCGGCCGCGAACCCGAACTGGTTGTTGTGGATCGCGGCGATGCGGTCGAGCTCGTCCTGGTACTCCTTCCGGATGTCGGCGAGGGTGACGACCTTGCGCTTCTCCACGACGGGGGCGGCGGCGGCAGCAGCAGCAGCAGCAGCAGCGTCGTCCTTGGCGTCTTTCGCGTTGGCGGCGGCGGCGGCCGCGGCGACGATTGCAGTTCGCGCGGAGCCGCCGGCCTCGGTCGTGATCCAGGCCTGCTTCGGCTCGACGCAGCTCAGCACGTTGATGAGCATGAGGTACTGGCGGGTGACGGCGGTGTCGAGCATGTCGTCGCCGGCGACCTGGTCGCCCTCGCCGAGCTGGCGCAGCTTGTGGATGCGGTCGAGCAGGACGGCGGCGGCGCCGCGGTAGTCGTTGCGCCGCACGCGCCACGCGTACAGGATCTGGTGGTACGGCACGCCCGTCACCACGTCGGCCGCGTCGCGGCAGTGCTGCGCCAGCACGTCGTCGACGGCCCCCTGCAGCCCCGGGAACGGCAGCGCCACGAACTCGGCGTTGTGCAGGTTGTCGCACATGCGCTGGATCAGCGCCCGCAGGCACGACATCTGCAGCGCCCGGTCCTTCATCGCCACCAGCGTCGCGTGCGCCAGCTCGAACTGCGACGTCGCGATCGCCCCGCTGAAGAGCCGGCACTGGATCTCCGTCCGCGCCTTCTCCGCGTCCTCGGTCCTGCTGTTCACGAACTGGAGCGCCAGGCGCGAGAAGTCTATCACGTACGAATACGCCTTGTGCTGTTCGAACAGGGCCACGATGTGGGCGTAGTAGCGTGGCAGTCCCGCGAATAGCAGGTTCCACTCGGTCTCGTCGAGGAGGCCGCTGCTGTGCTTGTCGGGTTCCGCTTGAGGTACACCTGTGCGTATCATCGTTAGCCGGGATATTCCGAGGTCGTCGTCGACCAACTTACTCATTCCGTATGCCGCCTTCTTGAAATATGTTGACGCGGATGTGTAGTCCTTCAGAGCGAGGTGAACGCGGCCCTGCACATAGGTTGAGAACGGATCCTCCTTGCAAAAGGGGTTCAGCTCGGCGGCAAGATCGGGTCGGTCTCTGACGAGCAGGCCGCACTGGATGTACTGAGGTTGCAGCTCGATGTTACTACTAGGAGCACAAAGATCAACCACGATGCTCGTGATAATCGCCGGCATCGTCTCCGAGACGGCCGAGTCGAGCTCGGGCAACCCCAGAAGGTGTCCCACATTGCCTTCGAGCGCCGTGATGACCCTGTGATCATCGACTTGTCGCTTCGGGGCAACCGGGGAGTTGCCGGACACCGAGCTGGGCCTGTCTGCCTTGGGGAGCGGCGCCGATATCTGGGTGTTGGCAAGCCACCGGACGAGTTCTAATCTCCGTAGGTACGTCAGCAGGTTGCGGTATACTACGCCGATCTCTACCCTGTTATGAAGAGCATCCTCGGGGCGGTCGAATTCGAACTCCATGTGAACTAGGAGAATCAACTGGCTGAAGCAGACGTTCCATTGGAGCTCGGCCATATCTTGGACTGCCCTGACGATAATCCTCCGCCCGAACTCGGTGAGAGGATGCTCCGTCGGGTGCTCGGCATCCCAGGTCTCGTCGCAGACTTCAAGCAGGCGCTCGTAAAGGTTAGTCGTCACCAGATTGAAGTTTGGGCCGAGCACGTCGGTCACCTGAGCACAGTCTTCGTCGGATATCTGGCGCCAGAATCCTGCCTTGTCCGAGAAGAACTGTATGCGTTCTTGGTCCGTCTTGGGCGACTCCTCGAACATCTCGGAGCGCAGGACGGAGCGGCAGATCTGCAGCATGCTATCGGAAAAGCTGTCGAGGAAGTTGAGGCCGGAGGTAATGAGAGACGGGCCCTCGTTGGAACCCTGGAACCTCGAGGTCGGGTTGTGGCATATCTGTTCCAGCTCGCTGCATTCCCGGATGGCGGAGATGCTATCGGCGCATACGACCCACGGAATCCCCGATTCCGATTCATACGACAGGGTCAAGGCCTCGCCCCTTGGCTTGTCGAGCTCAAGTAGGATCCGGTAAAACTTTCGCCACTGCGTTTCGCTGGAGGCTCTGAATTGTTCGTGCTCCATGTCGCCAGACGAGGTTTTGTTCAGAGATGCGGTTGCTGCGATGGCGGAGCAAATCGACTCCGCAAGGCCCTGGCCGTTACGAGATGAACCGCCACCCTGTCTTCCCACCACGCCTTCGTAAGCTGCTATCGCGGCTTCGATGGTTGCTCTTGGAAACCTCCCCGGGAAGAGAATAAGCTGTAACCACCTTTCGGTGGGGTCGACAGGATCCGACGGGCTAGATGCTTGCGCCGTCGGTATGACTGTGTCAGAAAACACGGATCTCCAGCCATGCTGCCACGCCTCCGGGAGGTTATCTGCCTTGAACGATAGCTCCTGTACTCGGTATGCCATGTTGTTCTTCCACAGAAGCCACAACCGGTACCCGTCGGACGGCGAGCATTCTATGACCCTGAAATCTGCGAGAGTCCAGACGTCCGACCCCAGAGGCGGTGTAGGGATGAAGCGCTCTGTAGAGAAGGTAACAGTTACGTCGACAGAATTCGCGTGGTTAGATTGCAGCAACCAGAACTTGAACTCTCCAGAACCGATGGGAGAATACGTCACGCAGAGTCGTTTCCCTTCAATGCTACCCGCGATCTGCATCAAGTTCGTCTGTGACGCATCGAGCTGCCACTTTCCCGTCTCCTGCGGGTCCCGCTCGGCATCCAGCAAGTCCATGGTGCCGAGAATCTGCCCGCTATTCAGATTCCAGACACGCAGGTGGTGGTCGAGGCAGACAGTGAAGAGAAACGAGGCGTCGTCGAGCCCCAGATCGGTGTGGACCGCGGAGGCGGCGGCCTTGATGTCCATATCACCTCGGCCCCCGAGGATGCTCCGAAACCAACCCTTTGCATTATAGAACGTCTCCTTCCAGGGCGGGTGAGAGACTAAAGGCTTGAACGTTAGACTCGCAGGCGGTCAGAGAGCAGGCAGGTATCGGGGCAGACGAACCATTGTGTGTTGTGTTTCTGTCATACCGGACGTGGCCGCCGTCTGAAGTGGTGACGACCAGCTGATCGCTATTGACGGCGATGAGCCGGTAGGGGTGTTTGAAGTTGCGGAAAGCATTGGGCTGGTAGATACGGCAAGCATCCCCCAGTCCCGTCTCGACGAAGGAGCGCTTGCGAAAGGAGTCAGGCCGCAGAAAGAGGGTGTAGAGCTGATTCGCGGTGTCGAGCACGAAGACGCTGACGGCGTCGTGATCGGGGGCGTCTGAGAGGGCGATGCAGGTAGGTCGGATGGGATGGTAGAAGTGAAAATTCAAGATAAGGTTGGCATCGGATGCCTTCTTCGGCTTGTAGATATCGGCCGTCCGTATGCTTAAGATGGTGTTATCGCCGCCCAAGACTCTCCAGAGGAAGGCCCTCGGGAAGCTATGATATTTCCTGTAGTAAATAGCGGACGCCGTCGCTCTTGAGGCGTCGTTCCTCGCGGCGGCCTTGGCCGATTTCGCGGGCTGTCGCTGGCTCCATCCTTGCGAATTAGAGGTAGGGAGCTTGATGTCGACGCTGTAGGCGGTGGTAGACGGTTCTAGGCTTATGCGCGTCTCCTTGAAGAAATACGGCACAGGAGCCATGGCGGGCCCGTCGCGCTGCGTAGAATTACTGTTGACGGCTGGATTGGAGATTTCGGGGCGTGGGAGCGACGCGGGCGCGAACGGTAGGAACTCAGGGCGCAGCCAAACCAAAAAGACGGGAGTCACAATAGCTCGAGTTATCGATAAACAGGGGTCGGTAGTCCCACTTAAATAGCAGCTGTCCGACAGCTGGAAAGGTTTGGCCACAACCCACCTGCCGCGTTTCGTGCCAAGGACCTACCCGATCCTTCTTGCCTGACGAGGACAGGGAAGGTATTAGCTTGTTAAATTGTTCACGTGCTTCCGCGACTTCCGTCTATTTTCTCGTCACTTTTCGCGTCAACGCGTCCCCCCTCCCTCTGCCACGCTCCAAGCTGCCTCTTCCCTACCCATAACCAGCTTTCTCCCCGGTCTTTTCTCTCCCGTTGCCCGTCTCGCCCTCCCGCCACACAAGTTCTTACCAAATACCCAGGACGGAAAAGAAATACATTGCCTACAATAACGGCAAGACTCGATAGCAAAATATAGAGAGAGAGAAACTAGGTAAACATCGAAAAAGAGAAGAAAAAGAAGAAAAGTAGGGACGGAAAACGTCCGTAAACACCAGCAGATATGGCAGAGGAGTATGAGGAAAGCATGAATGAGGACCAGAGTGGAACGACCGGTCCGGGTGCGCCGACACCCGTCTACGCGCTCGAGGTACCTTCCAAGTCGCCACGATCTCTTGTGGAGCGTACTGACAAGGGAACAATGTGTTAGGGTCTCGCCGGCCTGACCAAGCGCGACTGTCAGCTTCTCGCCGAGGGGGGCTTCCAGACGGTCGAGGCGGTCGCGTATACGCCGCGGCGAACGCTGGAGCAGGTCAAGGGCATATCCGAGCAGAAGGCTGCCAAGATCCTCGCCGAAGGCAAGTCATTGCATGTTCATCGTGAACTCCCCCTCCCCCAGAAAAAGAAGAGACACCTAGATCGGCCATAGGCCACATGGCACAGCTACGGGAGACGTCGCTAACATGTCGAACAGCGTCCAAGCTGGTGCCCATGGGCTTCACAACCGCGACGGAGATGCACCAGCGGAGGAGCGAGCTGATCTCGATCACGACGGGCTCGAAGAACCTGGACACGCTGCTCGCCGGCGGCGTCGAGACGGGCTCGGTGACGGAGCTCTTCGGCGAGTTCCGCACGGGCAAGAGCCAGATCTGCCACACGCTCGCCGTCACCTGCCAGCTGCCGTTCGACATGGGCGGCGGCGAGGGCAAGTGCCTGTACATCGACACGGAGGGCACGTTCCGGCCGGTGCGGCTGCTAGCGGTGGCGAACCGGTACGGGCTGTCGGGCGAGGAGGTGCTGGACAACGTGGCGTACGCGCGGGCGTACAACTCGGACCACCAGCTGCAGCTGCTGACGCAGGCGTCGGCGATGATGTGCGAGACGCGGTTCTCGCTGCTGATCGTGGACAGCGCCACGTCGCTGTACCGGACCGACTTCCTCGGGCGCGGGGAGCTGTCCTCGCGGCAGACGCACCTGGCCAAGTTCATGCGCATGCTGCAGCGGCTGGCGGACGAGTTCGGCATCGCGGTGGTGATCACGAACCAGGTGGTGGCCCAGGTGGACGGCGGGCCCAGCGCCATGTTCAACCCGGACCCGAAGAAGCCGATCGGCGGCAACATCATCGCCCACGCGAGCACGACCCGCATCAGCCTCAAGAAGGGCCGCGGCGAGACCCGCATCGCCAAGATCTACGACAGCCCCTGTCTCCCCGAGAGCGACTGCCTCTTCGCCATCAAGGAGGACGGCATCGGCGACCCGGCCCCCAAGGATATGGAGAAGGACTGAGAGGAACGGCTGCGCGTTGGGGACTCCCCATCACCACCACTACTAACAGGTACCTAACTACTAATACTGCTGCTACTCCGCTACTATCCCAGACGGCTCGGATGATGCGGGGGGGGGGGGGGGGGATTTGGGGGAAATGAGATGACTATTATATACGACTAGACCGGTCGGGGCTGTTTTTACACGCGAGCGGGGTGCATGGCTTTTGGCGTTTCGAAGGGGGCGACGAGACGCATGCTCAAGTCCTTTTTTTTTTTCCTTCTCATTGTTCTTCCTCGCGAGATGTGCCCACGTGTATGTATGTATGTATGTATGTATGTATGGCGGGTAGGGCAGGTAGGGTAGTTATACCTGGGGGGCGCGGTCCCCCATTCTAACGGCACCGGTGCGTCTCGCGAGAACCCAGCCCTGCGTGCTGTCGCGTGTAGCTTGCGTGGCGAAGCACTGCGTGGGCGGCATCGGGGCGGGCCCGAACCGGCCAAGCCCCCCGTGAATCCCGCGATTCCTTCCCTCCCCTCTCTCTTTTTGCGTCTCCTCGACCCGTTGCCGTCCGCCTCGCTACCCGCCAAGGCCTGCACGCCCAGCGGGGCTTCTCCGCCGCCCACCCCCCCGGACCGCGACGCCAGGACGGGTCTCCCGCGCACCGCAGGGATCGCCCCCCCAGCCCGCCACCATCCGTCCCGTGTCTCCAGCCGATCCAATCCACCGCAGGCTGGCTGGCGCCCCCGCTGCGCAGTCGATGTAAGTCGAAGCCGGAGCAATTGATTGATTGGTTTCTCCTGCTCTTCTCGAAAATCAAATCATTCATCCCCCCTCCCTCCTCCGTCTTTAGGCATGCAGGTATACCCAATTGTCGCCGGCGTGCCAAGTCTTTTTCTTCCTTTCGGTCCGTCGAAGGAGTGTGAGTGAGACTGAGCCGGAGAATGCTGTGTCTCTCAAGAGTATACCTACTTACTTGCCTACAGCGGTGGGCATGTCTGCCGACGCCCACCCCTCTCCCTCTCCCTCTCCCCCTTATGATCAAAAAAAATTTTCCTTTTACTTAAACCTCTACTGTCTTCGAGGGGTCACCAGTCACCGCAAATCTATCTCGTTTTTCAGAAGCTGCCTACACGACAAGGTATTTAGATTGGCAGATGAGCGACAAGCTTACGCCCGTCGGAATCAAATTAGTCGGATTACTTGCGTATGTGAGTGATCGTAGTAATGGTAGGTAGGTTAGTTATCCCGGCGCAAAGTTCGCCTCCCCTCTCCTCGCAACGACCCTCTCGCATGCAGGAAATCTAATAGAGAATTATTCCCCAGGATACTGCCTCCTCGTCACGCTGCTGTACGAACGCCAGTATGAATGCGGCGCACCTCTTCATCTGGATGCGATTACCCCCCTCAAGATTCGCCCGAGCAAAATGCAGTCTACATCGTTTCGCGGGATATGGACTCGCGACGAGCGACAACGTCAAGGGCCAGCCGCATGGTGTCATCACGACCGTGGCCTCTATTCTGGTGATTCTTCGCTTTCTCCGTCGCTCCTTTGCATACGGTCTCCTTACTTAACGAGGACTAGACATTATCTTGACGATCGATCGCGGCCCTTATGAGCTCGGCTATTACTGTGGCTCCTCGGCTGGACATTCTCGGCGCCATTTTGGCTTTGGGGCTGGTCGAACGTACCAGCAGGTAGAAGTTCAAACCCCGCATTGACTCTCCTGATGGTCGTGTTCGCGTAGGCGTCACCCGAGTACGTACGGTGGGGTATCGGCCTATTGGCCGCTAACGGGGGCCGGGAAATCGGCGGCGATGAACCGGGGGTCTGTGTTTCACTAGGATGTCGCGTCTGCTTAGCCGGCGTGTCCGAGAGAGAGCCCGCGTTCGACGGCGGCGACCCTACATCATCGTGAAGGGGGTGCGTCCGAACCATGGGTATACCAGAGCGGCGGGAGGTGGGTGTGTAGCGCATGTTCGAATGGCCGACGTCCTCCTCCGACGAGGTTGAGTTGCGCCCGACCGTGGTCCTCGGGCGTGAGGATGTCGAGGACTGGGAGCTAGATGACGAATTTGTCGGAATGTAGGTTTCAACCTGCCGAGGTCTAACGAAATTGGCCTCGAGCCGGTTCAACGTCTCAGCATCGAAAGATGCGCCACCAGAGGTATCAATAGTTCGACGACGCGAAGAACCCTTGGGTTGGTACGTAGGCCGCCCAGGGGGGAGGGATGCCCTGGCCTGGGTCTGGTTGGCGTCGCTCGGGATGCGCCGTTCAGAGAGACTAGTCGGAGTGATCTGTGGGCTTGGTTGTGGGCTTTGCGCAGGCGTTGGCTCGACCTCGGTCACCGTCATCGTCGAGTGCCGAACACCGCCCGATATGACCATGTCATTTTCTCGTTCTTTGCCTTTCAGCCTACCATCCGACTCGAGCGTCGACGACGAGGCGAACGACGGGCTGCTTTGACCGAGCCCCACTGGTGTGCTGGGCCTCGATATCCAGATACCGTCCACCTCTATGCCGCTTTGTATTGCGCGCACGCCGAACGGGATGTCCGCCCGCTTTCCGACGGGGAGGCCGCTCTTGCGCATCTCCATGTGCCTAATCCTCTTTTCTTCGTCGAGTACGGTATGCTTCTTCAGATATCTGCTCAGCCACCACAGCTTGACCAAGCCCGCCAGGAATACTACGACGATGGCCGCGGCGAGCACCTTTCCGCGTGTGAGCAAAGGGCGCAGAGAAAGGAGTAGGGAGAACAGGGGAGAGGGCCAGGGGTCTTACAAAGGTCATCTGCTGCCATAATTCCCAGTTGACGAAGAAGTTGATGTGTGCCATGTTTGGATGCTCGGGGGTTCGACGACGCCCCAGTTAACAAAATTCAAGCGAGAGAAGATGGTGGGAGAAGAGGTGGAGGGAGGGGGGAGAGGGGAGATGGGGGAGTAAAAAACGAGTGACCCGCGGCGCAATCCAGAATAATGATGAGGGTAACGAAAGACGGATGGTCCAATATGGCACCACCAGAGAGAGGGGGCGGATAGCAGACGGGGATAGTGAAGCAGAACGAGAGGCCCGTCACCGGAGGGGAGCGAGCGGAGGGGGGGGATCCAGTCACGTCGACGGACCGCAGCCAGTTAATACTTTTTTTTTTGTTGGCCGCACAAGTGGAGACAGACTGGATAGACGAGACGCCGAGGAAGCTGCAAGGTACTTCCTTCTGTCGTACTCGCCTACCGGTCGTGCTTGCCTTGCGCTTCGTATAATGCTGGCCAGGGAGGCAGTCGCAATCGAGGACGGTCTGGGCGTCTGGGCAACCGCGAGTTGACTAGTCTTGCTGCTTCTCCCCTCGTCTTTTTTATTGTTTTTTTTTCCTTATATATCTTTTCCTTTCCCGGTGTTTTTATTTATTTTCAAGTGAACAGATGCGACGGGAGGGTTGAATAGCGTCAGTCGCTCACAATCTCCGCCAGAGACGATAGGAGCAAGAAGAGCCTGAACCAGAATTGTTCGTTAGTTCAATATCGCTGACCCGGCGGTCTGGTCCGGGTATCAGATGGGTCTCTGGCGACTTGTGTTGTGCAGCTCTGTGTTCGGCCCGAGTAGACGTTACGGTCAACAGCAAACTTGGGCACAGGTCCCCTTTTTATTTCATTTTTTTAAAGTCTCTTTTCCTACCCGCGCCGCCGGAATACGAAGAGGCTTGTCAGGCCGTATCGTGCACCGTCGAGGTATCCACGACGGATGCGATCTGCTGCTGAGGGGTGGCGGCAGCTGGCTGCCGTAGGGCTGGGGAGCTGAACAAAAACACGATCCGCCTACCTCGCGCCGGTACCGATCACTCTCGCGACGTTGCTAAAGGCGAGCTCAAGAGGGACCCAAGAGTACCCAAGAGAATCCAAGAACAGCTTGGCCCAGGAAGATGTCGACGGGTTTGAGGTAAGCTTCAAAAGAGGACCAACCCACTGAATATATGAACCTCGCAGTCTCCCCTGCGGGGACAACTTCACCCTCATCCTTTTTTCCTCTCTTCATTCCATTTTCTCCTCCCTTTTTTTTTCCCTCTCTACCGAAAGCCGGGTTGCCGTCGGGCCACCAATGAAGGTCCCGAGCTTGAATGGGTCTGGTGGTCGATATAGGGCCGAGAGGCGTTATATTGATCTGGTGTCCCTGGCGAGCTTATGTTAGGAGAGGCCCAATAAGCGGCAACTTAAGAAGGCCGGTGGATATAGCCGCGAGAGAGAAACGCGCGTTCCTGAACAAGGGTGGGTGAGATCGATAGATCCAGAGCAACCTACGGTTCTGGGCACGGGAGAAGAACATCGAAAGCACGCGATGGGACGTCTACATGGCGCGGGCGGCGCAAGGGGACAGGCGACCTAGAGTAAGCAAGCAGATGGAATCGTCGTTCTTACGCAGTCAAACGGGCAAACTCTTTCCAATACCTACCTACCCCAAACTTGTGCAAGCTGCAACTGAGGGAATGGCCGGGTCGCGACGCAGATGCCAGCAGGACGAGCGGAGTATCTAGGGATCCGGTTACTACCCAACATATGGGGTCTGCTGACGGGGAGATGAAGCTGGTGCTGTGATATTTACGAAAACGACGCTATCCCAAGGGAACGAACAGTGACAGGACATAAACGCCATCGCGCCATGCCTCCCGCGCGGGGAGCGGCCTTCTCGGACGATCCTCGCGGGTACCCAGCTCACTTCGATCCACCTGAGTCTGTTACCAACGAAGTGCTACAAGGTCTTGGATACAAAAAAAAAAGGACCCACAGTGGAGAGGGGAGAGAGCGGGCAATCCGGGTTTGCCTGCATCGCGATCCCCAGACGTGGACGGACATAACATTCCCTTTTTTCACGACAGCCTGTGCACCGGTGCAACCGGAGTGGGTTGACCGGCTGAGGCCAGGAAAAGCCTGGCACCGGCTTGTATGGAAGCACGGTCTCGTATACATGCCTACATGGCTGACAATTGCAGTGAGAAACTATGACACGATGTCATGCCAGCATGCCACCCCGAGGGAAGAACAGAAAGAAGAAAAAAAAGGGGGGCTGCAGCTAGCCGGTGCGGTGCCGGGTTGGTGCGCACATCGACCTGCAGAGTCGCGAGAGTATGCTCTACCTACACCAACAACAGAGTAGGAGTTCAGCGGTAAGCAGGTACCTGAAGTAAAGGTATCCGGACATGTATGGCTAGGTGGACTTTACCCGGAGGCAAAGCCTACCGTGGCGCCGTGTCGTCCCGTGTCGCCCCGTGTCGCCCCGTGCGCGCAGGATGGGACCCCAATGGACCAGCCCGTGCGGCCATGGAGATGCAGATGCTGACATATAAATAACTACCTAAGCAGTGCCCACGTACCCCCTTGCGCCGGCCAGGAGGCGAGCAGGAGACAGCGAGGGAATCAATTTCGGCGATGGAACGTCGCGATCTTGCCCACGTATGGTTACTTTCCTCCTTGTTGTCGTTCTCGATCTCTCACGTTCTCGCCTAACGCCAAAATAGCTCGCGAGTCTCGATTCGTCCTGCTGGAGCACCCTTGCCTACGTCGGCGGTTTGGGGGGGGGGGGAATACGAAGGAAGTGCGCCGCACGCACATACGCCATGTGTGCGAGTATTGGCGTCGCCGACTTGGCGAGCTGGTATTGCCCCTTGCGCTGCTGTGCGGGATGCGATGGATGTGCTGGCGAGACTCCAAACTGCACATATTTAGGTATAGTACATCAGATAGGTACCTACCCGCCTGCCTACCCATAGGTACTGTCGTATGTACTTAGACGGCTTGCCTGTTTCCCGTACCTGGGTCGCGCGGTCTAGTGATCTATGGACGCACGCATGTCTCAATAAACACGCCCAAAAATCGATGTGAGCTCGCCAATCCGGAGATTGGGAATCGTTGGCAGCGCCTATCTTGGAAGGGGGGAGAGGGGGGTTCTCCCATAGGACGAGATTCGGGATGAAGGCGTCTCCCCAATGTAACCTAAAGGAAGAGCCTAGGGGCGAAACTAGCAGTTCTAGAGCAGCGGGACGCGGGCAGACGGGGAAATATTGCCATATTATTTGTTTAAAGGAGGGAGCTGAAGGAGGAGGAGGGGAGGAGGAAGAGGAGGAGAGGGGAGCAGGCGGGGGAGCGGGGGCGAGAACGAGCATCTCAGGCCGATGGAAAGCCCGTCGCCCTTCCACACCTGCTCGTTCTAGCACCACCACGCAGCTGCATAGGGAAGTGGTAACTGATCCATTAGGGACCTATATTGCCTACATACACATCGATAAATGTACTCAGGCATGCCTCAGGTCGGGGACCGTCCGCCACTCACACACTGGGGTAGCAGTGATGCAGCACGATACTACGCCTGCGCGCGTATGCGAGTCCCCGACTCTGACCAAATAGGTACCTCCTAGGTTCACCCATGTACTGCCCAGCGAGGTACCTGCGTACCTGGCAAAGTACTATGGACCTTACGTGGTAGGTGCCTCTCCCACTAACCCGAGACAACTCCCAATGTGGAAATTGCCTTACTTAGGTACCTGGGGTACCCGTAGGCACCGGTCGAATGTGCTGAATGTGCTGAATGTGCTGAGTGCTGAATGTGCGCCTTCTTCCGCGCCGCGCCGCGGCGGCCGCTCTCGCGTTCGCATAAAAGGCTCTCGACGATACCTCCCTCCAAACTTAGGTCACCGGTATCTACCGTACTTATTTTATCAGGCTCGATTCAACTCAAGTAATAAACTATAAGAGGAGGTATGTAGAAGGTAATTTATGTGACGTACTCGTCGGATCTACCTACTATACATATATATTACCATCTACGTATATATATTCGGGATATACCTACAAGATATCCGTGGGCCCCGGCGTCTGCTAAGACTTAGGCAAAAGCTTAACCCTCGCCAACCTCGCACCCGCGCGCCCCTCTCTCCACCTGAGCATATTACCTAGGTATAGGCACGGACGGCGTCGGTCTAGGAGGACTCGGGCAAGGGGCAGGAATCAATTCATCTTGCGTCTTGCGTCTTGGTCTTCTTGGCTTCCCATGAGGCTCCAAGCCGGCCGTGTGCTTCGCAATTCTGTCACGGGTCTGGACAGGTTCTTCTCGGCTGCCTCTTGGCTCATCGTCAATGCGAGCGACGTGTCACAAAATACCTCAACGCTCTTTACCTACCTACTTAAGGTATAACTTGCGCCCTCGTATCTCCGGTGCTTGCCTGTCTGCCTACGATTGCATCTGTGATGACATAGGTAAGTCTTACTGTATGTATACCTACCTACATATTGCAGGTGAGATTAGGTGGGAGGTAGGCATGTCGTGACAGCGCACTCTGCTCACTCTTCCCAACTCGTTAGGCTTGTCTATCCGACATCATATTAGAACGGTCCCAACCAATATGCCTACCTACCCCTACGTCTACACCTAGTTTTTTTCCCCCTCTCTCTGCTCCATGTAAGACCATCATGGCACCACACTTAGAAGAACATCATAGCGCGCCCGCCAAGTAACGGCACAGGTATCGGCGCTGTCAGCAGATGGCTCTTCGTAGAGGCCTGTTCTAACAGCAGAAGACCCATCGTTATCGCCCTCCATCTTGGATAACTAACCTAAGGCGGAGAAGAGAACCTTATTCAAACCTCTCTCGAGAAGGAGAAAGGTTCGCTTACGTGATACGCACTATGTACCTGAACCGTCTTAATCAGATAATCGCTCCTGCTTATCGCATCCCTATACTATTAGCCGTTAGTCGCAAGCGCGCTACGCATTAATCCCAAGGCCCGCTGCCCGGAGCCAAGACTATGATGACTGTTTTCGATATATCCGGAGGCCTGCCGGGAAGAATTAGTCACATCGCACTGTGGCTAGAAGGACACGAGCAAAATTCGTCGTAGGGAAGCTAAAGAAGAAAAGCGTACAAGAGGGAAAGAAGGAATAAAAACCAAAGGAGGAAAAAAAAGGACTCACGCGAATTGGGACTAAAGCCATGTCTGCACACGATGACCATATCCTCACGCTTTCCTGTCCGGACAAGCCAGGTATTGTCCACGCCGTCACCGGGCTCCTGGCGAGTCATGGCCTGAACATCCTCGACCTACAGCAATTCTCGGACCCGGGGTCCAACAAGTTCTTCATGCGGGTGCACTTCAGCCAGGCCCGGTCGACGGCCGACCTGGACGGGCCCATGGCGAAGCTCTCGTCCGAGTTGGCCATGGACCAGTACGACCTGAGGCCGGCGGGCAAGAAGCCGCGGGTCCTGATCATGGTCTCCAAGATCGGGCACTGCTTGAACGACCTGCTCTTCAGGGCCAAGACGAACCAGCTCGGCATAGAGATCCCCCTGATCGTGTCCAATCACCCGGACTTCAAGCCCCTGGCCGAGAGCTACGGCGTCCAGTTCCACCACCTCCCGGTGACCAAGGACACCAAGCTGGAGCAGGAACGGCAGATCCTAGACCTCATCCGGAAGAACGACATCGACCTCGTCGTGCTGGCGCGCTACATGCAGGTCCTCAGCCCGGGGCTGTGCGAGGCGATGAGCGGCAAGATCATCAACATCCACCACAGCTTCCTGCCCTCCTTCAAGGGGGCGAAGCCGTACCACCAGGCCTACGACCGCGGGGTCAAGATCATCGGCGCTACCGCGCACTTTGTCACGGCGGACCTGGACGAGGGGCCCATCATCGAGCAGAGGGTGGCGCGCGTGGACCACAGCATGAGCCCCAAGGAACTGGTCGACGAGGGTAGCAACGTCGAGAGTCAGGTTCTGGCCGCGGCGGTCAAGTGGTGGAGCGAGAAGCGGGTGTTCTTGAACGGACACAAGACCGTCGTCTTCAATTGAACCGATCCGAATGGAGCCACCGCAGACCATCACCACCTCACCTTCCCTCTCTCCTCTCGCTCCGTCGCGGCGCGTACACTGGGACCCCGACTCGGCATCGGCATCTGTGTCGTCTTTCCGGGGCCATTGAGGGGGGTGGGGAAGGGCGCCGAATAGCGCAGAGACAAAACTGGTTCTCGGTTTTTGCGATTGAGACACGGGAGTCGGCTTGGTTATCGGATAGACGGCGCAACTGTTGAAACGTGGCCCCAGACATCGGACAAAAATGGGAGCAGGAGAGGAAATAAGACTGAAGACGAGATCGCCGGTAGATCTTTTCGGGCACTAATAGAAAAGCGAATGAAGGTATCACTTGCATCTGCGGTCCTGCGGGACAGCCCATGGCGACATAACATGTGACCTGGGAGATTACGATCAGTGAGTAAGGCAAGGTTAATAAGTGAGCCGGTAAGCAAGTAGGTAAGCCGATCAGCAGCAACTGTTCCTCTTTTTGTTTACTTCATTTGTAAACCCCCTTGAGGAAGAACAAGTCGAATATTATGCCGCGACAAGTTTCACAGCCTACGGTGGCCCCGCAGCCCTCGATGGTTTCGCAACCCGCCATCCCTCCTACCAAGTCGTCGCGCCTGGCTCGGCTATGCGGTCTTTCTAGACAGGTATCGATTCCATTACCGAAACCGAGGCACGGCAGGGAGTAAAAGACGAAAACAAACAAAGGGGGAGAAAAAAATAACAACCACCAAACGACACCACTCTATACCTAACCTACCTACGTGAAAGGGTGGAAGACGAAAGGCAATTATCAGTCAGCTTACAGAGTAGACATTTCAGCGCTGGGCTACCAAGGCTCGTTGGCTGGCACCGCCCTCCGCACATCTTCCTGGGCGTAATCGTGCATTTACCGCGGATGGGTCTTCACGTCGGCCATATATGAGCAGCTTGTTGATCGGTGCTCCGTTGGCAACGCAGAGCTAGGTCGACCCCAGCAGGAGCCCCGGTTCCGACATGGATGTCTTCGGCTCTCTCGGAATGCACATGGACGGCGACAGGCTGCGTGGCGCGTAGCACTGCGCAGTAAATTACTCACCTAACCTGCCTTGCTTGCTAAGCGTGTACGTGTATGAGTGGGCAGGTTGGCCAGCCCCCAAGCGAGAGCCAGGAGCTGCCAGCGGGTGGCATAGATAGGTAGTAGTATAGGCAAGGGGGAGGCGCGAATACCAAGGAACTCGACTAGATCACATGCATTCATGCCTGGATCTTGCTCATAACGCACACCTACCTACAAAGAAGGCCCCTCAGGTATATGCTTGCAGCGCCAGGCTAAAAGGTAGGCAGCGCAACTCGTAGAGTGCGAGTTGTGAAGCTGTACCTACACACACCCACCTGGCACGGGGATGAAATCCGGGACGAAATACCCGTGGGTACGCTACCGCCTACACCCTGTATTTACCGGGTTAGAACCTCTCTGTAGAAGCCCCGGAGCCTGTGACAGGTAGCTGGTTTTCTGTGGAAGCCACCAATAGAAGCACACATGCATGCAATTACCAGCAATTGCCCGTCGGGTCAATAGGCAGAGGAAGCGACGGAAGCAGCAAAGGAAGGAAGGCGCAAAGAAAGAATGGACCCGAACCGCAGCTTTTCTGCGGGTACCGAGTCCCGTCGACGTCGCACAACGATGTCACCGCCCACTTGAACCTGCATTTTTAGGTACTCTAGACACCTGTAGGTACCTACCTAACCCAGGGGAGCTAAACCTAATGCTCCCCATCCGCCCTGATCCCTTCCCGCTGTCTCTCCCTCTTTCCGACCCTGGGGGCGGATTAGATTGCCACATGCCGCCGAAGCACACGGTAACGGCCCCTTAAAAAGACAGTAAGAACACACCTGTTCACTGCTGCTACCGCCCCCATTCCCCCCAATTCATCGTCAGAAGCCCACACTGTCGTTGTAAGCACTCATGGGGCAAGAGTCTTTCTCTCATCCGATTCAACTTAGCAATTAGGTAGGAACAGACTCTGGCACTTGCCCCATGTGCCCTGCTCCACTCCCGTCATCGTCCCACCGGGTCATCGCCCATTGCGATCTCACCCTCGTCAATTCGATTCGGCTACACCCAACCTCTTCCTCCTCTTCCCTTCTCTTTCCCCCCCTCTCCCAGACTACGTCGTATTTGCCCCAATGCACCTTAGTTAGGCCGTATTCAAGTCCATTAGCATCGCTTCGTCCATTCTCTCTGCAAAAATGCCCATTATGCCTATCATGCAAATTCGCAATCCCTTTGCCAGGCGCTCTGGCTTGCTGAATGGTGCCGAGGTCAAGGACGAGAATGTCCCGCCCGGCTTAAGTCCCTCAGAATCCGCCCAGGCCGGCTTCGAGAAGGTCGACACCATCGGCTCCATGACGTCTTCGGCCCTGAGCATCCGCAGCGCGAAGGGCCGCGACAATGGAGACTACAAGATGAGTGGTTAGTTTGCGAACTCTAGTTCGCGCCCATCCCGACTAATTGGTCTCGCGACTCCAGTGGTGAATGACAGCGGAGTTTATCTGCCGGTACGGGCCCGCCCATCTCCTACCCCGAACCCACGTCCCCGCGGCCACATGCTGAACTTACACGTCCTTCTCTAGCCCTCACCAGTAGATGACAAGAGCCTCTGGCCAAGGCGTTCGGTGGCCTCTCGAACCTCGGTCGACACCCGCAGCAGCCTCGGCGACATTGAGCACTTTTCCATCTCCCGCGAATCTTTCGACTCCTACCGCCGCTCCTTTGTACGTCGCACCACCCTCTGGCTTCGGCCAAAGCTTTTCCCGTCTAAATATAGAACTAACCGTGTTTCCAGGACATCTCGGCTAGGTCACCAATCGCGGTCTACGACCGACCTCGCCAAAGCCTCGACTCTGCGGTATTTCCTCGACTGCCGAGGACGCCGATCCGACACCGTCACTTTGACCAGGAACCCCCGACGCCCGAAGAGGGATTTGAGGACGTCGGGCTTAACGATGACCAGAAGCAAGCCCAGCCGAAAAAGAGGGGTTTCTTTGCCAAGTTTTCCGAGCCGCAAGAGCCCAGTGCGCATCCCCCTCCGGGAATGGGCATGTCCAGATTCATTCCGGGGCGAAAACGAGCACAGAGCGGCCAGGGGTCGGAGTTGGGCAGTATCGAGCGGCCTAGGTCGCGCCAATCCGTCGACGAACAGGAAGCGCAGTAATTATCTTGTACGAGCTTACGCGGGGAGGACATGCATCCATGATTTTACGGCGTTTGGGTGGTTTCGGGTGGGGGCAGGGGGCACCGTGATATCCGTTTCGTGAGCAATCGCTTGCCCCCCCCCCCTGGCTTGGCGGAAATGTTAAGCCTAGTCGTTCGCTTTGGCACATCACGAGCTGACGGATAATGAGGGGGCAAGGACGGGCGAGCCAGCATGAGGAGATGCTGGGTAATTTGGGCACGCTGAAGAGAAAGCAGATAAAGTAATGACTTACAAGGGGAGCTGGGGGTGATGATGGGTATATTCCATATATGCTATGGAAGAATCGGATACCAGCTCGTATTGCCCGAGTACAATAACGGTTTCTGGGCCGACCTACCTTGAGTACCTTAGGTACCTACCTAGGTACCTACCTGCCTCTTAGGCGTGTAGCTTAGATATAGGTAGCTGATAGGTGGTGGGTAGTGCTGCAATTACAGTGCTTCTGCTTCGTCGCTGCATGTACGTCTGGCCCAACCTTAGGCACGTCGGCAACCTAGAAGCTTATCATTAAGTTTATATGGCATCTCATTGCTGATCACAAAGGTATTCAGCCGGGATTCATGTAGTTATCGAGGCTAGGGCGATTGAGAAATATTCCCTACAATTCAATAAAGGGAGGGGCGATAGTCGATGGAGGGGTTAAGTTTGGCTGGACCCGAAGAAAAAAAAAATACCGCCGGAAAGTGAAATAGGTAGATATTTTAAGCTTATCACCATCGTCATTATCGATTACTTTCCCCATCACTTTGGCGTGCCTTATCGAGCGATGCTCACCTCGCCCGCTCACCAAACACGCCCGGTTACTAAAGCCAATACGATTCTCTCGTCTCGCCCGCGTACATAGGTGCCCATCATCATCATCATATCGTCGTCGTCGCCGTCGGCATTCCCATCGCCATGGCGCCCCGACGACCGGATAAGAAGAAGTCGAAACACCGGCAGCCGGCGGGGGCGGTCTCGCCGCAGGCGCTGGTGAGGGCGGCCGAGGCGCAGCTGCAGGAGGGCAACGTGGGCGAGGCGGCGGCGCTGGCGGAGAAGGCGCTGGCGGGGTCGGCGGCGGGGTCGGACGGCGAGCTGGCGGCGCGCGGGCTGCTGGGTCAGATCGGGCTCGAGGCGGGCAACTTCGCAGCGGCGCGGGCGCACTTCCTGCGCGCGGCGGCGCTCGACCCGGACGGGTCCCGCGACGAGGCCTCCGGCGGCGGGCCCGACACGTTCCTGTGCCTGGCGCAGCTGAGCGAGGAGGGCGGGCGCGACAGCGTCGCGTGGTTCGAGAAGGGGGCGGCGGCGCTGCGGAAGCGGATCCGGGGGCTCGAGGAGGATAAGGAGGAGGCGCGGCGGCCGGGGCTCCTCGCGGAGCTGCGGCGGAAGCTGGCGGCGACGCTGTGCTCGGTGGCGGAGGTGTACATGACGGACCTGTCGTGGGAGGCGGAGGCGGAGGCGCGGTGCGAGGCGCTGGTGACGGAGGCGACGCTGGTGGCGCCGGAGAGCGCCGAGTCGTGGCAGACGCTGGCCAACGTGCGCATCTCGCAGGCGCGGGCGGGCGACGCGCGGGCGGCGCTGGCGCGCAGCCTCGAGCTGTGGCGCGACCTCGCGCCCGCCGACCCGGCCGTGCCCGACTACGCGAGCCGGGTCGGGCTCGGGCGGCTGCTGATGGAGGTCGCGATGGAGCGCGAGGCGCTCGACGTGCTCGAGCGCCTCGTCGCTGAGGACGACGAGAGCGTCGAGGTCTGGTACCTCGGCGGCTGGGGGCTCTACGTCATGGGCGAGAAGAAGCGCAAGGACGCGGGCGCAGCGCCGTCGTCGCCAGCTGACGGCGGGGCTAAAGGGAAGGAGGCCGAGGATAGGGGCGAGGACGAGGATGAAGAAGAAGACTGGGGGGCGCTGTGGACGTCGAGCCGCGTCTGGCTCAACCAGTGCCTCCACCTGTACAAGCTACAAGATTACGAGGATGACCGGCTCGGCGAGCACGCGGCCGAGCTCCTCGCCGAGATCGCGAAGGAGCTAGGCGAGGCGCCGGCCGGCGAGGACGATGGCGAGGACGACTGGGAGGACGAGGAGGATAACGACGAGGAGATGCAGGGCTAGGTTGTCTCCTGGTACCCTGGAAGTATGCAGACCGGCTATATTACGAGAGGAGGAGGGGGCAAGGGGCAAGGGGCAAGGGGCGAGATGATACCACAGTCTCTTAGGGCATATATTGCAGTGTTCCGGCTAAGCAGGGCGGCGTTTGGGATCAGAGAAAATAAAGGAGCGCAACAGATGATGCACATTTCCGGTTGTACTCTTCTTATAGGTATAGACTGCGGAAAACCCCTAGCATGTTCTGCCTCGAACGAGAAAAGAGGGAGAGAGAGAAAGACCTCTTTTTTTGGATCCCCCCTCCCCCCTTAGCACGCCTAAAACTCCGAGAAATGCTCTACTGCAAAACAAATGCAGGAATAAGCCAAGCAGGCAGTCCATCGCCATCGCCATCGCACATCAAACCAGGTCCCTGCACACACCACCACACCTCCCCCCACCCCCTCGCTCATTCCTCGACCTTGAGCTTCCCGACGCGCTCGGTCGGGACGTCGGGGTCGTCGTCGGGGTCGACCTCGGCCTCGGCCTCGTCGCCCCTGCCCGCGAGGCCGCGCTCCCAGAGCTGGCGGCCGGTGAGGCGGGGGGGTTCTTTAGCAGCGGCGCGGGGGCGCTTGGCGTCGGCGAGGCGCAGGTCCTCGTCGTCGCGGGCGCGGCGCTCGTCCATCTCGCGGCGGAAGGCGTCGCGCCAGCGGGCGAAGCTGGCGGGCGTGACGGGGTCGCCGTGGAACTTCTGGTTCTCGGCGCGCTCGGCGGCGCGCGCGGCCTCGTCGCGCGCCGCGGCGGCGGCCGCCCGCCGCGACGCCACCAGCTGCTCCGCCGCCTCCTTCACCGCCGTCACCACCGTGAACACCATCGCCATCCCCAGGCTCTCCCGCACCGCCGCCTCCACCCCCGCCAGCAGCGCCCCCTTGTCCGCGCCCACCGAGAACTCCGGGTGCGGCGCCGCCCCCGCCGCCGGTAGCAGGTCTAGCACCGGCGCCTCGTCCGGGTACGCCTCCGGGTACTGCACGTGCAGGATCAGCGTCGGCGGCTCGCTGGCCCCCGCCGCGGCGTCGCTGTCGTCGTCGGGTAGGTCGAGCTTGATCGCGATGCGGAACTCCGAGTCGGAGATATCTGCGCGCTCGGGGGGGGATAGGTTAGCCCGAAGTTTGTCTTCTCTCCCAGGTATCGCCGTGCCCTGCGCGTTGCGGGGGGGGGCGACGGGTAAGGGCAGGGAGGGGCAGAGAGGAGGGAGGGCGACGAGGGGGGAAACGAACCGGTGATTTCGTCGGGGAAGATGGAGGCGAGGACCTCGCGCTCCTCGGCCTGCTCTTCCTTGCCCATGCTTGCGTGATGGGACTGGCGATGACCAGTCTCGGCGGGTGTTCGTGGCTGCGGTCGCGAGAAAGGGTCATGGCTCTGCAGTCTGGTCGTGTAGTGGGAGAACTTGGGTGCCAGACCGACCCCGCCTGCAGGGGCAGGCAGGGGCAATTAGGTAAGTAAGGGCAGAATTCTTAGCGCGGGGTTTAATGGAACAAACCATGTTAATGTTGTAACTGCGGGATAAAAATATTCAATGTTGATTGATTTAATCCCTTATCGAGATGATGACGTTAAACTTAATACTGCCAAGTTGAATCCGTAGGTACATTGCCTGTTTTGGGTATGGAAACACTTTTATACTGTCAAAAATAGGTACCCTTCTGTGTCTCGTCGTTTACTCGTTTCTCTCCGATTCATCTCGATAGCGAGTTCTTCCCTGTTGTAGTTCGGTTCTCTCTTGGTGTCGTTGGTGCGTACTTGTTTAGAGCTACGCGATAGAGAGCTCTTGTTGTTGGTTACCCAGGTAGTTTGTTGCGCTGTTTAGGTCTTCCTCTGTAGAGAGAACCATCATTAGCAAACTCGGGAAATACCGAATTACTAGGGGCAGAATAAATGAGCATTTGATGACTTCGTGTCTCTAGTCAGCGATAGCGCACGTTGGAAGACTTCGAGAATAACCACCTTCCACTTTCTGTCCCAGCACCCGGGACGACTTGAAGAGTAGCGATTGTTGGAATGTTGGCAAACTTTCCCCAAAGCGTCACCCGCGAACTACTACTAGAAGGACACTACTACTAGCTACTAACAGTCTTAATAGCATCAAGGAGTGGCCGCGGAAGCGCGACGTTGACATCTCTTATACCTAATAGTGGTACCCCGTGCTGACCCCCAAGGTTCCAAGAGCATGAATGCGGAAATCAGATGGTTCGGCATGGCCACCCCCCTTTCCTGTTACATACCTAGGGGGGAATTTTGAACCTGATATCCCGAAGTGACCCGGTTCTGCGTGTTCGGGGCTCTACAAAGACCTCTCGTCGCGACAGGTTCACCTACAGCTGCGAATCTGGGAGTACAATCTCTACCAGCCCGACCTGACTCCTGCAATCTATGATCCTACTCATGCGCAGGCCAGCTCTAGCGATGATGTCACGGAAGTCGCTTGGCTTGCGTTCGATACCATTGATAATCGACATCATGGCTAGGTCGCGCTGGTGGGACCAGCGTGTATAGTAGCCAAAGTTGGCCGGCAAAGGCGCCGGGGCCGAGGGCACTTCGGGGAATCCGTTGGTGGTGTTCATGACTTGGTCGCTACGGGGCACAACATGTTAGCGGCCGGGCAAACGCCAAGGGGTGCCTCGAGAGCACATATTCAGGGGCATCTACCAAACCAATATCCGGCTTCGTGGCCCCATCGCGGGTTTGATCGCAGCTAGTATGCGGACGCAGTACTCGTCGGACCAGTCGTGTAAGACATAGCGCAGCCAATAAATATCGGCCTTCTCGACCGGGTTTTGCTGGAAGAAGTCATGGGGGACAAACTTAACCCGGCCAGCCTCTATCGCGGCTGGGTTTTCGCGGGGCCAAACCTCAGCCTCGGCTTGCTTCAAAACCGGCGCCCGGTCTTGGACAATGAAATTGAGTTTCGGATATATGCGGGAGAGCTGGATACTGAAGCCGCCTAGATCATGCTTGAGTTAGCAAGTAGCCGAAAGCGGACGCAGGGGAACCGGAAGAGAGCAGCGGGCTAGAAGAGAAGAGCATTGGGAGCAAGCCCATACATACCAACGCCCCCGCCAACATCTACCACCGTGGCTGTTCCGAGGGATGCCCAGGGGTAATCTAAGAGAATCCGAGTAAGCGACTTGGCATCTCGAGTTTATCTAGGCTTGCTTCTCTTACCATATAGATGGGCCTGACCCAGAACCTTGCCACCCCCAAGCATCGCAAGCCCGAAAATGGCAAGCTCCGGGCGAGCTACGGTGGCGTTCGCTGCCGCATCCTTGACCAGTTTCTCAAATTCAGATCCGAAAACGCCGGGATAGGCGCTCAGTTGGCCCCCAGAGCCGTGGCGGCCTGCTTGCACATCGCTCAACTTGACTCGCTCCTCCAGCCAGTCCCACCGAGCCTTCGGCGTCCTGAGTGTGTCTTGCCACGGGGTTACCTCCACGGCATAGGACGCACCCTTGCTCGGGTCGCTGAGATAGTGCGGCAGATACGCGGAGCTACTATAGATATCGAGCGCACTGGAAGGCTTTGCGAGTTAGCGCCTCTCGGCTTAACAGGGTCGTGGTTGGGCCGCCACCGGGAAACCGAGGGACACGTACAATAGCATAATATAGGCGCGCAAAGACTCATTATGAACCAGTGATGCCGAAACCCTGTTGTTGGCATACACGTCGTCGCCTACTGCGGCAAAAACATGGTTGGAGCATAGACATCGCATCACACGAGCTAAGACGGGGATATTAAAAAAAAAATCAATCAGTCAATTACCAAAACCATACAAGGGTGGCTGTGATCTACAAGCATAGCCAGGCCATTCCGAATGACGAGGCAGGACGGGGGTAGGCAAACGTACAGAGCTTCCTTGACTCGATTCCGACCCGACTTGCGAGCGTCTCGATGTCCAGCCCCTTCTCTCCGTTCTCGTCTAGTATGTCGGGAACGCGCTTATCCGCGACAATGTGGAGAGCTCGAGCCTCGAAGTACTGCATCGAGAGCTCGACGAGACGCATAGACGGGTCGCTGACCAGCTCTACAAGAGACCCAGCGGCCGAGAGCAGCTGCCTCTGCGCCTCAAACACAGGCCTAGATGGTAGGGTCCCTTCTGGCTTTCCGGGGGCATGGCGCTGGGCTACGTATTGCGCTATGGAAGACTGTATCAGCCCTCCAAGCTGCAACAGCTTATAATCGGTGTCGTCGAATCTGATAGGCATTGCGGGTCTGAAGTTGCTCGGTTGTCGTGTACCTAACTATATTGCCAGTCTCAGCAACTGCCCGGGGGCTCAAGGGCCTATATATACTCCCTTCTCGTCGAGAATGGGCTCGGGCTGGAGCTATCGAGCCGAGGATTTACGTGACTAAGCCGTCAGGTGCTACTCCTCCACGTCAGCGTTCCTTACCCCAGACCCTCGTACGCCGACCTTCCTACCTCGGGGAGACGCATGTCAGAAGAAAAGACGAGTTAAAGCGGCGTTCTTGTCGTAGCGAGCTCGAATCCGAGCTCTCCTCAGCTTGCTCCTCTCTTACACGCATCGACCCCTCCCTGACCCTCCTCTGCTTGTTCCACGTCATGAAACATGCTCTAGATAGCCTTTGTCTACTATTTAACCAAACACCCAGGACAACGGCTTCCGCCCGCTACGTGTCATAACGCGATGGGCTTGGAAGAACGAGAAATCTGAAGCAGGTGAAGGCAACGTCAAGGGACGCTTAGTTAGGTAGGTACCTACCTATGTCACAGCACCCTGGAGAGAGGCGGTCACTTAGATGGCTCACAATCAACTCGGGGCCTGTATAACTCGAGTATGACCGACTCTTAACAATGGAATTAATAACTCGTGTTACCTGCACCTCCTTAATGGAGGCCCTCCTAAGTGCCCTAACAGGGTGCGGCGCGGCAGCTAGAGAACCCGAGCGGCTTTCTCTTCGCCGACTAACGAAGGGTTTAGCTAAGCCGAGCAAGCTTAAAGTTGCTGCCTCCCCCGCCCCATTTTCTCCATAGAGACTCGCTACGCCGGGGGGCCATGTCATGGCCCCAGAAGTTGACGAGGGAGGCCATAAATGAAGGTGGGTACCTAGGTAATAATCGAGATACCTAAGAATGAGGTGGGTAGGTATAATTCATGAACGGCTCACACGGATAATATATATTTACCTGACGTTTATTCACCTCCCCTACCCCACCCTATAGCGATCCTTTGCGGGTGAGTCGGGTTAGAGGATGAGGTGAGGTTCAGATGGCAGATCGTCGGTTTTGTGGAGAGTGACGTGGGGGACAACTGTGAAACCAGGAGTACAGGTGCGAGGTCGGTACCAGGCCTCATCTCACCGCCTGGCAGAATAACAGACCCACTTAAAAATTTCGAGTTTTCTTAGTAACGAGGTTCTTAGAGAAGTGGCAGGTATCGCTAAGGGACTCGCACTTACCTACCTGTAGTTAACCCGTTGAACGATATAGTCTAGACTATTTTTTTTCTCTCCTGTCATGCCCTCTGCGCCGACATCGTGAATTAACCACCTCCCACCTCCCCTTTCCCCCGACTCGCCCTCGATCGATTCAGCCATGGCGCCCGAGGATGGCAGCCCGGGAGGCAAGAGGAAGTTCGCCAATGGTGGCAGTAAGGACCACTTAAACAAGAAGCCGAAATACGACCAGCCGCTTCGGCGGGGGGACAAAGCAGAGAATAGTTACAACAAGGGCGAATCCGGCAGATTCTGGGACCGAAAGAACAGCAGTGCTTCCCTGAGGGAGGCGAAGTCGCAAAAGAATGACAACCTACCCAACCGGTCGAAATCCGATGACAAGCAGGCCGGGAAGGTCTTCGAGAGAGGTGGGCCAACGCACTGCGCGGGCGCGCCGCCTGTTTTCGAGCCGATTTTCGATAGCTAATGCCAAACCGAAACAGGCCAAAACTCCCAGGAATCCCACATGATACAGAAACAGCTCGCCCAGGAGCGCAAATCTCAGAAGCCCCTGGCCGACGAGCTGCATAAGGCCAAGAAGCTTTGGGAGAGGTTAAGGCGCAGGTCCCACGTGCCCAAGGAGGAGCGCGAGAAGCTGGTGAGGGAGCTCTTCGAGATCGCCACTGGTCGCATGAAGGAATTCGCCCTCAAGCACGACGCCGTCCGCGTCGTCCAGACCGCCATCAAGTACTCCACCCCCGAGCAGCGCAAGATGATCGCGAGGGAGCTAAGGGGCGCGTACCCCACATTAGCTGAGAGCAAATACGCAAAATTCCTCATCGGAAAGCTCCTCGTGAAGGGCGACGACGAGATCCGAGACATGGTCGTCCCCGAATTCTTCGGGAAGGTCCGGAAGCTTATCAACCACCCCGAGGCTTCTTGGATCCTCGACGACGTCTACCGCGGCGCCGCCACCAAGGAGCAGAAGGCCATCCTGTTGCGGGAGTGGTACGGACCCGAATTTCATGTTTTCCGACAGGCCCAGGACGGCGCGGCTCCGCCTTCGGCTGACCTCTCCCCGATCCTCGAGGAACGGCCGAACGGCCGGGGTCCGATCATGAAATATCTCCGCGACATGACCAACCAGCTGGTCCAGAAGAAGATGACGGGCTTCGCCATGTTGCACGACGCCATGTACCAGTACTTTCTCAACGCGAAGCCGGGCACCGAGGAGGCCAAGGAGTACATGGAGATGATCAAGGACGACGAGAGCGGTGACCTGCTCAAGAATATGGCCTTCACCAGGTCCGGCGCTCGACTCGTGTGTCTACTCCTCGCATACGGCGGCGCAAAGGACCGGAAGCAGATCCTTAAAATGTACAAGGATACCTTTCCACTGATGGCAAGCGATCCCCACGGGCACTTGGTCATTCTCGCCGCGTACGACCTGGTCGACGATACTGTCCTCACCTCCAAGTCCATCATCACCGAGCTGGTAGGCAAGACAGAGCAAACGGGAGGTTCCAACATCGTAGCCTGCGCCAACGATTCCAACGCGCGGCTTACCATAAGATATCCCCTCGAGGGCCCCTCCAAGGCGCTCTTCGATCTGGGCCACGCAGACGAGCTCAAGTTTCTGGAGGAGATCTGGGAGATCCGGAAGACCACGAGCAAGAAGGAGGCTGAAACCCGCCGGAAAGAGCTCGTGGCTGCGTTATCACCGCCCCTGTTGGCCGCCATCGCCTCGTCGCCGCTAGACCTGATCTCTACTTCCTTCGGATCTCAGATAGTCGCCGAGGCGCTCCTCTCCTGTGTCGGAGACAAATCCGAGGCATTGCAGGCGATAGCATCCGCCGCGGACGGGGATCCCGGTGAAGGCGCCGAGACAGCAGATCGACCCGAGGAGTCCGCGGATGGGCCTCCCATCGGCGTACACATATCTAGGACTCCCCACGGCGGTCGTATGTTCAAAACTTTAATAGCGGGCGGCCATTTCGACAAGAAGTCGCGCCAGGTAATTCCCGTCGACCCTCCTCTCCATTTCGCAGATATCCTTTACCCCGTCATCAAGGACCACGTCTTGTCCTGGGCGACAGGACCGAGCTCATTTGTAGTGGTCAGCCTCCTAGAAGCAGAGGACTTCTCCCACCAGGACGAGCTCCGGGGTATACTAAATAAGAACGAGAAGATACTAGAGAAGGCGGCAACGGAGGAGACGGAAGCGCAAAGGGCAGCAGCAGAGGCGGAGGCCAATGGCCAAGACAAATCGGCAAAGAAGAGAAAGGGCAAGAAATCAGAGCCAAAGGGGCGGCCGGTTGGCAATATGGGCTCCAAGATATTACTAGAGAAGCTGAAGACCTAGCCACCAGCTAGCTAACTACCTATCTACCTACCTACCTAGGTACCTACCCATCTGTGCTCCATTCCATAGGCTCCACCCCATAGGCTGTTAAAATCTACATTGTCCTTAAGGGCTACTGTTTTGTATATATGTCCAACAGCCATCGTTTCAGCCAGGGACAGTGGATAGATCCTACATAGGGGTATTAAGTATTTCCGAACGCCATGTTTAGCTTGATTCGTTTTCTCCTTGAGCAAGTCAATAGCTGGGAATGCTGGCGAGGCTGTTTCTGCATGTTCCCTGTGGGTTAATACGCCCAACGTGTATTACAGATACCAACGCCTGGCAAGTCTAAATCGGGATGGGATGCCTATGTTAACGGGACAACGTACTCTTGAACGGCCACAGTTTTGAATCATTCAGTACGCACTAGTTAGGTTTGGTGTAATACCATACAACCAACAAGCGAGTTCTTATACCTGCTTACTTGTGTTTACATTTCCCTGAACTTCCTTGAACCACCACCTTGAACCAGCAGACACGAAGCCCATGACTTTAGATACTTGCCGAATGTTACATCACATAGATCATCACACGAGCGTTTACTACAGTGTTGCTTCATACAGAGTTCGATTTCTCTTATCTCGTACTTCTCTTTGTCGTGCACGTGCTTCTAAGCGTAGCTCTCCCCCAAAAGTTATATGACAAACGGCAATAATTGAATTAAATTAATTAACAATACTATTTTATTATATGTTATGTTTGGTTAGTAAATTACCAGCAGTTATAAAGTAGTTAATATTAGAGCTACTTTCTGTTTTATTATCCCAGCTAAGACTTTCTTCCAACAATTTGCGGGGATCATCAATGGACGAATGACTTTTCTCCAACAAACTAGCCAGCTAACGCCATGACTTTGAGGGACTCGGCCGCCATGCAAGTCTCTATAGCAAACTGCGACACCCTTTCGGCCTCAAACGTACCCGATCCTGGGCCTGGTCATCTTGGGCTGGTACCGAGATGCGGCGCTTGCATGGACACCATCTTTCGACACGAGAGAGTCGTAGCATGTAAGAAATGCCGCGTCCCTCGAAAGAACGCTCGTTTCGTTGCTGACCTCGTTCTCTGGCAGTGTTGAGTAACGAAGGCTCGACTTCAAATGGCAAGAGGACGCGGCCGTTTCCCTTTCCGCAGCTAGGCTATCCCAATACACTGGTTGACGGATACCGACTTTGTCGACACCCTGCCTGTGGCATATGTGCCCGTTCGCCCGAGTGCGTCCCCATTCACCATGATTGTCTCGCCATCTTCCTCCGAGAATGCCCTCTGGCCGAGCCAAAAGCTCTTGCCCGCCTCTAGACCATCGGTTGCTATCGGAATCCCTGGCCGAAGACGCCTCTTCTCCACCTCACTCCGCAATGGCACGCCGATTGGGAGGCTAGCATAAGTTAGGGTACCCCTTCACGGACCACCCCTTCGCGGACCAGGCATTTTATATGGGGTTTATATACAAAAAGCTTATTTTAATAAAAGCCATAAAAAATCGGAAAAAAATCGGAAAAATCGGAGATTTAATTACGTAATCTAATTACTTAATAAAAATAACATATGATTTTCTTGATTTTTTTGCTTATTAATATAAGGATTTTTATACGAATTTCGTTTTTGAAAATTTTCATTAATAGTTTTATATATAATTTGTTAGTAAATCTGTTAACTATGCACTATATCGCCCTCTTTACGTATTTTATTTATAGTAATAAAGTAGGGCTATGACCTAATTATTTTTATAATAAATAAATAAAAGGTTAATATTAGCTAATCTTATTTTTTTTTATTTTTCCGATTTTTATTAAATTAAATATTAATAAAAAATACTAAATTTTGAGGTTATTTTTTGAAATTACTTTGTATGGAAAAACAGCTCCGTTAAAAAAGTCGAATTCTTACTGTGAAAATAGGTATAAAGTAGTCTTTAAAAATAACCTCAAAATTTAGTATTTTTTATTAATATTTAATTTAATAAAAATCGGAAAAATAAAAAAAAATAAGATTAGCTAATATTAACCTTTTATTTATTTATTATAAAAATAATTAGGTCATAGCCTTACTTTATTACTATAAATAAAATACGTAAAGAGGGCGATATAGTATATAGTTAATAGATTTACTAATAAATTATATGTAAAACTATTAATGAAAATTTTCAAAAACGAAATTCGTATAAAAATCCTTATATTAATAAGCAAAAAAATCAAGAAAATCATATGTTATTTTTATTAAGTAATTAGATTACGTAATTAAATCTCCGATTTTTCCGATTTTTCTCCGATTTTTTATGGCTTTTATTAAAATAAGCTTTTTGTATGTAAACCCTATATAAAATGCCTGGTCCGCGAAGGGGTGGTCCGTGAAGGGGGGGTCTAGCTTATTACGGATCATGCACATTTGCGGGCTTCCACGGCTGCAGTCTCTGCCACCAGAACTCGTGGAGCTCATCCGGCAGCTAAGTCCACACGCCCTGTTTTGGCGTGCCATCTCCACCATCAGTCTAGCTAGCAACGTCACGATCCCGCCACAGCCGTTGCTTGTATTTCCCCTGAAAGACATAGAAACCTGGAAACGTGGGGAGTCGGTCGTGCGCATCACGGAGCAAACGGGGCGATGCCGACCTATGACGCGCCTTACCGTTGACTCGGAAGGGATCCAGAAGATTGATCGGCTTCCAGCGACACCCAAGTATCGTCGCGGGGAGACGGTAAGCCGTTATGCCTACATTGTGGAAAGAGCGGAAGCTCTCTCCAGTGTACAGGCACATCTAAAGGTACGCGTACACATTCTTTGGTCGATATTGGTTTCTATCTACCTAAATAGAAAAGGACAATCTTTTACGACTCATGCTACCCTCGAGTCTACCGGCTCTACGAACTTGGGACACGCCCGCCCCTCCTATACTAGACAATTGTTTCCTTTCCCGCCCACTCGCGGGACTATCGTGGCAACGCTTTCGAACAATCGATTTAGCAACGATCCAGGGCATCACATTCTTCTATTAATACTCGGTAGGCCGACTTTGCAGCATACACGTGCATGATTCGGACGAATCATGCGCCTTGCCAGCATACCATCGTCTATCGAATCGATGTCAAAAAGGCGCGGTTTGGATTTATTGGCCGATTGCGCGGCAAGACAGCGTTGTTGCCCTTAGTATCCGAGGCGAATTCGATATTCTGGTAAGTCCAACGGAGCCACGTTGCCTCCCAACCATTCCGTCGGTGCACCCTTCTGATTCGCATACGGATATCAGATTCGGACTCGGCTCATTGGCAATGTTGTCGTCGGTTCGCGATTCCGAGGCGCTGAGGCCGGCCTATGGCTTGGTGGTACGGGCAAATGCACCCTACTATACGGTGAGCCTCGGGAAGGCGAGAATATTCCCTTGATCGGAGGATGCTGTTCCGCCCATGCGCCCTTTACAGCCCGAATACAATCCATTCCAAGACCGGAGAAGGACTGTCGCATGCACTTCTCCGCGGCCCCTATTGGCATGGTCTCTTCTGCCCCCGTCTGGTACGATGAACAGAACGGATTTTGCCGAGGCATCTTATTTGAATACGAGAACGGCGAACTGCGGGCTGTGGGACAATGCCGCCTACATGTCGATCCAAGTAAGAAGTACGTACGACCATCGAGACTTTGTTTCCGGACAAATATCCGAGTCGGACACAAGGTCCAGGGCACTCGCGTTGTATTCGAATCCGGCGAATCCGCTCATTCTCACTATGACTACTCTGCTGATGACGGATGGCAATGCAAGGCTCTTAGGGGCACTTTGATGTTCTGGTTTTCTAATCGGTGTTCATTGCTATGCGTAGAACAAACATAGAAACAAGTGCTAAAACTAGGTAGTTAGGGAAGTATTAATGAAGTGGCTGGAACATAGTCATCAAATTAGTTCAGATGAGTTAAAACCAGCTTAGATCAGATTAAATCACATCAGATCAACTTAGGTTATCTGTTGTCGACCCTATATGGCCTACATTCCGGCAGAATCCTTCTCGGTAAGGTAGCGAGGGCGAGGAAATTCTATCTCACCTTTTTCTAGTTGTTATATCAATCTGCTTACTAGTAGGAAGAATGCTGTATATCTGCAAGCCAACAACCCTAGCTAACGGAAGGAGCTTTAACCCCTATACATACGATCTGGAGGACAAAATATCTTAACTCGATGGCGTTTAGGCAACGTGTCTAATGGAGTAACTTTTAGTAGGCGATAAACCCCTAATATACATCTTCTATTACTACGAGGACAATTGCATGCAATAGAGTAATCCTCTTTAGGGTGGTATCGCGGAGACAGGCGGCATGTTCAAGCTTAGTCTGGTGAGGCGACCTCCTGCGGCATGACTAGCAACTAGACCATTCACTGGATGACGCTAATGCCATCCATTGACCGAAATTGGCATGACTGATCCATGAGAGTGTTAACAAACCGTACCAACCCCGGCGCATAAGTGTCCTCTCCTTTGTCTTTCTTTTGTTAAACTGAACTATCAGACATATTGTCATATTGAACACATGGTTTAATCTCCATTTACTTTTCAAAGGATAGCGCTGTCATGCCTACCTGATGTGATATACTAACCGGACCGGCCATCACGGATTCAGATAGCCAACCTGCTGCTTTTCTGATCTCGGCGTTTCCCAGAGACCCCCCTATCTTTATTAACCATCACATCAAACGACAAGCAGTCCTACGACTTTCGAGCAAACAACGGAGGTTCAGCTCACAAAAATCTAATCAAGTCCAGAATCAGTCCGATTTTTGCGCCGATACAACCAATGGCACAAGTACAGACATATAAACATGGATCAACCAACACCTTCCGATTCTACAGCCGTTAAACGCTTCGACCGGCCTTCGAGTTTAAGACCATCCTACATAATCTCGGCGCCATTTTCAACGCTGACGACATGGAAACAATCACTGCCCAACTGTTTCCTTACCCACGACCACCAGTTCGACGTTCTCATACATGTCCATCTACAACTCAAAACCAACAACCAATCAAGGGTACGAACCTCGTCAGCCCCATAACCCACCTCCTCCCTCACCCCCTCTCCCTCTCCTTCCTGCCCGGCTGTCTGCCTCACCGCTGATAGTCCCTCTCTACACTGTCCAACGGGCATCTCGAGGTCACCTGACGCAGTGGAGCCGGGGAACATCCAACCCCCGGCGTACCCCTGAAGGCGGAGCGGGGGGGGGGGAGGAGGAGGGACTAACTGGCGGTATCGGCTACGGATATGATGGGACATTACAAGTGGCAAAGGGGGGAGCGTTATCACGGGACACGAGACGGAGGAGGAGCGGCCTCATTCGATGCGGACAGAGGCTGTGCAACGCAGCCCACGAAATGGAGGGCGTTGACATACAACCAAGTCCTGACGATGACGGCGGGCGCAGGGATGGCGGCATGGGAGACAACACATCTCCCCCCGCGGGTGCCGACGGAAAACGGGCCAGCCTGCTCAGCAACGTAGAGTTATCGAATCCCGACAGCATCGGCATCTCGCCGAGGGAGAGATTTGGGCGACCCAGAAAGCCCATATATTCGACTCGAAGGACCCGGCTTCTAGTGCGATGAACAACACGCAACATCGACAAACAACGGAGACTGATACCCCTGTGTTATTATCTAACCAATTTCTGCATCAACTGCTAACCCATCGGCTTTCTACCCAAAAAGCTGATGGAGCGAATGCCGGCAAACGAAGCGTCTGCACAAGTTAGAGGCGAGGCTGAGTATGTATATTACCCGTTACTTCATCTTCCTGGTTTACGAGTTGCTAATCGATTAATAGCCTCTCTTTCGTCCCCGAGACGCTGCCGTATTAGTACGGTGCACCATTAGCTTGGACGGTATCCGGACGAGTATAGCCGGGCCGTTCCCGGTTTGCATCAAGCTTCGTGGCCACTTCGGTGGTACATGTGCTTGTTGCAAATTCCGGAATCCCGCAGTAAAGTGTTCCGTACGGGATGGCGGTCTTGAGGATCCGCCCGCGGGCCATGCGCTTCCTCCGCCCCAAGTCATCGAGCTGGATAGCTCGGACGAGGGGGATGGGACACAGGATAATCCTGTGGTCCTGAACTAACCAGTATGTATATATTTCTGTTACCCAAACCTGCACTATTCAATTCATCTGCCTTCCTACGAAGCTAGATACTTCAAGTGAAGTTCCGGCGGAGGATCCTTATTAGAAGTCTGATAGTGACCCAGAACGATTGCCGCGCACCTTTTCGTGGTGTTCTAGAGAAGTAGTGAAGAGAACAGCTTCAGCTGCTAACAACTGACCTAGGTGCCGATCAACCGGATGAGATAGCTGCAACGGCAGATACGACAGCTGTATCTGTGATCGGCCAGCTGTAGATGGCAGCTGGGAGAAAAGAAGAACTCTGAAGAAGAAGGCGTCGTCATGTGTGAATGCATGGCGATGGATGGCGATGTGGAAGAGTGAATATCTATCTGCTCTGTATGGCGATGGTAGATGAAAGATGAATAAGGAATGAAGGATGGTGAAAATAGGGTATGTGGACGAGACCTGCCTATACAAATATCCCAAATCCTACACGAACAAGTCACACTGCACCACTACAGTAGCCTTACCTTCATACGAAGATAAGATGAAACTAAGACGCAATACATACAAACCAATGAGAATGATCATCGTACGTGGTATAATTACATGGTATTTATCGTAAGGAATTTCTTTCCAGCCTAGTGTCGGGAGCTTCACATCGACTTTCTGGTGTGTCTCGAAGGGGAACCAGCTTAGCCGCACCACGAGCCAAGAGAGAAGTTGTGCCTAGGAACGGTCGGCGAGTATATAGCTTCGTAGTTATTAGAGGGTATTCAGACTATCTCCTTTCATAGAAGAGTATACATTGTATCCCCCTTGGAATGCGAGGAAGAGAGGGAAACCGAATCTGATGCTAAAACAAAAAGGCCAAAAACAACTTTCGCTTCATGCCTCTATTTGCCAATCTGAAGTTGCGCTGGAGGGGGTGGGTATAAAACAAGACTGCCGGAAAACAAATCGAAAAGGCCCTGAATGTCAACCAGTTGCTGTTTTTTTGTCTTTTGTCTTCCTATCCTACGCCGTCTGCTACTGCAAATGCAAATGTCCCTGGTCCCTGGATGATGAGTTGATTGACCGATTAAGCAAGCGGTCTAAAAAAAAAACGCCCCCTGTCAGAAATTCACTCTGTGTTCCGGCCCCTCTCCTTCGTCGCTCTCGCTCCCCCCTCTCTCTATCCGGGGCATGGTATTATCATCGTGGGCATCGCGCATTATAGGTAGGCGGTAGATCGTGTGTGTGCGCGCGAGAGTGCGCGTCCGAGTGGTGAGGGGATCACCGCGGCATAAGCTTGTACATCTCGTTGAGAAGCTCCTGCAGGTCTTCGTCGCTGATCTTGTCGTTGAGGGAAGGGATGAGATACTTGGCCTCCTCGGCCGTCTCGCAGCAGAGAGACCCTGGATGGGTGCGTGGCAATTTTCCACCCGTCAGCATTTCTTCCCCTACATTCTACATGTAGGTACTGGTCGCCGACGATCGGGCAGACTCACCGAGCTGCGCGCGCTCAAACTTGTGGAACTCTTTGCGGCTGCTCAGCAGGCGCTCGACAGCCTCGACGTTCTCCTTCTTCTTGTAGCGCGCAAACGTGTCTAGGTAGTCCATGGTTTTCGTCAACATCCTGTAGGCGACGGCGCCCGATCGCGTCAGCCAGCGCTCTCCCAGTCCGCCCCGAGCCTCTCCGTCGCGCAAAGAAGGGAAAGGGAGAGGGAGAGGGGAAAGGAAGGGAGCGAGGATGGGAATAGACCCTACTCAGTCTCGTTGACGTTCTTTCGATCATTGCGGCGCTTCGCTACTAGGGCGTTGATGACCAAGGCGGCCTCGGACAGCGTCAAGGTGTCGACGTCCTGGAACTCTCCGAGGTAGAGGACGTTGGTGGCCTCCTCGTTGCCGGCAGGCTGGGCCTTCGCTCGCGAAGTCGGAGGATGATGCGACATGGCTGGTTCTGTCTCGCGCAAGAGAGAGGAGGGGGGGGGGGGGGGGGGGGGGGGTAGAGAGAGAGAGAGAGAGAGGAAGGGAGGGAGAGAGAGGAAGGGAGGGAGGAGAGAGGTCTCCTTTTGTCAATGGGCGGCGGTTCGTCGTAGGCAACCCAGGATAAGAGGCGACGGACGGGAGAAGCAGGGCTGCGCCAGGAAATATATGGGATCGTGGAAATGGTGATAGTGGTGGTGGGAGAAAGCGGTCGTCACAGCTTTCGTCTGGTGGTCGCAAAACCACGCGTTGGAAATGTAAGAAACCAAAATCCAGCCTGTTGCCATCAACCATGCGGCTGCGATAGATCTGTGAGGGAGTACGTACCTATGCCAGTATTGTAATTTGTCCCTGTATGCATTAGGTTAGGTACCTCCTGTGTGCAGGTACTTGAGAGGTACGTACCTCTTATGCTACTGCACTCGCCGGCATTTTAGCGACCGAAACTGTTTTCTGTATAAATGCCTATGTCCTTTAAGGGACTATCGAGATAGCCTTACTCAGTAACCCAGAGTACCTAGATACATACCTACCTGACGTTTACTTACAGAGCCCAGAGTGAGTCCCTTTACCTAGAGATAGCATGCCATATACCTACGCCAAGGACAGCGACAGGGTCTCATAATAAGAAGAGGTGCTCGGCCTACCTATCTACCTAGGTACTACATACCCTACATACCTCTACCTGCTAGGAACTGAAGGCGGTTCTGAGAGAGAGAGATGAGCAGACCCTTCTCACGCCTCCTTCCGAACCCGCGCAAGCCAAGGCATCTCGACACAACCTGCACGCCTCGGTATATACCACAATGTACGCAGCACCCGCCCAGCTTGGCCAAGGAGCCTCCTCTCCGCGCAGCGCATCCGCTAACCCGCCGGGACCCAACACCGCAGGGGCGTCCTGGCTCTCATCGTCATCAACAAGGCCGGCGGCCTCATCTATAACCGCACCTTCGGCGACGGCCTGAACCAGCTCAACACCAACGACTACCTCGTCCTCGCCGGGACCTTCCACGGGTGAGACCTCCCGCCCGCCCGCCTCTGCCGCTGGGCATCTCTCGCTATCCGCTGCTGCCTCGCTCGCTCACGCTAACCCCACCACCCAGCGTCCACGCCATCACCGCCCGCCTTAACCCGCGCAAGGAGCTGCTCCAGGCCCAGCACCAGCAGGCGGTGGCCGCCGCGGCCGCCGCAGCGGCATCGGCGTCGTCAGCGTCGGCGGCGGCGGCGGGGGGCGGCAGCGGTGCTAGCGCCAGCGGCGGCGGAGCGGCGGCAGGCGTGCCGATGCGGCCGGACCCGCCGTCGGGCCTCGAGGTGCTCGAGTCGGAGAACTTCCGCCTGCAGTGCTTCACGACGCTGACCGGCACCAAGTTCCTACTCTTCACCGACACGCTGCAGGCCAACGTCGACGTCGCCATGCGCCGCGTCTACGACCTCTACGCCGACTACGTCATGAAGAACCCCTTCTACCAGCTCGAGATGCCCGTCCGTTGCGAGAACTTCGACCGCAAGCTCAACTCCTACATCCGCGAGATCAACAGCTCCCGGTAGCACTAGGTTGCAGCGTCGGTCGCTGCCGTTTACACACTTTTTCTTTTCTTTCCCTCCTGGGTAGGGATGGGGCCGCCCGCTACGGACTTGGTATGGGGACTACGGGGAAGGGCTTCGCGCACACGCGCGCTCGAACGGCGTGGGATCAGGGCAGAGATAGCTAGCCGCATTATCGCATGGCGTTCGGAGTTCACAGATAACATCCGTGTTTCTTACAAGACCAGGACTCAGTTATCAATAGAAGATATCCCGTCTTCCTGCGGGGATAGTATTTTCCCTTCCCCCGCCGTATTCAGCGCCGGAAGCCCTAGGTAGTCTATCATTATTGTACAGGTAACCCCGTCGCGGCGCCATTTCGTCGATGGGCGGCTCTCGAGGCGAGGAAAGCACCTACGACGTGTCCATCTTATCTCCGTCGTCTTTCTTGCCATCCTTCTTCTCGGAAGATCCGCTCCCGCTGGGCTCGCCCCGCTCGTTAAGCAGCGGCTGGTTCTCGCCCTCCTCCTCGATGCCCTCCAGGCCCGTCTTCTTCGCGGCATCCTCTTCTGCTTTCGCCTGCTTGGCCTGCCTCGCGTTCTCCTCCTCCATGCTCATGCGCAGCGCAAGGGCTAGCTCCGGGTCCGCGCTAGGGTCGAAGTCGAACCCGCCAAAGTCGCCGCCGCCACCTTCGGCCACGCCGCCGGAACCGCCCGCGGCCCCTTCTCCGAGCAGGATGGGCGTGGTTATCAGTTGGTCGCTGAGGAGCTTTCCGCTGGGGGGGATGACGACGAGGTGCGAGTTCTCGTTCGTCTTGACGGCGTTGTTAAAAGCCTCGAGCTTCTTCTGCACGTCGTCGTCGTCCAGGTCGCCGAATAAGACGAAGTCGATGTCGATGTTGCCCTTCTTCATCTTCATTGCCAGCGATACTAGCTTCTTTTCCTCGTCGGCCACGGGAGAGCATACGAAGACGATGATGCGCTGGCGCTGCGACTTGTTCTGGCGGTGCTTCAGGGCAAGCTAGAGGGGGAGAGAGCTCGCCGGTTAGTTCACACGCTAGTGCTCGGAGGAGGTGGGATGGGTTCTTAGTATGCTAGGGGTCCCACGTACGCTGGCGATCTGGATACCGGTAGCGAGGTGGGACGAGCCCGAGATCTTCTTCTTTGTGCGGTGCAACCCCTCGAGGAGGTTGCCTCTCTCCGTCGTCAGCGTGGACAGAACCTCGGGGCCCTTGCCGCCCATGCTCATCAAGCCCACAGAGGACTCGGGGTTGGATTGGGTGATATTGTCGAACACGATGTTAATCGCATCGGCCTGGGCGTCGAATCTCGAGGGGGTGTAGTCTCCATTCCGGCTGCTCTCGCTGTTATCCACAACTATCATCACTGCCTGCAGCGGCATCTTGGCAGCGTTGCAACACAAGAGAAGGCGAAAGGATTGCGACGGGTTCCGCGGGTAGTAGAGAGCAGGTTGGCAGATGGAGACTACGGGAATGAGTTGTAAAGAAGTTGAGTATGGTCGGCCACCAACGATTTAGCTGGTAGAGGTAGCAGGATCGGTATGATGTATGGCGTTGCGTTGTGTCGGACTCGGAGGATGAAGTAGTAGAGAGGGAGCTCGTCCAGCAGTCAAGCAACGTCAGGCAGGTGTAGCCTACCAGGAGGTATCTAAGGTAATGGGGGTTAGGTAAGGTAGGGTCTGTTTGTACCTGATGTACCTCCCGTACCGAGACTACGTTATATAATGTATTCAGGTACCTAAGGATATCGCCCAAGTTCAGCCACGAGTTTTGATGTTATGTAATCGGGGCTTGATCAAGCGCCACGAAATAGAGGGACCGAAGTTTTGTGCGTCGGTACACCTCTCTTTTGTTTACTTACACAAAACCAACTCCTACAGGCAATTCCATCATCTCCGTCAAGTCAACTCAGCACCGCCAATTCCTCTCCAGATACTGCATATTCCTTACAGCACGACACAAAATACGCGTTCCCCCCAACCCTCGGAAGCGCCGCACCTACATTGCAGTCCTTAATACGAATTAGACGCATTCAGCAAGATGGCGCCCCTGAGAGCGACGCGAAAACACCAGTCAGACCAGTCGAGAGACCCGACGGGAAGCCCCCAGGTTCACGCGATGACGAGCACACCGGCGCGAAGCCCGATCAAGAAGCGGAAGATGGGAGTGACGCTCGCCCAGAAGCAAGCCCTGATCGACAACTTACAGCTAGAGAGTACGGGTGCCACGCCGAAGTTGCTCGTGTAAAGATCAACCCGTGCCAGCTACTAACTAATCCTTCGCGTAGTTACCGAACGCGCTCGACGGCTGCGGGCCCAGTACAGCATCCAGGCACAACAATTGCGATCGCGCGTGGAGATGCGCATAAACAGGATCCCGACCGCGTTACGGAAAGCCAAGATGGGCGACCTCCTCCTCAAGGCTCTGCACCCGCAACAACCCCCCCAGCCACCCAAGCCAGCGTACGTAGCCAGACCTCCACCAGTCCCGGCCAAGGATGCCACAACCCCCAAGCCCATCCCGCGGAAGCCAGTGCCGGCGAGCAACGCGGCGGCGGGCCGCAAGCGCCTGAGGTACGACGCGACCTCTCATCCAACCCTCCTCGTTACCTGCACCGCCTAGCTGACGTGACATGACCTATGTGTGTGTATAGCGGTGAGATCTCCGACGACAAGGAGAACCAGCGGAACGACGCCAACAGCCCCAAGAAGCGCTCCCGCGTCGTGGCCGCCACCACTAAAGAGCCGGCGCCGATCCAGCCTGCGCACGTCCTGTCACCGACGTCCTCGAACACGCGCTTCGCGCCGCGCGAGCGCCCCGCCGCGTCCCCCGCCAAGGCGGCGCTGAGCCGGCCCGGTTCTCCCCACAAGGGCCCGCCGGGGCGCCCCAACAACATGCTGCCGAGCACGGTCGAGAAGGCAAAGGCGGCGGCGGCGAGGCCCGGAACCGCCGCCGGCGCGCGGCGCGCCCTCCCCGGCGCCTCGTCGTCGGTGAACTCGACCACGGGCACGCGGCCGCGGCAGGCGATAGCGCCCCGCCCCGCCACCGCGGCGTCGACCCGTGGCCGGCGCAAGGTCAGCGGCGCGAGCGACGACGGCAGCGACGGCAGCACGTCAACCACGGCGACGAAGAAGGTCGGCGCCGGACGCGTCGCCAAGGCCTCTGCTGCTGCCGGCCCTGCCGCGAAGAAGGCGGCCGCGAATGCAACCAAGCCGCCAGCAACCAAGAAGCCGCCCGCCGCCAAGGCAGGCACCGCGTCTGCGGCTACGGGGAGAGCGTTGCGGAAGAGGAATTAGGCGCGAGTGACGGAGCATACGCATGTTTTTTGTACGAGGTTGTGTATATGTGTGTGTGTCGCGGGGCGGCTGCGTGTGATATCAAGCAAAAATTACGGCGTTCGTGTCATGCCGGCGTTTTCGGGGCTGTCTACGGCTAAGGCAAGGCAGGATAAGGCAGGGCGGGGCCAGGTATGGCAGGGTAAGGGTGCTAGGTCTAGGCCGTTGTCACAATCAGAATCCTGTTTGACTTTTCTGCCCGTATGCTACATGTCCATTCTTCATTTCCCAATCCCGTTGTCCTTCCTTGGCTTCACTCTCTTCCACCCATCCCTGTCCCGCCGTCCCCCCGTGTGCCTTCTCTTACTACAAAGGAACGAGAGATTGGTACTCGCTCGGTCTGCTGCCGGCGCATACGACGCCTGCTCAGCTGGCACTCGCCTTCTTCTTCTTGTCGTCGACGAGCTCGATGTTGTCCTCGGGGATGTCCTTGTAGCGCTCGAGGAGGAACTCCTCAATCTCGTCGCTGACGTCGCCCTGGACGACGATCTCCTCGCCGCCGCTGGGGACCTTGGTGACGGAGGCGCCGGTGGCGAACTTCTTGCCGAACTCCTTGGCCACCTTCTTGAGGTCGAGGCCGAACGCCTCGAGCCCGACGACGGCCGTGACGAACTTGCGCTTGTTGCGCTCGACCCGCTTGATGGTCACCACGCTGTTGGCGATCCGGTCCGCCTGCTTCTGCTCTGCCTTCTCCGCCTGCGCCGCCTTCTTCTGCGCGTCCTTCGCGGCGCGCTTCTGCGCCTCAACCGACAACGACGCCGTCGCGGCTTCTAGCGCTTCTGGTGGATGGGGAATGTCTCCGTTAGCAGCAGCACGCACGGTATATATAGAGTGTTCTGTTCGATGTACGTACCAGGAGACCATATGACCCGATACACATCTGGGTGGGCCTTCTCGAGCCAGTCCTGGCACTTCTTGACGGTCCCTCCGTATTCGCAGTACTACTTTGCCAGAACGGTTAGTCTCGCGTCGTTTGGGGGCGTCGCACCGCGCAGCTCGATCTCTGAGGACAGTAGGGGAACACCCCAACAGCTCTCTCCCCCCCCCATCTCTATCTCGTACACAACACACCACACTCGCCCTGCCTCCCCCCACCTCTCTCTGTATGGGTGTTCTGTCATAGTGGCTTGTCATCGGAAAACGATCGTACCTCGGGAGGTAGGGTGCACACTAGAGCATGGCCGCCAAGCGCCGTCAGCTATGCTGCCCAAGGTGGAAGAAGCGCCGCGGCCAGGCGCTGGCTCGTCGCGTGGTGGGGTCAAGCTGGAGGCGTGTTGTGTTTGACTTACCGCCGCAGTAGAGGACGTGGCGGCTCTGGGGCTCGCTGGGGCCCTCTGGCGACTCGGTGTCCGCCATACCCGCCTAGTCGATTACTGGGGGGGGGGGAAGGGAGAAAGACGCGAGATCGTTTCGTTTCCGTCGGTACGCGATGGGCTTGGGGAGGGGGATCGGAATTGATTCTTTTGCTAGCTGGCCTCGATTATGGATTACGGCAAGCGGCGGGGTTATGGACAAGTCTATCTGTCTATCGAGTCGCCTATCGACGTAGATAACGGGTTTGGTCTGCCCCACGGCGGGTTTTGGCGGGGCTCGTCGGTACATATGCTTAGGTACCTGATATAGCGACCTTCTACCCAAGATATGAGTACTTGTGGGATGCAAGTAGGTACTTTACTGGGACACTACATCCCGCCTACGTAACAGGTACCTCGCACCGTAAGGTTAGACTTCTTGAGTACCTAACCTCTAGGTATCCCGAAGGAAAAGGACGAATTCAGTTGTGGGCACGTGCCCTCTCTCATTTCACACCCCACCAACTCTCCTCTCCCGTCTCCGGCCTCCACACCTCATATAACTGTGCCTCTATGCCTGCTTCGCATAGCGAGAACCTCACCGAGAGGAGAGAGTACCCAGAGCCACGTCGACGGGACACATCTGCACTCGCCCCCCCTCCTCTCGGGGTTGTCGTCCACCCATGAACATAGCGCAGATCGTAACGACGGTCAAGTATGCACTAGGCACGGGCCAAGCGTCTAAACCGTGAGAAAATCACCCGCGCGCGTTTCCTCCTTCACGCCACGCGCCTTCGGGGATTGCCAGCGAATCGTCTCTTCAGCGTCACCCAGTAATCGCCGTGCCCCTCGACGTGGTGGCGTCCCCCGCCTTGGCTGGAGAGATGACCAATGCTACCTCGAGATCCTAGACCATGCGACGATACGCCCAGTTCGGCATAACCTGCCATACCGGCGTTCTACGTACCCCGACATCTCATCCTTTGTCGGAAGAGGGCGGATGAATATACGTGGGCCCTCGGCGTCGCTTGCGGAAGGAATCTATCGTATACCTATACCTACTTGAATACCTATACCTACTTGAGCGCTCCCAGGTACGGCTAGGTAGGTAGGTATGTATATTAAAACGAGAACACGGCGAGGAAACGGGGACCAGAGGAAAACAGCCGGTCGGCTCTACTCATACTTGACATCAAGACGATATCGGAGCGCGACGACGGGCACATCCTTACAAGATGCCTACCTGCGTATCCAGCTTGCAGATCAACAGACCACCTGTCTTATAGCCGCGTCTTTATAGATGCAGGTAAATCTCCGAACTGGGCCGGTTTCTATTGGGTAAGCTGCCAATTCTCGCAGTGCATAGGTCCCTTTACACCGGCCCAAGGCTCAACGAGAAGACGGGACAGTCGGGAGAGATCTACTATCCGCCGTACAGACCACATGTTTGTTGATTCCTGCCGTCATCCACCCGGCGTCTAACTGGGGACCAGGTTGGCGCGTGGGCTGGCGAGCACTCCACCGATACGCAATCGGGATTGGGCTGTTTGCCTATGTCTTGCATTCCACTCGGCACGTCAAGCCTGTGCGTGGTAGCAGTGGCCAAGCCAGCCCGTGGCTCTCCCAGCCCATGGCTCTTCCAGCCCATCCGACTCCATCTCTCGTCGCGTGCGTCGTCAGCCCAATCACGGAGCATCACGCCCGACGATGGGCGTGTTAAGCGCCTCAGTCGGCGTAGCCTCGCCTCATTGGCCTGGACGCCTGCAGCGTGCCCCAATCAGTCATTTTCCCCGGCTACCTCGTCCGCACGCCAGCGCCGCCGCTGGTCGCCATGCCTGGGCTTTCTAAAATTATACCACCTCGGGACCAATTGATTGGGTCGAGGCTCCAGTCCTTGGGTCGGTGCCACCGTTCGACGGACGTCCGCCTGCAAGACGACCACCACCACGTCCTCTTCCAGCATCCTCCGTCACATTTCCTTGCCCAAATGGGCTCCGAGGCTTGCGCGACTAGCCGAATATGCAGCTAATGCCCAGAGTAATGCGACCTACCTGCCGCCCGCTGCCCACCAGAATCGCAGATGGCTGCGTGGAAGCGCTCGCATTCCTCGATGTCGAACGCCGTCCCCATGTGTAGCCGCCTCTCGTCTCCAGGGCCAATATGATAAATCCACCCACTCCCCGATTGCTAGCAGGCTTCGTTTTCCCTTCTTGCCTTCTTCCTCAAGCATCCTTGGGGTTGCTCATTCACTTCATATTGCCTCACTTCGTTGATCGAAGCGACTTCAGTCGTTAAAAGCGTTATCTCTCTCTTCTTGTAATCCCCGCTTTCAACGACGCTGGGCGTCACCCACCACAACTTCCCTTATACCAACCTTCTCTCAGCCCGGCATATTGCCATTAATCCCCCCCTCGAGCCTAACTACTTTATCTTCTCTATTTTGTTACATTTGCTTCTTAAATCCAATACGATGTCCGACTTAGTTCTCCTGCCGTCTACTACCTACCGGCCTCCCTCCCCTACGCTGGCACGAAGAGCGGGGAGGTCCCTTAATACGATAATAGAAGAGCCGGACGAGGTGCACAAGTCCGCGGCGCTAGGGAATCGCAAGGCTCAAGTCAATTCATCTAACGAAAAGATAGCCCAGTGGCTATCGCCACAAAGTGACCTTTTCCCGACTCCGCGAGGCTTTCACTTCTTGCCAGCTCCGATCTACCCAGAATCTCCGTCGACTGTCTCTGCTGAGGAGAGCACCTCCCCGTCGATAGCATCGTCAGACCTCTGGAACCGAATCAGCATAAGCACTGATGTCACAGAGTTCGAAGACATCTACAATATTTCTGACGATGAGGATACCCGGCGGACAGCCTCGAGGACGTCCTCGTTGAAGCGCCGAAACAGCTCCCGCAATTCCATACCAAAGCGATCCACCGTCAACCCGCCAACCTCCCCACGGACTCTCCCGCCTTTGGTCATCCCGGAGGAACGGAACCAGAATGCCGATAGCAGGTCGGGCAGGCCCGAGTTCAAGAAGTTCTTATCGCCAATCCCTCCGACGCCGCCGTCCAGGGTTGACATGTCGCCAGCCATGGTATCCTTCCTACAGTCGCAACAGGCCCAGGAAGTGCCCACCATTTCTGCACCGCCGTCTCTCGATGGAAGTTTGACCTCTGATCAGATGGCGGCTATGTCTGCTCCGCCCACGCCGATAATGGGGTCGGAGGACGGGACTCCAGGCGCGGATTTGTTTGGCGTCCAGCTGCAGCCCGCCGCTTTAGCTACTCTGCAGGCGTTAGCCGGGAGTGAAGACGGCGAGGAATACCGATCGGAGCAGGTCATCGAGATCTCCGAAGAGAGAAGACCGGAGATGGCCCAGCAGACTCCCCGCTTGCTCACCGCCACGGCACGACAAGCCGCAAGACTCTCAACTCACCCGGCCCAGTCCCTCGATGGGTTGACAAGACTCGACATCCCGTCGCCCGGGGGTTTCTTTTCCGGTCTCTCTCCGCGTGCGAGGCATACTTGGCATCTGCCCTCGATGACGCCGGATGATGTCGCGCCTCCTACTTCGACCACTGCAGAGCAATTCTACCGATGCCCGTGGAACGAACCCGCTCCCAGCGTCCCGTCTCTGCCTGGCGTTTCGACTCTCCCTCTGCCGCCGCCGCCCTCGCGGCGTCCCGAGTGGTTCGCGGGTGCACCCGCTTCGTCGGTGCCGGTTGAGCAGACTGTAGAAATTCGGGGCACAATGTCGGATGGAATCCCCACGGCAAGGCCGGCGATATTCGAGCAGGTTATCGAGGCTAGAGTTCACATTACAGAAGAGGTCCTTACAGCCCGACGCATTGACGAGGGCGACCGGTCGGCGTCCTCTGCTGTCTCCCTCGCCGAGCCGCTAACACCTACTGATGATGTGGTCGCTACGGAAATTGTTACCACCTACGATCCTGAATATGCCAAGAAACAACAAGAGGCTGCTCTCTCCAACCTAGATCGAACTGAACTGTGGCTCATGGCCCAGAAAGCATACCTCCAGGGTATTTATCCCGAGGAAGAGATCAAGGCAGAACCCGAACCAGAAGCTGAGCCGAGAGTGGAGGGACAGACCCAGACCGAAGAGGTGACGGAGCCGAAGGTGCCCCAGTCCAACGAGGGAGCCCAAATCCAGAGGAAGAAGACCGTCCGCTTCTCTGAAGCCCCGGTCGAGGTCAATATCCCAAAGAGCCTACCGTCTAAACTCGCGCGGCAAGAGTCAGCTTACTACCGTGCATTCCAAGATTACATTATTCGCTCGCGCAGCCAGGATCCCTTCGTTCATCGCCTTCCCCGCTTCGAGGCCCTGCAGGCTCAGCGCATTTCTCTACGCGAGACTCATCGCAACCAGCTTCTCGGCAAGTACCAATTGTCGGTAGTTCCCGAGTCAGCCAAGAAGCGCATGAGCACGAACGTTGCCCGCGGCGATGATATCCTGGTTGAAGACCCAGAGAAGCTGAAGCAGGAGAAGGAGAATGAGGCTCTAACGCAAATGTCTATGGCGAACTGGCACGTCGGTGCCACCAAAGCTCTGAACAACGGACGTCTGTTTTCCGCACCCATCGCCAAGCGCCTGGCTCGACTCTCCCGCATCGGTGGCCCCAGGGAACGCGCCCGTATCCTTGACCTGGGCGGCCAGGCCGCTTGCGACTGGGCTTGGCACTGCGCCATTATGTACCCGAATACTAAGGTATACACAGTGACGACGAAGGCCGTCCGTCAGCTATCTAACTCGAATATTCGGGGCCCCCCAAACCACCGCCAGGTAGCTGTACCGCACCTCACGCGCCTACCGTTCCCAGACGCGCACTTCGACCTTGTGTCGGCGCGGGAGCTGCACACCATCCTCAAGTTCATCGGGGAGAACGGCGAAGATGAGTGGGAGAACTGCCTCAACGAGTGCATGCGCGTGCTCAAGCCCGGCGGGTACCTCGAGTTCTCAGTGCTCGACTCGGACATCACAAATGCCGGGCCGCTCGGCCTCGCCCGATCTGTCGAGTTCGGCTTCTCGCTCAAGACGCTCGGCTACGACCCCAGCCCGACCCGGTTGTTCCTAGGCCGCCTACAGCGTGCCGGGTTCGACGAGGTGCGCCGCGCCTGGGTGTGCCTACCTATGGGCGAAGACCCGGCGGTGCGACGCAACCGCAAGGTAGCGCGCGACAGCACGGGAATCGAGCGGCCGCTCGAGCTCGAGGCGATGGTGCTAGGCAGCACAGAGGCGGCAGCGTCCGTTACCGGGCTCGCCGGTAGCTGGGCCTGGGAGCGATGGCTGCTGCGGTGCGAAGCCGAGAAGGTGGCGTGCGAGGGTCGCCTCATGCTCGAGGCGGCGGAGATGCGAGAGGTTGGCAAGTGCCTCGACGGCGTGCACGAGGTCATCGAGGAAGGCCGCCGCTGCGGTGCCGGGTTCAGGTTCCTGAACGGGTACGCCAGGAAGCCCCTCGCGGAGGCGGAAGCCTACTAAAGAGAAGGGGGTGGGAGGGATGGATGTGCGTATAGGGTACGTACGTGTGGGACGAATGGTGGTGGTCGGACGATCGTTCTCGAAATATGGGGTAGTCATCTATCTGCCTATCTTTTTTGTGTAATGCGGGGATTCATGGATGGATGGACGGATGTATATGCATGAGGAATATGTATGTCTGTATGTATGCACGGTTGAACGATGATACCCAAATTTGGAGCCCAGACGGGGGGCGGCGAGGGGGGCCGGAGGCGCGGGGTGAGGATGAGGAAGAAGACGACGACAGTATCCGCCAGGACAGAGGGGGAGGGGGGAGGGGCAGACGTCCTCGGCTAGAATATTACCGGCCCTAAGCGCCCGAATCAACTCCTGTCATTTTTTATAATTAAGTGCCTACCCATCCCGGTCCGGTTGCGAGGTGTATAGACAGACAAACTCGTACTTTGACCGTGTGTATACGGGTACGTGACGGGAACTAGTCGCTGGAGTTCGTGTGTGGGAGTATTTCGAAACGTATCAGTCATAACACGTTGTCCCATTTTCACTGCTGCTGCATAGCGATAGAGTATATATATGTATCTATATCTTTATTTGTATCTATATATCAGGTAAACCCATCGGTAAACATACCTGCCTGCCTATACTCGGCTGGCAGCTGAGCGTGCGGACGAGTTCCATGTGGTAAGCAGGTCAAACAATCCTTCATCTCGAATCGAGTTGTGCCACGGCTTTCCTCGCGCCTATGAGGAGAGAGGGAGGGAAAAGAAACCTGGCAATTGTCTCTCGACTAGAGAAGCGAGCCGTAAGTTGTAGTATGTATGGCAATGATATGTAGAATATATTAAGCTCGACATGTCGCACTAACTTCCATCGTTATACGCAAACCCAATCCGCATCTTCGCCAGTGGTGCATATGTACGTATGCTTTGCTCTCTTCCAAACTCCATATGCACCCACCCCCCTTCCCCACCCCGACTCCTTTACTCCCGCTTTCGGCCCAAGCTACGTATATATACACAGAATCTCGTCCTTCTTTCTAATCCCTATCCGAATCCACATCCATCTTATCTCCCCTGATCGGATCCAAGGCTTTGGTCGTCGACATATCGAGGATATCCTCCCCCTTGAGTCTGCCCTTGTCGTCAGACTCCTCCACGACGACGACGACGCTCCTCTCGTCGCCTTTTTGAGGCGTGGAAACCCGATCTTTTAGCGATTTCGGCGTCGTAGGGACGATGACGTTCAGGACGCAATCGTCCAAATGTTCGTAGAACTCCTGTGCCGTCGAAAATCGCGTCTGGCAGATGGAGCACTTGGCATCGCCGCCGTTGCGGGAACTGTTCCCGGTGATGATCATCTTCCGACTATTCGGCGGCGTCTGCTCCACGCCGTGCACAGCGGTCAGGTGTCGCTTGAAAACGTCGGCCCTATTGAAGGCCTTCTCGTATGGTGTGCCCGGATTGGGGCAGAAAGGGCAAACCATCGTGCCTTTGTAGTGCGTCAGGGCGTGCCTATTCTTGTCGTACTTCCGTGCAAAGCCTTTTGTGTGATACTCGCAGCTCTCTATCGGACATTTTTCCGGTCGCTCCTCCTGATGCGTCAACATATGCGCAGCCAAATCTTTGAACACCCGGCCGCAATCGGGGTGGGGGCAGCGGTTTCGGTTGTCTTCGGCTTTCTGTATGACTGGGCTGCCGTGGGCCGTGCTGTCCAGGGACGGCGTTATCGAAGGCGCCAGCAACGGCCCCTGGGGGGGTGCTGGCGCGAGCCGCGGAGCTTCCACGAAGGATGATTGCCGGGGTAACGGATATTCTTCCATCATCCTAACATCGTTATCTTCCTCTCCGCTCGACGTGTCGTTCTCGTGAACATCGATCGACTGCCGGACCTCTCGCATCCAATCTTTGAGGATATTCATCGGCGGCCAGTCGCCGCTGGCTTTGCCGCTCCGGTGCGGGTGGAAGTGGGCCCTACGGAGGTGAGCTGCGGCGTTGTAATAAGCGCCGTATCGCTTCTGTGTAACGCAAGCCTTGCACTTCGAAAGCGGTATCACGGGTTGTGGAGAGTTAGGACTCGAATTCTGCGGTTCGGTACAAACCCACCGCTTCACCAAGGAAGCATGCTTAGCGTCGTTGTGCCTTCGGAGCTCGTGCTCTCCGCGAAACCCTTCGGGATATTCGTTGCACTTAGTACAGAACACGCGCCGCAGCGGCGGCCGTTGGTACGAAGTCCTAAGCTTCGATGGGGAGTTGAGCCCCCTCGCGATCGCGCGGGTGAAGACGGGGTTTTCGCCGACGGTGTGCCTCCTTGCGGGCTCGGGGCCATCCATGGCGAAAGCGGTAGGTAGCATCTCCTGATCGCTTCGGGTTGCCCAAGGATCGATCGGGCGCCACTGCGGGACGGACTTCCGAGCCTCGCCGGGTTGGCTAACGACGGGCTGCTGATACGAGATGTGCCGATAAATGGGCGTCCGCTGCCTAAAGAAGCCATTGAACCCGACATTATTGTCCAGATAGCCGCTCCCGAGGCCAAGAAGGAAATCTTTCGACGAGCGAATCCCCAGCGAAATCCAGTCATCCTTTCGAATAGCCAAAGTAATAGCGTTGAATAAAGCGCGGTCGTTGGTGTCCAGTTCCAGGGCGGGATCGTCGAGTATCATGGGCGTCGACCACGCAAACACGCTCACCAGCACCTTATATACACTGTGCATGGCGGCGGCGCCGGCGGACATGGGGCACCCGGCTGGGCCCTGTGCAGAAATAGCTCGCGACGGCGTGGATATGAGATCTGCCAGTATGGTCCTCACGACGCTAAAAATGCACAGCGAAGCGAAGACAGCTAGCCAACTCTTGGGGTCCGAAATAACTCTTCGCATGGTCATACTCTCAAAAGACTGCAGGAACTGGACCATGCAGTTGTAAATTAGCCGGTTCCTCCCCTCGTAGTCTATGTCGTCCGGCGAGCTCGGGGTGTTGGTGACGTTGGTCAAGTTGACTTCGGTGCGTATCGACGGCTCGGGCTGCTGCAGGTCGTAGAACAGAATCTCCCGGAGGAGTAGCTTGGCGCGATAGAGAAGAGGATACGTCACGGCCTCTGCCTCCCGGCTCTCCGACATGTAGCCCGTGAGCCTGAACATCTCCCAGAATTGGAAGGGAACGCTCTCGGCGTTCCAGCTAGCCGCCAATACCTTCAGCACGGGTGGCGGCTTGTCCTTGGCTTCCTTTGAGTACGTCGCCAAAGTAGGGTTAGGCATCGGCAGAGACGCCAGGTCTTCCGTCCACCAGAAGCCGTCGTCAAAGTCGAGGTGCGACTTGACCATGTCCGACATGTTCTGGCTCACGAGATAAGTCCGCTCGAGATACTCGTTCATGTTTCGCCGCCTCGCCAGCGGCGATGTGACGGGCGTGTGCACTTGTCTCGGGGACAGCGCTTCTGCTTCGAGATGAGCATGCGCAGTTTGCAGAGGAGCGGCACGAACGACAGGTGCGCGGAGAAGATTACCTGGCAGCATATAGTCCGCCAGCGCGACCAGAGGGCCGCGATGGCAACCGAGCGCGCTCCAGAACTCGTCGTGGGCGGAGCTAGCGGGCTCCGCGCAAAACGAGCAATCGTCTTTGGAATCGCACTACCGAGGACAGTAAGCAAGCATCCAATGCACGCGCTGGCACCGGGGTTCCTGCCTACCGGCTTTGCGTAGACTTTGCAGCGCAGACACGGCCCGGTATCACGTGGCAGCCTGAGCTCGCCTATAGACTCGAGTCTCGAGTGTCCGACTCGGCTTCGCTTCAAGGGTGGAAGCAGAGAGTCGGGCTCGGAGTCCATGGAGCCTCTGGACTGGGTGGGTGCCTCGCCCGAAAAGGAAAATGCAAGCGTCGACTCGCGCCGATCTCTCGGCGGATTGGCGGTGACCAGCGGAGGTAGGGAGGGGGGGACAGAGAGCCGCGGCAACGGAGCTGGCGAGCCGCGACCAATGTGATCGGGGCCGAATAGTCGGGAGGACGGCTGCTCTGCAAAGACGATGGGGGGGATGCTGCCGACGGAGAGGCCCGAGTCCCGCTTCAGCGGAAGGACGTGTTGCTTCAGATGTTCGTCCCGCTCTTCGGGATTCGAGAACCCGTATACATAATACGCGCACCGGTCATCCCAACACTTGAATGAGGACTGGCGCCTGGAGATTAGAGGTATGGCCCCTCTCATCCTCCACCCCCGGAAGATGGGGTCGTAAAACGAGGTGTTCCTGTCCAGCCAGGTGTCGTATCCGGGCGGCGCATCCTCCTGGCCGAGTTGCTTCAGCGCGCGTAGGAACTGCGTATTGTGGAGATCCAGGCCTGCTCACAGCGGCGGAACACATTGGTTAGGCAAACAAGCGAGGAGAGGCCAGCGCGACTGCACATACCTTGGTCAATCAAGAAGCTCTCGATGCACTCGCACCTGTACTGTAAGGCGCGTGCTTCCTCGGCGTCGGAGAGGACGGGGACGGTACCCAGCATGTCTTGAACGGTTCGAACATGATCAGAATTTAACGCAAGGCCACCGGCGCCGCCGTGGAGGCTATATACGTATGTATATGTGTGTGTGTGTGTGCGCATAGAAAGGGAGAAGGGTAGAGGCAGGGAGGGAGAGGCGGGAAGGGGCGGCGGGCTCGAGATGAAAGGCGGCGTTGCTCACTTTGACTTTTCGCATAGGCCTCGAGGGCTCTGAGCTTGCGACGGAGCATGTCCGACTCGAGCTTACTGTTTGGCACATGTTTGGCGGGGAGCAGGGCAGCGAGTTTCTCCTGGATTTCAGCTTGCTGGTCGAACAGCTGCTGGATCGTGGGGTCCAAGGACGGATCGAAGCCGGGTACGACTTGAGAATCCCGGCGCTCGAACAGAGAGCCGCGACGATCGAGTCGGGGCTCCAGGGAGTCGGCAGCCATGTTCCTCCTCGCTAGTCCGTCGATGCTGCCTGCGTCAGGGTGCCAAAGTCCGGGCCGGGCCCGGGCAATTGTCTTTCTCCTAGGGTTTGTTTTTCTCTCCTTTCTGGTTATTTATTTAGTTTTATGTTGGGGTTCGGTCCTGTGGTTTTTTCTTTTTTTTTCTTTTCCTCTGCCCTCTGTCTGGATAGGCCCGTGCCTGGAAGCCTTATATAGGTGAGTATGCCGTATGTGTGTGTGTCTGCGTGTATAAGTATATATAGGCTGACTGAGGACCGTGCCGCAGCACCAGCAGCAGCGGGAGGCTTTTGGCTTAAGGCTGGGGCCGCTCTCCGCTTAGCCTCACCCCGTATGCGTCTGCCCTTCTCTCTCACGCACCCGCTGTCCTTCTCTTATACTCTTGTCGCTCGCTCTCTCGCGCACTCGCTCACGCACGCACGCACACACGCACACACGCACACGCGCACACACATACACGCACTCTCTCTCTCTCATACAAGCACACATACACGCACCCGCTCTCTCTCGCTCGCTCGCTCTCGCTCTCAGACTCGCTTCCCGCTTGGGTGTGCGGGCCAGCTATACATATCAACTGAGGCTCAAAAAATACAGGGACGGCTCAATCGCAAAAGGGATGCTCATGACGAAAGTGCCGGCCAAAGGGTGCAAGGGAAGAAGGGGGGGGTGGAAGATAAAAAGAGAAGAGGTCAATGACCGCGCCCCGTGACGGCGAGAGCCAATAGCGAGGACAAATTTCAAGATTAGCTGCAGGACGCCTGTCGGAGACGATGTCGCGAGGGGGGTGGACGTGAACTCGGAACGTCTGGCTGATTCCCTGCGAGGGGAAAAGAAGGGTCAATGGCGGCGGATGGCAGGGAGGGAGGGAATGGTAGGCTGTCTCTTTTTTTTTTTTTGGTTCCCTTCCCGTTTCCCGTTACGAGAGAGTGTCAGAGTGAGAGTGAGAGAGAGAGATGGATAGATAGAGAGCGGAGGTCTTGCAAGGTCTTGGTATCGAGGGAAAATAAGAGAGGAGAGCAGCAAAAAAAAAAAAAAAAAAAAAAAAGAGCTCCAGCTCCAGCTGCTTCCTGCCACTGGCTAACTTGGCCTGGTGCTGCTCTTTCCTGAGGGCAAATTGGCTAATAAGTTTTGGGGCCGTCGCGATCGAGAAATAACACACATGCCTGCCTCCCTCCATAGCCACAAGCGGACTAGGCGGGTTGAGACGGACGGTCTGAGATAGCAGCGACGACGTTAGGTACCCACCTGCCCTACCTGCTCCTTGCTCCTGCTGCTGCTGCCGCTCCTCCTCAGGTTGCCTGGCGGGTACCTAGTAACCTAGCAGTAGGAGAAGGCTGGCTGGCCGACAGCGCAGGTGCTACGCCGAAGGGAAAAAAGAGGTGGGGCGACCAACTACTACGGCAGATTACACACATATGAAGCCAGCTGCACCTGCACCATTGTTCTAGGGGGGAGGGGGAGAGGGGAGGGACGATCTTCGCGGTGTGTACCTACGTACATACCCAGGTACATACATGTCCGAGTACATACGTGCATATATACATACGCGGCACGCGGCCTGCAAAAGGGGACGACGAGGGAAGAAAGAAAAAAGAGAGAGAAAAGGTGGGGAGGAGGCGACGGGAAAGAAGAAGAAGGGGAAGAGGGAAAAAAGAAAGAAAAAAAAAAGCCCCTGCTAGAGCGAGAGCGAGAGGAGGGAGGGAAGAGAAGAGGTGTGGTGGGAGGGTGTTAGAGAGAAGGTCCGTGCTGCCGCAGCTCCCAGGACCGACTGATGGGACGGGCGGTGGAAGGGGGGAAAAAAAAGGGTGCAGGGTGCAGGGTGCGATAATGCTGGCCAGGATTCTAGCTCCCGACCAGCCGGGGTATTCGGGAGGTCGGTGCGGAGTGTCCAACGCTTCCCTGCGACCTGCCCAGTATGTACATCCGGGGCTAACTTGGCTTGGGCAGGTACAATACTGCTAGGCCTAACCCTTACCTTAGGTACATTAGCCCCCCGGGAGGTACCTACCTACCTACCTGTCGCTAGAGGTGGGTTTGCCAGCCGGGTGCTAGTAGGTACCTAGAGATGGGTAGGCAGGTAAGGCAGCAGCTTGCTAACTACCTAAGGTACCTACCACCTACCTTAGGGAGATACCTACCTAGGTAGGTAGGTACCTAAGCTCCCTACCTAAGAATGCGTGTGCGCAGGTGTTACTGACGTACTGCTCCTACGCAGCTAAGGTGATCTCGCCCTGTTATTGTATCATCTACCACGCACCGCGCGCCCTCCCATTGGACCGGCGTGGCACGACTTACCTAATGGCTCCGGCTCGAGGCCAAAAGCGAGCGTCGCATCAGGATTCGTCGAGTCCGGGATCACAAGGAGCCGCCTCGTCTCGTCTCGTCTCTTGTCTCTCTTCTTTCTCTCTGCCCATACTCTATCTCGCCCTCACACACGCGCTCTCGCGCGCCCGTACGCGCACACACACCCACCCCTCCATCCATTCCCCCCTCCACACGCCTACGCATATACCTACCTAACCTACCTACCTAGAGTACACACACATACACATACACACACATATACACACGTACATATGTGCACGCTTACGCTGGGGAACCTGCCTACCCAGTCCAGGTTCCTGACGAAAACGGCACAGCGAACGCGAAACTAGACCCGACAGAGAGAGAGCGCCGGAAGACGAACGGGGGGAACCGAGGAGCGAGGGACGACCAGACGGAGAGAGAGATAAGAACCGCCACATGATGCACGCCCGCCTCTGACCTGCCGCAGCTAGCAGGTATGTACATACTTTATACCTCTCTATCGGACTGCGTACCTCGCATGCGGCAATGCGTGTGGACTGCTACTATATAGTATGTGTGGAAACACGCTCGCGGGCGCGAGGAAGAGACACGGGAGAGAGACAGTCTGCCACGCTGCTTATTCGAACAGCCCACGCCAACATGGCCTATCAGGTACCTACCTACCTACCTACCTACCTAGACCTCTAGACACGGATACTACCTACCTAAGTACCTGCTAGGAGACGTGTATAGAGTGCGTTCCCCCCGTCATACGTGCATGCCTGGGTACATACATAAGACGCCTCCTACGGGTGCGTTGGGTAGGTACACGTAATACCGGGTAAGTGGCGGGCGCAGCAGGCAATGCATCGAGGTATATTATCACGTAGCTATAGGCATATTTCTAATGTGTAGGGTGCAGGATGGGCTCTCGCGACGCTTACGAGAAGAGAGAGAGAGAGAGGACGGAAGACAAGAAGGATTGTCAGACGAGTACGTTGCCTCGCCTTGGGCAAGAAACTAACCAAGGCGCCGAAATGGCTCCTCATCGTAGAGCCGACTTACACCAACCCCCTTCCCGCCTAGCACACACGCGCGCTAACAGGCACCCGATGTATTTATATATATATATACCTGCGTTGAGGTTGCTGTTGTCTGCCGACATATACAGCACAGCGCACATACATACACATTGCCGTACGGACCAGCCGGCAGACACTAGGCAAAATAGTAGAACCAGGGGACCCAGCGGAGGGAGAGGGAAGAGAGGCGGAACCAGAACCAGAACCAGAAACTCCCCCCCCCTGACTTCGAAACAGGCGACAACCCAGATAGGGCGGGCCTGCGCTCTCTTCGTGTCCTTTTTCCCCGAGAAAACGTGCCACTGGGGGGGGGGGGGGAGAAAGGGGACCACCGTGTTCACTACCACCTTGCCCTAGCCGACCAGGTACGTCTTCTGGGTCGGTACTAAAGCCAGGACGTACTATGATGTGTGGTCCATTTGCGCACGCATACGGACATGGGTCTTTGTATGTAGCAGAATGGAAACGGGTAGGTAGGTACTCATAACTAGTGGTAATTTGTTGTCGTTACATAGCCTCTCTTAGAGTATCTTTAAGATACCCCAGTAGAAGATTGAGGAGGTAAGTAGGTACCTAAGTAGGTGCTCATTGAAGGCTGCGGGCGGGTAGGTATCTTATTACCTAGGTAGGTACCTGCTTACATAGATACCTAGAGGTTCGGATCCATCGTTAGGATGGATGTTGGTATGTGAGGTACGGACCAGGTAGGTAGAGGCGGGCAGGCAGGCAGGCAGGTATCCAGGTACGGCGCGGGAGGCGGTAGCGCACGGCGGTCGTTTTTGAATACTGACTGACCTGCGTGCCTAATGATCCTAGCGATCCTTATCCGCTTCTCCTGTCTCTTTAGGCGGCTAAGAACCTTGCTGACGGTGTGGGGGGGGCGACGACGACGACGATGAGGAGGAGGAGGAGGAGGAGGAGGGGAAGAGATGTGGGCGGTAGCGGGGGGGGGGGGGGAGCACTGGTGTGGGTGATATAAGTCGACCCAGTCTCTCCAAGTCGGATCCGCCCGCGTCATTGGCCGAGCGTGCCGATTATAACGTGAGGTAGCACTGCGCGATGTGGTTCTGTAGGTCGCATCGACCGCAGCACCCAGCTGCTGCTGATGCTGCTGCTGCTTGCTGCTTGCTGCTGCATGCATGACAGGCGGGATACCTTCACCATCCACCCAGAGCTGGCTCGGCTGGACGTCCAGCTGCGGACTGGGTTGACGCCGATCGCCCGTCGGTGCTCTCACCCGCAGCGTCGATGCGACGCCAGCAATTTGCCCCGTCGTGGCACAACCGCGCAATCGCGTAAGCGGGGAGGCTGGACAGGCAAGATAGGAGAGAGGGAAGCAGGGAAAAACGGGGACGAGGGCGAAGGACGAGGCGGAAGAGAGAAAAAGGGGGGAGGAGGGGAGGAAGAGGAGGGGGATGGACCCATGAACGATACGACCTCATCACGTTATCAACGAATCCATACCTACCTACCTCCTAACCCCTCCTCCGTGTCGGTCGGTTCTTATCTGCCTTTCCCTGCAGACCTAATAGGGTATGTATCCCTCTATGATGTGTGGGATACCTATCTAGCGAACACAGCAGGCCATCCGGTATTCAAGTCGTGTCGCGGCGCGAAAGTAGGAGTGAGCCGCCCTCCCTGTGCCTAACGCAGTGTAAGCGGGTAAGATAGAGATATACGTGTGTATAGCAAGTAGAGGGCGTAGTATAGATCGAGGTTAGGTTTAGAGTAGGTAGGCATTTTTAGTCTATTGATTAGTACCTACTAATTATTGATTACGAACCCTCTTTAGAGTATACCTACCTACCTACCTACCTACCTACCCGCCTACTACCGCTTGCACGTATCGTATCCTGCCTGTCTCCTCTTCTACCCCCCCTCCCTTTCTATTCTTCCCCCTCCATTCTTCTTATTTTGTTTTATTTGACCCCTTTTAACTAACATCCCACCCGGCTTCGCCAAAAGGCTTGAGATCCCGACCCGTCAAGAGACAGTCAGATAGGAAGAGAGGTAGGTCTGTCCATCTGTATGTAGGTACTGTGCATCCTCGGCATACCCTGCCCGCCTACCTACCTAACTAACCTACCAACCTACCTCCCCACGATGATGCATAGCATCAGATTACACACGCATACGCTACCTTGAAACCCCCCCATCGCGCGTCCTAGTGAGAATCGGAGAGCCGGCTTGGCACCGCATCCCTTGATAGGTCGATCGGAGCAGCCCAGCATAAAACGGTGGTAACCGTGGACGAGCCCTCGCATTTCTTGATCTGGTCGATGCAGCCTGCAACCACACAGGCCGGGAAATACGCGCCTACATAGTAAGTAATAGTTGGGCGCTTTATGGCCCGTTCCCTAGCCGCTGATAGGCAGGCTGGCTCCATCACCCGTCCGAAAGAGTTTGCTCGGGGCCACATCCGGAGAAGCAGCACGCATTATTATTATGTGTATACTACCGTGCGGGTATATGGGTATGTGTGTGTGTGTGTGTTGTGTGTGTATATAGTATGTGCAGCCCATGTACATACATAATAGTAAGGGTAACGCGTGTCCCCGTATATGTACAGACAAAGCGACACGAGACGGGCAGACGGGCAGACGGACAAGACAGACTATACCGCTCCTATAGGCCCGCTCCCGCTGGTATAGCCCCGACTTTTTCGAGAAGCTCGCGCGCGAACCCACCAGTAAGCCTCAGCGCCAGTGCACCCAACCCGCCCACCGGCCGCCTCAGCCCGGTAATTTACTTGCCGCTAAGAACAGCCTGGCATCAGCTCCCAACAGCCGTCCATGCCATCCATCGTTTCGGCTGACCTTCCCACACACGCTCTAGACCATCCCGCGCCCGCCCGCGCCCTCCCCTCCGCTTCACCCCATCTCGATCGCCTGCGGCTTTCTCTCCCTCTCTCGCTCACTTTCTCTTCCCCACCAACCCCTACTTTTTCTCGGTTCCTAAAGAATAAAATAAAATAAAAAGTGGAGGGGTCACGGTCGACCTAAAAGAGCAGATGAGAGAAGAGGCATCTCACTAGCACTTACCTACCAATTCTTCACCCCACATTCCTCCCCACCCCCTGCCACAGAACGGTGATGATTCTGTACCTGTCTGGGGGGGGAGAAAGAAGAGAGAAGTACGTAGACGGCATCGGGAGTAGCTGGAGTCAGCGATTCGAGGGATGCGTAGCGGGCGTCAACCATAGGCTGCGGCACATGCGTCGACATCGGCGCCGATCGCTTCCCGAGATAGAAACGTCATGTTTCTTAAGTGCATTGATAAGTGCCGAGAGAGGCCCAAGAGAGAGGCCTCGTCTCGTCCGCCCGTTCCCGCCCATTGGGGTGCAGGCTATTATTGTGGGTTAATTAAGCGTTGCAGATGCACGCCCTCGTATCTCACTCTGCTCTCCTGCCCTTCGACATGGCCGGTGTCTATCCTCCGCTCCCCACGCGCTTCCGCCGGGAAGGGACAAAGCCGGGTGGTAGGATGAGGGGCGTAACCATCGGTGGAAGGGGGGAGGGGGGAAGAAAGAGAGGAAGAGAAGAGACAGAGAGAAGTAATGGCGCAGGTGAGGCTGGGGAGCGAGGGTGAGATTCGAGAGTGAGCAAGAGAGAGAGAGAGAGACAGAGACAGAGAGAGACAGAAAGGAGCGATGAGAAATTTCAGCGCTTGCTGAAACCACTTCCCCTATTCAGCAACGCATTCTCGTCGACTCCGACCTTGTCTCGCCCGTTGCGGCAAGCCGCTGACTCGTCTCCGTTGTAGATCGCTCACCCCATGTCGCCATCGTCACCGCAGGCGGGTGCGCGAAAAGGCAGGCTGAAATGGGTGGGAATGAGCGAAATCGCGTGCGCGGATGACAGAATGGCAAGGGCAGGAGGCGGTCAAGGCCAGGCGGCATGCAGAGCTCACCAGCAGCAGCGAGCGCGGTCCGTTCGAATCACGGTAGCGGAAACACGCTCGTCACACCTGGGATTGCGCGTCGCCAAGAAGCATCTGCAGGTCGACAGAGGGACGGATGGACAGAGGGGCCAGACATGTCCATCCAGCAGACCGACACTGAGGAGGGCGAGAGAGCGAGAGAGAGGCGGGGGGGGAGGGTGGTCCGGCGGAATGGAGCCACGGGATAGGTCGTCGAGGGAGAATACGTATCGGGGGTGTGGTGGACGAGACGGAACGAGAGACAGGCGGAGGAGAGGGAGGGGAGGGGGGATGGAGAGCGAGCGAGCGAGAGATAGAGAGAGTGAGTGAGAGACGACAGGTTGCCTAGGAGGTTAGGAGATAGGTAGTAGATGCAGCGAAGGCCGTGAGGGCACGAGATGGGGAGGGGGGGGGAGGGGGGGACAAGGGCGACGGTATTTTCCCTCGTCGATGCTTCCCTTCGCACTTTCTGGCGGCCAACCAGCGACGAGCGCACCCTCCTGAATACACAGTTGGGTCGCGATTGGTCGGCTCATATAGCGCTCCCCACTTATCGCCTCGACATCGTTCGCGCTTTCTTATCTGCTCGTTCGGAGCGTTGCGAAGCCTGCCCGATTGCCTCAGCTCCAGGGCTCCGTCCAGGTTCCCGCTCTCTCCGAATCCAGCAGGTCCATTACGTAGCTGCTACATATGCTAGGTACGCTGCCCACGTACCTCTTCCCATACCTTAGGTACCTCCTCCGCCTACCCTCTTGCGCGGTATATGTGTACATACATTAGGACGCAGGTATGAGGAGCTACCTGCGCAGGCAGGTAGGTAGGTACCTGCCTCTTGACCTTGAGTACTAAGCTGACCCTCTGACGGGGGGTACCTATTAGTATTACCTACTACCTCCTACTATAGACGTTAGGACGAGGTAGTATATTAAGTACCTGTCTATGAGTAGCTACGAAAGGTGGGAGGCACCTACCTAGGCATGTGCCTCTTCATATGTGGGATGGCCGCCGGCAGGCATCCGCCCCTCGGTGCCCAGGAACGTCGTCCTCGTTCGTCCATCCGTCCATCCTCAAAACCCCCAGAGCCATCAGCAGAGCCGTCGCCTAGCCACCCACGCCCGGCGTAACGGATAATTGGTGCCCTCGCTTCCTCCTCCCAACACACCTCCACCCGAGCCACGGCCGGGCACCTCCTGGCTTGCCTAGTAACGTAGCAGCAGGAGACGAAGCGAAGCGCCCACCCCTCACCGCTGCCTCCCTCACACCTACCATGCCTCTCTCCTACAGAACCTAGAGAAGGCTGAGGCTGCGACAAGGCGGGACACTCGGCATCACCACCTCCCCCCTTCTTTAGGCTTAGCCGGGCTCGTTGCCTTACCCTCAGCTGGCCCCCAAACGGATAGACGAGGTCGACCTGCCTGCCCGCACGGATCGCTCGCCGCGTTGAGATCCAGTATGCCTTCGCAAATCGCCAAAGGCCCCGGCCGGTCACCGATTCCCCTCGTCTTGCCTCGTTCGCCATTCCACGCCGGCGCGCATGCGTTATTTTCAGCTGTTGTTTTGTTGCCCGAAACTGCCCACGTAGGTAACTTGTCCGCCGACGGCGACGCAGCTCTAGTCGAGTTCCCCCCCTCCCCCTCCTAAGGCTGTCGACAGAATCATACGTGACACCCACTTCGAGGGTAGAATCGAACTTACTTCCCACACCTGGCTTGCGGGAATGTGACGAATACATGTCGGCGGCTACGCCCACACGCCGAGATCCTAGAGCCAAGATGGCTAACTAGGACCGAAGGCCCTAGTTCTGCTTCTTCTCGTGCTGCCCCTTGCTCCGAGGTCGCTGGAGGTTCGTATCTGATGTCCTATTACCCCCATGGTAGGGATACACACGCCTAGGCGGCCTCTTATTTATATTTCTGGTTTGCCGTGGTTGTGTCTGTAGATAGGAATCAGCATGTATTCCGCTCTAATGTTCGACGTACTCAACCGTAACCTCATCCATAGATCCTCTCAGCCACGCTCGCGACTCCGTACAGGTTAACAGACTATAGAAACTCGAGGGCTCTTTGTTCTGTCGCGTGTAAACCCGTCTCTATACGATATCAATACCTTCTTCGCGGGGAGACGCAGCTATTGTTGTCTCTAGTAAGACTGCGTGCCCTTTCGTGTCCCCCCCAGTCAACATCCACACCCGCAGTCAACCGACCGGACCGCTCTCCTGCTACAGGACGGCGCCAACAAGGATCCGCCAGTAGCATTCCTACTCAACATACATCGACGATAGTCGCCATCGGCGAGAAAATGCCGTACCAGGGAGACTGCCGAGAGCAGCAACGGTGGGAGGGTCAGGAGGGGAGGCAGCAAACGCAGGACGAGAACAGGGGGCAGAAGCAGCTCGTAGCCGGCGCTGGGGCACAGTTCGAAGCCGTGGGCGTGGATTACGACGGCATGTCGCGCTCCCTCGCGGAGCTCGCGGGGCCGGCCCCGGCCGCCTCCCCGGAGCTTAAGGCGGCGCTCGGACGGACCGCGGCCGCCAGCGCCGCCCAATCGGAGCTTTTAGATTCGGCCGTCCTCACAACCTTGTCTCCCCCCCGTCGCGCGTGAGAGTTTGTCAGCGGCTTCGGGGCAGGGCGGGCCCGGCCGGCTCCCGCATATCATAAGATCAGACGCCGGCCAACCTATTATAGCCGTAGAGTCGGATACGGAGGACTGGGATACGAGACGTCGTCGGGGCGGATAAGAGAGGCGAGCGTGCGTTCGGCCCAGCGGAGGCAGAGAAACGGGGGACGACGACGACGACGACAACGAAGAAGGAGAAGAAGAAGAAGAAGAAGAAGAAGAAGAAGAAGAAGAAGAAGAAGGAAAACGGCAACAACTAAAATACAAGGTTCTAGCAGTTAGTTCTCTCTCCCCTCCCTCGCCCCTCCGTTCCTTCTTCCACGATAACCTCGACACCCGGACCAGACAGAGCCCGCCTCACCGCCCCTCGCCTACCCGAGCAGCAACCCCCTTCGAGACGAAGCCTGCAAGGCACAGCAACGCGCGCGCGCGCGCCTACCTATGTCCGCGCACACCTCAGACACATACACATACCCACACCCACACCCGCATCCAGACGGTATGTATGTACGCGCGCGCGCGTACGTGTACATATGCGACCCATCCTCCCCACACGACATCTTCCCGCAACCTCCCCTCCCTCGCCAGCCGACCGGGACCTGCATGAGCGTCGCCAAGAAGCGGAGGCAAAGCTTCCAGCGTCAGCCGCCGCGGCGTCAGCTTCCGGCGCACCGTCCCCGCGCCGCAGGAGCAGTAATGCCGGGAGGGGTTAAGAGAGAGAGGGAGGGGGGGAGAGAACGAGAGAAACAAATGGAGAAACGGAGGAGAGACAGAGCACAGGTGAGCACGACGGGCCGTAGAGCAGTGGAAGGGAGAAAAGAGGTTCTAGGATACCACGAGCTTAAGCAGCAATTGACACGACATACTCATACTCGTACACCCCCCAAAAGAAAAAAAGTGCTCTCTCTTTCTCTCTCGGCGTGTAGTCTACTCTATATGGGTTGCGTCGACCTAGCACATGTTGAAAGAGTGCCTCTTCTTCTTTTTCTTCCTCTTATCCGGTCCCGTCCCGTCCCAAAAAAAAAAACTCCACGCCGTCTAGTCTAAGGTATTATAGAATCACCGGTGATAGGATCCTCCAAGCGACTCTTAGCCAATCGACCTTCTCTTCTTCTTCTTCTCTTCCATCTCGTAGTAGTATCCAGCGGTTCTCGTACGGGACTCGCCCCTTGGAAAGAATTTTCTAGATCCTATTCCAATTGGGCCCACCTCTTCTCGCGCGCCGACAGCCCCTTGCCGGCGCGGCCGCGAGCCTCGTCCGTCGATTCGCGCCAGCCCCAGTACTCCCCTAACCGCAGCTCGGCGTACTCGGCGTAGTCGAAGTCGATGTGGGAGATGGTGGCCTGGATGAGGGCCCAGATGCCCCAGTAGAATCCCGGCACGCCCCGGAACACGTCCGTCTCCTCCAGCAGCTTCTGCGTCTCCTCCTCCTCGTCCACGTCGCTGGGCCGCTTCGGCACGAGCTTGAAGTAGGTGCGGACGTATTCCCGGATGAATTCCAGCCGCTGCGCGCGGGTCGGCATCGCGGTGTAGTCGCACTCGAAGCCGCCCCACTCGGCGAAATGGTTGGCTAGATCGAACGCCGCCGGCGAAGGGGTGGCGTATTCGTAGTCGATAAAGCTGACCGACGTTTGGCGGCCGTTCGCCTTCTCGGTGCTCTGCGGTTCGATGATGACGTTCCCGCTCAGGAGATCGCAGTGGGCAAAGACGAGCTAGAGGCGGCCAGTGTGTTAGCACGCGACGTTTTAATTCTGGGCTTAGGTGGTGGTCGAAACTCACGCCGTTCTCGCCTAATCCGGGACGCTGGCTCAGTTCCTCTATGAGGGAATCCAGCTCTCGCTGAAGGTTGGCTTGCCTCCTACGCTGAGCCTCGGTCTCGGTGGGCAGAGCCAGAATCCACTTCTGCATGACCGTCCAGACGTTCGGAGGGGGCTTCCCGGGCGCAGCGTGATCGATCTTGGCCTGGTGAGAGCCGTTCGCGGAGCCGTTCGCTCCGTTCGTCTGCACGTGGGTCTCATGGATACAGGGAACGGTGGCATGCCACTGGGCTATCCGCCTGGCAACGGCTAGATAGATCGAGGGCTTCCTCAGGTCAGCGGGCTGGGTGGGGGTGCCACGAATGTAGCGATACAACATGCCATTGTCGAAGCGGGCCAGCAGCTCGGGGGCTAGGCCACATCTCATCAGCAGTTCGTGATTCTGGGTCTCGCGGTGGCGGTCTATGAGCACGTCGGTGCCGTGGCCATACGCCCGCAATAGGACAGCCTCCTTGTCGATCTCGTCGTCGGACAGGCCATTTTTCCGGTTGACGGCCTTCAGCAGGGTGTTGGTGATGCCGTCCTTGAAGGGTATAAATTCGATATTCGAGTCAGGGCTGGCCCAGTCGGGACGCAGGGCGAGGATGAGCTCTCGAGCCGAAGAGCTGGGATTGTCGCTGTCGTAGGAGATGGGGATGTGTCGTAAGTGACCGAGGCCCTTGGCGGGCGGGCTAGATTCATTCGAAGGCATAACGCATGAGGCTTCGGTGGCTACGAGGCGAGCTTGAGGGTGCGGCATCAAGTCACAGGTACGGCGTGGATCGGAAAGGGGGAGAGGTTGCTTGTTGTTCTCCTGGAATGGGCTGAAAAGTGAAAAGGGAGACTGGGGGGGGGCGAGTTCACCGCCAAGAACGCAAATACGTATGTATGTAGTATAGATTGTTGAGAAGTTCTACAGCAGGAATCCAAGACCGTGGCGCCCTCACAAAAAGGTGGACAGACAGGGGGGTCGATAAATAAATGGGCGGTGGTAATAAGTGAACAAGGCCAACTGTCTTGAATCTGGCTAATTGCGGACAGGAGCGCGTCTACAGCTATGGCAAAGGGCGTGACGATGACGGCCGGAGGCAGAGGCGAACAAGAGGACAGTTGGCGTAGAGAAGAAACGTCATCGGCGTCTGGGGAGTGAGGAAGAGGAGCGTCACAGGGGAGCCAGAGGAAATGATCAACTTTTGGGGGGGGGGAGAAGGAGGAAATCGGCTAACGGCAGTGGTCGATGCTGTCCAGGGATCGACCAGAGAGATGGTTAGGGGGCAACAGGGGTAGCTGCAGCCCACTCTAGCCTCGGGAACGCGGTACCGTACCTACTCCTAATCTTCACCTAGGCGAACATTGTACCTACACCTGCCTTAGGTACCTCTAATGTAATCTACCTCTTCTACATACCTCCTCCCGCTATATCTACGGATAGGAGGCGCCTAACCGGAGACAGAGGAATTGCTATCTTAGGTAGGTAGACATCGAGAGACCTGAGGCCCTTAGATTAGGTGCCTCTGGGAGACAGGTAGACACGGGAAAGGGCATGGATATTGAGAAGGTGTGTGTACCTGGTGTAGTCTATACATACCTTAGGTACCACCTACAGGTAGGTACCTAGGTACCTGCCTAGAGGGAATCTACTCATAGGTACCTGAGGCGACGGAGAAGCGGCGCCCGTTCGCCCCCGCTGCTTCATTTGCAAGGCCTGTCAGTGACCTGACCTGATTCCATGCGCGTGCTGTGTTACTCGCCTCAGTGGCACAATTCAGGGCCCGGAGCACCTCGGAGCATCCCACGCGGAGTGGGCTGGGCTCGGCTGAGAGCCCTTCGCGACCCAAAACCAGAATTTGAAAATTTGAAAAGGAGGACCGTTCAACCCGGCTCGACAGCTCTGGGGCGGACAGACAGACGGACAGACGTGAACATCTGACCAGAAATCCATGCTGGCGAACATGCAAGACAGTAGCACCCTTAGAGGTAACCCACCTAGTCGATTACGGAAAGGGTGCGTGACGGCGGACGTGGCCCCCCCCTCTCCCCGCAAGGTTCACGCCGACTATCTTCCGACTGTTCGGCGCTATACGTACACGCATCCGATGTACACCATTGCGATGTTTTACGTACCCGAGGCAGGTTAGCTGAGGGAGCTGAGGCTGCTCTTCGTCGGAGCGTGGCCGCCTGGCGCTTCGCAGCCGAAAGGATCCAATGTAGGTACGAGGGAATCGGCGCTGGGTTAGGGGATGGAAATGGGGGGCGGGTTCTACCTTGCATTAATATGAGGTACCTCACTTGGTTCGTCACATGTCACGAGATCACTTGCCCTCTCAGTGCATGTACATATTATTGTACATTAGGAAATCACCCAACGGTGGCATGTGAAAACCGAGTCGAGCAAGTATCTTAGGTACCTCATCACAACCACCAACACAACCAGTCTGTCTACTTGTATCTACTCAGGAATCAATCAATCAATCAATCAATCATTTGTTGAACCCAAAACGTAGGTGTATATATATATGCTTCCTAGGTAGGGAGGTAAGGTAATAATATACACACAAAAACATGTTCGCCTGGCCAATTCTACAAGACCCAGGTTGTCCCCCAGCAAGCGCACAGGTACGGAGGCATTCCACTACATGCTACCACTATTATATCCTCCTCTTGTTGCCCGCCCATGTAGGAATTACGAGAAATATCCTTATCCCCCTGTACCCATTCATTTTCCCTTGTAAATTACGTCCGCATTTCCCCTATAACGCCTATGTTAGGTTTCATCAGGTTTACCTAGGTTAGGTTTGCCTATGTAATTATGACCTCAGTCCCGGTACCGAAACCTCGCTCCGAGGGTACCCAGTCCAGAGCCGCCATCGTACACATCACATCCTCTCGTGGTTGTCGTCGTCGCCCCGAAGCACGCCTCGAGTGATCACCCGGACCAGCGCGCGAGACCAGTCTGCTATCTTAGCCGCCCAGCCGTCCAGCACGTCGCTGAAGAACATGAGCAGCCGGCTGAAGAAGAACAGGCTCACAAACGAGACGCTGGCTATCACCGCGAACGCGTACCAGTACGTCTTGGCCGTCCAGTATAGGTACAGGTCCTCGATCTGCACCGAGAAGTAGCTCGTCATGAAGCTGATCGGCAGGAAGAAAACGCTAAGCTTGGCCAGCAACGTCGCGCTCCTCGTCAGCCGAGCCGTTGCCTGCGAGTCTTTCTGTTGGGTCAGGTTGAAGTACTACCGACCCTCTCGTCAGCTATGCCTGCTCCACCGTTGCGCCGAGCCAGCAGGAGAGCTTTCCCTTACCGTGGTTGACAATGCAGCTATCTCTTCCAGGAACCCTTCGATCGTGTTCAGCATCAGGAACTGAAGCCGGTCTCCCAGCCTCTCGAAACGACTCAGCGCCGAATTGGTCAACGAGAACCTGCGACTCCCGTCGAGCTGGCCGCCTGGCTGCACGTCCACCTTCCCCACCGTCATGATCTTGCGGATGAGATTCCTGTAGTTCTCGAACAGGTGCTTGAGTTCTCGGAGGTCTTTGCTCAAATAATGCAACGTCGGGATGATATCCGAGCTCTTAGACGTCTTATTCCGGCGCTGTAATAACTTAGCAACACTTATATACGACAGCCCAAGCGAGCAACTTACCGTATTCTCTAGGACCTCGTGGGTCTGTAAGAGAACGCATTAGCGACCCCTCTCTAGCGCTGACGGCCTGCCCGTCGGCCTACCTACCGCATTCTCTAATTCCCGTTCGGCGGTCTTGAGGGGACCGGCCGCGACATAATCCTCGAACAAGTAGTAGAAGAGGTTGCTCGTCCCTTCGTCGGCCAGGCTGCCTAGTTCGCTGTTCGTGAAGAGCGACATTCCCGATTGTTGTCGGCTTAGGTCCTGCCGGTGGAGCGGCAACTTGCGCAGTGATTCCCGCACCGAGATTTGGGCGAGTGGGTTCTCTTTATACAGATCGAACCCGACTCGCGACAGCTGCAGGAGGACGTCGAGCGTGTGCGACCGCATAGACCTGAGTTCGGCATCGCGCCAGCGTTGCTCATCCTCCTTCTCCGGCACCGGCTCGAACGACGGCCTCTCGTGGATCGACAGGACAGTGTCTACCCAGCGCGCATTAACGGCTGCCCGGTGGCAATACGGTAGCGACCGGGTAGGTAATACGTACGATTGTTACACAGTGCAAGCCACTGCCAATGCTTGGGCGGCATTATACTGGTGCGGTGGTGTTCGAACTCGGCCGCTGGCCGTTTATGGAGCCAATTCGCGCCGATACAGAACGCTGCTCGCTTACGTTAGCACCGGGCCGCGACGTTGGTTGCTGCACGAGGGGGGCGCGCCTTTCCGGGTCTGGTCCGTCGAGAAATAATTGACGGTATCCTTGACTTGCAGGTACAGAGCCAGGTTGTCATTGAGCTCGAGGCCGGGTCTCGAAACTCGTCCCAGGGGAAAGGTGCCGTTGGTGCCGTCCCCCCTCCCCTTCTCCGGATCCCGATGCCCACGGCGGAGCGAGATGGGCCTCCGCCTGTCTCGCTGCCGTCGCGTGTCGTCTTGCTGAGGTCTCGAGGCCGTCATCAGGCCCAGCAGCCTGGGAGAGAATCCGTACCGATCTCCGATGGCGGCTACGACGCCCTTCTGTGCGTCGGAGTCCCAAATGTTGCTAGTTGCCGGGTTAGCAAGCCGGCTCGATCCCACACTCGAGAACTATAGCGTACATCCATCGGATAGGGTAGTGCCTCTCATCCGGGTCTTGGTCAAGCAACCTCTTGACATCGTCAACGCCCAGGTCGAACGCGATCCGGGCTTTTTCGTAGCCGAACTCGACGACGAAATTCCTGCTGTTCCCATCCACTACGTGGGCCTCGGTCTGGTCGAAGACGTCGCGGAGGTCAAAATCCCGGAAGGCGACCGGGAAATGTCCCGGGCCGAGCTCCGGGCTCGCAGCCATGCTATATTACCTCAGAGGTCGGCGCCAGCTCGGGGTCGCGGGACAGTCACGGCCTCCTGTGCACAAACACATATATACGGCACGCAGGGGGGAAACGCGCGACGTTTAGCAGAGACGCGTGAGGAAATGAGAGTAGCGGCTGTAGAAGCAGTAGCGGCGACAAAACATGGTCGTAGTTGTTTGGTACGAGGGAGGGAGGAAACGGCCACGGTCGTTGGCGCGTAATTCCCTGTATTTCCAATATCTGACCATGCGATAGGAAACGCACGAAACAGACGGGACGGGTACGGGACGGGTACGGGACGCATTTCACATAAAGGGCTGCCAACCGTCAGGCTGTCAGGTTATTGCGGCACGCATGCGCAGTAACATGTGCACGCGTGTGTAGCGAGCTCGTTGCGAGGGTCACATACGACCTTGTGAAGTTGTATTGAGTGTTGTTGATCGATAATCGCACCTGTCAGGTGAGCCTGTGGTTCCCCCCATATATGCATAGGTACACACACACCTGCAGGTAGCGTATACCTGCCTGCCTACCTAGGTACCTAGGTGGGTAGGTACCTGTAGGTTACTCATATAATATTTAGGCCGGTAACTTGGTGAATTCAACGCACGGGATTGTGATTATATGCCTTATGTGCATCTGCGTAGGTGTTCATAGAGGGGTATATAAAGCATCTATATACCTACATATACATACACATACACGCACATCACCTGCCTTAGGAGCATGTGTGTGTGGCTCTCTCCGACTGGTCGGGCAAAAGCCAGGCACGGAGGCTAGGCCTACGCATAAGAGGTAGGTACCTAAGAATGTATCCACCTCCTACAAACCCTACCGAGATATTATGTACCCGCCTTGGGTAGGTACCTAGATACCTAGCCTACCTAATCTATCAGGTTTTAGGAGGTACCTACCTACGTACCTGAGGTGTCTGGGTACATAGTAAAGGGTACCTTAGAAGTACATAAGGTAGGTACCCCCAGGTAGCTTTACCATACGCATATAACAGGTAGTAACGCGATCACTACCTAAGATAGCAGTGACAGAATAGACTCAGCACGCACATTAGAGAGTATGCATGCGAACTAGACCGACACGCGCCTGCCAGAGGTGCGAGATACGTAGGGCGACTCACACAGGCCGACTTACATACAAGTCGTGAAGATCTGGGACGTCTTTCTCTTCTCTCTTCCACCCCTCCTCTCTACCTCTCTCTACCTTCATCATCTACATACTAGTACACACAAACAAATAAATTCCCTTCGTACCTACGCCAGGCGCAGAAGCGGAACACAAGGAATGAAGGAGAAAAAAAGACACCACTATACTACCACCGTGTTATAACAGGTAGCCAGTATGCAGACGTCCAGATACGCTGAGCAGGCCGAGTGCGCGGTTGAATTCGTCACGGCCGCCGAGGAAAACTGTCGCTTCTACCTCGACCACTCCCCAACGGGCCTCTCAAAGTCAACCAGCGGTCGACAACGTGCCCTGCTAACTCCATATACACCTCCACGTGCACGGCGGGGCTTGGCTAACCTCTCGCTTGATAACCGCCCCGACAGCCTTTGGACACTTTTCTCCCTGCGTCTCCCTCCGGGCACACAAGGGTCTTATCCGCTACGTCATTAATCAGGGCCGCTGCCGGACCGCGGCCCAGCGGACAGCCGATCCCATGTCAGTTACGAAATGAGCTGTGACAGCGATCGACGCCGCCCTCGTCCAGATGAGGCCTCACCTCTGTCCTTTGAGATTGCTGGAGTCTACACGATGCCGCCAGCCCGTAGCCGGAGCGTCGTCAGGACGTCGGTCAGGACGGCGACAGAACAACGCCTCGCACTCAGCGCCGTGGTTGACGCGTGAAACCGCGCCGCCATATCCTTCTACGAGCGCTGCGGTTTCGTACAGAGCACAGGAAGGCCCAGGGCGCCATTCGACCCTCTCAAGAATTCTTCGGCTGATGAGCTGTACCTGCATTCTCGACCGCAGGTCCCCTGAATGATGGGGTCCCCCCCTATTATCTACCGCACTATGCGCGGTAATAAAATCCAGCGAAGATTAGCACGTCCTCCTCTCGCCGCTCCACATGTGGCTCAGCTGGTCGGCCAGCCCTCGCCGTTCCAATCTGAGCCAAGTATGGGATGTGGCCTATAAACAAGTCTGGCCGGGCGCCGCAATCAAGTCTAGCCTTAAAAGAGTCAGCTTGTGACGTTGTGCGCTGCCAGGATTGGCCCGTCGCAGACCAGGTTAATTAAGGATCGCCTTGAGGATTGCCCCAACACCGACTGAGATCGTCTTTGGCACGTCGATGACCCCAGCTCGCGATGTTTCATACCTTCAACCCATGGAAGAGATGGTCCCTCATCGATCCCTTTCCGTCGCGGCGTCGCTGCCGACCATTTACATACAGCCCGAGATCCCTCTTCTCGACTCCACGCTCCCTCCCTTCTTCAGCAGCTTTGCGCTCTTACATTCTTTACATCGTCGCCCAGGTCTGACAACTATCATCGAAAGCATTCCCTTCTCGTCCACTCCTTTCTTACCACAACGACGTTATATTCTCGAGTAAACAACAGATTCCGCTCTCTCCAACCCCCTTTTCAGCCCCATAAATCTACGCGTTGACGATATTGTGCCGTTCCGTTTCGTTTCGTTCGCCGTTATTCAAGATGTTGCCAAGACAGCAGTACTCGGCGGTTCTATGCGCCGTTCTCTTCGGCTCCCTCGTCAGCGCCCAGCAGTTCCAGCAGTGCATCACCAACTGTGTGCGCCAGTCGGGTTGCTCGCCTACCGACCTTGATTGCATGTGCGAGAAGGCCAGCGGAAACTTCTTGACCGAGGTCGTGGTGTGCATGAACCAATGGTGCTCGGCCAAGACCTCGCTCAGCGAATTGCTCGACCCCATCCAGGCCAACTGTGACGTCCCCAAGTCTGCCATCCAGAACGCCCAATCGAAGGCCGGATTCGACACCGGCTCATCCACCACCACGAAGGCCAGCCCCACTACCGAGACTTTGAAGTCAGAGGAGCCCAAGGTTTCGACGACCGGCGGCGTCGGCGCCCCGGTCAGGGTCGACTCAACCACGGTTACCAAGGGAACCTCCCCTACAAGCGCTCTGATCTCTGACACGACCGCGGTCGTCACCCAGACCCCGGATGCGAGCGCTCCTCTCCTCGTTGCGTCTAGCACCCTGACCACGGTGCCCTCCAGCGCCACCACCGGCTCCAGTAGCTCCAGTAGCTCTGGTGGCTCTAGCGACTCTACCAATTCAGACAACGACAACGCCCAGGTGTCGTCCGACGGGAGCCCCGCCGGCGCCAGCACGCAGCAAGGCACCGGCGCGACCGAGAAGGCTTCCCTACTCGCGGCCGTGCTGGCCGTCGCCACCGCCATGGCTTTTGGCTGGTAAAGCCTCAGCCCCCCCTTGCCCTCTCCCCCTCTCCCGGCGGAATCGATATCCATCTTTCATAATCTTAATCTTCTACCTGTACGTATTGAGACGTGGTTGTATGTACGTATCCCATAATATGCATTCGGTCGGGCCCGGTTCCCCACCGCGAACCCCCGCCGGCGGCATCCCTCTACATTCATTCCTTGTCGGTCGCGAGCCAGTCCGTCCTCCCCCCCACACAAGTGGGTGTATGTATTCTTTAAGTCGAGACGCGCATATGGAGCTGTGGTAGCGGTGGAGGAGGAGGAGAAGAAGGATCACGGTTTGTTCTGCGGCTCGGCTTACGGGGCGGGATAGGGTGCCGCACGGGGGTGCGCGCGCGCCTCCGGTGATAGGGTATATACTTCAGGAGCCCCGGCGAGGAACTAACTAACACTGACTGATATCCGTCCCACAACTGTGAATAAAATCTCTACGGGTCTAGTCGGGATGCTTCTACTACAAGACCGGGTCAAGTGTAACCAACAGCAGTGCTTCGTGGGTTCAACGAGACTCTATTGTGTGTTCTAACTTGGTGATACGCCGGATCTCCTTACGGAGAATTAGTTGTAGCGTCGTGAGTGTATACAATCACACTTGCAAGTCTACGTGGTGGCATTAGAATGAATCGCCCGCCGCGGGGGTAGTAGATATGAATATAAGGGTGCGGCGGCTTAGGAAACAACTAATTGCCAAATATTCTTCCGCATTGCTGTGGATGGGGCTATAGTAACTTCTAACATATTAAGAACAGCCAAACCAATCTCGAGATGGTCGAACTCGGCAGCACACGTATTCGGGTTTCAACCTCGAGTCAGCCCACCGATTACCACCGGAACCGGAGGCTCAGGCTGGTTTATCCGGTCGCAACAGCCGGCCAAGAACCTCCTGATACCAATGACCAGTATCAGCCGGTTTCTTCCCGCCGCTGCTGCTACTACTGGGCGGCGGCTTGATGTCCGTCTCGAGGAACAGTCGGGCGGCAGCCTCGGCCTCCTCGAGCCTCCGCGTCTCAGCGCCGGAGAGCCGGGAGCAGACGACCTCCAGGTCCTCGTTCCGGGCGAGCATGAGCATGATCGACTCGGCCCTCTCCACCACGGCCTGGTTGACGCCGTTCATCGCGGCGCAGCGGCTTCCGAAGCTGGAGATGCTGCGGCCGGGCGCCAGTTGGAAGAGGTAAGTCACCTGGTCTTCCGTGGTCGGCGCGTCAAAGTTCACGCGAACGTCCATGTGTCCAAAGGCGAGCTCGGGGCTTTCCGCTAAGAACCCGCCCTCGAATATTTCGTGGAAATGGGTAGCAGCTAGAACCTTGGGTCTCTCGGGACCAAGAGAGGTGAAATGATCCAGCACTGCGGCGACTAAACCGGCGCCGTCCATGCTGTTCGTGCCCTTGCCGAATTCGTCGATAAGCACAAGGCTTCTATGAGTGGCAAAGTTCATCGCGAAGGAGACCTGGCGCAAGTCGATAGAGAACGCGCTTTCGTCCCTCGCTACGCTTTCGCGCGTGGCAATTCGCGTGAGAATACGATCAGTAATCCCGATCCGAGCCCCCGCCGCTGGCACAAAACAGCCGACGTGTGCCAGATATACTATGAGCGCGGCCTGTTTGAGATATACGCTCTTACCGGAGTGATTTGGTCCTGTCAATACAAAGGTGCTGGGATGTTCCACCGAGTCTTGCCGTGTCTCTGCCTCTACCTCCGCCGTCTCTCCCTCGTTATCCTGGGTACCGGGGCCACCGACGATATGGCAATCGTTTGGGATGAACGACGGGACGACTAGTTCCTGCAAAGGGTGGCGCCCCTGCTCGATGTATATGATGTTTTCAGTCGTCATTTGGGGGGCAACCCAGCCATACCGGCCACAGCCAATTGCTAACGCAAGCAAGCTATCAAGCTCACCAAGAATGTCAGACGCCGAGATTATAGCTTCTTGTCGCTCTAGGACTTTGATCGTAAGCTCGTGGATGATCTCTATCTCCCGATCTAGTGTGGGTGTATATGTTAATCCACAACATCCCAAGACTAACGAGGGAGAAAAAAGGTAGAGACTTGCCGATGATCATGCAGTATGCATCTCCGAAATGCCCATCCATCTCTTTCATCTGGCGATTCTTATAGTATACACACCCCTCGGCTGCGAACATGCGTTCCCAGGCATCGACCATGCCCTCGCCGTCGTAGTTACCCTTTCCGGTCTCGGTATTAAGTGAAACGACAGTTAAGAAGCCTAGTTGCGGGAAGAAGATGCAATTCTGTATGTATTTTCTTGCCCATTCCGGCAACTCCTCCCGCAACCTGGCTACGACGTTGGTTAGAAAGTGTTCCATGCTGTCATAACTTCGCTTCAGCTCATCTAGGCCACCGTCGACACCGTGCCTCACCGCAGTTCTACCTCGTTCCACAGACTGCTCGAAATCAATAGTCTGACTGATCAGCTCGCCTACTTGACAGATCGGAAGGGGGCGGATGGCCTCGGTAGTCTATAAATCCGGTTTAGGCCAACTCAGTAAAGATATGTCTATTCGGCGGCATGCTGTTACCTTTCTGATAATGGGGATTCCTTCTGCCCCCGGCAGAGCTTGGAGCGAGTCCCTCAGCCTCAAACTATACGCCGCGAATCGTTGCAAAGAAGCCCAGACATTGTTATTGACAGAAATCCTACGGCCCGGTATATCAACACCCCTTTCCAAATGAGCTATGGCTGACTTCATGTTCTTGATTTTCTTGAGCTCGCTGGTCAGCCGCATAAGCACGTCAGCATTCCCCGGGCGCAATAGAAATGAAATCGTGTTCTGACGTGTATTGATTAGATCGATATCGGTGCTCGGCCGCAGGAAGATCTGGCGAAGCCTCAATTTTCCCTGGGGGGTACGGGCTAGGTGCTGGAAGAGTCCGTATACAGACAGGCTCTCCTTGGCCCCGGAGGCACTAGGCCCTCGCTGGTGGCCGTTTGGATGGTACTCCGAGCGTAGAATCTGCAGAGAAATTAGAGTATCGGCATTGACAAACATGGAGTCGAATAGGGCGAACATCTCCACCGATCTAACCCTGAACATCACCAGTGCATCGGAATCGTTGGGTAAATACTGAACAGTTCTCCGCCGTTGAAGGTCACCGAGGACCGCGCCAGCACAACCGATCTGCGGCTTATCAGAAGAAAGAGAAAGAGGAGAGGGGATATGAATGGTGCCGACTAAACTGTTAGGAGACTATCGAGGTTGATCGAAGTCGCGAGGCGCATGAGGCGACCCTGTCTCGAGTTCCGTTCGCCATCGGAGCTGTCGACATCGCCCACCGCGTCGTCCACAACAGACGTGTATAGGATACTCTGGCGATTAGGCGTCCCGAGATCTAATCCCAGCAACTTCTCCTTGCCGCTGTCGTACCGGAAGTCGGCAGAATTGAGTGTCCGCAGGATATAAGCGCTCTGCAAGCCACCTACCGATCTCATTAATACAACTGTGCCAGACAACCCCCCGGCGGAAGGTTCTAGTCCAACCTTGGCTTCCGTCAACCCCTTGGGCCTTATCGGCCAGGTAGGCTGCCAGTGTCTCCGAGGCCCTCGCAGATATGAGGACGGTAGTAGGGCTTGCGTGGATAAGCAGTGTCTCTACGAGATCGATGCCTAGCGCGGCTACCTCCTCGAGAAGAAACAATTTCTCGTCCGCAGCAATGTAATAAGCACACCCGACGCCTTCATTGTCTTTCATATCGATTGCCATAATGATTTCCCCTGTCGCATCGGCCTCTTCGCTGGACAACGACGTACCGTTCTCCCGCGAGTCGTCTTCGTCGTCCCCAGAACGGCGGCTTAGACTGTTTAACGACGCTCGGCTAGACGGCAGACGCAGGGACAGCCTCTGTCGACGAGGGTGCGGCGGAAGTTGGGGAGAGGAGAGGTGCGATGACATGGCGGCCCCGGAGCTCACGCGGCTCGAGTCTCTCGGCTGTCGCCTGTCTGTCGACTTGGAATACGGGGTGGCGGTATGCCTACGGCTGGGTGTGGAATGCATTGGGCCGCGGGTAGCGGACGGGACGAGCAACGAGCTAGACTGGCTCGACGGAGGGGGCCGGGTGGTTCCCCGAGACGAACCCCGGGACGGGGTCTGACACGATGGGTCCGACGGCATCGCGACGGCTCAATCGCCTTGAAGATGAGCTTATAGCGAGGGAACGGTGGGACTCACAGATCGGCGCCTACGAGGTCTCATCCAAATGGTGATTTAAATACCTATCAAGATTAGGTAAGGTAGGAATTGATACCTCCGTACATGATTTATTACCCCGTGGAAGTAGCGACTCCTACCTGGGTGCCTTCCCCGGAAATCTGATACTCTTTTGAGAACTCCTCCTTCCCGCCCATGATAGGTATCCAGGTAGGTACTAACTTGAACTGCGCGCCTCATTACCTGCATAGCGTCGTTACCTAGTTACCTAACTAACTACCTAGGTACCTCCTAGGAATAGATGCACTCACCAACTCCCGCCCAAAATATGCATATAGAGGCTTTGGTTAGGAGGTACATAGCCACCTGCCTTCTAGATGCTCCTGCGCTCTCCAAAAATTGTGTCTCGCCGGGAAACATATTGGTAAGGGTACAGCCCTCCTACTGCTCGGCGCACGCGGCAGAGCGCGAGACAGCGGCAGTAGGTAACCCTGATTGGTCTGGTTTATTTGTTTTCCAGGGAACGGAGGGAGACGTCAAATCCGCACGATCCGTACCGGCTGCGTCGTCTACTGGCCCTTGGCCCACGCGGCGAACTCTCTCCTCTGCCTCCGGATATCCACAAACCCGGGCCGGCTCTCCAGCAGCCGGAACGGGTTGCCGATGAAGTCCTTCTCCACCTTGCCGCTGCTGTTCACGAAGCCAGCCTCGCCCTCTCTCTCGATCTTCCCGGCCCAGACCCGCCATTGGATCGGCCGCAGCTTGGAGGTGCCCAACACCATGCCCAAGCAGATGGTGAAGGTGGCGACAACGGTCTCGATGACGATGTCGATAGGGAGGGACGTGGTCGAGCCGCCGTGCGATGCCGCTAGCGAGGACAGCGACGCGGCTCGGTGCGATTGGAGAACGGAATGCTCATAGGCGGAATAGCAGCTGAGCGGGCGAGTAAGCAAGTAGGGCTCGTAGGGAAATGTCTAGATGGTACGTACGCATCTGCCAAAAGCAGCAGCCCCAGGGCCGTGGTGAACTTGGAAGCCCAGGTCATGCTGTCGAAGCATCCCACGCGCGGGAGAAGCCTCGAAGATGGGCGGTTGTTAGTTAGGTGGGTTGGGTAGGGGTATAGTGGACGAGATGGGACGGGAAACAATGAATTGCATGATGTGGTCAAGTACAGGTAGAGAAGGACGACACCAGTTCACGTGATTCAGCGTTAGCTTGCTGAGCTGAGTTACTTATTGTAGGTATAGGTATATTTGTGGGATATATGTATATATGTGGATATATGCATGGGTCACACCGCAGCAGAGAGGTAAGTACATGACATAGGTAAGTAAGGCAAGGCGTAAAAGTACCTGAGGTAGTAGTGCTAGTACCTACTAGTACGGATGTTACATACTAGTGCCTTAGGCAGAGCAGAGAGGTAGCTAGAGGTATGCACCTAAACCTGCTATCGGTCCTATTGGCCGGTAATAAGGTCGTGGCCATTTGGCCCGTTTAGCCAACGTCCGCAACCTCGTCGTCGATCTGCTCGGCAGCCCTCGATCTGCGCCGACGTGGCGTCATATCCGCTTGGCAACCGACCGCGATGGTAACTCTAGGTAGATACGGTACTACGGTAGTATGGGCGAGGAGTTACAGCAGGGCTAACGAGGACCAACGGCTAATCGCGCCGAATTACCAGTTGTTCGAGCGCGTTATCATGAGGAGTATCACTTGTGACGTTAGACACCCAAGGTTAAACGCCCAAAGTAAGTACCTAACCTGTAGGGTGGCGGGTACCCAGCTCCTGACCTACCTGTAGATATAGAAGTTGAATACCTGTATATTAGATAGGTAGGTACCTAGGTAGGTTACGCACCTAGGTCCCTCCTAACCTTTAGGTAGGTAAACTAAAGAAGTTATACCTGTGGGTACCTAGGTTACTTATAAGAAAGACTGCCTGCTCAAGCTATCCGGTGGCCTCCCACCGGGGTGCTGGAGCCGTGCTAGGCGAGGCTATTATTTACAACTGTTCCAGCGATTATTTTCAGCGGCTTATCTAGAAACTCAGAGAGGCATTTTAAATACAAGTATAAGGATCTATTCGAGGTAGAGGTAAGGTGATGTATAAGAATTAGGTACCTAACCTAAATTGCCTTCCCAAGTACGGACGGGGATCCAGCTACTTCGAGGCGCTGCAATTCACCACCTACTGTTGGCCCGTAACCGCGGTAGGCCGCGCTATAGGTAGGTACGATACCCGAGCCCGCCCGACGGGGCCTCCTACTCTCCCCCTAAGGACACCCGGCCCCTCGTTTCGACGTCGGCTCCGTAACCTGCCCCAACCGCTGGAGGCGCCTATCCTACCCAAGAGGCAGAGGACAACCCGGTTTTGTGATGGGACGACATAGGGGTCGCCGCACACTCGCACACATCCGAACACACACATACACACACACACACACAGAGAGAGAGAGGGAGAGAGAGAGAGAGATACACACAAACGCCGGTAGCGCTGCCACCGAAAACCCCGCAATATAAAGCAGAAGCACCCCGCGGTGATCGCATCCTTACCCTTCCTTCGTGTCCCCAGCTCCACCCCGACTTGCCAACGCCAGAATTGGTTATTTATCGAAGCAGATCACCATCGCCTACCCTCTCTCTCTGGAGAACCGTCGCGGGATCCGATACGCGAGTAGCGCCGACCAGTTTCGTGCGTGCTGAAGAAAACAACACATTATTTGCAATCAAGAACGTGGGGGGTGTCCTCGTACCATCCAACATGCCTCGTGTAAGTCATATGGAGCCTTACACACCATGCCGTCTACTCACCACTAGCAAAACCACGCTGCTGTTGTTGCTGTTGCTGCTGCTACTTCGTGATGCGTTCGTTTGTGCTTAACGCGTCCTTCTCGGATTCACAGGCCAAGTATATCCTGCTCGACTGCGACAACACCCTCTGCCTCTCGGAGCGGCTCGCCTTCGAGGCCTGCACCGACCTGACCAACGAGGTGCTGGCCAAGTGGGGCAGGCCGGAGCGGTACACGGTCGAGCAGCTGCTCGACGACTTCGTCGGCCACAATTTCCGCGGCATGCTCGTCGGCCTGCAGAAGAAGCACGGCTTCTCCATGACGCCCGGCGAGGTGGACGCGTACGTCGACCGCGAGCTCGGCGCCGTCACGGCCAAGCTGAGCGAGAAGTGCCAGCCCTGCCCCGGCGCGCCCGAGCAGCTCGCCGCGCTGAAGCAGGCCGGCTACCCCCTGTCCGTCGTGAGCACCTCGGCCAAGCCCCGCGTCGTCGCCAGCCTGAAGAAGGTCGGCATCGACCACTACTTCCCCGACGAGCACGTCTACAGCGCCGCCACCAGCCTCAGCCCCCCCTCGAGCAAGCCCGACCCGGCCATCTACAACCACGCCTGCCGGCAGCTGGGCGTCGCGAACGGCGAGTGCGTCGCCGTCGAGGACAGCAAGAGCGGCGCCACCGCCGCCATGCGCGCCGGCATCCCGCTGATCGGGTACGTCGGCGTCTACGGCATCGAGGACGGTAAGGAGAAGATGGAGCAGATGGCCAAGCTGCTCACCGAGCAGTGCAACGCCAAGGTCATCATGTACGACTGGAAGGAGTTTCCGGAGTGCTTGAAGAAGGTCGAAGCCCTGCTGTAGAGAGAGAAGGGAGGGGAAACAGAAGAAGAAAAAAAAAGGTCCCCCCTTTCCCCTACGCAGCGCGTCAGGTCCGATCGGTCGATCGATCGATCGTAGAAGGGGGAGCCGTCGCTTTCGTTCAACGTGAATAGTATAGATAGTCCCGCGGTGATAGGTATTTATTTCGGGGTTTAAAAGGACTCGCGCACCTGCGATGCGCGATATTTCCCTCCCGCCGCCACGACGCGAAGGATTTACTACCTACAAAATTGAAAAATAACCGTACATAGACCGGGTGCGCTTCGCTCCCAAGAAAAAGATCGTGCTTTGTTTCTCGCCCGTGACTTACCTATAATTCGCATCGTAGTGGAGAGAGCAGAGCAGAGGAGAGTAGAAGACAAGAGAAGACAAGAGAAGGAATGGCTGGTGGGGGACGGGGGGTTGGTGTCTAAGCCACCGGCGTGCTAGTTGTCCCGTCTCTCGAAGCTATTCGGAATCACCGTGCTGTGGCCTCTGATGATACGACGAGGTAGACATCAATGAGGCCCGCGCGTCGCAAACCAGGGCGCCGCACCTCGAAGCTGGCTCCGCCTGCGCATCGCGTCTCCAGCATTTTGTACTCCGCCATCCGGAGCTTCCCCCCCCCCGCCGATCCCAGAGCACGTAGATACCGTTACTAGGGGTGGCGGCAGTGCTTCCTCAATTGTCTTAATTCTTTTTACGTACGTGCTAGCACACACGAATGCTGTGGAGGCGAGAAACCCGCTTGCTTGCAAACGGGCCGGTTGCGTGGCGATCGACGGGTTGGAGAAGCAGGGCGGGCTGGACGAAGAGCAGGCGAGTAGATAGTGGCCGTCTAGGAGGGGTTTCTGCAATACGGACACCCATCCGATGCGCTCATCTTTCATAAGGCTCAGTGCCGGATTTTATTTCGCTGCTTAGACGTTCCCGCCCGTCCACCAGGAGGGAGTGCCAGTATGTGGCGGTGGTTTTCCCCTTCGTTCTATGCTCTAGCTACCTACGTGTGTAAGACATCGATCACGCATCGTGTTGAGTAGAGCAGACTAAAATTTTTTTTTTTCGCTTAGGAGTGGCGTTGCGGTACCTCCCCCGCGCGCACAAGTCCGAAGGTAGCGGGCGCGTCATCGCCGCCGCCGTCGCCGCCGACGGGTTCTGGCATAGCTAAGGGCGGGAGGATGATGACGATGACGTCGACGAGGCTATGCACGTAGACACGAGTGGGTACTAGTAGGCGGTATGCCTTGGAAGAGAGCCGGTGGACCGGGGGAGGGTCGTGAACAGACACAGGTAGACAAGACAGGCCATGCGTGGAGGTGGCGGTGGCCAACAAAAATGCCCGGAGGCCGAGGCCGTCTGGCGCCCTGTGAATGGCCTCGATCCGATCCACCTTCCCGCGCACGGCGTCTTCGACCAGAAACCCCCCCCAAAGAAATACGGAGCGCGAATGAGGTCACAATTCTGTCTGGAGATGGCCACATGGCCCTGCTGGACACGGCAGGGTGGGCTCAGCAGAGGCGTCAGCCTGGAACAGATCGGGACGACTGCCGACACGGGCACCTCGTATTCTCCTGTCTTGCTGCCTCTCGGATGCTTGTTCGTGTCTCTGTCCTCTCTGTTTCTCTTTTACATACCTGCCTACGCATATAGGTAGGTGTGTATGGGCATGTCTGGATGTATGGATGAGTGTAGTGTGGTATGGACCGCAGCGTACATAACACGATGTCAATCCCTGTCCCTCCTCCTTCTCCTCCAGCGTCCTCGACTCGAGACGGATGCCGATGCTGCTGTTGCTCTCTGTCTGTTGTGGCACGCACACTGTATGTACGTTGCTGTACGAGGTAGAGTAGAACGCGGTGCGACATGATGGCGCTCCCTGTTTAAAAGTGATGAGAAAAGTGATGAGAGAAAGTGACCAACCGGAGTCAGGCGAATTCATCACACACATCCACCGCCACCACCACCATCACTACTGCTATCCTCCTTTTATTACCTATTTATTTTTTAGGGGAGAAGGGGGAGAAGGGGGGTTGAATTGGTTAGTTGGTTGGCGAACCCCATCCCTTGATGCCGCCTCCTTTATTTTATTTTTTTTCTTATTTTTTTCTTCTCCCGTAATTGTTCCATACAACCGCCTCCATCGCGCTCTCTCTGCTAGCGAGCAAACTAGCCGCCGACGGCTCTCGATAGACAGGGGCATGGAGAAACGCACCAGATTAGCCGCTACATGGTAGCTAGCACCACGAAGCTGAACCCAGCCGAAATCCGAAGCTGGAAATACTGTGTACATACCCGCCTGCCTACCAACCTACTAATACTCAGTACACTCGGACCTCTTTGCGGCTTTCGTGCTTGGTCTTCAAGATTGTCGCCTGACTCGCGATTATGATTATCTGACTGACTCGAATGAAAAGGAATAGAGGAGAGGGGGGGGAGAGAAAAACCATCTCTGCTACGTGAGTCTCACACGCGCGTGTTATTAACTGCCTATGTATCTGCCTGAAGCGGCTCGGCTGAGCAATGCATGGGAAATGAGAACAGTACCGCCGAGTCCTGAATCTATGTATAATAGCATCCATCAAGCCTCCACACTCAGCGCGCCGACGACGGGGAATCGTAGTAGGCCTTCGCCGACCTCTCCCCTTCTATCCCCTTTTCTCGTCTTCCTCCTCCTCTCGGCACATCGTTGGAAAAGGCAGTGGTGTGCGAAAAAAAAAGAAAAAGGGAAAAAGGAGAAAAAAAAGGAAAAATTCCGCGGGGAGGCAAAGCGTATACGTATTCAGATATAGGTAATATCTATGTTATTTATGTAAGTACATGTTCTTCGCCTGTGCCTGTGGGTGGTGTAGGAGGAGGAGGGAGGAATGGGACTATGCCATGCAACATACCTATTGCAACATATCGGCCCCGTCTAGCTATGTATAGACACACACTCATTGGCGTCGGGTGGTCAACATACCACAGCGCTACGTCTATATTCTTTTATTTTTGTCCTCGCTCGTCTTCACACTCCCGCCTCTGTACTATAGGTACGGTGTATGGATGGATGGGATAGGTGTAGACATACCTATAACAACATAGGTACCGAGACAGAGAAACAGACGGGGAGAGAGAGAGAGAAAGGGAAAAAAAAAAAGAAAGAAGAAAGAGAGTGCTGACTAAGATCCACCCCTGAATGCTCAAGACCACCACCCCTACTACACACATTTGCTACTGCAGATATCGTGTATGTAGATGCAGACGCCCTGTATGGATGTGTGTAGACCAAGCCGCCTCTTGTCTTGAAGGCGACCCACTTGGGGGAGAAAACAGGCGAGCAGAAGTTGGATACCCTCAGGCCACCGCGGATCCACCATCAGCTGGCTTCAGGTCTCCCTCCGATCTAGTAGTACCTACCTATGTAGGCGCACGTAGTAATAATAGCGAGCATGAATGATCGCATGGACGTAGGAATTGGCAGTTCTGGATAGATGGATCGGTGGATGGACGTAGGTACCTACATGGGGAGAATTCTCCGTCCCCTTCGCTTATGAGCGGGGCGGCGCTCCTCCCTCTTAGCTTTTCATCTTCGACTCTCCCGTCCTCTGGGTTATCTGCGGATTCACCACCGTGTGCGTTGTGATGACGGCCCACGGTGATAATAGTGATGATATACCTTATGGAAGGTTAGAAACCCCTTTCTCCCCCCGCCTCTCTCTCTCTCTCTATATACACACATATCGCTCTCGAGATATCTACATGTATATACCCGCCTACATAGAATACACATCTCTGAATATACCGCATTTCCTGCGACGCTGGCCTCCTTCTGGATCTGGGAGCGCGAGCAAGGAAGTGCAAGTAAGCATGTGTGTATCAGTAGGAGGCATGATGTACTGTGTATTGTAGGTACACACATGTAGAGTAGCAGGGCGTAATTTTCCTCGCCTCTCTCTCCTCTCTTTGGTGCCGATGTTCCCGCCTGCAAGTTGGACTTGTGCCCAGCCCCGGCTCGGCCAACCACGGTCAGGGTCACGCTCGACGGCGATTGGGTGGCCGCCTAGGCGATCATGCATTGGCAACGCGACGGCGACGACACGAAATTTGGACAACCTTCACTACGAGACGGGGGGGCCTCCTCGAGACATCCTGGCACACAACACACGCACACACACGTCTCCCATGCCCTGCCCTGGCCGACCCAATCGAGCGACGATGATCCCTAGCCGCAAACAGGCTTCCCCAGGACGCTAGGGAGAGACCCCGTCTCGCTTTCATTTCTTACTAAAATAAATAACAAGATCACCCAGGGTCCAGTTGTTTATGGATCTCTTCCTCTTTTTTTCCTTCCCTCCTCTTCTCTTCTTCCCTACCCAACTCGTGTCTTAAAAGACCTCGTCGCTCGCTCGTCCCATAGGTTGTCCCTTGCCTAGCCAGCCTCGCTCTCGCTCGTTCTTGTTCGTTCCCATATATATATACGTATATATATTACCACTATAGCCTAGTTAATATCTAATTGCTCTCCTCGCGAAGCCATACACCGACAGACCGATAAACAGCCAGCCAGCCAGACCACCTCCCCCCTTCAAGATGCGTTTCACCTCCATCATCGCTGCCGGCCTCTTCGCCGTCGCCGTCAAGGCCCAGACCGATGTTGTGACCACGGGAGCTGACCCTACCACGGCAGCCGAAGTCACCACTACTGGAGCCGGCACCGACACCGAGGTCATCGCGACCACTGCCCCCGGCACCAGCACCGAAGCTGCTGTCCCGACCACCGGGACCGCTGTTCCTGAGGCACCCACGACCACCGGCAGCGTTAGCTCTCCGCAGGACCCCGCCCAGGCCGCCATCCTCGCGTGCCTCGAAGCCTGTAAGTAGCAGCCCCTCTAGTCTACCTTACACCCCTATCGAGCTGTGAACTAATGCTCGCGTTCAGGCAATGTGAGCGATGTCAATTGCAAGGCCAGCTGTATCGCCGTGCCCAGCCCCAACAACCAGAACGTGAACGCGACCACGGACTGCGTCGCCAACTGCCCCCAGGGCAACGGCACTGCCGCCGACAACCTTGAGTACGCCAACTGCGTCAGCGGCTGCATCGGTCGCTTCTTCTTCACCACCACCGGCACCCCCAACCTTCAGACCACCGGCACCCTCGTTCCCAGCGTGACGCAGATCCAGACCACCATCACCTCTGACGGCTCGACCTTCGTTACCTCCTTCTCCTCCACCGTACCCCCCTCGGGATCGCCGTCCGACGACGCCCAGTCCGAGGCCCCCAGCTCCACCTCCCTCGGCGCCGCTGACACGCGCTTCGGTCCCGTGGGCTCCGGCATCGGCTTCTTGTCCTTCTTGGCTGCTATCTTGGCTCTGTAGATTGCTACCGTTTTCTCTTGAGCAAAGAAAGACACCAACCGCCTTTAGGTGAAGTGTAGATGTCGAGACGAGTGTGGACGACGTGGATGATAATGCGATGGGGTTATCGATAGGAGGTGCGGTGGGGCATAAAGCGTTGGATGGGCTTGTGCATACTAGGCGCAACGAAAAATGAAGACAATGTATATCTATCGAGGGAAAAGCTTCAAGTAATATCTGGGCCACCACCGCCTATGTATGATTTAATAAGTAGCCGTGGATAGGGATGATGTGAATTATCGCCGAATCCGATCCGCGGTACCCTAAACGATCGATCTACTTGCAGCCGTGCTATTGCCCCGTAGTGTACCGTCACCGAGTAACCGGCAAAGTGCGAGAGCTTCAAGCTTACGTATGCGCCGTCTTCGAGGACTTGTTGCCGTTGACATTGTGCTGTAGTTTTTACCGCGTAGTATCGCTGTGGTGATTCATCCCTTCACTAACGTAGGTAGGGAACATGTCTCGCGCCCGGGAGTCCAGTCTAGAAGTTGGTGTACTTCCATCTGGTTATTTCGTCCCGCCTGGTAGGGCCGCCGCCTGTTCTCACTGCTAGTCATGCGTGCCTCGTACTAAGTCAATATGGTAAATCAAGAACTATTAGAGAAGAGGAAGGGGGGGGAAGAGGCCAGTGGTAGGGACATGTCAAACTCGTTTCAGCGAGCGGGCAGGAGGCTTCATTACCCAGCACCTCTCTCCTAAGCACGGCGGAAGAATTGAGGACTGAAGGCGCGAGAGTACCGAATCAGCTTAGATATGTAAGTTGTTTATCTAAACAAGCTGCTGGCCAGACCCGCGGCACGCGCTCCGTACAAATCAGCGCTCATCTTTTTTCCCCGTCTATTCAATGCGAAGGGAACGGTGAGTGCTGATTGCTCTGCCTCAAAGCGCCTATCGGGAGCCCAGACCTATATTTTCTAGAAACCGTTTAGTTGCGCGATGTAGGCACGACTACGGGGACGTCACTCAACCACGGCAGGTTGAGTCTCTTCATTTCTACTGCTAACTGGAAGAGATAGTCGAGACTTTGGTTACGTTAGGGACCAACCGACTCGCATCAAAATAGTGGGTGGAGGCGGGACTCTTGTTACCTCTCACACATGGTCTTGGCTTTGTGGACGTTGTCGCCCCAGACATAGACGCCGTGCCTACGGACCAGGACTGCGTAGGTATCCGGGTACTGATCCATAGCCTCCTCGAGAAACTCGGTCAGGTCTTCCTCGTGAGCCGTGTTCTCGATGACCGGAATGCGCAGGGTGTCGTGATAGCCCAAGTTGCCCTGCTTCTGGAAGCCTTTGCCGAAACCCTTGATCTGTTCGATGTTGTTGATCTCGAACAGCTTGTCCTTGCCGGGGCCGTGGGCCTCGAGGAGCAGGGTCACCAACACGGCCCACTGCGAGTGGGTGTGGATGCAGCAGCCGGCCCCGCGTCGGGTGAAGGCGGCGAGGAACAGCGGCGTACATTGCGACGGCCTGCCGGAAGGCGGGGAGCGCAAGTAGACGCGGTTCTTGAGGTCGGTCTGCTTGGATAGCGCGAGGACGTAGATGTCCGAGTGTTTCATGAGCTCCTTCTGCACGCCAGACGGCGCGATGTACACCAAGTCACTGGCACGGCGGACGAGTGAGACAACGAGCTTGCCCCCGTTTGCATCATCAGGGTGGCAGAGGGGGGAGGGCGGCGAAGACAGGCAGGCAGATGGCATGCGAGAAGAGCGAGAGCGCAACAACGTGCGCACCACGTCGTACGCAGGCACTCGAGACCCAACAACTTCGGCTGGATAGAAAGGGAACAGGAACGGATCTTACAAGTTGCGAATAGAACACCCTCCTCCCGTGCCAGTAACCCAACCCAAGGTCCAGAACTTAGCACAGAGGGACGGGATGAGGTTGGCGGGGTGGTCGGGGTCATCGGACGTTATGTAGTGATCGTCGCTCATTTTCCCGTCCTGTTCTTCTTTTCCCGGCTTTCCTGTTACATCGAACTGGGTGGTTGGCAACGCGGCAATAGGCCGAGATGAGGCCAGACTGGCTTCTTCGTCGGAGAGGAGGAGGAGGAGGGTTGAAGAGGAGCGGGAAAAGGCAGAGCAGAGAGAGAGAAGAAAAAAGGCGCCATAGTAGCTAACGGCGGGGAGTTGACCTGTGGAACTACAGCCCAGCACTAGTAGCACAGCTAACGTCAGTACAGCTCCCGGTTGTCCAATCCTGTCTAAGGTACCTACCTTAGGTGTCTTAGGTACCTCTTAACCTTACCCTGGGCCACTGCATCTCAGTGGGCACGTGTACACCGTTGTGTACGTTGGGTAGGTACCTAGGAGGTAGGTAGGTACCTCCTAGGGTGTCTAAGGACAAGCCTAAGAGGATTGCCGAAACTTGAGGCTAAAGCCAACCTTGAAGCCAGGCCGCAAGAGGTATACAGGTACATGGCGCTACGCGCAGTTACTTGTTACGGCGCATGGAGCCCAATGGAAGCTCCCCTCTCCTTCCGTTCCCCACTGGCCGCAGCACGGGATTAGGTACCTCCTATAAATAGGTACCTCTTAGGGTCAGATACCTAGGTACCTATAATATAGGTAGGTTAGCAGGCAGAGAAGTACCTATATAATGAGGCATTCCGGCAGTACCAAGTGCCTTAGGTGCCTACCTAGGTACCTAGGTAGGGTACCTGTAAATCCACCTATTAGCGAGGGGCGCATAACCATGTGCTGACAATCGGCAACGGCCTACCTGGGTAGGTACCTACCTAATCGGTATCAAAGTGAGCCGTTGCTGGTTTGATGTACTTATGAGTAAAGGCACATCCCGGTTACTTACCTGTAGGGGGTACGTAACCCGAGGCTATGAGGTCAGGTACCTTAACGAAGCAGGTTTATGCATCGCTATGCCAACAATGCTCTCTCTCCTCTCCTTACATGGTTAACCCGTTTTATGTTCTCGCGCTTGCTATTATGCAGCTGCTTATAGTTAATGCGAACCCTTCTCGTCCGTTGCGCGAGACGGAGTATACTTACGTATAGTGTTATAAGTAGGTGTAGCTGTAGGCGCAGCGAAAGAGATGTGAGATAGAAGAATGTCTGGGGCATGCCATTGAAGAGGTTTCCATAGCGCCATTGGTAGATCATTTATGTATCTATAGGGGCCTGACCTACCCCTCCTTTGTTGGGACGGATACCGGCTATGTGTACTATTACCTAGGTAGCAGATTGCACTTAATGAAGTGTCCTCTTTGTTACGAGCAGCAGCGGTGCAAGGAGGTAACTTCTAGGTCGATACTTGGACTTAAGTTTACCCTAGGTGAAGCAAGTAACGGAGGAGGTATATTAGAGGCTGGGCGTATCGAGGTAGGTACCTACCTAGAGAAGTCCTTTCTCACCTCTCTCATCCCCCCGCACTCTGAAGTACCCAGGTACTTACCCGACCCAAAGCTTCCAGCCAATCAAAGGACGGAACAACCTCCCTGAAAAAGGTACGTACCATCTTTAGGCCACGTTTGCTTGGAGGACTTCCGCCAATAATTAAAAAGTTCACGACGAGCAGCTATGCCAGTTCTTCTCTGGACCATCTTTTTTTCCCTCTCCTCTACCTTCGTCAGTTGAGCTCTGGGAGTTCTCTCACAGCACCATCTCTCACGCACTCTTTCTATCTCTCTCTCTGTCCCTGGACTGTTGTTGCGGAAGATAGACAGACGAGACCACAGCAACGACAGCTACCACTGGGGAACCTGCATTGCGAGTCCTCCGCCATGAAGTTGAACTCTGCTATTGCTGCGGCCCTTCTGGCTACCGGCGTCTACGCCGATGATGCCCAGAAGGCTGAGAGCGCTGCCGAGTCCTCCTCAACTGTCCCTGCCGAACTGCCTACCTTCACCGTAAGTAGTCAATACCCTCTTCCCAGGCAGGATTGATATGGTCCTCTCTCACCCGTTGTGTTGTGTGGCCTCCGTTGTACCTGTTATCGCATCTGGTGCTTGACTAACTAACGTTGTCTGTTCCAGCCTACCACTCTAAAGGCGCCTTTCCTAGAGCAGTTCACCGATGGTTGGGAGTCTCGGTGGAAGCCTTCGCATGCTAAGAAGGACATGAAGGGCTCTTCCAAGGAGGAGGAGGAATGGGCCTACATCGGCGAGTGGTCCGTTGAGGAGCCGTACAAGTACAAGGGCATCGAGGGTGACAAGGGCCTTGTGGTCAAGAACCCCGCCGCCCACCACGCCATCTCTGCCAAGTTCCCCAAGAAGATTGACCCCAAGGGCAAGAACCTGGTTGTCCAGTATGAAGTCAAGCTCCAGAGTAAGTCAACCAGTCCAGATCTCGCGAGTGGCTGCATCGCGTGCTGACAGTCTCCCCTTCTTTTTCAGAGGGACTCGAGTGTGGTGGTGCATACCTGAAGCTCCTCCGAGACACCAAGGCTCTCCACCAGGATGAGTTCAGCAATACAACTCCTTACGTCATCATGTTCGGCCCCGACAAGTGTGGTGCCACCAACAAGGTTCACTTTATCTTTAACCATAAGAACCCGAAGACTGGCGAGTATGAGGAGAAGCACCTGCTTGCGGCCCCCCAGGCCAGCATCCAGAAGACCACCGAGCTGTACACCTTGATTGTTCAGACCAACAACACCTTCACTATCAAGAGGGGTGGCGAGACCGTTCGGGAGGGCAGCCTCTTTGAGCAGTTCTCCCCGGCTGTCAACCCTGAAAAGGAGATTGATGACCCCGATGACAAGAAGCCCGAGGACTGGGTTGACGACGCCCGTATTCCCGACCCGGAAGCCAAGAAGCCCGAGGACTGGGACGAGGACGCGCCTTTCGAGATTGTTGACGAGGAGGCCACCAAGCCTGAGGATTGGCTCGAGGACGAGCCCCTCACCGTTCCCGATCCCGAAGCTCAGAAGCCCGAGGATTGGGATGACGAAGAGGATGGCGACTGGATTCCTCCTACCGTCCCTAACCCCAAGTGCGCTGATGCCTCAGGATGCGGTCCCTGGTCGAAGCCGACGAAGAAGAACCCCGACTACAAGGGCAAGTGGACCGCACCTTACATCGACAACCCGGCCTACAAGGGCGCTTGGGCTCCTCGCAAGATCAAGAACCCCAAGTACTTCGAGGACAAGAACCCCGCCAACTTTGAGCCCATCGGTGCGGTAGGTGAAATCAGCGTTATCATCTTACTTCCCATCACGCGCGTAACTAACTCTCGTTGATGTAGATCGGCTTTGAGATCTGGACCATGCAGAATGACATCCTCTTCGACAACATCTACATTGGCCACTCTATCGAGGATGCCGAGAAGCTGGCCCAGGAGACTTTCTTCAAAAAGTCACCGGTTGAAAAGGCTCTCGAGGAAGCCGAGAAGCCGAAGGTGGAGGATAAGCCCAAGTCTCCCTCGGATCTCAAGTTCCTCGACGACCCCGTCCTCTACGTCAAGGAGAAGCTCGACCTGTTCCTGACCATTGCTGCGAAGGATCCTGTCCAAGCTATCAAATTTGTCCCTGAGGTTCCGACTGCCGCTGGTGGCCTACTGGCCCTCGTCATTGCTCTTGTTGGCATCTTCACCCTTGGCGGCAGCGCGCCAGCGCCTGCCAAGAAGGCTGCTGCCGACGCCAAAGAGAAGGCCAAGGACACCAAGGAGAAAGCCGCTGAGGCTGTCACTACTGGCACCGACAATACCAAGTCCGAGGCCACCAAGCGTGCTACCAGGAGCCAATCGTAAAAAGGGAATATTGGGCGAAAATGGAGAGAGGTACGAAAAAGGGAGGACAGGGATATGTTGGCCGCCCTCGCTCTAGCCTGGTGAGGATTGGCCTAGGGCACGGAGTCATGCTTATATTATTGTACGGTGTGCTTTCTTTTGCAACTCCAGTCTCTGCATGGCGTCGGTGTATTTATACGACTCAAATGAAAAAAAAAAAGTGCAACCAAATACGCTTCCAGACCCCATAGGTTGATATATCAAGGTGTAGACGTGTAGTCTCTCAGTCTGCTGGGGGGGTGACATTTTAAGTGCCAGCCAGTCCCGGCTTGGATCCATATCAGTATATTTAGACAAGCGTAGTGACGGAGGAGTAAGCAAATGAGAGGTGTCAGAAAAGGGAGGTTGGCTTAGGATTAGAGCCACGAAACGAAGAGAGGGTTTATAGTGAGGGCTAACGCGCCTTTGCATCTTGAGAGTTGAGGGAGATATGAGAGCAGTGTTAATCAAATAAGAGTTCGCTACGAGCAACTCATCTCCTGGATGCCTTCCGCAAAGCATCCTCACCACGCGTCATGGCGGGACGGTGTCTAGGTAGGGAGGTAGGTAAGTAGCAGACGCACCACCACACGGCCACCATGGGCTACAATACCGCATCAGAGGCCACCGTCCCGAGAGCCGCATCGCCTCCTGCCTGCCTGCCTCCCTGGCGAATCATGGAGGGAGGGAGGGAGGCGGGCTGAGAAGGAAAAAGGAGTCAGGTTTCCTGAGGGAAAGGTTGGCAAAGAAACCCTGCGGCTCGCAAGGCTATTGTTGGGCAAGGTCAAAGAGGAACCTGGTTGTCGCCTACACTCGCGCGCACGAGCTGGCGACTTGCTTAGCCACCTGCAACAGCTAGCTAGCAGCGTAGGGAAGCCTGCTGGCCCGGTCCTGGGCCGTGGCTTTGTTTAGGGGGGGAGGGAGGGAGACGCCCCTAGGGGGCCGAACAATGAACGTGTTTTCTGCTAGGAGGCGGCATGTTTCTGAACAACGGCATTCTCTAGAGCTGTCGTGGGATGATTTGCTTCTTGGGACACAAAGAATCTACGTCCTATGTTGCTCGCGCATTTATCAAGGGGCGGTAGCCAGCCGGACGCAGCTATGCATCCCCCCGAGACAGACAGACAGTCCCGACAGAGCCCGATAGCCAGATACAGACAGACAGAAAGGCAGACAGCAGCCCCCGTTTGGACGTAGAGCTTCCCTCCAGACTTTGCCAGGAAGGGATTCCCAGCTAAGGCGACGAGGAGCGAAGAAGCGCGAAGAGAAGGGGGAAAAGGGCTGCCGTGGGCGCCAGTATCTGGACCGAGAGATTGTAAGCACCCGGCTCTCGTAGCTGCACGCCCAGCATGTGCTTTGAGCTTCATCGCGAATTCAGCTGCGGCCACGTCTCGACGGAGCTCACCAACTGCCCCACGCACAACAAACAGCAGAGCTCGGCTAAGGGCATATTCGGCGCGCTCCTGCGGGGGGACTTGAAACACAAGAAGGACTGCGGCCGCGTCGTCCGCCACTACATGGAGCTGAAGCCGCTCTGCCACGAGTGCACCGTGGGGGCCGAGACCTTCGTGGCCAGGTACGTGGGCAACGGGGCGCTCAAGATACAGCGGCCGGTCGTGGAGGAGGACTTCCGACGGCCCTTCGAGAAGCACCGCGAGAGGCGCAGGCGGGAGGCCCAGAGGCCGCTCGAAAAGTCCGAGAGGGAGAGGCATGTCCGACACGGTAAGGGAGACAAGGATCGCACGATAGCCGACGCCAACCCCAACGTCTGGATACCGGATCTGTACGAGAACCCGCAGAGGCTAGCGAGAAAAGAAGCCTCCAGTCGGGCCGCGGAGGCGGCGCCGCCGGTAAGCCCGCCGCGGCTGCACAAGTCGTCTTCTACCCACCAACACCCCTCGCGTAAAGCCAGCAGGAAAGAGAAAGAGGCTAGCCAGGTACATGAGAAGCCCCCGAAGAGCCACGAGCATAATAGGAACCACGAGCATAGTAGGCGCCACGGCTCCCAGAGGAGAGCACCGGCCTCTGGCAACTCGCAGCCCCAGAGGAAGCCGGCCGAGCCAGCGCCAGCGCATCGCCGTCCGGGGTATGGAGGTGTCTCCGGCGACAGGCCGCCCACGCCGCCTGTTGAAGAGCCGCCGCGCTTACCGCCGCAGACTACCCAGCACAAGTCGCGGCCGAGGCCGCCGCCCTCGCCCTCGGCGTCGCAGCCGGCAGCGGCGACAGCCGGCGAGCAATCGGATCCGCGGTGCGCGCCGGGGTATACGGTGCCGCTGCCCGAGTACCAGGTATATCTCAACGCTCTGGCCTTTGCCAGGGAACACTCAGAGCGGAACGCCGGGAAGGCGCCGGAGACGCCCAGGGTGCCGGAGACGCCCCGGCCGCCGGCGACGAGCGGTCACCGTCGCAAAGAGAAGCCGGGCAGGATGAATCTGCAGGGTCTGAGCAAAGCCTTGAGGATCAACCCGCCAAGTCCGGGGTCGGATATTAGTTTCGTCTGTCAGACTTCGAAGAAACTGTCATCGATGAAGGACGAGCACCGGCCTGACGACAGGTGAGGAGTGACACGTGTTCAACCCGCGCCACACCCGGAGTTTCATTCCCGGTAAGCTATACATCTATCTTATGTCTCGGCTCGTACTTTGATGAACACGCAAGCGTACATAGGATTGTCGAATCGTTTAGGATATGGTATACATCTATCATAGGTGGGTAGTTGGGCCAGCTTTCGGGCGAGGTTTAGGTCAACTGAACGGAGAAGGTAAATACTGCTGATGCTAAAATCTAAACAATACAGAAAATGGGTTCCGTCGTACCGCCCCTCCCTCGTTCGCATGGTATGTGAGAAGAAGAGTGTCGATTCAGGGGGTTTGATAGGGGGAGGGTCGAAGTCTTTGAAATGTCATCACTTAGCTTCTTATACATAGTCTTGACAGGGGTCCTCTAGGGTGATCGCTACGGAGATATTCCGCCGTCGAGCACTAGCCAGGCGTGTTAATCCGGAGTATCGTCTCCTGAAGGCCACAGGTAAGCGGCGAAGGCCGGGGTTGTTATAACACGAGCGCGCTTCTCGTTAACCAGTATATACAACGCGATACACGAATACTAGTAAAATTAGTTGCCCTCTCCTTTCCATGCCGAGAACACTGACCGTCAGACGTCCGGCCATTGTCTATCCTTTCATTGGGCCTTCCCGCTCTTTGGGGCGCCGTTGGATTTGCGTTGTTTGAATTTAGCTATCTCAACTTGGATGGCCTTCCCGACGCGGTCCCGGAGCTCCCGCCTGTAACCGAACTTGAACAACAGCTCCAGCCAGACGAAGAGGGGCGCCAGGAAAACGGCTTGAACGAGGTTATCTAGCAAGGCAGGTGCCCGACGCTCAAAGACTCCGTGGCCCACAAACTGAAGCAGCCAACATATCACGTGCACGGCAATGGCCACTTGGTTCGTCAGGACGGGGCTTTCGGATAGGGCGGTGTTCGTGATGGCGGCGGCACCCAGACATATCAGGGCCAAGATGGTTCCCGCGACGGGCTCGAGGAGGACGTATAAGCCGCCCCAAGTAAGCGCAGACAATGTGCCCAGGTTAAGGTCGAGATGGTCTATCGTCAGCGCCTTGGGTAACGGGATGACGGTTCCGGTATTTGCAGCCTGTCATAAGACGGTTATTACGAGTACCACGAATGGCCGGGCGACGGCGGAAGCTGCAAAAAAAGGGCCAAGGGACCATTGGCCGTTGATGGACTCGACGTACTATAGCGAAGCCGGAGAACAAGATCAAGGGGACGCACACCATGTGGATGGCGACATTGACCGAATTGTGGTGGTAGGCGCCATACTACGAATGTTCGGTCAGTCGAGGGTTGCCGCTACGGATGACAGACATCGTAGAAGGCTTACAAAGGTAAGCTGCCTTTCGAGGTTGAGTACCATGATGATAGAAGGCGGAGGAGAGGAGTGGAGGAGTATGAGGGACGGGGAAGAGGCGGAAGACGAGGAGAAGGAGGAGGAAGCCCAGTACCGGAGGGGCAGCTAATCAATGGAGTGGTACCTCGCGTAGTCCGTCGGGGGCGTAGATCGTGAAGAGTACGTTTCGCAGCCGAGGGCGAAGTCAAGATCGAAGCCGAGGTCAAGGTGGAGAGAGGAGGTTCAGGTTGAGGTTGGCGTTCCCAGTCTGGGGGAGGATGAGAAATGGCATAGAAAACGGAGGTGGTCTGTAGCTGACAGGCCATCGCAAACAGATTGAACCTATGCATGTGGATGACATATGCATATACCCAAGGTACGTGATAGGTAGGGTACGTGCCGCTAGGCTGTATATTACGTAGGCCCTACTATAATATACCACCACCAGACACAGTAGGTGTATACAGTATAAATCGAAACAATTATGTAAATAAATTATATATATAAATATATATATTAAACATGAAATTTAGTAAAAAATATTAATTAAAATAATTTTATATAAAATATGTATATATAATTCTATGCTAAGTATTAACCTATTTAAGGTATAGTATACTTAGCATTTAAGTATTATATATACTCAGTACCTAGCCTACACTACCAGCTTTAGGTATCTTTACACGCGTATTGTTTTAGCTTAGTACACGCTTCCCTTATCTCATGTAAGTACCTGCGCAGCCCAAAATTAGTAGCGGTACATCGAGTTAACCAGTGTCAACGCTAAAGGGGCCGGCCCGTCTTATTATGTAAAGGTCGATGAACTCCGTTAGTTACTTGGTAAATACCCAGTCCCGAGTCTCTGCCTTGTCTTTCTCAGCCTCCCCCATCCCATCCTTTGACACCTTCCATCATCTCGACGCTGTCGCATCCGCCATCGCAGCATCGCTCCGAGGCTGGCGTCGCCTTGTGTTTCGGCCTCCTTCATTCGTTTCTATCCGGTTTCCTCGCCTCTCACCCTCCCTAATACGCCCTCTCTCGATGCGGGCGTGCCACCCTCGTCCCTCCAGCATCTAGACGCGCCCAGTTGACCGAGATATCACCACCTCTTTTCGTCTTGCCTGCTAGTCGGCCCTGCCACGACTTGCTGCGGCTTCTTCCATCCCCAAATCGCCCAGCAGTACTTCGGCCTCCCATATTCCTCGGCCATACACCAACAGAAAAGAGAAGGAAGAGGACGGGCCGGGCAGTCTTGATCTATCTTTGACAACTGCATACCACGTGTTTACTGATAATAAGACTCGCAACCAGAGAGCAACGGTCGAAAGAGAGCAAGGGAGAGAGAGAGAGTCGGTACGCGAAACAACACGCCGCCTACCGCACGCTGCATCCACCCTCGGCCGAGGCTTACCATCCCTCTCATCCCCTCTCGCCTCGATTCCCGGCCGTTAGTGAGAGCAGCGAAAGAAAAGAAAATCCCTAGCCCGGAGTGTAAGATTGCAAGATGTTCTTCCTCTACAACCTCCAGCGAAGGGTCACCCTTCACCCTTCCTACTTCGGCAAGAACATGCACGAGCTGGTCACGAGCAGGCTTCTGCAGGACGTCGAGGGTACTTGCACCGGCAGCTACTACATAATCTCCATCATGGACACCTTCGACATCTCTGAGGGGCGGATTCTGCCGGGAAGCGGCCTCGCCGAGTTCACCGTCGGATATCGCGCTGTCGTCTGGAGACCCTTCAAGGGTGAAACTGTAGGTCCCTCCTTTTCCCCAGTCGTACGTGCTTCCGCCCGGTGCTAAACAGGGTAAGATGGACGCCATTGTTGTCTCTGTAAATCAGCATGGCTTCTTTGCTGAGGCCGGCCCACTCCGTATCTTTGTGTCGACGCATGTGAGTATCCATCCTACAAACTCAAGGTCCCTCCCCCCTATGCAATATGAGCTTACGGACTCCCCCCCTGCTTCAAGTTGATCCCGCAAGAGGTCAAGTATGATCCGAATGCGACGCCTCCCCAATTCACCAACAACGAAGATACTACCATCGAGGTCGGTACGCAGGTTCGTATCAAGATAGTGGGGACGCGAGCCGAAGTGGGTGAGCTGTGGGCAATCGGTAGCATCAAGGAGGACTATCTCGGGTATTGCCCTCCTTGCTCGTCGATTGTGCCACCCATGCTAATCGCGCCCACTCTATAGAACTCTACAACAATAAGCCGAATCGGCATGTTCGGATAGCACTACTCTCCTCTCCGCTTAGTAGTCCTCGCGCGCGTTGTAGAGCAGCAGGGTGTACGCTGGCGAGGAGTATGCTACCCAGACCCCTGATGGATATGCTGTCTGCACACTTGCCCATGAGCAACTGATGCAGACAGCCGCTGCTGGCCCTTTGTCGGCACCCCTATCCTTGTATCAGGGTAAGAAGCGAAAGTGCTTCGGTTGTCTAAACTTGGAGTATTCCGTCGGGCATCAACGGTTATCGTTCATCGCAACCGGCCTCCGTGCCGCCCGAACTCCTCACACTCATACGCACGTGTATATATGCGTCTCCATGTGGCCATCGCCCTGCAGGAAATCCTCTGCCAGACCGATGAGGCGGCTATCCACGGGGGAACTGACTTAAGTTGTGTGAACACTCAGTCCACGCGGATCCCTAAGAGTATAGGCGTCTCTATTACCAGTGTAGTAATCCCCTGGTACTCGTATCGTTCTATTCCCAGTTATAAGGGCTGTTAAACGAGTGGTCAGCCTAATTAATTTACGAGGCAATGAATATACCTACGTACTGGGCTCCGGGTGGTCCAGCTGTTTTGGTTTTCTCTTCACTGCTGTAACTATCGCATGGTGCCTGCGGCCGTACTCCTAGAGTATTTCCTTCTCTATGATGCGACGACCTGGCGTGGATACCGACCGGGGAGATGGGCGTAGAGGCTGTAGCTAATACGCAGCTGACCTTCACGACTAAGGCAAGTCTCAGGATTAGTCGCCGAGCAAACGGGCCTGTGCAGACCGCGAGGACAAGACAGGATTTCTTGCGCATCACTGAGACAGGCGCGGGGGGGTCGGCACTCTAGAGCAGTCGTTGGTCGCTAATCAGTCTCGTCCTCGCCTCCAGCATTGCCCTCCGTGATGTCTCCAAAGTCTCGAGAGAGCCAACAAGCCACGCAAGGTGGTCAGCAACCCAGGAGGGGAACCCCTCAAAGGCGATCAGTCTTCTACGCGCGCGAGCACACACGCATACGCATGTGCATACGCACAGAGGACGACACAGGATGACCAACCTCTTATACCAAAGGTGCGGCTCCTTACGTGGGACGCAAGGCGACCTCACCCCGCCCAGCAAGTTCACTCCAACGCAAAGGTTGTGCCGTACCTCGCCTCTCTATCCAGGGGAGCCCCTTGGGGCGTACCCCGTACGGCGGGATACCATTAGCCCGCCCTGGACAGCTAGTCTTACTTGATGCGATGGTGAACAAGGGCTACCGTGCCGGCGACCCGTCTCGTCCGCGACCTGTCTTGTCGGTTTGCTCTGTTGCCGTCGCGTTGCGGCTAGTTGGTACCCTATAGTTACAGCACTGGAGGTCGGCAACGTATATAGCTCTCTTCGGGCTCACCCAGCTTTGGGGTTTTCTTCTTCTGCAACTTCTTTCAGGCGGCCCTCCGTGGGAAGAGAGAGCTGCGGATAGCCTGTCTGTCTGCGCACAGTCCGAGCCAATGATAGGCTGGCGTAGTTCCCCGTCGTTACATCGGCGAACGCATTACGAGATTGGCCTTGCCCAGGAATCGAGATAGCGCGGATTATAGGCATCGAGATCTCGAGTTGGAAAAAAGGAGAGACTAGGGAGTATATGCCGCTCCAATCAGGCGGGGACACATTTCCGCCGAGTATGGCCACAGCAAGAGCTCGGGGTAGCATTTAGAGCTGTGTGCGAGGTTCCGGAGAGGGTGCGTATATTGTTAGTCGAGACTTGCTCAACAGCTAGGCTGCATAAGCGCGATGATGAATCATTACTAGGTCTGTTCTCCAAGACGAGGATACTACTCGCGCGCTCGGGGGTATATGTGACGGCTAGACCAGTGCTGTAGTGCTGTATAGAACTGCTGAGGCAGCGATGGAGAAAAGAGCCGTATAGCCACGGTTGAATAGAAGACGTTCTGGGCTCGTATCGCCCTCTATCGCATTGGCCAACGTCGATGAGGGTTTCCGCTGGTTGGTTACCGAGGGGCCGGATCATTACGTCTACTTATCGACCAGCTGGGGTGTATACATAACACCTATACCGTACAGATACAGGTCCTTCCGACGGGTGCATGCGCCGCGGCAGAGCAGCCTTTATAATTATATACCGATATGTCGGGACGGGTGGCAGCGGTGGTGGTGGCGGTGATGACGGTGACGATAGGGGGCGGAACGGTCGATGGCTTAAGCTGGATAGCCGTTGGAGGCCAGTGAAGAGGGCGGCCCGCGCCGACCGAACTCGTGACCGGATGCCAAGTGTTGAAGAAGACCGACACGTCGGACCTGGAGCTGCTAGAGGACACACGCTCCTCTAGCTGTAGAATATCCCGATCCAGGGGCTGCCCTCCATGCGTCCCACCTCTGCATGCGATGTTGTTGACTGTATGGACCTTCTGCAAGGCAATGTAATATCCACCTACAGCCCAAGCCGAAGAATTGGGTGGGGTAGTAGAGATGGAGAGGGAGGGCTGGGCGGAGGGGGGAACGGGACGAGAGAAAGACAGTCCATAGGGCGAAAGGGGATGGGAGACGAGAGGGACCCCAGGTGAGCCGATGCGCTGTCGAACTCGGACACGGCCTATCGTTCTCGATCCCGTTGCTGAAGAGTTTCTGTCTGGCCCCCCCCTTTTCCATCGTGAGTCCGGCTCTCCCTCCCACTCGACCAGAGGAGGTGCTCAGGAATACAACCGCTCCATAACCACGTCCGCCGGGTGGTATTCTGGCAGAAACTGCCTGACCCGACAGTCTGGAGCCGCGATAGCGTCGAATGCAGAGCTCGCCCGATAAAGTCATGGAGGCCGTCGCCGCCGGCAAATCAAACCAGAAGCCGTGTCCGGGCATGTATGCAGCTGTCTGCTGGCAAAAGTCCCACCGGTGAATCCTACGGGCCCATAGCTAAGCAAGTAAGCAGACTGGCGCGTGCGAAATCATCTTCGCCATCCCTCCTACGTTCGCCGCCGACGAGCCGGTGTACCTTTATTGGAACCTCTGGCTGCGGCCCCATACTACGTGCGGGCGGTCTATGTCAGTGATGGTCTTCGCTCTGAACCGGACCGGCGAATTCCTCTTTTCTTTTTCTCGCATCTTCTTTCCTTCTGATAGCCGCGGTGCCTCTCTCTGGAGTCCAATCTGCAGTATTCTACCGACTCACCCTGAGCCACGATGACTGACCGAAAGGGGGGGCCAAGCCTGTCTGTCAATAACCCATTTCGTAGCCCTCGGCCAAGTTTATCCGTCGATCAAAACTCGTCCAGGGAAGGGTATTCAGAGGATGAAGATGCGCCATCCACCGGCGAGGTAATCGTCGTATGGGGTTAAGCTCTTCTCGCCATTTATCCACTCACCCACCGCGAAAGAATATCCCAAGCAGGGGTCCGGAGTGCGTCTGGGTAGGTTTCAAATACGTCGTCAGTAGTCCGGCGATTCCCTCTACACATCTACTGCATACTAATCCATGTCCACCCCCCCTCCCCTGTCAGGATTACTGACGTGCAGGATGGGTTAGATAGGAAACAACTCCACTATGAGCGAAACGTAGGCCTTCTCCTCTTACTCTTGCTCGAGACGGCGCTTGGGGGTATTCGTGACAAGACGCCCGTTGAAGCTGACCAAGCGTCGTGATCGAGATCCTGCTGAGACGGTAAGCATCTGCTGATTCACACAATTCCATGAGCATTCGAGGCCGGGGTTCAGCTCATCAATACTCATTAACGGGTTAGGGATCAAGCAGCTGGGGAACAACCCCCCCCCCCCCCTCTCCCCTCTCTCCATAGTCAGCACATAGGAGCCGATAGCTACGCCTGAGTCTAAACTAATGGAGAGGGGTGCGCTTATTTCCCGTCTACCAGTGACTCTGGTGCTTGTTAAACCACTTAGCTCCAACCGATGACAAGACGATGAACACTATTACCGCGTCCGCGGAACCCAATCAGCAGTCGGGGCCGATGGCATGGGACTCCTCCCTCCGTCACTATCTCACCCTCCAAGCCCTTCGACAAGCGGAAAGGCAGTAATCACGCAGCGCGAGAGTTCCCGGAGTGTCTCGTCCCGTAAGGGGATTGTACGTAAATCGGTATTGTATCTCCGCTGGAGGATAACCTACAGGCGGGCCACCCAGCGTCGTGGTAAAGAGGCATACCCGGGACACTAGAGACTGTGTATACGGAGACTACTGCCGTTCTCTGGGGGCTATATAAACAGTGGTTGGCAAAGCGGACAGCCACGTTCGCTGGTACGGATGCCATCTCGACCAACGTGCAGACGGACGGGGTTATTAGGGGTCGGTATGTATCATGATGAGACCATCATAGGTTTTCCCGGGAGGGCGAGAGGCGGGGGTTCATCTTACCGTGGCCTAGTGGACTGAATCTGGTAGCCTAGAGGATGGCGTGCCCTTTCTTTGGTCCGAGTGTATCGAGTATGTACCAACCAGCAAAATTTCAAGCTTAGAAGCCGTCCATTGTGGCCATTGTGATATCAATGGACTTCGGGATATCCCCCACCCCCTTATTCCTTTAGGGGGGTAGGTTACCTGTCAGCAATGACCTATCATCTGACTCGCCGACCTCGTTATTTCCGTCCATTGCTACCAGCACGGAGCTCGTGTTTGCACAGATATAAGCGGTTCGAAAAGGGCCCGGGCTTGCTATTGCCGTTGCCGTTACTGTTATCGTTGTTATGCATATTCGGCTTCCCCGTTTTTCGTCCAGATCGGATCCGCCATGGCCGTTCCTCACGGCCCCGATCAAGTGTGCTCCATTCAGCGTGGTCGAAGTAAGTAACGAGAGAATAAAGGACGACACGGCCATTTGCCGACCCGGACCAGGGCCAAGAAGTGTAGTCACAACTGACCGGCCCTTGCCCCGACGGATCCCCTCCATAGGTCGACTCTCAGTGGTGGCTCCGACCAGGATGGGTAGCACTGTGTTTGCATCGATAACCCCCCATATGTCTAACCCGTGGAGCCGGGTCGCAGAGGTGGATACTACTGCCATGCCGAATATTCAGGCTTTGCCTGCTCTCGGATCCGCGGGTGACGAGCTCCATCTCGCGCTGAGCTGGAGCCGCCTAGTTGAGGATCTGTACCAAGGGAAGGCTGTATAAGTCATCCTGGTAGCTATACATCGACTGGGACACCACTAAGCCGCGCCACATATGAATGTTGTGTCGAATGTTGGTGTCGTCCTCGTTGGTATTGTATGTACGTGATACTGACCCATGCTCTCTGAATAATCCAGAGGCTTGATGATATTGGGAAGTTGTTCGCCAGACGATACTCATGCCCGTATGATTTAACATTACTTATAGCAAGGAAGGTCGGACCCAGCGTGATAGATGTCATCAACACACAACTGTCCTCCTCCCTTCTAACTTAAACTGAAAATCTTTGACGGAGGTTCCTGGTTAACCCGGCGAAGGTTAACTAGTAGTGTGCTATTTCCCTCGGTTCCGACTCTATTCGCCCATCCGGGACCTGCACTGTGCTTACGTGCTTCGGGATCTTGGAAATTACCGGTCTGGCTCCGTCAGCAGCGTATCATCCGGCCGAGGATGCTCTCGTGTATCCACCAGGGCCCAAGACTCGCTGCTCGCAGCGTAGGGGGCCGTAAGGCGCTCGGAGGCGCACACTTCTTAGCACGGAGACTGTCTACCCACGATGCTCGATATGCACCCACGTCTGAAACGGTCGCTGAACCCTCTGCACCGTCTTTTGCATGGTCACCTCCCCCCCTTACACAGGCTGAAGACGAGTTCTGGCGCGCGATCCCGTTGTGGAGTGAGGTTTCCAGCGCGGATTTCTTGTCCTGGAGATGGAGCATCGGGGTAGGGCTGGTGCCTATTTTTTTTTTCATCAGTCGCTTGCTAACGTCTGTTTTAGAACGTTGTCGAGACGAAGAGGCGCCTTCTCAACTTCCTCGAAGCCGTGGTCCCAGCCGAAGTCCCTCGTGACAATGCCTTTGGCGGCATCCAGAGCCGTGACGAGTTCATGGCCGATGTGTGCCGCGGCATCGACAAGTCCGCAATGTCTGTTCGGATGATGTGAGTGCGCAGGAAGCAAAAGCGAGGGTCATCTAACCCTACGAGGCCATCTCAGCCTATCTCAAGCCTAGCTAACTTGGCATAGGCCGTACGTACTGAGTAGGATAAATTGGCAGGACCCAGCAAACGATCCGATTTTTCGACAGTTTCTCATGTTGGAGTCTGTGATGATAGACGATCACCCTAAGCTTAGACTCGATCCGTTGGATGAGCAGAAAGACGAGCCGGTCCCCAATCTAGTGCATCGTTATCCCGACAAGGCTTTGTTTCTTGGTGCGGCTCCTCCTCCGATGATAGCGTGTCGATGATATCTTTATTGACAAGTCATAGCAACCTCCGTCTGCCCAACTAATTGTGTGTTCTGTACGAGGTCATACGGGGTTGGCGCCAGCACTCAGCTGGTCACCAAAAAATCCTTCACACTCTCCCGTGCAAAGATGGAGGCCGTGTTCAAGTATATCGAGAGTCAAGAAGGGTTGCACGACATCGTTGTCTCCGGCGGGGATTCGTATTATCTCTCGCCCAACATCCTCGAGTGGATTGGCGACCGGCTGATCGGCATGAAGAACATCGAAAGGTTCCGGATCGCCTCCAAGGGACTGGCCATAGCGCCTAGCCGATTTCTCGATAAGGCCGACCCGTGGACGGATGCCTTGGTCCGGGTGGCAGAAAAAGCCAGGAGGGCTGGCAAGCACATGGCTTTGCACACCCACTTTAACCACCCGAATGAGATCTCCTGGATTACGGAGAGGGCGAGCCTTAGGCTGCAGCAGTCCGGGGTGATGGTTCGAAACCAAACCGTGCTGCTGCGCGGCGTTAACGATAACGTCGATACCATGCTGTCCCTCATCAGGAAGCTAGCTAAGATGGCCATTCATCCCGTAAGAACATGTCGATCTGAGGCCAAACTAGCGAGTTCGCTGCTAACTACCCGACCAGTACTACGTGTACCAGTGCGATATGGTACCGGCGGTCGAGCACCTGCGCACCCCCCTGCAGACGATACTTGACATCGAGGCACAGCTCCAGGGTGAGATAGCCGGGTTCGACATACCGAAGTTCGTGGTCGACCTCCCCGGCGGTGGAGGCAAGCGGCCAGCGTACCTCCACGAGTCGTATGACCGAGAAACTGGCGTTTCCACATTCACGCAACCAGCACTTAAGGGTAGGAGTAAGGAGGGCAGAACGTATAGATATTACGATCCGGTTAAGCCTCGACAGGATTCCGCCGTATGAGCAACTTTTAGCCCTAGTCGACTCCGAGGGGGGGGGTTCGAAAGCAACGAAAGGGTTGGTTGACAACGACGTCTTGAGATATCCGCTTGGACTTGGTAACTATATATATAGAAACTAGATACCAATTGTGCGTATCATCAAGCCGCTGCGTGAGATACTATGCGTGCAGTAGTCCATAGTCTATATGTGGCATAAGTAGTCTCGCTCGCGGGACCTGTGAGCTTTCGTCAGTCGGCACTCTCGACTCTCTCGGTTAGATCTTGCTAGACATGCCCCCGTGGGACGTCCCCTCTCCCCATGCGCCGTCATCTATACCCTGCTATACCATACTAGGCGTATTGGGCGCATGAATGTGTGATGGCCGTGGCGGTTGGACGTATACAACGCGGAATCCACCAGAACAAACACCCACGTATAAACACACATATGTACATCCATACATGTGTATGTGTACACGGAGACGTAGGAAACCCACGTTTCAGATTTGTTAGCGAGATAAGGAGTAGCCTCACCAGTGGCACCGGGTTCCAAAATGTAGGTAGGTGGGCGTCTAGCGACCTGAGATCCACGTTGTCGCAAGGGCAGGCCCCGACTTGAGACGATGACGCTCGCGAAATACCTATCTGACCTAGCCCAACACTTCGAGAATGTAGGCGAGGATGTAGATGGTAAGGGTCGGAGGGTATTATGGCGGTATGTGAACAGGTTTGCGGCTAGGCATCCATATAACCGCCTTGTCTCCAACATCGCGCAGACTAGCGCGTGCATACACGCACACCACGAGGATGCTGCATGTGTGTGTGTGTCAGATTCGCCCTTGACGGTCGAGGGCGGAGTGATGGCGGGTCCGTACGAGGCGGATAGGATCTGGTGTCCGGGGTGTGGAGGAGCGAGCTGTTGGGCGAAACATGCCAGGCGCACGCTTACATGCTGGCGATAGTTAGCTGTATCTATGCCTCCTGTAGGCAGCCTGCTTCTCCCGCGAGGGACGAGGCCGGGCACGCTAGGCTTCCTACCTATCCGACCCTGCGCTCACGTTCTCGGGATGAAAAATCGTTCCGAGACGTCAAGGACAGGCGGGGGGGCCGGACGGCGCGGCAGCCAGCTAGCCATGCACGGCCAGCATCACAGGCCTGGGGGGGTGTTGCTTGCGAAGCAGCGACGGGATGCGGCAACTAGGGGAATATACATAGCGAAAAGGTTGCTCGTGTTGATGAAGCGGCAGGATTACAGACATGCGCATGTTGTATAGGTCCAAATGTCTCACACATACATACACGGGCACAGGCGAGAGGCTGTATGGGTAAGAGCTGTGCATATATATGCCGACCGGGGGGATCTCGCCGCTTATAAAAGGGCTCAGGAGGTGTTACCTACCTACAAGCATCCGTTGTGAATATATGAATTGGGTATGTGCATACCTGCCATCAACAGACGCACCTACCATCTTGTCATCTTGTCATCAATAGCACCTGCCTTCGTGCCTCCTGACGTAGGTACCTGAAAGATAGGTTATTAGCGAGCAATGGATGGCATGTACCTGCTCACCTACATTGGGTGGACAAGTACGGTAGTGCATTAGTAGGCCAGGCAGGTACCTACGATGGTCAAGTCCCATAGTACCTGCATGCATATTACGTAGCACCTGCACTCCCCAAGAGAAGGCCCGGGGATTGAACCCAGAGACGCGACTGGGAAAGCACGGACGGGGTCCTAGAGCAGAGGCTAGGTACCTCTACCCACACGCACGTGCTATACCACCTTCTAGCGCACCTACCTAGGTACCTAGATACCTAATGCCTTAGAAGAGGTATCCAGGTATGGACGATAGGTCAGATAGATACCTAGGTAGGTAGGCACCTCCTACGGATGTCGCTGCGGGCACTTTTGCCTCGAGGCTGCTGGATTTCAAGTATTCTAGGTGGTTGGAACCAACCAAGCATTAGGGCATAGCGCGCTAATATCTAAGGTTGCTTAGACAGGTACATGGGGAATACGTCGCGCGCGCCGTGTCTTGGGAGGAAGCTGCTTACCATCTTCGGATAAGTACATAAGGAGTAGCCTTAAGCCGCTGCGGCTAGAGAGGTTAGATGAAGCCTGGCAGATGTCACGCGCGCATATTTTCAGGTATTGTGGTGTGCATGCATAGCCACCTATGAGTATATATCCTCTCAAGGAATGCACGTGTCTGTATATGTACATACAGTCATACATATGCATATAGCTAGGCATACGGTAGGTATATACAGGCACTACGTACAGTGACGGCGAGCTGTTGGAAGCCAGTTCAGGGTTGCCTGCAATCCACGTTTTTTCTTTTTTTTTTTCTTTTTGGCAGCGGCGGCGGCGGGTGGACCCTTTGAACCAGTTCGCTTTTCGCACCTTCCCCACTATTTCCCTATACAGCTTGTGATATTCCCGACTTTCCCCCTAATGTGGATTAGCCCCTGTCTGTCTGTCCGTCCATAACCTCCCAGTGCTTATAAGCTCCACCTTAGGTACCAAATGTATGTAGGCATTACTGTTGTGGTACTTACCTACCTGCCTCCGTCGGTACGTAACAGATCTGCTCCGGGCTCGCTCCGGCTTCCCCCCCCCCTTCCCGCCATACCCAGGTGGATGTGCTATAAAACGAACCAATAGACGCCGGTGACTTTCACGATACCAATAGACCGTATGAATAGACACGCCCAAGGTCCCCCAACCCGAGGTCCTGCTTCCAGGGAATGGCGAGATAGGTACCTAGAGATAGGTACCTAAGGGTATGTAGATTAGGCCAGGGTTGCTGGGAGTCCCGCTAAAATTCCCAGCACTCGGGAACAGCGTGTTGGTATTGCTACGTAAGGTACCTGGTAAGGAGTGTGACGATCTAGGTATGTGGGTAGGGTAGGGAGGAGGAGGTACTTATTTTAGCAGCCCTTTCAACGTCGCCGAAGTCGGTACCTGAGGTTGGCCCTGGATGTACCTGCTTAGTGCACTGTCTCGCTGCGTAGGTGGAGGTATCTGCTCGTGCTGCTCGTGTAGCTCCTCTCTCCATTCCTCCTGTCAGCCGTGCGGGTTCCACCGTGTGGAAGTGGTTTTCTTGTTCTCCCGGCGATGCGCACTGAACCGACAGAGAACACAGCTCTCTCGCCGCATCCAGTTTTATCATCAAGTCCGTCTGTTGTTCTCGTTTCTCTTATTATTTCGGCCCGTTCGTGTTCTATCCTGTCCGTTTCGAGTCTCTCTCTCTCTCCTCTCTTGGTTGCATGCTTGCATGCTTGCTTATTCACGGGTTTATTTTATTTTATTTTAGAGCCTTCTACCGTCTTATTTTTTTTTTCTCCCCCCCCTTTCCCCTCTTAACCGTCGACCAATAGCTTCTGCCACGTCTGACGCGGACGGAGATGATGCCTCTGCACAAACATCCGGCCTGAGTAGAAGTGGAATGCTGTTGGCATACCTGAGTGCTACCCAAACTACGTACCCGACGCGACCACCAGTAAATCTCCATTACCCGTGTCTCTCACACCAAGAATGCGGCACCACGCTAGACTCGCAAGTGACGGCATCTATCTCGACTTTCAGACCTCCCGCCTCAATGCCGCTGTTCTGGGTGGCACGGTAGACTACCACAACAGCCTCCTCGACCAGCACCGGCAGCAGCAGCAGCAGGAACAGCAGCAGCAGCAAGATGAAGGATCCCGCCCGAGTTCGAAGCCGAATGCGAACTCGTCGTGTCCTCCCCTTCTGCAATGGCTACCGGGACCCCTATCGAATACTAGGAGAGGGGGCAGCAACGGCGCCACGAGGAGAGGCAGGAGAGCAAAAGAGGATAAAGACCAGCACGGCCGCGACTTGGCTTCGGCGCCGCGCCCGCGGCTCACCCGAAAGGATCTCGAGGAATTCGAGGCTCTCCCTATTGCTATCCGGCGGAAGGTAAGTTGCGACGTGTTTATTGCCATCGTCATTCTCGTCATTAGCCGAAGAGGGGAGAGGAGAGAAAAGAAAAACCCGACGCCACCATGTCTTAGTATGCCCGATATTGCCCAAGCCATCGCCGTTCGCCTTCTCATTCTCCCATCTCCTCCCCTATTCTCTCCCCTTTCACCCCACCCGCCTGCCCCTCTCGATAAAGTTGATCGATGACTTTCCCCCTGTCTTGTTTTTTTTTTCGCTCACATATTGATTTACCTGTTATCACTTGTTTGCTCGATTCGAGACGAGATGTCTCTGTAGCTAGTCTCGGCACCCTGTGGGGTGCATCATTTCTCTGCGATGTCTTTGTCGGATTGGCTGGGCTGCAGGAGATTGGTGTGTAGAAACGCGCTGCCGTGACTTTGTCTGGCTCGCCACTCAGCCCATTGGCAAGGCCCATATGGGCATCGAGGAACAAAAAAGGGGGGGGAGGGGAGGATCTTTTCCTCTAGAGAGCAGATGGGACCTGCATGACCCAGGCCAGCCGCCATCTCTCTAACACTGCTAAGCAGCAGCGCCAGCAACCGGACGCGGCGGGAGCAGCAGAGGGAAGAGAAAAAAAAGCCGGACGACCCAACCTCATCCTAAACCAACTTGTCGAACCTAAACCTATACCCTCTCAGCCAAGACGGGTGGGCGAGCGAGTGACCGAGCCCGCTAGTGGTGGGCATCCTATACAGACACGGCTCGTGCGCAGACACACTCGCACTTACACACACACACATATACCTCCTCCTTGCACACGCACGTCAATACATACATATTGGTACGCATACGTGTACGGGGTACGCCTTTGCGAGCTCTGCTACCTGACGATGTGCGCCCCAACTGCCGCGACGACGCGAACGATTGATGGTAGTGCTGGGTACTCGCTACATGGTGTGTGCATCTGCCTACGTACCTATGCATACCTGCTGTATCGGCTGCGTGTGTGGATGTGTGCCAATATATGGGGGGTGCGTATATGTGCGGTGCATAGGTGCGGTGCATAGGTGCGGTGCATATGTGTAGCCTGTCTCTCTTATGCAGCGCTTTGGGCCTTTGCAAGCGCACATGCTCTTATCCATGCATCCATGCAACCCATGCATGCGCCAATGACCTCCTAGCGGCCACGGACGGGATGGGCGCGATGGGACGAGGGCGATAGGATCGCCGTCTCTGCGCTCTCTCGTCCCCTACACACTATCTATCGACTATGCCCGTTCCTGCATCAGAGCACACACAACACGACACTACACCACAACCCAGACACGGCGCAACCCATACCTTTTCGTCGCTCTCCCTCCCCCTCCTCTCCCCCTCCCCTCCCCTCCTCTTCCCCGTACCCGTCCGCTTCCTGTTGTCATCGCCCGACTTCCTCCCAGACGTTACGAGTGCTTATACTAAAAACTCCCCCCTCCCCCCCGCGTCCTCCCTCTTCTGCAGTACTTCTCCACCTTGGAACGCTTGCGCTTCGCCCAAACCTCCGGCATCCTAGATCAACATCTACTCGACCTAGACTCCGATCTCTACCTGCCGCCGTTTCCTCGGCGCGCCTATCTCGACGCCGGCACTGCCAGCGCTGCCAGTTCGCCGCCGGTTCGGCCCATCACTGCTCCCACCTTCCGGGGCCACGCCGTCTCCGCCTCGGCCGACTTTGCTTTCCTAGCGAAGCTCCCGGCCAAGGTTAGGGAAAAGCACTTGACCAGGGAGGAGCAGGTCATCGTGGCCAAGCAGCTGAGGCAGAGCGTCATCCTGGATGCCGCGGACGAGGCCATCTTGAAGATCAGTCGTCGCATGAGCCGGCACTTCAGCCCCCCGCCTACCCTGTCGTCGTCGGCGCGGCCCAGCATGGACTCCCTACTGACGGATCATGTCCACGGCGAGACCCACGACGCCTTTTACGACAGCTTCCGGTGGCTCGACGAGGACGATGACCTCGACCTGAGCCTCGCTGTAGACGAGTATCCCGTGCACCCGAGGGTGCCGGTACCCGTGTCCCCCAAGCATCCGGAGACTCCCGCCTTCCGCCGCCACCTCTCCTTCTCCAAGATTCCGTTCGGTCGCTCGTCCATGTCGTCGAGCCGGCCCGCGACGACGGATACGGCGCTCCCCATTGCCGGCTTCCCGTTCCCCAGCCCGGTCGCGTACTCGCAACATGGCCGGCGGAAATCTCGGGCGTTTTCGCTCATCACGCCGAAGCAGTCCGTCCACGACTTCACGTCTCCCTCAATCGACCCTGCGGCCGCCCATTATCAGGATCCCGAGGCGCGCCTTAAATTGCGCGTCTATCTCGCCTCGCCCCAGAAGTTTGACGAGGCGATCGAGTTTGGCTTCCCGTCGAACGATGCTTCGTCGTCAAGTCCGTACGGGGATTTCCCAGGCGCCAGGGCCTATCCGCGTGGGCCGCTCTCGGCAGACTCGGAGCAGTTTAAGACGTTCCTCGCAGACGACGAATCGTCTACCTACAGCGAGGACGCGTCGGTGTCAGATCCGGAGTCGCCCAGGACTCCGCAGCTGGATAAGCATGCCAGGCCGCTCCAGCTCGCCGGCGCCGAACCCCATCATTCGGCGAGGCACGCAGAAGCCTATGCGCAAGCGCCGGCGGCTTCGCGCGAGATGACGCTACGTATGACGCTTACGCGACCCGACTTGCGGGCCTGCGAAGACCAGATATACGGATGGCAGCCAGGGCCGCAGCCACAACACTCGCACAGGCCGTCTCGATCGATCGCTTCGCGGGGAGACATGCACGGGCCCGCATTTCATGCCAAGCACGGCGCCAAGGAGAGCATCGATAAGATTTTCGCAGATATAGACCGGGAGCTGGGTCCTCCGGCGCCAGCGGACAACGGCGTGATGAAGCGTCTCTGGAATCGCGTACGGCGAAGTTGAGCTGCCAACTGCGGGCCTGAGCACCGTAGGGTTGGATCCCCCTTCCCGCTCCCCCTCCTTCCCCCCCCCTCTCTGGAATCTTTTGAGCGATCCCCCTCTCGGCTTGCTGGCAGAACATGTTCTCTCGATATTTGCACTGCATTTGTTTCTCGTCATCGCCTCTTGGGCTTGTCTCTCTCACACTGTGTCGCCAGCTAGGTCACTTGGCCTCTGGCTGCCTAGAATCATGGAAAATATCATGGCCTGGAGTTATGTGGAGTTTAGCCTGATGGCGGGGGGGTTTTCTCTTTTTTTTTCAACCCCCCCAGCAACCGGCGAAGTGGTATATTTAAAAATGTTAAGCTATATATCCTCGTATCCATATCTTTATATATATCTGCTGCTGCTGCTGCTGCAGGGCTTCGCGAGTGGGATGCGAGATGCGTGCTTGAGACGAGCAGCAGTGATTTTGCCATGAGTTACACGACGCAAATGCCTGCTCCCATCACGACGCCCTTAGCTTTCATAGTTATTTGCTTGTTCCTAGGGCCCTTGGCCCAATTTGCGACAAGTGACCAGCCGGGTTTCGACGTTGGGCGCTCATAGCGGGCGAGACTATCTGGCGCTAGTCGCGTCAACCAATCTAGGACAGCCTCAGGCGCCTCGACGGTTCCTTGTCTAGGTAAGACCCAGGGGGAAAAGGGGGGGGGGGGGATAGTTGTCAGCCTACGTGCTAGTTCTCGCACGTGCACGAGATGCTTGGATGAATTGATGAATTACCTAATGTAGGCATTACGCCTCGCAATATACCTACCTAGACCTGTCCACCCACATTCCTACCTGGGGTATGGTGAGGCTGTATACGGAGGCACAGAGGCACGGAGGCATGTGTGTATGCAGGCATGCATGCGCCTGTCCGCATCGGTGCGCACAGCATGCAGTCGGAAAGGGAAAGGGAGGTTCTACGGAGAGAGAGAGAGAGAGAGAGAGGGTAGAAGCCAAGTGCGACGGGGCTTAGGTACCTAACGTAGGTAGCTCTTGCTGCAGGTACGCGTGGCGGCGTACCTGCTTACGTTGGGTGGCGTCGACTTACGCTTGGCAGGTACCGCGTTGGGTAGTACACCCGGACATTTCCCCCCCGTGGGCATCTCTGTTCAGGTCGGGGGGTCCCACGCCCCGCCCCCGTGCCAACGGACATTGCCAGAATCGTGTCAGGTACATGTACATGCATATGCATACTATAGGTAGGTAGGTAGGTAGGTAGGTACCGTCTGCTATATACTACCTACCTAGGTATCTACCTAACCTACCTAAGGTATGTGTGTATGTATACGGATGTGTGTACATGTGAGTTACATGGGTTGCAGGTTGGTCCCTTGCCTGAGCTAACGCCAACTGAGGAGGGCAGCCCCGACAGGCCGGGCACGTACGTCCCTTGCATACCTAAGTCAGTAAGTAGATAGGTACCAACCGCACGTACCTACATATATGTGTAGAGTAGAGGTATGTACCTACCTTGGTACGTGGTCTGTGCATAAGGCGTGCAACCCCCCCAACGTTCCCTTCGAGGGCTAGCGCCTGTATAGAAGAACCTAAATAAAGTCCCCCAAGGTTCGTCCGTCCGGCGCCTGCCCTCCTGCCTCCTGCCTTAGGTACCCCACCAGCGACATACCTACCTACATATATGTTACCTCCATGCGACGGCGAGGGCCCGTGCGGGCGCCGACCTGACCGCCACAAACCTACTTACGGTGCCGACTTTCCCCCACGCAGGCAGATAACGGACGTTTTGGTGGCGGCAGGGGAAAAATAGTGCGATCGAGGGGGGAGGGGAGTGGGTAGGGGGGGGGGGGGGGGGCCGCTAGTACTGGAAAGCGAAGTCCGAGACGACGGGCTGGCAGCGAGAGAAAAAAAAGCCCCGGAGCGCCATCGCCATCGCCGTCGCCGTCGCCCTCACCCTCACCCTCTGCCGTCGCTTCGGAGTGGGGGGAGGGAGGCGGGGGCGTTTCTTCTCTCTGCGTCTGTTTTTAAGACACGTCGACGTAGTATCCCGAGCCGGCGGGCATGCAATATATGCATGACGTCCCTACATATATACTATGTCGGTAGGCGTTCCCTCCTACCCATACCCAACACAACACATACATAGGCATATATCTAATAATGTATGCAAGGTGCTCGGGGGAGAGCGGGAGAGCGGGAGAGTTAGGAGAGAAGAGGAGGACGGGGACGAGGACGAGAACCGTCGGCTAGTAGGGATAATATGTAGGCGAATATGTACCTGTAGTACGTAGGTAGATTATACCTAGAGGTATGTACGCAGGTATGTGTGCGTCGTCCCATCCGCCTCCGCCCGGACTTCCTGCCTGTCCACCCTACACCTGAACTTAACTATAGGTACCAACTAAAGTCTACTTTATAGCCTAAAAGCCCAAAATACGCATCGCGATCTAAGGCCATAGAGGCACTACAATACAGCTTAAGGGGAGCTCAAGAGCTAGGACCCGGGAGTCTAGTGTTATTTGAGAGATTTAAAGCGAGATGCCGTCCTATCGCATTCTTAGTTAAAAAATCTATCCAAATTAGTTTTCTTTTTATTAGACTTCTGCAAAGCTACTATTTTATATTCTGCTTACATATGGATCAGGTACATTATCTAGCCTTACTTAATATTCCGCTTTGATATATTTTACCCTTTTAGTAAGCAAATGAAAACGTATTATACCTAGGTTCTTATGAAGCTTATCTTGGGTCCCCGACTTCTTCATATACCTACCTATCGCCTCTGCTTCCTCTGCGTGCGCGACACCTCGGCGTCACACATCGGGCTCGACCGCCGGATCGACGATGCGTGCCTTCGGACGTTCTACATGTAGACCGGCTGTTAAAAACACGAGCTGATCTGCCTACGTAAAGCTGACAAACCTGACGGCAAAAGTGAAGGAGTATGAGGAGGAACCGGATGCCTATACAGACGTAGAATACAACACGGACAAGCACATACATCAAGTCACGCGTGAAGAGGTGCTGGGTGTGTGTGTGTGAACGTGTGGACGAACGCGACGACGACCCAAGGCTCAAGGTCCTCTGCTCGGAGGACATCGACCTCTAGGCCCTCCGCGATCCGGGAGGGAACGGCGGCCGGGACCGCCTGGCTATGCAGATTCTTCTCTGATACTACAAGGGCGAGAACAACAAGATCGTGCTGGTCTCCTAGGCCCCGGTTAGACCGCTCGGGTTGACCAGGCCGAGCCCTCGCAGATCGGCTGTCTCGCGATCTCTGGACCCTCGACAGCCTACTCATGAAGCTTCGGCCGATCGCTTTTACGTGTTGGCTGTTGGTTCAGCATTCGCCTGTCATTGGTCCCACCCTGGGCGGTGCTCCACGCCTCAGCAAATAGATAACAGATGTGAAAGCCTTCATTTTCCAATATGTGAACGTTCCCAAATAGCTCGCCATCGCCAAACTCACGCTCCTCACCCATCTTGTCCAATCTCTGCTTCAATTTTATAACGAATCCGTACGAGTCCGACCCAGATAAAATCCCCGCCGCTGACCGGTATGCAGACGTGCCGTTCTACGGCCGGTACTTCCCCAGACAGGACGACTTTCGCGTCGATCTCCAGCACGTCAAGTCCCAGTCTGCAGCCTCTCTGCGATACTGGGCGTCAGTTGTTGATCTCTGCGATGAATCCATCAGGATCTACCCGGCCGACGAGGGCGGCCGCGACGTGTTCGCCCTTGGCAGCGTCATCGTCAAGTCGAGCCATCTTCACAATCCAGGGAACGGCCAGCATATTACAGAGATCGACTACTCGTACGCTGATGCCAATGGGTTGCAGGCTGTTGCTATTGCTAAGAGCATCCTGAAAGACGTTAGAGTGCCGGAGATCTTCTTTTCCGGCAAGGTGCTTGCTCTCTCTCTTGCTTCTTCGTTACGTCCCCATCGCTTACACTTCTGTAGATCAATAGTCGCCAGGTACTAGTCCAGGAAAGACTCCCGGGCGTTAGTTTGACCGTCGCATGGCCGTACTTATCGCAAGACCAAAAGGAAGCATTCAAGCAGCAGGCACGAGAGATACTTGGACAGTTACACGCCGTAAAGCCCACCGATGGACGCCGGGCTCGCTCCCACGTCGTCCAAGACCCTAACATCCTCAGCAACGGTCGTATCCATGCCCTGGAAGGAGATATCCTCTTCTCAAACACCAACACCGACCCGGACATGAGTTTCATGCACAACGACTTCACCGAGTCCAACTGCATAGTTGACAATGACAGGATTGTCGGGCTTGTTGATTGGGAGATGGCTGGCTTCTTTGGCTGGAAGACGGCTGGCGAAGTCCACCGCAGGATCAGAACGCCCCAAAAGGAGCATTTTGCCAATGCCAACTTGAGTGAGGAGAGGCTTCGGGAAATCATGTTTTGGAATGATCTTTATGACGCCGGTACGCCTGAGTTTCGACCCCACGGTGGAGCAGCTGGTAACGCGGGGCGCCAGGGCTGACGGACAAAAACCGGGGCCATTCAGGAAACGGCATGCTGGACAGCAACAACACGTCTTATGAGTACAGACATACATAGCTATAGCCCCCTAATCCCAGGTGTCAGTCAATATTGAATTCTCCCTTTCCATTCCACCGGATAAACTGCACGTGCCCTTCTGGGCTATCGTGTGATGGCCTATTACAGAAGTCAGGGGGGATACCCAAGTCAACGGGGCTGGCTTCACCAACACCCCGAGAGGGTAGGGATGATGAGTATTGAATCGAGTACGGGCCTGATTCTGCACCGAAACGGAGTCGCGAAAACTATTTCTCTATTGTTTTTGATCGTGACAACTGAATTTCATTACCTTTCGTACATGATACAGACAACGACCACCACCGAGCACCGTCCACCGCCTAGGTCGACTTCTACCCAATATATAATCTTTCGACTATCCTAACCAAACCTTACCGGTGCGCCTTGTAAGCTGTGCAATGCCTTCGGCGCTCCTTGATCCTCCCCCGCGATGCGACCGAAACTGTCCTCCGCAACCTCGCCCTTTACATCTCGTCATCGCTGTCGTCCCCTAGAAGCTCGCCTTCGTCTTCGTCTACGATAGAGTAGTCGCCTCTACCTCGAGCAAAACTGCTTCTCGTCGTATACCTCCGCTGGCTGCTTCCCCGTAGCCAGCTGTAACGGCCGCCGCCATTACCACCGCCCCTGGCCCTCCCTAGGGCGGAGCTCGCGCTGCGCCACAAGCCGCCCACCACCAGGGGTAGCGTTCCCACGACTGCCACCACCGCCGATACCGCCACGACCGGGTACTTGACCCACGGCGACTCGCTGTCCAGGCCGTTCTGTTCCCCCAGCCGAATCTGCCCGAACTTGCTCCGCCAGTTGCGGTAGACCCACCAGCCCGCGAGCGACGCGAAGCCGATCGGAGCGACGACGGCGAAGAAGATCGTGACCCCCGACACACCCCGCGCTCTTTCGAACTCTTCCTCGTGGCCTGGGCAGGGGTGGGGCGTGAGCGCTTTGTCGGGCTCGAACCCTCCTTTGCAAGTTGTCAACGGGATTCGACGGAACCCGCTGGGCTCGTAGTACTCGAACTCGTCGGGGTTCTCCCTGCAGACCTGCACCGGGTCCAGAGGCTTCAGACCCTCGACTAGTTTACACTGTCCGTGATTGTGCATCTCGAAGTTGTAATCACTGTCACCAAAGCGAGTCAGCATCCGGCGATCAGGCGATTCGCACATGCACGGCTGGTTAAGTTAGCAAGCTTCCGTATACGCGCACTCACCATTCGAAGTCTTGTCGGGTGCATTCGCAATCCTCGACGCGGTACAGATGCGTAAGCTTATCACCGTTGTAGCACTTCCTGTCCTTCTTCTTCCGTAGATAGTAGTTTTTGTGGCCGAAGAGACAGTTATTGGGCTGCAGCGGATGCGTTGGCAGCCACAGTTCGTAGTCAGACTTATCTCGGTCCTCGTCGTCCTTACACTGCTCGGTCGCTAGACCCGAGAAGTCGAGGTTGACCGTGAACAGCTTCTCCTTCTGGTGGCCCCACAGGATGAAATTTCGAGATGCGCCGGACCGTTCAGTCGTGATATCGGTAATGGTGACATCTTTATCCGAGAAGACATAGTTTTCCCACGTGTCGCCGCGGTCGAGCGAATAGGATACGGACTTGGATTGCGTATTTCTCTGTGCGAGGACCACGATGGACCCCTGGTCGCCGAAAGACCACGTCCAGCTTCCCTTCTTCACCATCTTCCAGCTCAGTCCCGCATCAGTTGTCATGAACGTGTCCGCGTCCTTCAAATCTCCCAGGATGGGACCGACGTTGCCGATACCGAACATGATGCCAATGGCTGACTTGGACGAGTAAGTCTTCCCATGATCTACCCGCTCAGTGTAGCCGTGGATGTGGAGGGCGCACGCCTCGTCACCGGTTTCGCTGTGGCAGCTGAACGGGTTGCCGTCGAGGTCCCGTTCAGGAGGTGGCAGGAAGCCCCACGCGGCCCCGTCGTTGTGGCTGATTCGCGTCTGAAGCCTCTTCGGCTCCGAGTCGCTGTCCCTGTTCTCGACCGTGTTGACCAGCACCACACCTTCGAGGCCGAGCATCTTCTCGAAATCTACATAATAGCTATCGTCACAATTGACGCCCGGGATGCTTAGGACGTACGAAGTTCCGTTCGAGTTGCTCTTGAGGATCGATCCGTACCGCCGACCTCTTTCTTCTTCGGTCACCACGAATAAGTTGACCGCGTGGGTGGAGCTGTCGAGAACGGTATACGCATTCGTATGCGGAACCTCAAAGTTGTACGGGAATCGGGCGGGCGCGTAATCCTTCCCGTTCACACTGGCCAGCGCGTTCAGTGTCTTCTCCGTCTTGTTCTCGGTAGCGACCACGATGAATTCGGCCATGGTCGCGAAATTGCTCACGTCCTCCAAGGCCACGCTTAGTTTATATTTCGGGAACTCGTCGCTGTAGAGGAGCTGAAGGGGGTTCTTCTCCTCGTTGTCTTCGCGTTTCCTTGCGAGACAGACTATCTGGGTGGAATTCCGGAACTTGTACGCTGACGAACCTGTGAATTCACACTTCTCCACATACCGCTGGATCGTCTCCCAGCTATCGCCGCGGTCTGTCGAAAGCGAAGCCTCCATGTAGCAGTCGCCGCCGTTGCACTTTTTTCCATGCCAAATCAGCCAGTCTCTGGAGTCGGGATGAAACGAAAGCGGTGGCCTGCTAGAGGATGTGTCCGGCGGATCTCGTGCCTCGAAAGAATCGAAATGTCGACCCCGATCGACGGTGTAAAAGACCTTTTTTCCCTGCGTCAAGAAGAAGGCCATGTCCTTAACGTAAGGATGGGTGACAATGGAATAAATCCCCTCATCGCCGGGGAATTTAGCCTTGGTCCAATTCTTACCGTGATTATGTGTAATGAAGACATCGCCGACCCCGTAAGTGTCTCGGTCTGATTTGTAAGGCCTCGCTATTATTGTCCCGTCTGCCTCGTTATTGGACTCGCCTCGCTCCAAGTAGTGCTTCTCAAAACGATTGAACCCGCCTTTGAAGAACGTGAAAACATGTCCAACCTTGTCATCGCCAGGCGTGCTGGGCGAGCCTTGGGCGTCCGAGCACTTCCACTCTTTCTGTTTATCCTTTTGATCGCCTTCGGTGCGTTTGCATTCGTTGCCGGGAATGAGGCGCCAGCTGGAGGGCCCCTTAAACGTCTCGTCCGGATTATCTGCTTTGCAAGCGCCTTCGGGGACTCTGACCGGGGCGGCAGGTTTGCACTCGTCGCCGTCTGCCACAAAATTGAAGTCGCATTCGAAATCAGCGTTACCACACTCGCACGGAGTCATTTCGGGCCTAACGTCCTTAAACTCTTGCTTGATAAAGCATTTCGAGTCCTTCTTGCGCCTGTGGTACTTCTGCGTATGTCCCATCACGCAACTTGGCTTGCCGTCGTCATCGACCCGTGCAAACCAATCTTCCATGTCGTCTTCTTTGCACGTATCCTCGTGAAGGCCCTCGAAGTCGATGGAGATGACGTAGAATCCGGTCGGCGAGGCCCTGGACCCTTTACGAGCAGTGAGAATGAACTTTAAGCTACTTGAGTCTTGGGTGGTTGTCAAGGTCCAGGGGCAAACGCTTAGGTCGTTTGGCAGCTTGGCCGTCTCCCAGTTCTTGCCGTGATCTAGGGAGTATTCGATCTCCGTCACATTGGCCTCCTTGCTGTCTCTGATGGCGAGAAGGATAGATCCTTGGTCGCCGAATTCGTATTTGTGGGGACCTTCGGGACCCTCGATCCAGGTTCTGCCGGCGTCGTCCGAAATGTAGAGACGTGATTCCCAGTAGCCTTTCAAGTGCTTCCCGAGGTTTCCATTGCCCATAACGAGACCAGGGGCGGGGCTCGAGAAGACGGGGCCGACGTTGTTCAGTTCTGTGACCGAATGCAGATGGATTTCCTCATCACCCGCCTTGGCCGGCTCAAACGTTCTACCGTCGTCGAAGGTGATCCTGGTCCGGATTTTCTTGTCTTTCCCCTCTTCCTCGACCTCTTCCCAGTTTTCCACCTGGTTGACCAGGAAGATGCCTTGGATGCCGGATACTTTCTCAAAGTCGACGTACGACTCCATGTTTCGGTTGGTGTGCTCTACGTTTCGCGTGAAGTACGTTCCGTTTGAATTGCTGGTCAGCAATGTGCCCATGGGTTTTGAGAGCCGCCTGCTTGTCTTTACATCAATCTGGATGCTGTAGTTGGTGCTCTCCAGCACGGTGTACGAGGCCTTGAGAAGAGGATGGTCCTGGGGAAAGACGGCACGGTGCCACGTCTGAGTATCGCTAGTCACAAACAGGGCCATCTCGGCTGTATTGCGCGCCGCGGCGGCCACCAGAAGATATTTCTTGACTTCAACTATGCTTATGACGCCCTGCATGGGCCCATCGCCGGTCAGGTTCGGCTCATACTCCTGGACGACTCCGTCCGTCTTGCTGAAGTACTTGTCGGAAATCAAGAGACGGTTTTCCTCCTGGGGCGAAAAGACGCCGCCCCTGACAATACACAGCACTCTCCGGTCGTCCCATTCCTCATTGCCCGTAGTGAAGAGTGGCGACGATTTGGCCCACCAGCAGGCCTGTGTGTGTCCGCGTAGGAACTTAGCCTTTTCTTGGAATCCATCCTCTGTGTACATTACTAGCTCCTCGCAGAATAGCCCGTCGCATTCCATGCCGGTGAAGAGGATCTTGTTGGGATCGGTGGCGTGAAACGACATCCATCGGCCAATGGTGTCGGGGAAATCGCTCGTGTACGCCTCGGTCGAGAAGGTCTGCCAGGTTTCCCCTCGGTCGTGGGTCTTCCAATGGACGTTACCGGCGGACAGGATGTAGGCGCGATTCGAGTCGTATTCGTGCATAACCAGAGCGGCAGCCTTGTCATGCTCGATTCCGTCCACCTTGGACCACGATGTGCCTCCGTCGGTCGACTTCCAGATGGTCCGCCCGTAGGCCTCTTGAAATATGGCGACGTTGGTGCCTCGGAAATAATTCAGGTTATTCGGAGGGTTCTCGAACTCTTTCACAACAATCGTCGGACCATTTTCGGCACGGACGGCCGGGACGGCCCACAACAGGGTAGTCAGAAGCAAAATAGCGGCCGACCATATCGGAGCTGCCGCCCCCGAAGCTCCCCTAGCCTTCATAGCTGCGAGATTGAAGGCGGCGACGTGGTGGTCATGACAGGATATTTGCTTCCAGGCTGACGTCGAGAGTGGAAGGGAGGGGAGCGTGGACGGGAGGGCAAATGCCGTAAGGCTTCAGAAGAAAGGATCCGGACCCGGACGCGAGCTCGATGTGACGGCAAGAGGAAGAAAACGTGCTACGGTCAGGAGGAGGAGGAGGACGGTGGATAGAGATAGATCTCGGGTGGTGAGAAGGGAATGGAGTACAAGCCTTCCGACGATGCTCGGTGCTGACTGAGATGGGGAGAAAAAGGATAAGAGGAGAGAAAAAAGATGGTTGGGTTTCCTCGAACTGAAGGTGGGTTGATATCGGTTACGGATCATTGCGTAAGGTTAGGTGTTATCAATCAGTTATTACCAGTTACTCGGTGCAGTACCCGGCTAGGTAGGTAGGTAGGTACCTCCTAATACACTTCACAATGCCTATACATCAGGCACCTACCTAAGGTACCTGGATAACCTGCCTTACCTGCCTGCCTCTACTGCTATGTGGTACTTTGGGTTAGGTACCTCAAGTATAAAACATTGAAGCCTTGTACCTGCATCCTCCCATTAGTAGATACCTAGCCTTGGGTGTAGGCAGGTACCTGCCTAAAGGTATTTACGCACGTACGTACGCGCGCTGCATGCATACGGCAGGCGCTGGGGACGTGAGTTTTCCAGGCTTGCCCTCAGGTCCGAGATGGGCCGCGTGGACATTACTAAACCTGATGCTCGAATGCGGGAGGAGGATCCAGGTAGGATGTACCTAAGTACTTTCGCGCCTGCCTAAGATAAGGCAAATCCACGCTCTATTAATAAATAGGTAAATGGGACGGACCGGCCAGTCAAAGGAAGCCGGAGCCACAATTGCCAGCTTGCTACCTGCGCACCTACCGACATTCACCAATTAGAGAGCAACTTCTAGATTATATGTATCCCTTAAGCGTACCTAGGTACCTAAGGTAACAAATCAGGAGGTACGTAGAGATAGCTCAAGTAGAGAATGTGCCTTACCTACGTATAAGGTGCCTTAGATGTCTTAAGGGTTAGAGACCGGGCGTAACTCGGGCCTGTTGCTGTAATAGTAACTGCCTGAGGCACATACCTCAGGCATATCGGTAAGCGGGCACTTAAGGCATATGTAAGAGGCACCTATATCTACCGCCAACGGGCGGGTCTGGAAAAGGTATCTAGGAAGTGGCAGGCATGTAGGGACATAGGACACAAAGTAAAGCAAGTAACCGCGTAACACGGCTTCGAGGCAAGTCTTACCTCTAGGTATGAACACATAACCTAGGTAGGTAGGTAGAGGTATGTAGGTAGGTACCTAAGGCATCCGATGCTTCCAGTATTACACGCCATAAGAGGTACTCAGGTTATACCATTATCTGTCACAATACTAACCTAGGCACCTACGTATGTTTCTAAGGCGCTGCCTGCCGCAGGTCTCTCAGCTGGGCATGTAATTCAGGGTCAGTTCTGTCCGGTTGATTACCCGTGTGCTCATACTCAACTACTCATAGGAATGCGAGGGGTTCACCTGTGCGTTCAACGCAGGTATATTACCTGTAGGCACCTTACCTACCTATATACCTCTATGTAGACATTCTCTGGTTCAAGTATTACCTAACCTAGGTATATAAGCCATTTACTGCCAAGGTAGGTAGGTACCTAACTCCGTAGCTGGCTGGAGGCACCGTACCTATAGATGCATATATCCACATAAGTAACGATTGCGTGATCCGGCCCTAAATGCAGGCGCGCATATGCACGTAAGGGTGCATGAGCCGAGGATAGAGGCGCGTATGGGGGTTACGCTATAGAGAATCGAACCTCGAGAATTGTAAGCACCTGTATCTAGGTACCTAGGTAGGCATCTTAGGAGGGCCACACCGGGTGCCCTCTCGCCATGGCCTTGGGAGGCACCCAACCTTTGGTACCCTGATCGCCTGGGGGCGCGAGAGGCCACCTGTCCTAAAGGCGCCTAACATTGATCGGTAAGAATGTCGCGTCGGAGGGGGCATCATCTTCGAACATACGCGACGTAGCACGGAATAAGTACATACCTATGTATACACATAGGTATGTGTGCCTGTGGCAGGTATCTATCCCCTAAAGTAGGTAATATACCGTGTCTCGGAGGTACAGATCGGCGAACGCATCTTGGACCGGGTCTTTTTTTCTTCTTGTCTTCAGACACACAAGGCCGGGACGTAGTAGAATGACACGTTGGAAGTTCCGCTCACCCTTGCTGCCAGACACACCCCCCCCCCCCCACCATCTCGATGAAAACCGACCGTCGAGAGGGCAGGCGAAGAGTGCGGGGACACTGTGTTCGTACTGTGAGCTTACCATGGAGCCCCTCGATTTCGTCTGAAACAATGCGGAAATCCTGGCAACGCTGAAACATCGTGAGGTACCCATAGTTGGATACAGTACCTACCTAGGCTGTTAGGAGATATTATGTCCATACCTCCGCAACCCCGGGAGGCGCATGGAAGCTGCCTCTCCAGAACGTCGGCGGCCCACTGTTTGGCATGCCGGGACCACTCGGCGCAAATATGCCTACATGGGTACGCTACTAGCGGCTACTCGCACCCCTCGGCCAGGTACCAGAGCATACGAAATTAAAGCCATGCATGTACCTCACTAGGTAGGTACCTAAGTAGACATAGAGTTTGCATGTCAATTACAACACGCGAATATAGAATATAGGAAGAGTATCGGTTGGAATTCAGCGTATCTCTACCCCCCTATAGTGCCTATCTACCTAACCTGCCTGCCTTACGCTGGGTATATGTAGGTATCTGATACACATACCTCAGGTACCTCCTGGGGTCGGTAGGTAGGTACCTAAATGTATACCTAGGTAGACACTTGGGTACCCCTCCTAGTGACCGTGCTGGACAGGGTTGTGGGTGTTGTGGTAGCATGCATGCAATACCTACCTACCTCCTCTACGTACATATTGTAATATAGTACACTGCATGTACGTGTAGTATACTACCTCCGACGCAAGTATAGCTCGGGCAGGCAAGCAGGCAGGCACGTCCGCCGGTAGGAAGGCAGGCGCGGGTTCCTAGGTGTAAACAGTGCAAGGCGATCAGGTTTGTTGTCTCCTTCTCCCGCTGACGGCAAGTAGGGGCAGGTCTTAGCCAGGTACTTGTTATTAGCGACGTCCCGCCGCGATTCCTCTCCTCTCCTCTTCCTCCTCCCTCTCTTTTTATTCTGCTTCTTCCCCCTCCCCTTTCTACAATCGTCCTTCCTCCGCGTCCTCTGCCTGTCACTTTCGCTTCGGCCCGCCTTTCTTGATCCATCGTCTCCTCGTTTAATACTCCTACTTAGACAAGTCTTCTCCGGGGACTGTCCGTACCGCAAGGCGCGCGTCGCGTCTGATATACTCCCCTCACCCCCCACAAGTCACACTCACCTTCGTCCACCTTGCGCGCCGGCTTGGCTGAGCACAACCGGATAATCGCCATGACGCTGGTAGACCTATACAGGCAGTTCCTCACTGCGCCGAACTCGTCCCAGTTGGCCGCCGAGGCTGCCCTCCATTACATCACCACGACAACCAGCTACAAGGGCGCCGAGGACATAATCAAGCACATCGATACTTCAGCCAAGCAGCTCAAGAAGGACGAAGCGGATTTTCTTACGGCGATCGAGGGACACAATGCCATCGCTGTCGAGATCAAGACCACTCTGGAGTTTGTCACCTCCGGCGGTGCTTACCTGCCTGGTCTTGACGACAATTTTTTAGCAGACCGTACCGTCCATCTTGCTATTGTATGTCACGACGCCTTTGTGCTCCCTCCAATTCTCGCTGAATCTATGAGTTAACTCGTTGCGCCGCTTCCCAGACGCACATTGTCGATTTTGCGCCCGACGGCAAGATCTCGCAGATTCGCCGGACCTGGGATCAAGGTTCTCTGCTTAAACAGCTTGACATCATTGGCAAATCGGGCCGCAACTGGCCTATCCGTGACAGCAAAGAGCAAATTAAGATCATCGAAGCCTGTGTCAAATTGTCTAGCGACGCTAGCGCCGACTCCGACTTCAGCAGTCTTTCGGCTCGTGCTCGTGGCGACTCTACTAACATTCTACGCGACCCCCACGCCTCGCTTGCCTTATTCGCTCCCCGCGAGGAGTCTAGCGAGAGCATCGCTGCCGTCGTCTCTCCCAGAGGCGGCGCTCGGCCACGGCAGCGCGATTTCACTGAAATTCTAGGCGATGAGCCGGTCGACAACACCGAGGAACAATCTGCGTCCCCAAGCAAAGTCATCGCTCCGAAAGCTGGCGCCGGGAAGGGCTTTCAACCAAGTCGCTTATTCGATGAGACGGACGCGTTCGCGGAAGAGGCCAACTCGCCCGAGGCATCCCCCAGCCGTTTCTACCGCCCTAATCCTAAGAAGTTTAGTCATTTTGACTTTGGCGACGGTTCGGATCCTCGAGATGTGCCTGAGCCGATTGGCCCTACCACCAAGAAGACCAAACATACCAGCCAATGGTCATTCGATGACTTCGTCACGCCTCAAAAGCCTAAGCCGACAAAAGGTTTGCGACACCAAGAGGTGCGCCATTGGGCTACCGACAACGACCAGGCACAGGAAAACCACCAAACCAAAACCGCTGCGCCAGCTAAGCCGCGCCGCGACGCAGAGACCCACTTTGAATTTGTAGACGACGGAGTACCCAACGGCGAACCGCGTGCTACACGTCCTAGGGGCGCCACCCAAAACAACGAGCTGGGCTTATACAAGAACAACCTGTACAGTGAGGAGGGCAATGAGGCCAGTTCTACAGGAGAGCCGCAACCTCTGGGGGCTATTACGAACTTGAAAGATCGCGGTCGGGACTTCGAGGCCCACTGGGACATGACTGACAATTCGCCGGCCCACAAGACACCCAAGGCCCCAGTGGGTGATGACCGGAAGAAGGCCGTGAAGATGATGGACGCCAACTGGTCGTCTTACGATGAGTCTCCCGCCCAAAAAGAGAACAAGCCCACGATGGTGCACTCCCGCTCTAAAGTCGACGGCGAGCGGGGGATTCATATCGCCGGTGACGGGATGGGTGGTGGAAAGGGTTCCAATCGCAACTGGCTGTTCGGTGACGAGGATCATAGCCCAACTACGAACCCCGCGACCGGCAGAAAGGCCACTGCCGGAAAATCGCAGGGCTTCAACTGGGATTTCTAGGCGACCGCCCCACCACCGCCCTCAGCGCCGAAAGATATCCCGGACGAACGTCGAGCGATAAGGACGATTCCCATTTGTTACGAATAGAATGTCTAGATGTGAGTCACGAATTCCGAGAAGGACCCCTCAGAGAGAGAATTCCCTTGTGTCTCCGTACGGAAGGCCACAGGTTATGCCGACGGTAGAAGATGTACTAGGTTGGCGGCCGGGTCCTGAGTGCGGGTTTCGTTTCATACTAGTTGGGCTTATAACAGGTATAACCTAGCCACCATGGGCATTGTCAACCTGTCGTCTGAGCAATCTTGGGAGGTTACTGGCATGCCAGGGGGCGGATTCTCCTTGTCATTCTATCTATCTCGGCTCGTGCCGTTCGTCTCGTCTCAGTCGGGATGGCAGGGCACCCTCTTCGTGTACATGTTATTATCATTTTCGTTCCAGGCGTAAAAATCTAAAATGGCTAGCCAACCAAAAAATATTTTTTTCATTCAGCAAAGATTGTCGTCATGGGTTTAGTCTCGTGCCGTTACACTCGTAGAATTCGGCGGCTCTATCCGACCGTCGGGATGCTTTGTATGGTTCGCTGATCTTCAAAAGGCGAGACATCTCATTCTTCGTAGCGTCGATACCGTCGGAATGCAACATTCCGAATGGCACCCCGAGTTCTCCACGGTGGTATGATCGGCCGCAACGGCCTACCTGCCTATCTACCTAACCCCCATCCCACAGATCAATAGGTTACTTAACGAAGGATAGGTTCGATTCCTAACAGCGCTACTTGGTAGTCTTCGCTATTTAGCTCATCTCCCACCACTTACGCGGCGCCGGACCAGATTCGACGTCGATGCGACGACGATATCACACGCACACGCACTTACGTACCACGTCCCGTAGGTATGCGCGGGGCGCGTACCGAGAAGGAGATAATGGTGGTGGAGGAGGAGGGGAGATAAGCGAAAACCACATCAGTATATATATACCTATACGGAGCAAAGAGCGGGGGAAAGCTAGAAGTGACTCGTTCGACTTAGGTATATAGGTAGATGAATCCAGACAGATAGAACGACGATAGATAGCCTCCGCAAAGCCGTACGCCTCGCTCTCTCAAAATACAGGCACCGCCGCATTACTCCCGCTTCGCCTCGCGCTCCTCGCCAGGCAAGACACCCGTCGTTATGGTACATTTATTCCGAGAGCGCCGCCGGCGCCGTTCCCGCGCTGAACTTGCGGTGCGATAAAATAGAATGGGATTATTAGAGAGAGAAAGAAAAACCAAACAATGCCGCTACGGAAGGGAGGACAAAAAAAAAGCAGGTAGTAGTAGCGGCTTCACGTCAGCACAAAAACTTGTAGATGCGCTTCCACCGGGGCCAGCCCCTCCGCTCCTCGGCCTCCTGCGCGAGGAGGATGGGCAGGTTGAAGTCGCGGCGGCCCGTGACGATGTCCATGTCGGCGATCCGGACGAACGAGGTCTGGGCGTAGAGGCGGTGCGCCAGGTAGAAGACGACGACGACGGGGACCGCCATGTACTGCAGGAAGAAGCTCTGGGCCAGGTCCCTCGGCGGCAGCTCGCGCCAGCCCACCGGCCACGCGCCGACCCAGAACTGGGCCAGCAGCACGGCGACGTTGAAGGCGAACCCCAGGTAGGAGCCCGCCACGCCGCACTGGGACTTGAAGGCCAGCTCGCGCAGGCTGTGGCCCTTCTGCAACCAGGCCTGGCGGAACCGGATGTGGGCCAGGCAGATCGACGCCCAGGTGAAGATGGACGACAGCCCCGAGATGGCGACGAGCCAGCCGAGCACGAGGCCCTGCTCGTTCAGGTCGGCGAGGTACGCCAGCAGGCCCATCGAGGACGCGACGATGATGGAAACCAAGGGGCGGCCGCGGCGGTCGATGTAGGACAGGATCCTCGGCGCCTGGCTCTGGTCGGCCAGAGCGGCGAGCGTCCGCGAGGAGCCGAAGACGGAGGAGTTTCCGACCGAGAGGACGGCGATCAGGATGACGACGTTCATAACCGAGGGCAAGACCTCGATACCCGCGTTCTCGATGGCGATGACGAAGGGGGACGCCGCGGCGGACGCCGACCCGGGGAGAAGCAGGCGGGGTTCATCGTACGGCACGAGGAGGCCGATGAGAAATAGCGCCACGATGTAAAACAACGTGATGCGCCAAAACACCTGCTTGATGGCGGTCGGCAGGGACTTTCGAGGGTTTGCCGTTTCGGCGGCGGCAAGGCCGACCAACTCTGTGCCGGCGAAGGCGAAGGCGGCCGTGACGAAAACGCTGCACAGACCTTTGAAGCCGTTGTGGAATGCGCCCGGATCCCGCCAGTACAGGCCCCCGATATATCCGCCGCCCGGGACCCCGCCGATATTTAGAACGATGCCCAGCAATCTGGGAGCGGGTAAACGGGTCAACGATACAAGCTTCGTTAAGGGGGTGGGGGTTGGAGAGCGGGGTCCTCACATGAAGCCGATGACAGCGATGATCTTGATAATAGCGAAGACGAATTCGGCTTCGCCGTATCCCTTGACGCCGAACAGGTTGATCGCGACGACGGCGGAGAGGAAGATGGTTACAAATATGGCCTTGTTTAGATCCGGGTTCCAGTACGATATGGTGATGGACGCAGCGATGATTTCGAGCGGCAGGGCAACGAGCCATTGCAACGCGTAACTAGCAAAGAATGTGTAAGTCTTTTGCCGCGCCTATTATTGCTTCTCCTTCTTCCTCTTCTCCTATCGTTTCGTAGTCTCCGGCGAAGACGGTGGGCACAGGGGTTTAAAGAGACGGACGTACTTCCAGCCCATAGCAAAACCCCACGACGGGTCGATGAAGCGTGTCGAATAGGCCGAGAAAGAACCGGCGACTGGGAAACAGACTGCGAGTTCACCGAGAGCTTGGACGGTGCAGTAGAGCATGCACCCGATGAATAGGTAGGCAAGGAGCAACGAGGCGGGACCGCCGACCTGAAGGGCGCGACCCGAAGCGACGAATAGGCCGGTCCCTTTTTTTTGTTAATGGTTCCGGTTAGCACCTCTAGTCAGCTTCCATCCCGGCCTCAAGGACGGAATTAACGGAAATGGGAACCTAGGTATATATACCTATAGAGCCGCCCATGGCGATCATTTGCAGATGCCGGCCTTTCAGCTTCCTGGCCAGATGCGACTGGGCGGTTTGCAAGGTGGCCAGCCGTAAATCATAATGATGCGACTGAGAGCCTCGCCTGCCCAGGATCGGCCGGTGCAACCGGACGGCCTCAACCGTGTGGATGTCGTCGAGGGGGTCTTCGGACGTGATGCGCTGGCTGGGGTCCCGGCGGAAGCCGTCGACTAAACGGTCGAGGAATCGCGGGGGCGCGGTGTCTTCGTAGAGGGGCTCGCGCATGGTGTAGCTGCTGCCCTGCGCGAGGGAGTCCTCCTTTATGGGGAAGACGTTCATCTCGATGTCGCGGTTGGACGGTGGCGCCATGGCTCCTGGAGGACCCGCCGTGACCGAGGGCGGGGAGGATTGCGCGCACGCGCGTACGTATCTCTATGCCTATATGTATTCTACCTATATGTGTATTACATGGGTACAGATAGGTATGGATAGGTATATGTCAATGGATGCTCGGGGAGGAGGAGGGAGAGAGGTGACGATAGCTGGTAGAGGTGATGCGCGGTTGGTGTGAATCGCGAGGTGCCTCTCTAGCCGGGGTTATCGCCTCGAAGCGCACTAGCAGATAAAAACTCGAAAAGGTGGGATTGTCGGCAAAGCAGATTGGTGATTGTATCATCCCCAGAGAGGACACGCGGGGAGGGGGGTAGAGGGAGGGAGGGAGGCGGAGAGGCAGAGAGAGAGAGGACAATGATGACGACGATGATGGTGTTGATGGTGATGATGGAGTTGGATCCCGGGCTGCGTCGCATGCATCCATGCTACACGTACCCATAGATAAAATACCTGGGTGTATGAAAAATTACGAAGGTATATACATATATCAGGTACGTAGGCATTTACCTAGGTAGGTATTTTTCCAATATATACCTGTATGTAGGGCTCCAGATATAGAGATAAGTACGTAACCTAAAGTACAGCATTCAGGCCCTTCCATCCTATGCTGATAAGCAGACAACCTGCTTGACAGGTTCCTTGCCAGCTTCGTCGCCCCCGTCCCCCCCCTCCCCCCCGCAAGCTCAGACATCATCCAATGGCGTGGGGGCCTTCTACATAGGTACATGCATACACCCATGCACATATATGCATATGCGTCAATGGAGGCACCTCCTCATCAGCCAAGGTAGTAATACCTCTGTATACTACCTAACGTAGTATACCACCACCTTTTTTTTTCACCTTCTTCGGCGTCCGCGTCTATCCATCCTGGATGCCGCTTATCGCCTATATATATCAACTGCCCAGGCCGGGAGCGTTGGAGAGCACATTCCCCGTACCCGTCGTCGTCGTCGTCCTTGTCAGAGTTTGTACATATCCAACCACGCCATGCCCTATTGTATATACCTGGGTGAGAGAGGTCCCGTTGGAAGCCACCCTACTCCCCCTTTTGCCCTGGCACCATTGCGCCCACGACGCCCTCTCACCAATGCACGCCCTCTACCGCCCTTTTTAAGAAACTTTTTTTCTCCTCGCATCTAACTCGTCCCTGCATAAGTCGGGTCCCGCGCATCCGTCACGTGTCTCATTTGATAATCTTCCCCTCGGCGTCTCGGGGTTTCCGCTTCCATCCCGTCGAAAAGAGTTGCCCCATGTCGAACCGCGGAAACGGGTGTGCTTCCGTGTTGATAACGATCTTGTCCAGGGGGAGGAGATCGTTCGGCGAGAAGAGGAGGTACATGTATTTCAACGTCTCGGCCTGCGAGGAGAGTTAGCGAAATCCCGCCATGCTTCCAGTGCCGGGTGCGGCGTCGGCAAATTCGCCGGGAAACCTACCAGCCAAAAGCTTTCCATGTTGTCCCGCATCACCGGCGGGACCACGTTAGCGTCCGACAAGCTCGAAAAGCCCCCGCCGTCCTGCACGGCCGTGTAGTTCATGAACGATTTGAACATCTCCCAGCCCCATTCCCGGTACTTGATGTCGCCTGTAATCCTCCACATGTAGAACAGGCTCTCCACCGTCTCCGGTCGCTGCAGATTGTGGGCGTCCATGGCGTGGACTGTGATATCCTTCCGCCACTCCGCCTGAGCATCCCCGTCCAAGTTGTCCGTCGGCCGACGGTGGGGGGCAGATTCGGCCAGGGGAGGGTTTGCGATGTTGAAGTACGTGATTTCGGCCGCCAGCCCGGTAGCCATCCACTTGTACGTGGCCCAGCATGTCTGCATCAATTCCCTCGCCAGCTGCATATCCGCTTCGTTCTGCTTCGTCCACGTCGACCGCTTCTTGGCTTCTGCTTCCGTCAGCCCGCCGGTCACCGACAGCGCGATCGTCCCGGGCATGAAACAGACCAGGTGGTCCATCTTGGGCGATAGAGAACCCTGTAGACCGTTCGGCCGCTCTCCGATGATCGTAAATCCAGACGGTTCCGTATAGGTGACAAGATGCTTGCGCACTCCCCGCAAGGACTCGTTCCACATCTCTAGATAGACGGATTCCTGCTTGTTGGTCTGTAGGTATTGCTTGATAAGGTACTCGTAATACGAGTCCCCCCGGCTTCCTAGCCGTATGTTATGACCCCTGAAGGTGCCGTCGGTGGCGTGTATATATATGGGGACTAGGCCGTCTTGGACGCCATTATTGTCAACCACTTCCATCACCTTCTCGGCCTTGTCCCAGAAATATTTTTCGCCCGTCAGTTTGGCAATATATTTGAATTCCAGCTGCAGGGTGGTGGTCTCGGCAGTAGACGACGCGCCACCCTCGTCATGAGCTGGCAGGGCCTCGTACTTGCCGATGTTCACACTAGCGTAGGGAACCCCAGAGGGACTGTCAAAGGCCGTTACAAGCCGATCAGCGAGATCTTTCGCCTTCTCCAAGTAAAGATCCTCTCCCGCTGCGCCTGGGTCGTCCTCGGCCAGCGGCGCCATCTCCGGGAACTGGCTAGAGAGGTAATGGGCCGAGAGAAGGCCCCCTAGCATACGGATCGTCGTCTCGAAAGTGCTGACGTCCTGGTCCTGGTCGTAGGTCAAGGAAGCCGAGATCCATTCCCTCGCGTGCGCGACTCTCGAGGTCAGGTTCATCAGGATCATGGTGTCCAGCGCGTCGACGATAATCCAGCCCATCCCCTTCGGAGTCATCTGCTCACCCTTCTTAGAGATGGGATGGAACACGTCGTAGCCTAGCAACGAGAGTTAGCACGTATCGACGTGGGGAGCACGCTGCGGTTTGAGAATGGGATTGGTCGTCTTACCCCAGGCGTATCGTTCATAGGCATCCCAACTCAGAGTGAAGGCCTCGACAACACGCTCCCTCCTCTTAAGCCAGTCAGCCGTCTTTGATGATTCCGGACTGGAGTGAAGCCAACCCCACACGGGCTTGGGGGAAACCGCGGTGTCCCGGCGCTGAGAGAAGACGCCGAAATAGTACAGCAGCGAAAGTAGTACCAGGGCAGTGAGGAGCGTGCGTTTTCTCCGCCAGATGGGTCTAACCCGTTGCGAGGCCGGGTACGCGTACGGCTTGTCCTTGTACATGGGAAGGCCCTCGCGATTATCGAATAGGTTACCGACTCGACCCTGGACCTCCCCGAACATACCCGAGTTCTTGGCTGGTTGCGACGGACCCCTTCCCCCTCGCGACGTAACCGCACTATTTCCCCAGACGCGATCCTCCACTATCCTCTGCGGGTTTCCAAACGAGGGGACATTTTTAGGGACGGCGAAGGACATGTCAAAGTTGTCGGCAACTTGTTTACTCTTCTCAATGGCATTAACGCTTGCCTCAACGGCGCGTTCGGTGAGGTCGATGGCAGCACGCGAGGCGGTAGTTCTAAAGATAGAGAGAGCGCTCTTTCGATGGAGGCCAAACGGGTCGCGAACGTTCATGGAGTAGGTAGGCGTAGCAGACGAGGACGACACTCATTTCCCGGAATTCGGCGATCCGAGGCGGGTATGGTTTGGAGGGGGAGAAGAAAGAAGCAGAGGTAGATTAGGTAGGTAGGGAAATAGGTAGATAGGTAGGTGGGTGGAGGGCGAGAGAAGAGACGAGAGATGACAGGCAGTAGTCGCTACATAAATAGGTCAACCCAACGCCTAGGACGAGATGACGCGGTATGGATATAAGACCTTCTTTCTTCCTCATGCAACGGCCCCCTTTGAGGCCCCCTCGCCCAGTCGAGTGAGAGGGTTGTTAGGGGATTATATTAGAAAGATGAGGAAGCAATATGAAAGCACCGCTGTAGAGAATTAGTTGGCATCAAGGGTCACAGCTAACCCTTGCTGGCGGCATGCAATTATGTAGGTAACCTGTCTAATCTACCAAACGGATTGGAATTAACAGTGGCAGGATTTATATGTAGAAGTAGTAGGTGGATAGTTTATACTCGACAGCAGTGGAAGTAGACAGATATGGCATTAGGTACCTGGATACTTCTAAGCCCGATATTGCCAGTGCACGTTCGTGTGTATCGCACCAGGCGGGTATACCTACCGTGTACATAGATACGTCATGTATTATTCCTTCTTCTTCCGCCGTTCCTCTGTCCCTCTGGAACGTTTCCGGACCGGCAGTATCGGCAAGTGCTGCGTTATTGCAATAAGCTTAGTAGCTTCTGTACGGACCTAAACCCGTCGGACACTAGCCATATTAGGCACCTGGCGGAGTACCTCGCTTCCACTAATCTTAGGTATTTAGGGGTCTATACCTCCCGCTCAACTGGCTAAATACATAGGTACACACATGGGTTACGTGTACTTCTTGTACATTGCATCACATTATGAGGTTCCCAGTACCTCGTGACTCCTGCCACTATCCGGACCCAAGGATACGCACCTAACCTTACAGTGGGCACCTGTTGCACATATGAATTTATGCACAGGACGTTCCCTGGCCTTCTAGGTAGGCACGTGTGAAAATGCACTTATGTATAATGTAGCGATGAGCGGGATGTAGATACCTTAGGTACTGTTAGCATGGGATACCTAGGTACCTATGTACCCACGTCGAGTTCTGTGGGGGACGTCTGTAAATTGCATCCCCGCCGTTGGCTGTAGCATCTGCCTAACAACGTCAAATGCATTTCTTCAACCAAAAAGAAAAAGAAAAAAAGATGCAGTGCAATGGACCCATGGGACAGAGGCGCGTGAACAAGACCACGATTGCCTACGTACATCTGTCCGGGTAAATATAACGAGTCACAAAGCTCTACCTCGACCGGCCGCGGGGGCGTATTGCCTCAGACCCTCGGGATAAATACAACAGACGAGGGACCTCCCAAGCAGACGCCCAGGCCGGCGAGATGAAGCGGTCCAACTCCCACCGTTCGGCTTACCAGTGTTACCCGTACCTCACAGCCCAGGAATTTGCCGAGGCCTGCCACGGCCTAGACAGGCGATACTGCCAGGCCACGCTCGGCCCTCTGCGGCGGCGATGGCGCCTTCATGTCCATACGGCACTGGACGTCTCGCTTGAGGGCGGCCATCCGGGATACACTACGTTTCTGCAGATCACCCGGCCTCTGGACGACGGTACGGCCGCTGACAGCGACCTCGCGGCTCAGATGGGCGACTGCTCGCTGGGCGAGGATCAGGAGTCGAGCATGCAGCTGGACATCGACCGGGCCGTAGTTGAGATGGAAGATTCGGACAAGGTCACTCGGGGCAGCCGCCTCCACCTCAGCTGCAGCATCGGTCGCTAACGAAATGGTAGGAAGTGCTTCCGAGGTCGTCGACTCGGCCCAACTTTGACGTCGGCTATGCCAAGTACGAGATACACCTACACCCAACCTATCATGCACCGTGCCTCTGGTTTAGCCTACACAACTTACCGGCCGCCGAGCCCGCCTTCGACGTAGAGTCCGTCTTTCGGTACCTGGTCCCCCGACATTTCAAGGATGCTCTGAGGCAGGCCGGTCCGATTGGCGGCATCTCCATCGACGTAAGTGTATATGTCTTCCGCGCTGTTCAAACGAGTCAATTGCCTGCGCTGGATGCTGGGTATTTATTGTCTCTACCTTATGACTAAGTGTCGCGCTTCCAGCATCACCCCCTCACTGGAGTTCCCTCCTTCTTCGTCCACCCATGTGTTCTCGGGGACGCCATGACCGGCTTTGACTGCCCCAAAGAAGACTATCTCATGGTATGGCTGGGTTTGGTGGGAGGATGCGTCGGGCTCTGGGTTCCTAGGCAGATGGCCACGGTCCAGGGAGCATGAACGCGCTGCATGGCTAGAAACGCCGTGGGAAATGGCATGACGGGTCCAAAGGGCTCTCTGTTCGAAGGGAATCCCCTCGGCGGTCAATACCAGTGAGCCTCTCATTCGTCATCACTGTCTTCCTCCATCGCCACGTCTTCGTCGCTCTCCTCCTCTTCTTCCTCATCGCGGGGCCTCTTCTGTCCACGAGTGTCGGGGCTTTTTGCGCCAGCTGGGGCCCTGTCCGGAGCTTGGAGCGGTTTCACGGGAAGGTTTGGAAGGAGGGGGGTCGCTGTAGTAGTACTGGAAGTAGTCGCGGCGGCGGTAACGGACGATCCGGGCGCCGGGGCGTTGAAGATGCTTTGCTGGGTCTCGGTCATCTCGACATTGGCGGCGGCTGATCCGGGGAGCTTGTATGTGCCATCCAATTTCGCAATCGTATCCGACTTGGATTTCGCATATTGAATGTGCTAGGGGAGAGACATTAGCAGGACAGATACGGCGGATTCAGAGAAAAACAGAGAGAGACGGAGGAGGAGCTCCACACACCAGTTCTTTGCCGAGAAACTTGAATCCTTCCAAGGACCTCATTGCCTGCGTCGCGGCATGGACATCGCGGAAGACGATGTGAGCTTGCCCGCGCATTTTCATCGTCTTGAGTGCCACGACGTCCAGCACAGGGCCGTAGGTCGAGAACAACATATAGAGCGACGTCTTCAAGTCGGCTTTATTTATCTTGGACGACGGCAGGTTGGTAACGTATAGTCTGCAGCGCACCTTTAGCTGGGACGGCGCGAGCTCAGCAGGACGGCACGACAACTTACGTCTGGTTGGGTGGGATGGGAGGTGCCCTGACGCCGGCCTTGGAGGCCTGGCCTCGCGCAGCGGTGGTAGCAGTAGCAGTAGTAGTCATGGCGGAGAGCGGGCGTGGATCGATTTGATTAATGAATATAGAATGGTGAATATTTTTGCATTATCGACGTTTCTTCTCGTCTCTCTTAGCGGATGATGGAGGGCTCAGTATGAGCAGTCTTGCAGCATCTCCAGTAGCCTCAGGGAGGGCTGCCAATGGTGCGGTCGACCTACAAAATATCCATTCAAGGTTCTCTCGGGCAGGTTAGGCAGGCTAGCTACATATCTGTATCCTTTAGATACATATCTCTCTCCTCGTCAAAGTAGTATAGGTACCTGGTACCTAGGTAAGCACGCATATTTAGGTTGTATAGCAAGTATCTAGATCCATGACCTCTGGTAAATGCATATGTGCCTGATAGAGGTAGGTACATCCTATCTCAATCGTACCTAGGTACCTACCTAGTAGGTAATGAGGTTATTACGTACCCCTTGCCTCTAGTAGTAGGTTGGTTACGTACCTGACCTGCTCCCTATTCCGACTTGCGTAGCGAATTGATCTTCTTCCTTCATCCCCCACTTCTCCTAGGCTTCATTCCTAAATCCGCAGGCACCCCTTGGCCATCCTCGACGCGGTAGTAGAGAGCTATACTCCTACCAGCAGCGTCAAGAGGAGAGCAACTCTACAAGCAACAGAGAGAAAAGAGAAGAAAAAAAATAGCGAAAGCACAAGAAGAGAAGGGGGGAGGAAGCAATTATCAATATGGCCGCCCCCGAAGTTCATCATCTCTTCCACCGCCCCATCGCCGACCACTCGTTCTCGGCGGACCGCAAGACGCTAGCTGTTGCCAAAGATTCCACCATTGAGCTCTACGGCAAGGTCGGCAATGCTTTCAAGCTCAAGGACGAGTTGAAGGGCCACGACAAAACCATCACCAGCGTCGACATCGCTCCCGGGAGCGGTCGAATCGTCACCTGCTCTCAAGGTCTACCTGCCCCACGCCTCACCCCCTGAGACGTCCCATAAATTAGTTCTAATACGAGCGCACAGATCGCAATGCCCTAGTCTGGGAGCCCTCGCCAACCGGGTATAAGCCGACGTTGGTGCTTCTCCGGATTGCCCGAGCTGCCACCTTCGTTCGCTGGTCCCCCTCCGAGATCAAGTTCGCCGTGGGGTCCGGCGACAGGGTGATCGCCATCTGCTACTTCGAAGAGGAGAACGACTGGTGGGTTTCGAAGCATCTGAAAAAGCCCATCCGGAGCACTATCACCACTGTGAATTGGCACCCCAATTCTGTTCTGCTCGCCGCTGGCTCTACCGACGCTCACGCGAGAGTCTTCTCGAGCTTCATTAAGGGCATCGACGCCCGCCCGGAACCTAGCGTCTGGGGCGAGCGCTTGCCTTTCAACACCGTCTGCGGAGAGTTCCTCAATAATTCGGCCGGGTGGGTCCACTCTGTCGCCTTCTCCCCCAGTGGCGATGCCCTCGCTTTCGCTGCGCATGACAGCAGCATCACCATCGTCTATCCCACCGCGCCGGAACAACCCCCGAGGGCAGTCATTAGCGTCAACACCCAGCTTCTACCGTTTATGAGCCTGATATGGAACGGCGAGAACGAGATTATCGCCGCCGGGCACGATTGCGAAGCGTTCCGGTTCAGAGGCGACCCGTCTGGATGGCAGCTCAGTGGCACGCTAGAATCCAAAGGAATATCTGACGACGGGGATGCTCGAGAAGAGTCTGCGCTGAATATGTTCCGGCAGATGGACCTGAAAGGCAAGATCAAAGACGACACGCAACTAAAGACCGTCCATCAGAATACCATCTCGACGCTGCGCGTCTACGAATCCAGCGGCGGATCCGTGACCAAGTTCAGTAGTAAGTGTTACTCGCTGATTCGCAGTCCTAAGCTGCGGGTGTGTTTGAGGTGCTAACGACGTTATTAGCAAGCGGCGTCGATGGTAGGGTGGTTATATGGCATACCTAGGTCCAGCTAGAGTCACAAAGAGAGCATGTCAAAATGTCTCACGACTTCTGTGGCTCTATATTTGTTTTACGCGTAGTATCCGGTCTTTCATGTTCCCGCACCTGCTCGAAGTAGCCGTCTAGCTAATCTCTACCGCTGTATAAGACGCTGGAAATGCATGGACAGCCTTAATAAATCTCCTCCATTTGTCTTTTTCTATAAATAAACGAACTTCACATCCAGGCTTTCTAACCTCCCTAGCCATGTGGCTTCAGCTTAATCGTGTCAAATTCCTATGAGATCGTCAAGAAAATCCATCTAGTTGGGAATTTCTAACCTACCTCCTCGATATTATCCGCCTAGGGAAATTCGACCATGGACCTACGAGAGTCGAGGGTGTCCTCTACATGCAGGCAGCATCGGACCCAGACGTCTACCTACCCTGCTTGGAGGTATGCCGCGGACCGACCGCCTAGCCCTGATCAAGCATGCCAGCATGCCACGTCGCCGAACGGCCAATTTTTCCCCGAGCGCGAGAGCAGGCACTGGAGGTATTCCGGTGATATCCATACTCCGGTACCAAACACGATCCCCTGCTTACGTTGCTATCACAGGATTGAGCCACTAAATGACTATCCTGTTGGATCTCTTCAGACGACAGTAAACCACATTCAGGCTCCCTCACCCTGGGCGCATGCTCAGAACAACAATCCTGACGCAGCATCAAGCCATCACTCCCGGCTGGTGCCCCCATCCCCAGAGTTACAGGCAGAGCTCACGCGAGACTCCTCACGGCCGACTAACGGCGATCTCCCGAAGCATACTTCACCCAGCGACGACGGTCAAACTGCTAGCACCCGTAGCAGCTACCCTGGACAAGGCGACCACGTCAGCACTGTTGTCGGTGCCGTGCATGACATCTGCTTAGAGTCCACGAAGACATACCTAGATACACACCGGATAAATCGCCGAGCGAGAGCCGGCCGTTCGTCGATGTCATACGCGGATAGCTTCCAGCGGTGGGCGAGTCGGGGGGGAAATGACGAACCCGACACTACCGACAACGGCGTGGACGACCGCCTGTGCACAGTCCCCACATCGTCAGACTCGCTTCTTAGCAACATTAGTAGAATCTGCACCATGCTCTGGGTGGGGTCGCAGCGAGACCGGCTTGACGTTCTGGATGTCGAGCGCTTGGCCGTCGATAATATGGCCCGCCTCCTGTCATGGGCGGAGACGGTTGTGCTGGGCGAATACGACGAGTGGGAGGCGTCCAGCGAGGCGACCGCCTGGCGTGTCTTCGAGGCAGGCCGGAACCTTTGCGCCTTACTTGGGGTTACAGACGGGGTTCACGCTATGGATAGCTTGAGAGACGAAATAACAGGGTCCGAGCCCTGGAGGGTTCCAACCCCTGTACCGAGGTCCAGTTGGTGAGCATCGGAGTGTGTATTTCAGTAAGGGGAAACAGGGGACGAAGATGTCACTACATATTGACCCGCGCCCGTTACCCGGTAGTTTTATCTAGAAACGGCAGCGGGGGGTCTGACAACAGAGCCTTGTACATACGTCCGTGACGGAGGAACTTTTAGAGGTAGAGACAAAGACAATAAACACACCACGTGGCTGCTACCAGCCAGACGTTAGTTTGAATCTCCGTAGCTGGCGCCATCCACACGGCTACTTCTTGACGGCGGTTTGCAGTAGGTATAATAGGAGGGCTAGCAGCTAGACTCAGTTGACCCGCCAGCCTGGGGCAGACCTGGACACGGGCGTGAGGTTCTCGGATGTTGATCTCGAGTTAGTTGCCCAGGTGATCTAGGAATGTACACGTAGCTGCCGGCTTGAGTAAGAAGTAGGTATTGATATCTAGAGGCTACCAGAGGGTGGATGGAATGCGTACTCACATTATGTTCATAGCCTACCCTGACAAGTGCATTCTATATCCATATCTATTGACGCTAATATCTTACCTTTACCTCCTAGGCATGCCTTCCTTCTATAAAAACAATATCCCGCAGGGTCTATAGGTAAGTATGGGTTGCCCCGTAACAAACATCGAAATACTAGGAGGCGTTACCTGTTACCTGATGTACATGGGTACTTGGGTACTAAAAGTTTGCACAAGGTGCCGGCAGCCTCAGTGCATTACATAAGGTGCAATCGCTGTTCCATAATGGAAGGTCAATGAAACTGTACATATCAACCATACGCACTCATTAAAGATTATGAAAATGCCCCTCCCCCCACATTGCATTTGAGATTCGTATTTCCCACTTCGATTTCATTCTCGCATCCCTCACGATAACAACAACACCGACAGCCCTCATCCGCTGCCGCTGGCGAGTCAACTTCAAACCCACCAGGAGATCGTGCGAACTTCGAAAGGCCATTCGTGCGCCCACCTGTCACTGCAAACCCCCAAAAATGGCTGCGCCGGACAAGGTCTTCTCCCTTGAGGGAAGACTCCTGAAGCTGGACACTGCCCAGGACCTTGAGGCCCACATCGGTCCGTTGCGCGCCATGGACGACGTCGAGGAGATCCGAATTTTGGGAAACACCTTGGGCGTCGAGGCCTGCAAGCTTCTTGGGGAGGTCCTGGCGACCAAAAAATCCCTAAAGGTACGAGCTGGTTAAGCCGCCCTACCCAGTTGCAACCTTTCCCCCCCATCTGTCTCCCCCCCCTCCTCTCGCGATTTCGCCCAAGTTCGCCTCGCTAGCCTCGCCCTGGCTCACCTGGTTTTTCGTCTAGGTCGCAAACCTCGCCGACATATTCACCGGCCGTCTGCTCAACGAGATCCCCGAGGCCCTCTCCTCCCTGCTCACATCCATACTAAACCTCCCCAACCTTCGAACCATCAACTTGAACGACAACGCCTTTGGTCTCAATACCCAGGCGCCCTTGGTTGCCTTCCTATCGAGCCACATCCCGCTCCAGCATCTATATCTCAACAACAACGGGCTAGGCCCCCACGCCGGCGTCCTCATCGCCGATGCGCTCTCGGAGCTCCATGCGAAAAAGGAGGAGGCTAGGAAGGCTGGCCAGGAAGTCCCCTATCTCGAGACTGTCATCTGCGGCCGAAACCGGCTGGAGAATGGCAGCATGCTCGCGTGGGCCAAGGCCTTCAGCCTTCACAACAGAGTCAAAGAGGTCAAGCTGGTGCAGAACGGGATCCGGCAGGAGGGCATCGAACAACTGCTCACTCTGGGTCTCAACCACGCCACCGAGCTCAAGGTGATAGATCTTCAGGACAACACCTTCACCGCCCAGGGCGCCAAAGCTCTGGCCAAGGTTGTCTCCCTCTGGGGAGATATACAGGATCTCGGTGTCGGCGATTCGCTTCTTAGCGCACGGGGCGGTATCTACCTCGCCAAGGCCCTCTCCCAGGGCCGGAATCGGAGGCTCGAGATCCTCCGCCTGCAGTACAACGACATCACGTCTGCCGGGGTCAAGGGCCTCGCGGCCGCGGTGCGGGACGGCCTGCCGGCGCTGCGCAGGATCGAGCTCAACGGCAACCGGTTCTCGGAGGACGACGAGTCGATCCTGGCGCTCCAGAACCTGCTGCGCGAGCGCAAGAAGGGCCGCGGCGGCGGCGGCGACGCCGCCGGCGACGAGGACTCGTGGGGCGTCGACAGCCTGAGCGACCTCGAGGACGTGGACTCGGAAGAGGAAGAGGCAGAGGAGGAAGAAGAGGAGGAGGACGAGGAGGGCGTGACCCCCGCGGAGAGGGCCGAGAAGCTGGTCAGGGAGGCCGAGGAGGCCCAGGAGGAACCCACAGCCCAGCGCAAGGACGCCGAGGTCGACGAGCTCGCCAAGAAGCTGGAGAAGACGGGGATCTAGGCCAAGCCAACGCGTCGGCCGAGAGGAAAGAAAGAAAGAAAGAGAAAGGAGAAGAAGGGGGGAAACCATTCCGGGGCTGGCAGGGATGTGTGATTTAGAGAGACGCACGAACGGAAGGTATAGGAATTGAGGATACCCAAGTCACCGAGAAACCCGATACAACCTTTTTTTTTATTTTTTACTAAACCCTGACACCCTAGATATGTAGACAACCCGAGCTATGGCATTTCGCCATTCTACACCTCAGATTATTCAACCTGTCCGTAGTGGAGACATTTTTCTAATAGAAGCCATCCGTGTACAGTTTCCTCGCTCGTCATCATCTCGGCTCCTTCGCCCCCGGTTCTCGTATAAGCCGCCCAGTCAGCCGAGCACAGCTGTCACTGCGCAAGAAGGGGAGGGGCATGTGCCATATATCTATTCCAATCGTTCGTTATTTCGTAGCGAAGACACAGAGATCTCCTAGGCCCCCCGCCGCGATGGCGGTCGAAGGAGGGTGGTAAGAGCCGTGTAAGAGTAGCGTAGTTGCGTTATATATACAATACGCGCCTCCAGTTGTACAGGATGTGTACCCTCTTGGCCCTGAGATGTAGGCAGCCCGCAACCATCGAAAGCGGGCGAGCGAGCCGTGAGAAAACTAGTCCCGTCTCATCGTACGTACAGGCGACGCAGTTAACCGTGGCATCTCTACGGCCCCCTCCCCGACCCTGAAAGGCCAACCCTCTATTGTAAAACAACACCGGCTCCGGTGTAGGATCACCCGTGGCCGTTAATTATAAGACTTCGCCGATAATTTTGGCCGCCTCCCGGTACGTTTGCAATAGCTTTTCACACTTCTCGCGCTCCTTCTTCACGCCATCATCTTCGTAGAGAAGCTCTTCAAAGAGCGTCTCCTTGTAGAGATCGCTCACCAGCCGGTTCTGGACCCCGTCTTTACAGTGGTTGACGAGTAGGTGCATAACCGCCTTGGGGACTTGGTCGGCGATAGATTCTCTGACGATGTTGAAATACGAGGATATCAGTGCCCGGATAAGCTCCGTCTCCATAGCTTCGCGTTCGCTCAATGCTGGCTCCACGCCATCACCCTGTAGGCCCGAAGGTTAGTCAGAGCAAGGATGATGAGAGGGGCGGTCTTACAGATTGCGGCCCAAGACCGAAGCCGGCAGCTTTGGGGCTTTCCTCCTCACGCGACAACGAGGAAGGCAATACAGGTCTGTGAGCTAATCTATCTTCGCCCCGTCGGATGCTTTGACTGAAAGTGGGCTCCGCGCCCTGGCTAACGTGACGCGGGAGGGAAGAAGGGAGGCCTGCACCTTGGGGCGGTAACGGACCGTCCTTGCCGAAAAAATAATTCAGAAACGAATCCCGAGCGGTTCCGATCGCTTGGGGGTTGAATCGGTTGGGTGAGCCTGGGCGTCCACCATTCATGGCGACGGCTATACTCGCGTTCCCGTTTTCACGGACGGCGGGCGACATGCTTCGGGAACCCATCCCGCCCTGCTTCCGAGGTTGAGGGCCGTCAGCTCTATCGTGAGCGGCATCTTCATCTTCCTCCTGCGCCTCAGTTCCGTTCGCACCAAGCTCCTTGAGCCGTCTCTTTTCCCGCCGATCACGTTCTTCTTGTATCAGCCTCTTCCTCTCACGATCTTGCTTATTGCCGACTACGTGACTCATGGCGGCAGCGGCCCCCAGAAAATTCGGATGATTCGTGTTGATGTATGCACGCTGGATAGCGATGAGAGACTCGACATACGACGACGCTGGTCCGAGCCTTTCTCTCAGGAGGTCCGATACGACTTCTATCAGCTTGGCTTGGAGCCTCGGATACCTGGAGAGCTCGGTTGAGCCGCAAGTGTGGCATATTTTAATCAACTCCTCGTAGACTAACTCGACGCATCGTTGGCTAGGAAGCTCCAAGAGCTTGATCTGCGGTTTGACCAAGAGGTCAAAGGCCATTTCCGGCACGAACAGACTTGGGCGGGGGCCGGTTGAGTTGCGAATGGCGGTTCTGATGTCCAAGGTGGAGAGATTGGAGGTCGGATCGATCGACTCCAACGCACTACCAAATACCGAATTAAAAATGTAATAGATTCGCGCACCTCCAGACAGCTCCTTGGTCGATATTTCTGTCGAGGTGCCATCGATGGACGAGATGAAGGAGGTGGCGAATCGGGTCATGAGCTGTAGGATCATGGACCCTCGGTGTTCTTTCCCGCTAAAATGCATATCGCCGTAGCTCGCCAGCTCCTGTTGGGTCTGACCCATCAAGGTGTTGAGACGTGCCTTAATGTCCGGTAGACGCTCCCGGATATGTGCCATGAGGGTCTGGTTCAGGGTCTTGGCTAGGTATTGCGTCCCGCAACGCATGGAGATATTTCGATAGGCGGGGTGATGCCGGAAAAACTCCGTCTCGGCTTTGAGGGCCTCCTCCATAGGCCGGTTGCCTTGGATATCCTGCTGAGATCGATTGACGACTCCGATAAAGCCCAGCTTCAGTGGATAGACTCGGCCGGAGAGGATATCCAACGCATTGGTGCCGTGGTCCATCAGGTCCACCTTGGTAAGAACCCCGATGGTCCGCCGGCCCAAAGGATCGACATGCCGGGCAAGCTTTAGAGCCTCCGAGTTAACGATGTCCACATTCGCAGGCGAGACAGCGAGAATGATGCTGTTAGGCTTCGCAATGTATTCCGAGATGAGAGTTCGAGTCTGTTTCTCGATATCGGCTGGTTGATCGCCAATGGGAACCTGCCAGGCACACCAAGTCAGCCACTAGCCGGATAGACAGGGTTCCCACCTCAGCCGAGTATACCTTGGTGAGTCCCGGCAGATCAACTAGAGTCAAGTTGAGAACATGGGGGGAGTATATTTTCAGGTTAATGGGCTGTCTATTGATGCCCTTATTGCTGCCGGCGACACGAGCAGTCTCGTTTTCGATTTCGCGCTTGACATCACCGAAGTCGGTAAATCTTCGACCTGGTATATGGTGGAATTCTGCCCATTCGGAACGGCGAGCTTGCGTAGGATTCCTATACGCAGCGTGCGCGTCCGGTTCCGTCTCATCCTCCTCGACGTTGATCAATTGCAAAATCAAGGGACGGCGAGTGACGATACCGCTTCCTCGGGGCAGGAAATCGCGGCCGACAATATTTTCTAGCACCGAAGACTTGCCCGCAGATTGGGAGCCGACGACGACCTATACGTTGGTGGCAACAGTAAGCAAGCCGCCGTGCAAATACCAGTACGGGGTCGGCAAAACAACACAAGATGGAAGAGAGTCTTGGGAGCGCACGAACGTACGATCTGAGGCAAGTCGAGAGAATCCGTGCCGATAGTGTTAAATACCAGGTCCTGCAGCTGGTTCACGATCCGCAGCAGGTCGTCCCCTAAGGCCGCCATGATGGAGATGAATAGCTACTGTGCTTGGATAATTAGTAGCAGATTCGGTGGCAGTGGATTACTTTGGCGCCGGTTGCGTTGGAAGGGGGAGGAAATTTTGTGATTCCTGATGCTGGCAATGAGGGCAGCCAGACATCCGCTTATCAGTAGTCGATAGAAGACCAAGGGCACGGGCTACCCGGATTTTTTTTTCTCTCAGGTCGAGGGAGCACAGGTGGTTATAGGGACCGCCAAAGCGATGAGAGGAGATCCCTGGCCAGGAAGCTGGACTCAGACTGGAGGAGGGAGAGACGAGTTGATGTGTCGAAGCCCAGTTGGTAGTTTGGATGAAAAAAAATGAAGGCCCTTGAGATGGAATTATGGATAAGGCATGCTGGCATATGAGTAGGTGGAGTTCCGGTCATTGAATTATAGCACGTCATGTATCTTTTAGGTACTACACGCCCTTGTCCGGACCCATCATATACATGGGCACAACTGGGTAGTGTACCTGTATGGGTACCTTAGGGAGAGAGAACTGAACCGTGCACGTTTTATGCACACAGTAGGCACGTATGCGTACCTGACGTATCTGGATTAGGTACCTACCTGGCGGTATACCTCAGGTACTTATGTGCCTAGGTACCTCCTACCTGATGTAGGTATACATAAGTACACATGCCAACATTGTATCTCATGCAGACTGCAATTTGTGTAGATATGTACCTGATCTATACATAGGCGCCTACCTTAGGTACCTGCTCGTCTAGCTGACTGCCCTCTGCTAAAAGGTGCATGAAGCTGCCCAGGTGGATCCGGTCGTCCTACGAGCTACACACCAATAGGACCTTATTACTGCTCTTGGATACCTTAAGTACCTAGGTACCTAGGTACCACAAGTGGAGAGAACACCTACCTCTGTTAGGTAGGTAGATACCCAAGTACCTAAATAGGTTAGTTACGAGCAACCTCTACGCACACACCTACTTTGGAACTTATAGCCTTTGTTCATAAGCATTATGAGTATATTCTTGCGACAACATGCTACGAGCGCTCCTCAAGTCCGGCCGTGGAATATTTTGATGGTTATTCACGGCTTGTGCGCACTTCTCTATCCAGATTGGGATAAACGACAAATGGCTCGAAACATGCAGAGGTAGGTATGATATAGGTTAGGGACCTACCTACCTGTATAGGAAAGGACCTGTGAGGTGAACTGGCACTGGGGCATCAGTAAAGTAGGGCGAATGTGATAATCTCATATACATATACATTTCTGCGTATTGGATGCTACTCAAAAGGTGGTAAACCTACGCCGGCGCTACACAGCTAGGTCAGGTACCGACGTGCGCCAAAATTTGCCGGAGCCGATGCAACGCTTTCAACCCCGTCTGTGAGGTTCCTCCGGGCGATTCCGAGAGGCTACGGAGCTCTTCTCGCGCCGCACTCACCAGGGGAATAAAGTCTCCCCAGACCTCGTCTGTGTAGCTTGAGAGGACATGCTCCCACTGACTGACCCATATACTCCTTGCTTCGTCCAGGTTCGGCGTGCCAAGCAATTCGGCGTACTGCTGGATGCTGTTGCTATCTGGTCCGAAATCCGGGAAGAAATTGAGACGGCCCCCCCAAGGTCTTCTCTCCGAATTACCGCCTTCAGGGATGCGATTCGGCGCCGTCGCTTGGCCGCGGTCTACCTCGGAAATCGGTGGTAGCTCTTCGATGCCATGATACCCCGAATCGAGGAAATTGGCCACTTCGATCCCGTCAGCCGTGGAAATTACTGCCGTCGGTGCTCTCTGCTTCGGCGGAACCTCGTCGTTATCAGGACTGTGCTTGCGATCGCGTCCCTCGACCCCTCTAGGCTCCGTCGCCTCGAGAGCGCTTGTGCTGTTTACGAAACTGGAAAACATCGACTCGCCGGAGGTGCGCTGCTCTGGTGTCTCGGCGGACTTGAATGCGTTGCTGTCTATGACCGCCTGGGAGGCGTTATCCCTGTGGATCTGGGCTTCGTCCATACCTGCTGCCCGGCCAGCCCGGGAACACTCGGGTTTGTTAGATGGAGCAGCGCTAGCCATATCCGCAGAGCTGGGGCGCCATGGGATGATATCCCGGGCGAGTTTGGTCGCGGACGTGCCCAACCGGGACGCCATCGAGGTGTTCTCAGCCGGAGCCTCAGCGGATCCGGGGTAGAGTTCGTGCTCGGCAGATGACGATGGCGAAGATGGGTCGTTGTTGAGCTCTACGCCTTTTCCCTTCGCATCCCTTCTGTTCGCCTTCTCTACAGCATCCTGTTCCATTGCGACTAGGTCGCTATGCGCGTGCGTTGTCGAGGAATCGGTACCAAGCCGTACCAACTCGATTCGGGATGGACTAATGTTGAATCTTCCGTATAGGAGCCTCTGGGTGCGTACGGGTTCTCATAAGGAGGTTGCCTCCATTTAGGCAGGCATGTGTTCTGTATTGCGCTATCATATACCTATAGGCAGGAGGTATGTAGAAAAGGCGTACTACGTATATAATTAGCGAGGGTACGTAAGAAGCCTCGTACGAGGTTATTAAGATGCATCACGTCGGTAAAGCTCGGCTGGGGATATTGATGAGTGCCTGCCTGCCTACGTACCTAGGTACCATACAGGGAGGGGGGGGTCTATTGACACTATGTCAGCAACCCTTTCTATAACTGGACATAGTGTCTGCCTCGTAATAAGAGTAAGTTAAACTCTAGGCTGACATTATTACCATTTCCCGATATAGTTACCATCCGGATATAATGTCTTTATTTTAAAAAAAGGTACATTCCATAGGATTACCCGGTTACCTCTAGGTTACTAAGTACGTACCTTTGTACCTTTGTATCTTTTACGTCTGTTACCTACCTCCTACCTCTCTTCCATAGGTTCGAAGATAGATAGATTCTACGCGCGAACTAGCTCCCATAGGTTCGTAGATAGGTTCGTAGATAGGTTCGCAGATAGGTTCGCAGATAGGTTCGTAAATAAATAGATTCCACGCGCGAACTGGCTCCCACAGGTTCGCAGATAGGTTCGTAGATAGGTTCGAAGATAGATAGATTCCACGCGCGAACTGGCTCCTACAGGTTCGAAGATAGATAGATTCCACGCGCGAACTAGCTCCTACAGGTTCGAAGATAGGTTCGAAGATAGATAGATAGATTCCACGCGCGAACTAGCTCCTATAGGTTCGAAGATAGATAGATTCCACACGCCTAAACTAGCTCCTATAGGTTCGAAGATAGGTTCGAAGATAGATAGATTCCACACGCCTAAACTAGCTCCCACAGGTTCGAAGATAGGTTCGAAGATAGATAGATAGATTCCACGCGCGAACTAGCTCCCATAGGTTCGCAGATAGGTTCGCAGATAGGTTCGAAGATAGATAGATTCCACGCGCCTGAACTAACTCCCACAGGTTCGTAGATAGGTTCGTAGATAGGTTCGCAGATAGGTTCGTAGATAGGTTCGAAGATAGGTTCGCAGATAGGTAGTAGATCATGGTGTTTATAGAAAAAAGATAAAGACAACAGGTCTAGGTAGGTAGGTAGGTACCTATGGAATATATAGACATTATATCCGTCTGGACATTAATTCCTACGAAGTCATAAAAACTATCCTGAAATTATAAGAAGGGAAGGTAATAAGGTCGGTACCGCGACCCTTGCTGTAATTCTTTTAACCCCTCCGAAAGAATAACCAGCTAAGGTAACCCTTACTAGATTTTGTTACCGTGTCGGTACCCCGACTCTATGGCTGACATACTGTCCATAGACCCCCCCCTCCCTGTATGGTAGGTACCTAGTCCCTACCCACCTAGGTAGGTACCTGTGATGATCGCCTACGTTCCTTGTCTATGAGTATGTTCATGGACATTAAGGTGATATACCTACCTATGTAGGTACCTACTTAACACGGGAGCCTACCCCATGCGGGCGATGCCGCATGGTGAGTGGAAGGGTTGTGTGCTTATCCCGTCCTCTTATGCCATCATCCGAGGTCATATAGGTGTAGATACCTCAGGTAGGTACATACTAGACGGGTAGGTAGGTAGGTAGGTACCTAGGAGGTTGGCAGGCACTTACTCCTACAACCCGTGCATGTGTTCTGGGGCTTGAAAAGGCGTGTGAAGACATTTGTCTGTACCTCTACCACTTACCTTATATTTACCTAGGTACCTACTACCCTCCTTCGCGGTAGGTACCTTCAACAGGCCTAGTTCTTTCTAACCGGGCGCCGGAGCTACCTACCTATATGTTAAACGTCCTCCTGACGGGGCCAGCTATTACAAGGTACCCACCTATGTATGCTCCTACACGTATTTACGTACTTGAGGTAGAATCGAAGTCTACCCGATTGTAGCGGTTGCCCAAGCAAGCACGTGACAGGTACACACCCAGGGGGGAATGCGGATCTTAGGAGACGCTTTCGTGCTGGAAATCAATCGTGCCACGTGTGACGCTTGCGACCCCAGCGAAGGCTTGTACGATATTGTTTGGTTGTCATATCTACACGAAATGTGCTAGGTAGGTTACCTACCTACATACCTACGTAAGTATAGTCTGGAGAGGTTAGGAGGTAGGCACCCAACTTACCTGAGGTAGGTAGCCACCTAAGATACAGTACGTCAGGTGCCTAGGCACCTCTACTAGCCTCACGTACCTTAGGTAGAGAGAGGGGCTGGACATCCGTTCTACCATGCCAGACATTCCCTGAGAGAAGGCACCTAATGTAAGGAGTTACCCCCTAGAGCAGGCACCTGGAGGAGGTATGCTTGGTCCCCGCCTTGTGCCTACCTAACCCAGGTGGGTATTATACATAGGTTCTTCCTGTAGTACTTTCCAGTGACGTCGGGAACGGAAAAGGCGATAAAGACGATAAGGCAATATCTTACGTCTCACCTCAGACAATACGCGGGCGGGTACCTAAGATAAGCAATGTAATGCCTTAGGTACCTCCTACCGTACCAGGTATCGACTGAGGGGCTGCTTCCCATGTCGTACATAGAGGTACCTGGGGGACCACACCTGCGGCATGTATATTTCTGCCCGCTTCGGATAGGGAGGTACTAAGGCACGCGCCATCATCTGCTAAGCAAATCCCGCCGTTTCCTGGTACCTTCCTTACCAACCCTCCCTGCGATGCCAGCCCGACCCGAACCAATCCTGTACCTACCTACAGGTACTGAAGGGTACCTAACCCAGTCCAAGGTACCTGCCTCCTAACCCTTCCTAGAGGCCAGCCCCGGGAAGCCCACTCTGACATAACCCGACCACGCATCGATCAATGCCACCGCCCACCACCGGAAACCCTTACGCCTACCATAAACGTGCTACTATCTCTTTTACCACCACCGCCGCCGCCGCCGCCGCCGCCGCCACTACTTCTGCTACTACCACTACCACTACCACTACTACTGCTGCTGCCCGCCACCACCACCACCAACACCACCAACACTACCACCGCCACCATCTGCTGCTAGCACCTAAGCACGTACTACTCTCTCCCTCTCTCTCTCTCTCTCTCTCTCTCTCTCCATCACATCTCATTACCCACGACGGCCACGACCACGCCTTGCCGTCATTTTGCAGCCGCTCCGCGTATTCCCTCTCTCCCTCCATCCCCACCCTCGAGTAGCCGGCCAGCGGATGCTCCCGACAAGTGTCTATCGTGTGCATGGCTCCGTGATTGACTAGCACGCTCCGTCCAAGCTCATCCCTCGCCCCTCCGTCTCGCTGACTGCGACGTCTGTCCGTCTGTCGTTGGGAGTGAATGCACCGTCGGGCTAGGCCTTCAACCGCTCCGCTACCACGTTGTCAACACCTGCGTGCGCTGCTCTGCCGCTCCAGCCTTGATACCTTGGGCCCGCTCTCTCGAGCACATCGCCTCAAGTCCCGCTTTCCCAGCCTGCGTATCCCCTGATAGCCGGCACGTACCTCCAGGATAGCTCCGGACCTATCGCCATCTCGATTCGCACGCCAGCCCTCCCACAATCAAACACTCCCTGGCCACGATCGCAATACCTCAACTCGACGGACCACTACAAGCCCATTTCTTAGACCGAACGACGGGCCGGAGCTTAGCTAGCTTCACCCCGACGCCCATCACAAATATGGTGGAAGGAGATTCCAACTCCCCCACCTGGAAGTTCACCCAGTAAGTTCCGCCACAGAAACCTAGCCGCGCTTTGTTTGCTATGGAGGCCGTCCGCTTGCTGGCCGCCGCGGGGCGCTCTGCTCGGCACGCCTACCTGCTCGTTGCCAACAGTGCTGACTGCTGCTGTCTGCGCTTAGGTGCTTTGGTGACAAGGGAGATGTCGAGGATATCACAGAGGGTATGTCCATCGTGCCTCCAACTCTGAACTTTGATCGCCCTGCTTTGCCCGCCGGCCTGCATCGGCTTCGTTTCACCCGTGGAGCCCAGTTTCCTAGTCTCAAGTTCCTCCATCATGCGTCGTCTAGTCAAAGCCGAAGACGCCCTGTGCTCACCTGCTTCTTCTAGCCGACATTATATCAACTGTCGAGTTCGATCACACCGGCAATTACTTAGCGACGGGAGATAAGGGAGGCCGCGTCGTCCTGTTCGAGCGGAACGAGACGGTCAGTCAGTCCACACCCTCGAGGCCTCTTTGTTTCGGGGAGCGTCGGATCAAGTTCTGATTTGCTAGGCAGAAAAAAACTTGCGAGTACAAATTCCACACCGAATTTCAGTCACACGAACCCGAATTCGACTATCTCAAGTCCCTAGAGATCGAGGAGAAGATCAACAAGATTAAATGGTGCCGCCGCCAGAATGCTTCCCATTACTTGCTCTCGACCAACGACAAGACTATCAAGCTGTGGAAAGTCTTCGAGAAGTCTCTGAAGGTGGTTGCCGAGAACAATTTATCGCATGATCTAACGCCGGGGAACATAGTTGGTGTGGGAGCCGGCGCCCCTAGACCTATCCCCCACTCCCACTTCAAAAATGCTGGCGAGTTGAAGCTACCGCGCTTGACGCACCACGATACCGTCGTTGCTGCGGTTCCGCGGCGCACGTACGCGAACGCCCACGCCTACCACATCAATAGCATCTCCGTCAACAGCGACGGGGAGACCTTCATAAGCAGCGATGATCTGCGCATCAACCTTTGGAATCTGAACATCCAGGACCAGAGCTTCAACATCGTTGACATCAAACCAGCGAACATGGAGGAGTTGACCGAAGTCATCACCGCTGCCGAGTTCCATCCCAGTAGCTGTAATTGGTTTATGTATGCGAGCTCCAAGGGCACTATCAAGTTAGCAGACATGCGAGAGAGTGCCCTGTGCGACCAGCATTCGAAGCGTATGCCCTCCTCTCCTCCCTCCCATAGCGTGGACTTTTTGAACCTAACGGCAACCCGTAGTTTTCGAACAGGAGGAGGATCTGTCGTCGAGATCATTCTTCTCCGAGATCATCTCGTCTATCTCCGATGTGCGCTTCTCGTACGACGGCAGGTACATCTTGTCTCGGGACTATCTTACAGTCAAGATTTGGGATGTGAACATGGAGCGACAGCCGGTAAAGACCATACCTATCCACGAACACCTAAGGCCGAGGCTCTGCGATACCTATGAAAATGACAGCATATTCGACAAGTTTGAAGTGGTCTTCTCCGGCGACGCGAAGAATGTGATGACCGGAAGCTATAACAATAACTTCATGATCTATCCGTCAGATCCAGAGAAGGAGATCGAGGTCGTGTTGCAGGCGGATAAGTCAGCCTTCAAAGCTAAAAAGGTAGGTGTGCCGACGCCTATCAACTCCTCGACTAGTCCTACGGCCACGAATGGTGGTAAGAAGGGCGGGTCTCGCGCGGGTAGCCCGGCGGCCGGAGCGGGTCAAGGACAGAGGATGCGAAAGGAGACAGACGCAGACCAGATCGACTTCAACAAGAAGATCCTACACATGAGCTGGCATCCCTACGAGGACAGTATAGCCATCGCCGCGACGAATAATGTAAGTTTTGGCCTACGAATTTTCTCGGGGGAGTCAGGTGGCTGATACACGATGCAGTTATTCGTCTTCTCGGCGCTATAGCCGGCCAGTGGTGCTCTCAAGCGGCGGCCGGGCATCGCACAACCTACGTCGCGGCCCGCAGGAGGATCTCCTTACTTAGATCCACAGAATCGGGAAGGGTTGTGCGTGCCACGTAGCCAGCGGTCTCTCGATGGTTGTGCGGTCCTTTTTGGACGTAGATTACCACTCGTAGTATTTATGACTAGGACTGCTGGCCAGCTCAATGGAAGCTCCGTGGCTCATGGACAGGAAAGCATTGGGCTTACGAGGCAAAATATCCATGAGAAAAAAGTGATTTTGTCCCAAAGCTGATGTCTAAGTCGGTGTCGGGGTCGTACCGGGAAAGGGATGTGTGTGGGGTGGGGGGGAAGGGAGGGTAGAAGAAAGCGTGGTCCTTCAGCACGGTGAGATGCTATGAAGATGTGTTTACTTCCGCGCCGGAATACATAGGGGATAAAAGAAGAAGACACCATAGCATAATACACTTTATAAGATAGAAACATTAGCTTTTATCAAAAAGTAAGTTTATAATATTAAAAATACGTAGAGTGTTTATATATAATAACTATTAATTTATAATAATATTTTATAATAATATTATTAGTATTATATTACGAAGCTATATATATAATTGTACACCTAGTTATCAAGTTAATATTATAAAGTGTATACGTTAGTTGCCAATGTGGTATAGCTGCATGTCTTTCCGCTTGTACATATGTAATTTTTCGATTTCAACCTTAGATTTCGGATCTCGGTCAGTCTCGGAACTCCTAACTCGTTTTGATCGACTAGAAGTCAATCTCGCCTACTAGCATCCAACTCTATCCCGACCTCTACCCAAATCCTCTACCTCAATGACGGGCCGGTCAACGCGTAGGAGACGCCCTACCCTACGAGAATCTCACGCGGCTTCACGAATTGGCTCCGTCATGACGCCCAAGGTGATCAATGCTGGTCCTTCCCTCGAGAAGGCCGAGCTGTACGGCATAGATGATCAGCGGCCGACCATATCCAAACTCACGGGCCTCGCTGGCCGCATCCTCATCGAGACGATCCCGCAATGGCTCGCTGTGGGGGCCATGCTGGGTCTGATCTTCGGCGGCTGCTGCTCTAACGTAAGGCGAAGCGGTGCAGGCTGGCCCTCACTCGCCACGGGAACAGAATGCTAACATGTGCGGGCATGCGCAGGTCTTTGCTCTGGAGGCCATAGTCAAGTACGCGCCCCTCCCGCTTCCCGCTTCCCCCCTGCGAGTTGTTATGCCTGTGTTTTCGCATGCGTTCCTGGCTAACGGTGATATGTTGCCAGGGTTGAACCGGCGAGCGGTATGAAGCCTACCCCTAGGGATCCGGCCGTGACTAGACCGAGCTAATGCCTCACCCTCCTTGCCGTTAGGGACGCTTCTGACCTTCGTGCAATTCCTCTTCGTTGCGACCACAGGATATGTATCCCAGTTCGATCCGACGCGTCCGCCCTTCTTCCTCAGGCAGAACCAGGTTCCGATCGCTCGCTGGCTGGTCAACATAGTGCTCTTCTTCAGCATCAACGTGCTGAACAATCACGCGTTCAGCTATGATATCTCCGTACCGGTTCACATCATCCTACGGTCTGGAGGTAGTATCACCACGATGATCGCCGGCAGCCTATATGGGAAAAGATACTCTCGCATCCAAATTATCGCTGTACTCCTGCTTACGGTTGGTGTTATCATAGCCGCGTGGTCAGACGCCCAGAGCAAGGCAAGAACGATTTCCTCCAGCCCCTGTCGCTCAAAACTAACTGCTGACTAGGGGTCGGACACCGGAGCGTCCCTTGAGGCTAAGCCCAGTTTCAGCACGGGTCTCGCTATCCTCCTCGTCGCGCAGATTCTATCGGCGATGATGGGCTTGTACACCGAAGAGACATACAAGGTATACGGGCCACACTGGAAGGAAAACTTGTTTTACTCCCACCTGCTCTCGCTGCCGCTCTTCCTCCCCTTCTCGCGGTCTTTGATCAATCAGTTCTCGCGTCTAGCGGACAGTAGGCCGCTTACCCTTCCGTCGTCGCCTAGTCGGATAAACCTGTCGGCTATACCGGCTATAGTCCGCCAACAGGTCGAGAGAATCCGCGTGCCCAGTCAGGTAGCCTATTTGGGTCTGAACGTTCTGACACAATATGCCTGTATTCGCGGCGTTAATCTCTTAGCTGCCGCATCCTCTGCACTAACTGTTACCATCGTCCTCAATATTCGCAAGTTAGTCAGCTTACTCTTGAGCATATGGCTCTTCGGAAATCGCTTAGCTACAGGAACCCTGATAGGCGCCATCGTCGTCTTCTCTGCGGGTGGTCTTTACTCTTTAGATTCTAAAAAACCAGCTCCTAAGTCGAAAAGTCAATGATAGAAAAGTAGATTCTATTGAAAAAGAACACAATTAAGATTTATATACATATTTAAAATACTATGTGAATATAATAATCATAACAATAGTAATAATTAAAGTATTATTATATAAATAATGAAAGTTATAAAAACTATAAAATTAATTTAATTATTAATATAAATTTAAAAAAATTATATTTTATATATTTATTATTAGTTAATTTTATATTTATATTATATTTATTATAATAATGATAATAAAGTATTAATTATTTTAATTAATTATTATATATATATATACGCTGTTTCTAAAGTTAGTTGACAGGTAATATGAAGTTAATGTAATGGTTGACTTTCTTTATAACAGATATATACATGTATCCGCATTGTTCAAAGCTTTATACCTAGAGACCAGAGGTCGCCAGCTATCCTCACCTCCGCCTCGATAGCATGTCTTGTCAGTAAAACCAGACGGCCTCGTTGGTTCTCTTTGTTCGTTTGTCATGCTGTAGATATATCTTGCAGCACTTGGCTGACGATGTTGGTGTCTAGCTTTCCGCCCGTCGTCGCCTCCAGTCACAACTGCGGACCAGGCACTCGAGTTTGACTCGGACAGCTCACATGAAGCCGGGCATGTCGTTGAGAGCGACTCGGAACCGGAGAACATCGCAGGCCTTCCGGCCCCGCGCCCCAAGACTCATGAGGACCATGACGCCGAGAGAGATGTCGTAGTCCATGGGGACGAGACGTCATCGTCTCCGGCCGAAGACGGCATGCTGTTACGAGACCGCCCTAGGAAGACTACGTTTCACGATGCCGTGGCAGAGAGACAGATGACGCAGGCTGACGCCAAACTGTTCTACCAGCGAAGCCAACTAGAGCAGTTGAAGACGGAGGAGGGCGCCTGGAGCCAACCCCAAATCACACCTCACGGCAGCCCCGGAGGCTCTGTTGGCCGGGCATTCACAAACTTAGCCAACGAGATTCCAGTCTATCCTAGCTATGTCTCTCTGCCGTCTGCTGCGCAGAGCTACAACTTCCCGCACATTGCTAGCCCGTCCAATCACCTCCATAGCCCCGAGATAGTTCCCCGAACGGCCACACGTCCGTCCCTAGAAGGGCATACTAGTTCTGGAGCGATCAGTCGCGCTCATTACCATACCTCTGACGACCGCCCCGGGATGAGTTGGCGGTCCGATATGGGTCTTTCCGACGGAGCGCAGTCCGGGATGGCTGCTGGGGTAGGCGTCGGCGACCCACACGTCACAGCCGAGCTGAGCACCGTATTTCGGAATATTCAGAAGGTGCTGGACATCCGCCACAGGTATATCCGCCTGTCTCTGCAGAGAGACGGCGATAACCCCAAAGACGATCGGAGCTGGCACATCTATCCACCTCCGCCGGAACCAGCTTGGAACGAAGCCAATCTAAACACCGATAGCCATGGTGTGAACACCGGAAGCAATAGCCTGTCCAACAGTACCGTTCTCCCCGCCCATTCTGGGCCACAACGCGTTAGCGACGCCCCTGCGGCAACTGGAACAGATGCCGAGCGCAAGAAAGGGACTAAAAAGCGCAAGCCTGGCCATGACATTGGTGAAGACTTCGACATGGATGACCTTCTACCTCTGCCCCAGGAGAGCGAGTTTACCTTCCGCCTCGACGAGAACGGGGTGTATCAAGTGTTTGAAAACGATGCTGCGGATAAGGCCAACACGCCGGTGGTTGGTGTGCCCACGATCAAGGACTTCTACATGGATCTCGAGGAGATAATATCTATATCGTCCGACGGACCAAGCAAGAGCCTAGCCTTCCGCCGTCTCCAATACCTGGAGGGCAAGTTCAACCTCTACGTCCTTCTGAACGAATACCAGGAGACTGCCGATACCAAAAGGGTGCCGCACCGCGATTTCTACAACGTGAGGAAGGTCGACACACATGTCCACCATTCTGCCTGCATGAACCAGAAGCACCTCCTGCGGTTCATCAAAAGCAAGATGAAGAAGTTTCCGGAGGAAGAGGTGCTCTTCAGGGACGGTAAAAAGCTCACATTAAGAGAAGTCTTTGAGAGTATCAACTTAACCGCGTATGACCTGAGTATCGACACCCTAGACATGCATGTACGCCCACCATTCCTATCTCTTCCCCATCACTTACCAACCCCCCTTGCTCTCCCGGCGCGCACGATTTCTCCCACGTAGACTAACACAGTTAGGCGCATACCGACTCCTTCCATCGTTTCGACAAGTTTAATCTCAAATACAACCCCGTCGGCGAATCGCGGCTACGGACCATCTTCCTTAAGACAGATAACTTCATCAACGGCCGCTACCTGGCGGAAATTACCAAAGAGGTCATCTCTGACCTCGAATCCAGTAAATACCAAATGGTGGAATGGCGCATCTCGATTTACGGAAGGTCCCCGGACGAATGGGACAAGCTCGCTGCATGGGTGGTCGATAACAAACTATTCTCGCATAATGTCCGCTGGCTCATACAAATCCCACGACTGTACGACGTCTTCAAGGCTACTGGCTTGATGGAATCGTACGACCAAGTTGTCAAAAACGTCTTCCAGCCGCTTTTTGAGGTTACCAAGAACCCGGATAGCCACCGCAACCTACACGTCTTCTTGCAAAGAGTCATCGGCTTTGATAGCGTGGATGACGAGAGCAAAATTGAGCGTCGTGTTTATAAGAAATTTCCGGTGCCGAAGGAATGGAATTCTAAACAGAACCCGCCGTACAGCTATTGGATCTACTATCTCTTCGCCAACATTACCTCACTCAACTTCTGGCGTCGCCAACGTAACTTCAACACGTTCTTGCTCCGACCACACTGCGGAGAAGCAGGCGATAGCGAACATCTTGCTGTTGCAGTACTATGTAGCCATAGCATCAGTCATGGGCTGCTTCTCCGAAAGGTCCCTCTCCTGCAGTATATCTTCTACCTCGAGCAGATCGGCATTGCCATGTCCCCACTCAGCAACAACGCCCTCTTCCTAGCGTACGAGAGGAACCCGTTCCACCAATATTTCCGACGTGGCTTAAACGTATCCCTTTCCACCGACGACCCCCTTCAATTCGCGTTCACGAAGGAACCGTTGATGGAGGAGTACGCCGTCGCAGCTCAGATCTACAAGTTGAGTCCCGTAGATATGTGCGAGCTCGCCAAGAATTCGGTCAAGCAAAGCGGCTATGAGAATTATATAAAGCAGCAGTGGTTGGGGGAGCGGTTCAATCAACCGGGAAAGAAGGGCAACAATATGGCTAAGACCAACGTGCCGGACAGAAGAGAGGAATTTAGGTACCACACATGGGCCGAAGAGCACCGCATGATCTCCAGCTATACCTCGGGGGCTGGACTGCAGGAGGTGCTCGAGCACCGCCCGGCCGCGATTCCTAACATGAACCTAGCATCGCCAACCCCGTCAGCCAAGACAAACCTAGCCAGCGGGATGACTGCGGCGGATCCAAAGTCACACGGCCCGCTTTAGTCTCGCGAGCCCGAAGGGTTGGCTGCCGCGTCCCGGGCCACAAGCCGAAGCCAACGGTCCCTCTCCCGATATCCCTCTTCCACCCACCCGCCCTTGCCCCGGAAGCGCGCGAGAGGGAATACACCAACGCAGTGAGTCGACTAAATTAGAACATGTGTGCTCGGCTCTGCGATGGTTGAACTTTAACATGAGAAATGCCGAGGATGGAGTGCGTAACGGTTGTCTGGGCGCTCAATATTTATCGCGAGACTCTACCGATGTAGGGAGGTATGCTGCGACCACTGCTGGGTCCTATAGTTTTACGTCCCGTCAGGTATTGGCGGCTGTCGGCCGACGTAACCGCCTGGAAAGATGGTATTTATACAACCTGGCTTCGTAGACATTGGCTGAATGTATTGCACACGCAGAATCTGGGGGAGTCGCCCTCATCTCAAACAGAGATCCAAGTTTCCTATATAAAAATATTCAAGGTACCTGCATCAGCAGCTTCTGTACCCCGGACCCTCTTGCGGCTCATGTTTAGGAGGTATAAAAGTAGGAAAGCAGAGCCTACGGCTAACATAAAATATACCTACCAAGACCCCGAGCTGCTCAGCTTTCGTATAAGATATTTGGTAGGTAGGTATATTTATATAATATAAAATAAAAGATGAAAGTTTATTACCCGGACACTTGGTTGATTGTCTGTTAATAGAGTTTAAGTTATACTGAGAATAATATTTACATGCCTGCCTATCTACTTAGCTATATTAAAAATATTATAGATACTAAAAAGATTTTTTATAGTTAGTTATTGTAACATCTCTTTTGACTATTAAAAATTTAAATAACAAATAAATATATTAGCTTTTTAAGACATTAAAGGTATTATTATATTACAACTAACTAACCTAGCTTTTATATTAATAATAAATAATTTATTATTATATAAAATAAAAAGTAATATATTATATTTTAAATTATAATATTAATTTTATATTAATTAAAAGTTTTTAAATTATTAAGTATGTATAGTTATGAAACTACTTAAAGTATTTTCATAAATAATTAATTTAAGCGGGTATTTCGTGTCAGGTATTTTTAGGGCATTTTATAGGTGGCTTGGAATATTGTATGTAGAGGCAGGTACCTATATTTGCTGGGTACCTGGCCGAGGTACGTGACAACAATCAATCGCCATCCGCCTCGCCTCTCCAAGCCTCGCCCTACGCTTTTACCTACCTCTTCCTCCTCCTCGTCATCCCAACCGTGTGTCGGCTGTCGGCTGTCCTGTCGAGTGCTTCATGCACACTGCCGCCATTGCTCTCAATCACCCCCCTTCTGCACCCTGCTGCGAAGCTACCCCTTTATCTCGGAAGCAATACAAATCTCGGGGCCTCTCAACATGTTTGCGTACGGCGACGCTTTCGCAACTTTACAGTGACAAGTTCTGGAAGCCCCTGTCATTCATGTGCACCCTGTTCGTTACCCCGTCTAGCCGGTTCCGAAATATCCTCTGGAGGAGGGGAAGCTTTCCCACGCTCTCTCTCTCTCTGTTTTATTATCGTTATTTTTCATCCTCCCTTTTGCGGATACTAGTTTGATAACTATCCCTCCGGCCTCCGGAATACATAGTCTTGTCCTCGTTTTGACTTCTTTTCCGCCTCCTTGCTCCTCTCGGCCGCCATCCCTCCCCTGCTCTACCCGTGCCTCATTTGAGCTCTGTCTCTCCCTCACTCTCTCACTCTCTCTCGACCGCCCGCCTGCCCGACCGCCTATCCCCTGAGGCCGTATGCGATCCCGCTAAGCTTCTTTACCGTACGATCGACCCATCTACCGCGGATCTTGACGACACCCCCTTCTTCCCCCAACCCCCTTTTGTCGTTCATCATGGGATTCTTGGGTGTTTACAGGGCCATATACGACTATGCGCCTCAGTCGGAAGGGGAGCTTTCAATACGCGAAGGTGACATCCTTTATGTTTTGGAAAAGAGCGAGGACGACGACTGGTGGAAGGCTAAGAAAAAGGCCAGTGCCGATGAGGATGAGCCTGTTGGCCTAGTGCCCAACAATTACGTGGAAGAGGTGCGTAACGGCGTTGCTGCCATCGGCCCCGCCAGCTATACGCGGAGAACACTACTGACATTTATTAGGCGCAACCTGAGGGCCAGGCTCGTGCCTTGTACGAGTACACACGCCAGACCGATGAAGAGCTATCCTTCCCTGAAGATGCTCAGCTGCGAGTTTTCGACACGTCGGACCCCGACTGGATCCTTGTCGGGTTTGAGAAGGATTACGGCTTCGCTCCGGCCAACTACATCGAGATAGGCGCCGCCGCTATTACCCAACGAAAACCCGAACCGGTGCGTGAACCAGAGCCCAGTCCAACACCCGAAACTCGCTCACTGCCTGAGCCTCCGTCTTTGCCTGCGCGGCCTCCTGTTTCGGCCGAGCCGGAAACGTCCCGGAGCCCGCCTCTTCCAGCACGGAACCTGCCAGCAGAACCTGCGGTAACTCCGCCGACCCCGACGGGCCCTGCTACGGCTCTAGCGAACGTTATGCAGAATAGGAGCTCTACTCGCGCGGCGACGCCTGCGCCAGTAACTTTGCCGCCCCGCCAACAGTACCATTCTGACGATTCTGATGGCGAGCCGAGCCCGGCGCTTCCCGCCCGGCCACTATCTCAGCCAATTCCCTCCAATGGCCAACCTACTACCTCGGTTCTTCCACAACGGTCCTCCAGCCGCCGTGATTATCCCGACGAATCGTACCCCTCGCAGTCGAGCCGTATCGCGCCAGGCGGTTTTCACATGTATAATATCAATGAAATGGTATCTGTGATGGGAAAGAAAAAGAAGATGCCGACGACACTCGGCGTCAATCTCAAGACTGGGATTATCCTAATTGCTCCCGAGCGTGCCCAGGACGGCCCCACGCACGAGTGGACTGCCGACAAGATGACCCATTACTCGAGAGAGGGAAAGCACGTGTTTCTCGAGCTTGTTCGGCCAAGCAAAAGTGTTGATTTCCACGCGGGGGCAAAGGACACGGCGGAGGAAATCGTCAGCGCTCTGGGCGAGCTATCGGGAGCCATGCGCGCCGAGGGGCTACGGGAGGTTATCATGGCTGGGACTGGCCAAAGCAGCCAGAAAAGGGGCCAGGTTCTCTACGACTTCATGGCCCAGGGAGACGACGAGGTAACTGTCGCTGTAGGGGACGAGGTCCTCATCATCGACGACACCAAGAGCGAAGAATGGTGGCAGGTTCGGCGTCTGAAAAATGGCAAAGAAGGTGTCGTTCCGAGTAGCTATATTGAAGTCGTCGGGACGATCGCGTCGTCGGCCCCCGCCGGAGTCAACGCCGGGCGATCCACTGTGGCGCAGAACAGGCTAGAGGAGCAGCGTTTGACGAAAGAGGCCGTCAAGAAGGATCCGAGAACAGCAGAGGTAGGGCCTGGGATGCGTTTGCCCGCAAGAAATAGCAGTTTGTCAGCCGGGAACAATGGTAACACTTCTGGGCAACAGCGAAACAGACACGAAGGCGGCCGAGCAGAAGGCGGCCGCTCTAGTTCATCCAAGCCTAGTAAGTCGTTCGTGAAATCAACATTCTGGATGCCAGCCTAACTACTAGCGCAGAACCCGATATGTCCAAGCTGCGAACTTGGACCGATCGTTCCAAGTCCTTCAGCGTAGAAGCTCAATTTCTCGGCCTCAGGGACGGAAAGATCAACTTGCACAAGATGAACGGGGTCAAGATCGCCGTCCCCGTGGCTAAAATGTCCATCGACGACATCGAATACGTCGAACGAGTCATGGGGATCTCCCTGGACGAAGACAAGCCTCTGTCCGAGGTGAAGCGCGCGAAAACGGCAAAGGCTGCTGCGAACCGGGAGGCTTCTAACAAAGTTGGCGCCACCATCGAGCCGACGAAATCAGATTACGATTGGTTCCAATTCTTCCTATCGTGCGACGTAGCTGTCGGTCTCTGCGAGCGTTACGCCCAAGCATTCGCCAAAGATTCCATGGATGAGAGTGTTTTGCCAGATGTAGACGCTAGTATACTGCGAAATCTTGGTTTGCGGGAAGGGGATATCATCAAGGTCATGCGTTACTTGGACAAGAGATTCGGCCGGGAAGGCAAGAGGAGGAACGTCAACTTCGCCGGGGACGACGACGGAGACAACGGTTCCGCCGGCGGTCTCTTCTCAGGTCCGGGTGGAACACTTCGAAACAACACGCGAAAAGGTCGTCCCGCTCCGGCTGTTCAAACCAACGACACTATAGATCCCAAGGCGTTTACTCAGCAGAAGGATAGCAGCGCCCAGGATCCAGAGCCGCCCTCGCCTACAGTGGCCCGCTCGAAGGCCACCGACAAGAATAGCGGCGGATTTGATGACGACGCTTGGGACGTGAAGCCAACCAAACAGCCAGAGCCGGCAGAGGTGAAACCGGCGCCGGCCCCTGAACAGAAGCCGTCAGCACCCATTCAAACTCAGCGACCGCCAACGCAGGCCATGCAAGAACTTTCTCTTCTGACGGCCCCGTTGGAGCCGAGTAGACCGCAACCTAACACTACGACGGCTGCGATCGTCCAACCACTACCGCTACCTCAACTCCAACCACAAGAGCCCCAACCACAACTCCAGCCTCAACTTCAACCCCAACTCCAACCTCAAGGCGCAACGCCGGCTTTCTTTACAGGCATCCCTCAGCAACAGACAGGCATTTCACCGACGGCCGCCGTGGCGGCTGCACCGGCTCAGCCTCTGAACCTTGGCCTTGGCAACCGGTCACGACCCATACCACCTCAGGTAACCGGGAGCCAAGGTGCCCTGATGCCGCCGCCCCCAGCGCGGCCGTTGTCGGCACCACATTCGGTCCAGCCAAGCGGATTTGCGCCGCCTCCACTACAGCCTCAGACGACGGGTATCGCGCCTCTAGGGCAGAGTCTGCACGAGCTTAACCAACAGCGCATACACCAACAGTACCTGGGGCCTTTCCAGGCACAGCCAACCGGGCAGGGACTAATGCCGTTCAACGCGGGTGCTGGCATACAACACCAACCCGGATTCGGACCCGGTCAGTTCATGCAACCCCAAATAACGGGGATTACCATGCAAAGCCCGTTCGCAGACCCTCGCCCACAGCAGTTTTCCCCCATTCCGAACCAATCTACCGGGTTCCCGGCCGCCTTCCCGCCTGGCCAGCAATTCCCGCAGCCGGGCGGAATCAACTCCTTCCTGCCGCCCGCTTTGGAGCCTCAGAGGACAGGAATCCCGTCGATACAACCGCCGCTGCAACCACAACCCACTAGCTTTGGCGGATTTGGGCAGGGTTTCAACCCCGGCATGAACAGCATAGCCGCGCAACAACCGCCGGTGGCTCCTCTCCTCCCCCAGAAGACCGGACCAGCGCCCCCAGTGCGTTTCGGAGTCGCGGATAAGATTGCCCCCCAGCCAACCGGCCGTCGCGCAAACCTCTCACAAGCAAGTAAGTGGTTCACTGATACTGATGAGATCTGCCCACGATGCCATGTTGCCATGTTGAACCAACTAACGAACAATGTACAGCGCCGGAGAACCCGTTTGGTTTCTAACCATCCTCTGCCGCGCCGGTTTTCCTTTCTTAGATACGATGCTCCGGCCAGCGGCCCGGAATATCATGGCCTAGTGTACATCGTGCCGCTCTAGATATAGCCAACGCTGGCCTTATTATTTACGTTTTGCTCTATACCCAACGCGTCGTGCACGCGAACTTCTACGTAACGCAGCTCCGCGCTACGCAGTGCCGGGACGCATTGTCCTAGGATCATCGCAGAGATCGACACGCGTGTTCCTAGGTAGCCAAAGCAAAGCCAGTCACGGGGGTTAGATAGAAGAGGGATGCAAGACTAGCCGGATAGGGGAGTAGGAGAGGAGAGGAGAGGAGAGGCTACCTGGACGCTTCCGTCCAAGTAGAATGTACGGTCCCTGTTAGGTACACGCACACACACACATAGTGTTACTATTTTACAAATAATTTGTATACCTCTTATAGGAGCGTCTATTTCGCGACCAAGGCGAGATGCGTCGTGGCCAGCCGAGGACGCACTGGCCTTCTCGCGACGCTCTGTTACATTAGGTTATCTAGAGCTTCCCCGTCGTTAATTCAAAGGTGGCGGGTTGGCGATGAGTTAGATCATTACATGCTCGATGGCCCCACCCAAGTTATCGTGACCCCCTAGAAGCCCCAGACGGGTCCTACTCGTTAAAAAAAAAAAAAAAAAAAAGAAATCCTAGCCACCAAAATAGAGACGATGACGGCCTTCCGGGATGTTACGACAGTGCCCCCTGTCTGCGACGGAAACCCTGACTCCCCGTCGTCAAATTCCCTCCCTCCCTTAAGATTAATGCACCTGGCCATACGAATCCGCCATATCCACTTTCGCAACGCCACCTGGTTTAAGCAACCATGACATCTGCAGCAATCTCAAGTCAAAAGGTCGCGGATCTAGACCTCGGGGTTCTTTCAGCCACTACGGAGGCACGGGATGTTTCTTAATCGCGGTTCAGCCGGCACTATAGAACATGGACGTTCAGGTTCCGATCGGGCGCGGCGGCATTCGGGACCTGCCAAGGAGCTCCTCAGACCGGTGGAGGCTCATCCCCCTCTTCTTCGCCATCCAGTATGGTCCGCCGGCGGGGACGGGTTTTCAACCCCGTCGTGTCGGCGTCGACAGCGGTGGCCGTCGCCTTGCCTTCGCTTGTCGCTCCCGCCCCCGAGGCATCTTCTTCCTTCAGGGGCTGGAATCGCTTGCGGATGGCATCAATCATCTTGGAGAACCAGTAGAAGTTCAACGAATTCAGCGTTAGGTTGCTGACCGTGTAGATGATGGGGAGCCATAGCGGGATGCTGCTCGATTCGGATACGAACCGCATCGTGTCCGTATACTGGTCAGGGAAAGTGGTGTTGAGGGCAGCCTCGGGCGCCAAGGTGGCGGGGACAATGGGGGTTGAGTGTAGTGTGGTCCATAAATCGCGAGCAATTAGGAAGGACTGGTATGTGCCCCAGACCAGACGACAGCAGAAGAAGGTGAAGATGAGCAAGATTCCGTTATAGAGCTGGGCCCGGGACCCGGTCATGCCTAGCTTGTCAAAGAACCAATGGATGTTGAGGAACGGCGAAGACAACTCCCAGAGAATGAAGTTGCAACTGTAGTAGTTCACGAAAGGTCGCTGTTTCGGCAAGTTAATACATGGTTGACCAGCCTCACTATCGGGACTCCTTCTCTAGTTAAGGCAGACTTACGAAACCAAACGAGTAGACGAGTAGGGCGCTGATGGCATGTGCGAGCATGCCCAAGCCGAAGATGTGAACGTGGGAGGCGGTGATGATGAGGTCCCAGACGAAGTAGCCGGCGGCTAGGGCTTGGATCATGGCGGCGGCGCCGGTGTAGCCCCAGATGCGTTCCTGCAGATCCATGTTCCTACGCTCGTCATCGGCGAACATGACCCATAGTGCGAGGGCGTTGATGGTTGTGCTCTGGACCAAAGAGACCACGTGGACGTCCCAGCTCAACCTCTTCCCGCGAGGGAGGGCCGAGTATTGGGCGGGGAACAGTCGGCGCGACACCACGGGGGAGACGACGCTGCCGACAAAGTGGTAGAAGACGGCCATCAAGATGATCTCGTGGACGTGCAGCGGCAACGTCTGCACTCCCAGATACTCGGCCCATGGCTCGACGGCCCTGCTGAGGGCCGGTATGGGCGGTATGGGAAAAGGATCCTTCATTGTTCTACTTCTCTTCCCACACACACACACTCTATCTCTCTCGACCCTCACACATACACACACACACACACGGACGCGTGCTCACGCGATCTCTCTCCTTCTCGTTTTCTGGATTCCCGTTGCGTTGTCGGTTTTCTGCTCCGAGGTGAACTCGTCCACTATGGTGAGCAGTCCCAAGGTGGCCTGAAGGCTGCGGCCGAATGTCGGCTGGGTCTAATTATATTCTGTTGGGTTGTTGGGGGAGAAGGAGGGGCCAACTCGACGGGGGCGGACTACAACAGCGATGGCGAAGAGGTATTCGACAGACAGGCGTTTTAGGCTTGGATGTTGAAGGGATTAAAGGTATCTCGTGCGAGCGGTGTCGTAGTTAGTCCTCCCCGAAATCTGTCAGTCTGTCAGTTCTGTCAGCAGGCCAACAGGCCAGCAGACAGTTTAGGCATTGGTAGCCATGGACGAGTCGAGAGAGGCGTGAGAGGGACGAAGGGAGGGCGTGGTACTTTGGGTCACGGCGCCTCCCCAAGGGTTAAATGTACCTAACGAAGCCAACAGGTATCGGAGGAGCCTTGGCGCCTTAAAGTGCGCCACCAGGTAGGTATCTACTCAGGTACCTTCGTCAGCGAGGTGTGCCGTGAAAGGTACTTCTATATACATATGTCCCCGCGAGTAAGATGTTGGGAGCCTAGAGGAGGTACATATGGGTACCTCTGCATGCAACCCTGCGCGTGAAGCCTCATTAGGTTAGGTTCCGAACGCAGGTCCGGGGGGGCATGACGTACGGCATCACGCTAAGCACATACCTCATACATACATGCCTGCCTTGATGCGTTTATACGGCATATCCTGTGGAGGTACTCTACCTACCTAGGTACCTACCTAGGTACCTGGCAGGCAGGTACCCTGATGCATAATTACGGTGCTGGCACAGGTAAATGTAGGCATGTGCATGAATAGGATTAGGAGATGGTCATCCACCCCCGAAATCCTCCACAGCTATCCTACATCAGGACTCCGACGCCAGTTATTCTCATTCTTATACATCGACCTCCAACAAGTCGGGCCAGCTGCGCCAGAAAGCGAGGCCGACAACATGGCTGACTTGTTCCACGACTTGCTGAATCCCCCCAGCTTGGCTGATGGGGGCTCCCGTGATCGGGCCCCTCACACCGACCCGGTTGCTCTCGAATATCTTTCCCTCCTAGCCTCGACGCATCTCTCCCAGCTCGACGGCCCCGAGCAACAGTCGCTGACCCAGTCTTCCCACTCGGTGCTTCTGTCGCTACAGGCCCTCTCTAAGCGCGCCCACAGGTCCATCATCAGCTCGGCCGCAAATCATGCCAACCTCCGCGCTGCTCTTCCCGCCCTAGCTACATCTACTAACGACCTGGCCCATGCCATACCCAAGCTAGATAACGAGGCTGTTCATTTTTCCACTACCTACCACAAGTCCGGAGACCATGACGCCCTCAACGCCCGGAAGAAGGCCCTGTTACTGTCAAGGAACGTCGAACGGCTGGTTGACGTGCTCGACCTCCCCACCCTGCTTTCCACCGCAATCTCGACCGGCTCTGCCGCTCCGGCGGCTAACTATGCCTCCGCGCTAGACCTGAACAGCCACATTCGCCGACTGCACGGATTCTACCCGGATTCGTCTCTGGTCATGTCGGTGTCTGCCCAGGCTGACGAGGCCATGCAAGCCATGGCCAAAAACTTGATCACGGGTCTGCGCGCGCCCGGCCTGAAGCTAGCATCTGCCTTGAGGACTATCAGCTGGCTCCGGAGGGTGGTACCGGAACTGGATTCTGCCGGCACCACAGACAACGGCGGTGGTTTGGGGGCTTTGTTCCTGGTATGCCGTTTGTCAACGCTCACCAACATGCTTGCCGCCTTGGAGCCGCTCCGCGAGCTAGCAGAACAGGAGACGATTCGGCAGAGGCAGAACCCGGGCGGGGCGGCCTGGTCGGGCGGCCAGCAGACTGAGCGATATCTCAAGCGGTACATAGAGATATTCAGGGAGCAGAGCTTCGCCATCATCTCCATGTTCAGGAGCATATTCCCCGCCCCGACCAACGGGTCAGCCTCGAGGGCCGGGGGCGCGGACCCTCTACAGCTCATACCTTCGGCGCTGTCTACTTTCCCGATTCACCTAATCGAAATGTTGACGGAGACGCTGCGCATTTACTTGCCGGCTGTCAAAGACCGGCCATCCCGCGATAGTCTCTTGACTCAAGTCCTCTACTGTGCTGGAAGCCTTGGCCGGTTGGGTGGAGACTTCGGAGTTCTCCTGGCCACGGTCGATATGGGCGAAGAAGCAGACGACGAGTGGGTTGAAGTAGTTAAGAGGCATAGGCTCATGGCCGGCCGTCTCGAATCGATCGTCGGGGGCAAGGACAGAGGCACACCAACACCGGAGGTTGTCAAGGCGTGAACATCCATCTGCCTACCTAGCGAACCCGGGTATAGCTATGTACGTCGACTCGGCAGGCTTTCTCCTCTCACTGCGCCCCCTGCCCCCCCTCCTCTCATTCAGCCCCGGTCGACAGGTACGAAGGTAGCCCTGCCATGTCCTACGCCCGCAAGGGTGTATATACCCCTTCAGTCAGGGGTAGCGAGCAACTGGTATCCCAGGCGTTTTCGCAAGGGCCCATTGCGGGCACGAGGAACGGAAGATACTGTGAGTGCATCCATAATCCATATCCACGCGGATTACTGTTGCCAACATATGAATAGTAGGCATACCTACGACACCTACATACCGCCATGTACTCTCCCTAGTGCATACGTACTTACGGCACCCTTAAGATGCGTTTATTTAGGGTGCTGGCCAGGTGCCCCGTGTCGGCCAGCGGAAATTGGGTATATGAGCTCGATAGATAGGTACATACATCAGGTGCGCACCTATCGCGATAATGCAACACACCACGGTTATGCAATTAAGCTACATACAAGGTACCTGCCAGACATTAAGTTGTAACCCCTCTCTCGGTACAGCCTTAACAGGTACCAGCTCCACGTGCTCGCCGCGTACACCGTACATTGCCGATGTAACCCGTCCTAACTTCTCTCTTTTCCATCCCGCCGTCATCGTCATGCGAATCGAGAGATATCGAGAGGGTCGGATTGAGTGGGATTTGCCGTCGTCAAGCTCGCACGCACCAGATGGGCTCGCGTTGACAGCTGAAACCTCAAACCCTGCCCCGGCCACGCGCAACCAACCGGCACCCGTTTATTCCTACCCGCCTACCCCCCGCGAAATAGTAGCAGGGCTTTTTGGTCATGTCGCAAAGCACGGCCGCTGTCGCCGGCGGCCGCACGAGCAGATCATCACCGAGTAAGCACGGCGGCGGCGAGCCCCAACGTGGCGCGAACGAAGCGGCTGACGACCTGAAACCTCTTGGTCTCTTGGACCCCGAGCAGCCCTCCATTTCGTCGCCGGTCTCGGCTCGGGCACGCTCGGCGCCGTGATCCTGCAGCCGTTCGACCTCCTCAAGACGCGCGTCCAGCAGTCGGGCTCGCGCTCCGTCCGCGCTGCCGCGCGCGACGTCGCCCGGTCGTCGCCCAACGCGCTCGCCGCCTTCTGGCGCGGCACCGTCCCCTCGGCCGTGCGCACCGGCGTCGGCTCCGCCGTCTACTTCACCACCCTCAACGTCATGCGGCAGTACGCGGCGTCGCTGCCCTTCGCCGCCCGGCCCCGGGCCGCGTCTCCCTCCTCCGCCTCCTCCTCGTCCCTGCCCAGGCTCTCCGACACCGCCAACCTCGTGACCGGGGCCGTCTCCCGCGCCTTCGCCGGCTTCGTCCTGATGCCCCTGACCGTCATCAAGGTCCGCTACGAGTCCGACCTGTACTCGTACAAGTCTATCGCCGGCGCCGCAAGGGACATATACAGGTCCGAGCGCCTCCCGGGGTTCTTCGCCGGGTACGGCGCCACCGCCGTCCGGGACGCCCCCTACGCCGGACTCTACGTGGTCTCGTACGAGCAAATCAAGAAACGTCTCAGCTCTTGGTACATCCCTGCCTCCCCTGCCGCCCACGGCCCATCCGACCCGGGCGTGCGCACCTCGCTATCCGCCACTATAAACTTCAGCTCCGGCGCCCTCGCTGGCGCAACGTGTTCCTTCATATCCAATCCGTTCGACGCCGTCAAGACGCGCATACAATTGCAGCCGCGCGACTACCCCGACATGGTCCGAGCCTGTCGCAAGATGGTCACGGAGGAGGGGATACGGTCCCTCTATGACGGGCTGGCTCTGCGCATGACGCGCAAGGCGATGAGTTCGGCCTTGGCGTGGATGTTATACGAGGAACTCATCCGACGAGCAGAGACGGTGTTGCATTGAGCCAATACGAAAGGGTATGTACGACTATCTACGGGCCTACCCTACTAATCCAAAAAAAAAAAAACCTCTAGAAAAGAACCTCTCGTTGCAAAGCATTCCCTCGGGGGCGGAAAAGGCTTACAATTTGGGAGCCGACCTCGCCAATATATGCCTTTGTTTTGGCTTCCCCTTATTTGTCCGAGAGCATGAGGGAAAGGCGTCAGGGGTTGGGGGCTTGGGGTTTAGGGAGGGAAAGGGAAGAAATAATCAGGACAAAAGCAAAGGTATCTTTGCGTAGCAGCCGTGTACGCGCACCCTAGAAATCACCACACAATTGCCGGCTACGCCGGCCTCGCTCCAGCTAGATACATCAACAGCGAAGGGGACCGAGATCGGCTTCGCTTATGCTCCTTCTTGCGGACCCATTCGAATTCGGGTTCAAGGTGATGATGGTGTCGTCTATGCTCCTTGTCTTCAATGGTCACTGCCACCCCCCGCTGTCAGCACTCGATCCTAGGTTAGGGTGGAGAGACCTCAGATTCTCTGGCCAGAGAACGAGGGAACGGCGGCCCATAACTCGGAATATACTTACAGATAAGCTTCCCGGACCGCTTCTCGCGGATCATCTTGGTGTGCCTCCAGAGCATGTCCTGCTCCGGCTCAGCTACCCATCTTTTGATCAAGACGTACTCGGGATCCTGCCGCCAGGGAGATTAGATGACATCACAAGGCAACAGAATGGGTAGGTATAGGATGTACTTACAGGATCAAGTTGGAAGTCGATGTTATAAGCCCTCAAAGTTTCAAGTGAGAGGTGTCGTCTCGCCATACGTGTGTAGATGGGCCGCGGGTATTCCACAAGCTGATTCTGGTCCTCATTCTCCTTCTCTTTCTTCTCCTTTTCCTTCTGGACCTTCTCGCCAGCTAGGATCGCATTAATCTCTTTCTCATTCAGGCCGGACTTGAGAAGATGCTCCTGCATTTTAGCTTTGTACTCCTTTTCGCGTTCCTCGGCCAGTCGTGCTTCTTTTAATTTGCGTTCGGTCTCTTCTTTCTTGTACTTCTCGACAGCTTCCCGGGCCTCCTTATCGCGACGTTTCTTCTCCTCTAGGGCGGCTTCCTCTTGCTTCAGCCGCTCTAGCTCCAGCTTCTGCTTGATCCGATGTTCGTACTCGTCACGCTCTTTAGCCTGCTTGATTGCATCCAACTCCTTCTTGGCCTCGCGAAGATCCCGTTCCTCCTGAATGGTCCGATTCCGGCGCTTTTCCTCTTGTTCGATCTGGGCAGCAAGCCTGAGCTCATGGAGTTCCTTTCGCGTGCGCTCTAGTTCGTACTCGCGACGCCTACTCTCAAACTCCTTCTCGTAATCATTGTGTATGTGTTCTAGCGCCAACCGATCGCGCTCGCGCTCGCGCTCGCGCTCCCGTTCCCGTTCCCGTTCCCGATCACTCTCCTGGTCGCGCTCATGCGAGTAGCTTGAATTACGCGACCGCGCACGACGACGGGAATGGGAGCGCCTGCGAGCCCTCTCAGAGTCCGAGTCCGAGTCCGAGTCAGAGTCCGAGTTGTATATACGATTGTTAATGATGATGGGAGCAGGGGGCGCGGGGGCGCTAGCGGCCGGGGGAGGGGTAGCGCGATCGCGATCGCGCGACACAGACTGGCGAGTTGTCACAATGGTGCGCTCGTTGGTCGGAACTAGGTAGCGGTCCTCGAACTGCGGGCCAGTTTCGTAGAAACGAGGGCGAGATGAGCGAGGCTCGACGTAGTGAGCAAGGGGGGGGTTGCCGCGAGGAGAGGCCTGACGATGTCTGATACGGACATCGAGGTCCGATTCATCGTCAGAATAGTTGTATCGACTCATCCTCGACGCTGTCGGGTGGCGTAGACACCGATCCAAAGGCTTCCAATTGCCTAGTTCACCTCAAGAGGAGAGTTCACCACACACGCGGAAAGGAAGAACAAGCATATACTTGAGATGCAGATGGAGAGACGAGAGCATGCGGGAGCAAAGGAGGTGTGAGAGGATGTGTGAAGATGGTGGTGAGGAGGAGGGCGAGAGAGGGAGGGGGGCGGAGTGAAGGAGGGGCCTATCTATGTCAGCACAGGTCAGCCGAGCACATGTGTCTAGATTATATAGGTACCTGGGTAGGACTTTGCTGGGTACCTCGAGCGCGGGAATAAGTGGGCGTGGGGGTGAGGGGTAAAAGATGTACCCTCTCGTCATGTTTCAAGTACCGCCCAACCGTCGCATGCGCCACTGGACCGGCTGCGAAATATCGGGTACATGAGCAATCAGCGCGTTACCTGCCAATCATTGAGGAGCCGATTTCCCGCGCGCTATGGGAAAAGTAGCGTATGCATATATTAGGTACAAGCAGGTATCTATATAGGTACCTATATAGGTATATGTGTATAAATAGAACCCCAGGTCTCGTTCACTGTTACCAACACATCTGTAACGAAACCGGTACTTGGTAATAGGCCAACCAATAGTAGAAATCCGACGTGGAATTCATTATCACACGTAAATTGTCAAAGCTGGGGCTCCGAAGCCATCTGCGTCTGTACTAGCAAATAGTAAAGTTTGTTGGTCGTCGCGAGCATTGGCACTATGTATAGCAACACTAAACTACAAGGACAGCGTGAGATTCTCACGTGGTGACGGGGGGGTGTAAGATTGCTTCCTCGCACCCATCCGGCGACAGCTAACCAACCTATACGGCTCCTTCAGTAGGCATATAGAGAGGGACAGATATATAGGAGGCGGAACGCACGAGGCAGCCTCCTCCCGTGGGCGTCCGAGCTTGGCGCAACTTTCGAAGCAGGCGACTAGTCTAGGATGCAGCACCACCTCTCAGCATACGATCGATTTGGTCCTTGCTATTCTTTTGTGACACCTCGAGGTAGTGCAGCCGCTTTCCTAGTCCCTCCACGTCGCCCTCCGCCTCCTTAATCTGGGCGTCCAGTTTTGCTTGCATGTCGGAAGCGGGCAGCGCGACAAACCTGGATTTTCTCACGGGTCGGCCATCAGCGCGGGCGGGCACGGCGAAGGGGGGGGAGGGGGGAGGGGGGCCAAACATCTTGCCAACTCCCTCATACACATTGGTACCGACCGGCAAGGAGGAGATCTCGGTGCGCGTCAACTGGGCCATTCGCAATTCGCGTTGTTTCGATGCCTGCTGGGTTCGGACGAGCGAGATCTGCTGTTGCGCGGCGATGGCCTGCGTCTCGACCTCGCGCAGCAGCTAGAGAAGAGGTCCCGCGTTATTACGGGACTGGAGAGATGCTCGCGCCTTCGTGACACACAACCGGGGGGGTTTCTTTTGATGGCAGTAGGCATACCTTCTGCAGTGCTTCACTTGAAATCGACATTCTCCCTCGCACCTAAATCGCGTGGGCCAACGAGGAGGGAGAGGCGGGAGTAGAAATTGAGGATAGGACGAATGTCGTAACGGTGAAGTTGATACCCAGTTGCGACTTTGGGAGCTGGTGAAGGCCAGGCAAAGACGCCCACGTAAGATAAGAGAGGAATGCGTTCGCTTGCCCCGGGAGAGTAGGTTGTTACGTAAAAGGTTACCACGGGGTACTTCCACCCTACAATACAGATTTTCACATGTTTTCTCTAGATATAGGTATGGGTAGTTACCTACATTTTTCATACATCAAGCATTGAAGCCATTTTAATATGGCAGAATTGGCTATCAATCAAGCGACGGGTTATATAAAGCGCACATATGCCTTTCCATTTCCTGCTGCTACGTAGTATACAGATTAGACGCCTAGTAGGTTGGTAGGTAGGTATGTTGGTACCTCCTAATTCAAACTCGCATATGCGTATAAGCGGTGGGCCAGTAGGTATAAGCACCTATCCGCTGCACCTTACGCAGAGGCGTCCATGTACCTACGGCAGCAACTGGTCGGCTGGCCCTCTCTCCTCTTCCACTCCGCTTCTGGCCTCTCTCAGTCTTGTCTTGAATGCTCCTCTATCGCCCTGCATACCTACACACGTAGGCATTGTCGAAGCGATCCGCCTGGCTTGTGCTCGCAGCGCAGAGGCAGGTATACCTAGCTACCTAGGTACGTCGCTAATTTTTCTTGTCTGCTAACGCGGCACCGGCACTGTCTACGGCGACCACTTCCGGCATCTTGGCCATCCGAGGCCAGTCGAGTCGATATTTCTCTTCGTCGCCATCCAGGCAGCGATGGATCCAAATGCGCCAGACGATGTAGAAGTACGCGCCGATTCCGGTCACTGCCATGGGAACGCATGACAGCATCAGTAAACCCGCCGAGTTAGGAAGAGAAGAGGGCGGTAGGGACGATCACGTACTGAGGTGCCACCAAGCATGCCCTTCGAGTACCACGGCCCACGGGAGCCCGAGTTGACGTCTCCATTTTCGAATGGTGTTGCAGTATACGTTGTCCAAGTTCCAGATGAGGTAGCCACCTAGGAATATACTGAGGCCTGCCCGGAATCGGCCCGTCAAAACCAGCGTCAACCACGTATCCTTGTCGTAGGCACACTTACCTGTCACCACCATGACCCACATGCGGCCTATCACCTCGTCGGTCGTCGGCAACTTCGGAGAGCGAGCCCTTCCTCGGCCCGTCTCCCTCGCTCTCAGGGCTGGCCTCAGCCGTCGCTCCATGATCCATATGTTAGAAAACACCACGGTGGCAGTCAGGACCGCGTAGGCATCCTGGTGGAACTTGGGATCCTTGGTCGCGTAATACCTTGCCTAATGTCCTCGGCAGACAGCAGTCAACATACACAGGACGGCCGGCTGGAGGGGGCGGCGAAGGGCGAGAGGACGAACTGTGATGAACCACGCGAGGCCGACGAGGCCGGCGCCGAGGCAGGACGCGAGGCGGGCAGACCTGCCGTAGGTAAACGTAGCAAAGCACATGAAACAAGTCGTGTAGATCATGGCGAGCTCATCCACAAGCTGCATCGGGTCTGCTGAGGGTCAGGCGGCCGTGATCCCTAGAGGACGGGGAGCACGGAAGTGCGTGTATTTGGACACGGCATCCTCACTGTCGCACACAGGCTTACACTTGAGAGAGGCGTGGAAGAAGGTGGATCCTAGGCCAACCACCAGGTACCCGGCAAAAGTCACAATGAAGATAGGAGGGTGCGCGTGCACGAGGCATCCTCGAATGCCCTTGTAGCCTAGCCATACGAAGAGGGCATTGGTTATAGTCTAGGTGCCAGCGGCGGTAGGGCGAATTAGTGAAAGGAAGGGTGTATGATACGATAGGGTATAACAAGGAGGGTCCGAGAAGGAGGAAGAGAGAGAGAGAGGGCAGGTGGCTATTAAAGCCTACATTGCAAACTTCAGCGCAGTAATAACTTATCACGTAGTCCTGCGTTTGCATTCGGCGGTCAGTCTCACACTGTCATCTCAACCGGATGAGCCGGATTTCGGCAGGTTTCACCTTACCTCCTCACAGAAATTCAACGTGGAGGTCTTCTCGCCCCAAAATCCGTGTTGAGGCTCTTCATGGTAGGGGAAGCTCCAAGAATGTTGGATGCTCTGCTCGGACATGGCTTCTCGAATGCGGGTATAAGGGGCAGGCGGCCAGCTCGTTCCCTTGTCCCCTTATGCGAGCACCGCAGAAGCACAGCGAATCGAAGCTAATATAAGTATTAGCTTCTAGGGAGAGGGAGGGAGGGCAGAAAGCCAGAGTCGGATATGTACACACTGAAGTCCGCAGACACAGATACCGAGGTCTGTCTCTCTCTCTCTCTGTCGCTTTACTTCGCACCTCATGTATGATTATAATATATATAGGTATGTATAACTATGTATATATGTATGCGCGTATCTTATACACACACAAAGTACATATGCTACTTATACATCTTTAACAGAAGTACTAACATATTTAACTTAATAAAAAGTCTTTTATTAATAGGCTTTAAATTAAGCGTACTTTATTATATATTTAATTATTATAAATATTTAATTTTAAAAAATAAAAAGTTTTCTTCTTTATATAATATATAAGCAAGTATATATATAAAAGTAACTATTCTAAAATAAGAACATTAATTAGATTTAGTATTTAATTAATAAAATAAACTTTAATAATTTAATAAAAATATATTAAAATCTATTTCTTTTATTATTTTTATTTATCTTGTAGTCGAAGGAAGCTACGTGTAGGTAAAAGAAGCAATGGGAGAAGAAGTAAAGAAAGAAAAAAAATCTTATTCTATTTAAGAACTAACTAAGGGAATGGAAGCAACGAAGAGAAGCAACTTAAGGCATAACCTCTATATGACATTATTATATATGCTTATTTTTTTTTTTTAAACACATAACTATAATATTTTTTTTTCAATTAATTAAAAGTAAATAGTTTATATTATATTATTTATAAGGTTATTTATAAAGTCACTTATGAAGTTATTTACAGAGCTGTTTTTTCTATGTGATAGGGGTTTGACGTATTTTAACTATCCTACGGATAGGATTAACAGAAAATCCCGGTATTGGAATAACATGGTTTTAATGCCACATCACTCGGATTGGATTAGTGTACACGGTCCTTTCTAGGTACGATCTGGCACATCTGACCTCGATGCTTCTAAAACACACGAATCGAACAACTGCCGTTAAGCTGGTGGTATGACGGCTCCAGGAATGACCAGGCCTTCATCGCCTTGTCCACACTATAACACGGCTGCCATCACTAGCTCGGTGAATACCCCGTACGATGCGCCGGCTCCATCGCCGTAATCGCATCCAGGTTCGGAACTGTGTGCGAGATAACCGTACACTAAAAGGCTGCCTGCCTCCTCCCTACTCACGCCTCCCCCCAATCGCCCCCTCTCTGCGCCGGCGTAACTTTAGACATGTCGACTCCGCAGAAGTCATCCAGATGGGGGTCCTTCTTGTCCCAAGCCGTCGCCGGCGTCGAGGCGCGTCTCGATAACATACTCGCCGAGGAAGACTCCGCAAAGCAACCAGCGGCCCGCCAACCTGCGAGAACCCCGCCAATATCGTCTACTACAGCACCGACCGCGAGCCTGCCGCCCCGTTCAACGACACCATCGAGACTAGGAAGCGATAGGCTGCAAGAGAGGCTAGTCCGCGCTGTGGCGGCGAAGAATGCCACCCAGAAGACCGAGTCTTCGCCTACTAGACGCAGCACCGAAACCGCGCAGAGTCCCCGGTCTAGCTCCGATATCCCCGTCGCAGCGCCCGCGTCGCTGACCCGGCCAAGTTTGGATAAAACAGATAATGCAAACGTCAATACATCCGACCCGGCGCCTATAGCCCCAGCGCTCGGGGATAGAGCCACCGCGGAGTTACCAGCTCTAGCCGCCGCCGACACGCCAACAGCCCCTGAGACGGAGGCCTCGCCTTCTTCGGAAGCCCAGGGTGATGGGGCAGCCAAGATAGAGGAGATTGCTCCAGAAACACAAGTTCTTGGTGAGCACCCGGATGCAGGAACCACCATGTCACAATCTATCCTGTACGAGCAACGTATCGCGGATTTGGAGAGATCCCTAGAGGAAGTCCGCACGCAACACCAGGACGAGCTTCATACTCACGTCGAAAGGATCGACGCTTTACAGGCCAAGCTCCAGTACCTAGCACGGCAGACGTCAGAGGCTGCTAGAAATGCCGCCGTCGGTGCACCCGCGGGTAGCTTAGAAAAGAAGATCGCCGACAAGGACCAGCAGATCGCGCAGTTAATGGAGGAAGGGCAAAAGCTTGCAAGTACAGAGCAGACGCATCGTACTATCATCAAGAAGCTGAGGGGCCAGCTTGCCGCGGGTGAGAAGGAACTGGCCGAGCTGAGGATCCTGTACTACAAGGCCCAGAATGAGATTACTGTGCTACGGAAGCAGATGAGCGAGCAAGGGGACCTTGACAGGGAAAACGAAGAAGCACAGAAGCTAACAAAGCAATTGAGAAGGGATCTGGAGGCGCTGAAGGTCGAGGCAGCGTCAAAAGACAACACAATATCTGAGCTCAAGGGACGGGTTCAGGAGGAATCGGAGCGAGCCACGGTTACTAAGATCCACGACCAAGCACGGGAAGCAGGGCAGCAGCGCGTTAAGGAATTGGAGGATACCGTGGCAGCGTTGGAGGTGGAGAAGGGTCTAATGGCTGACCGTGCGAAGCTGCAGGCCGCCGAGCTACAGGATAAGGCTAACAGGGCATCGGAGCGTTTCCATACCATAGAGTTGGAGCTCAAGGAGGAGGTTCAGATCCTCGAGAGCAAACTGGAAGCCTTACGCGTTCGAGCCGAAGAGGCGTCGTCGGGCGTCGTCGGAGACACGCAGGCCAAACTATTACGCCAAATAGAGACTCTTCAGACACAGTATTCTATCGCTAGTGAGAACTGGCAGGGTATTGAGGCCTCCCTGATCGCCAAGACGACAGTCCTCGAAAAGGAGAGGGATGAAGCGCTACGCCGTGAATCGGAGATGAGGCGGAAAGCCAGAGAAGTGGTAGGTAACTGACACCCCGAGACGATCGCAGTACTAATCTCAGGGTAAGACGTCTCGAGCCAAACGTCAGGAGGAAGAACTAGAAGAGGCGAGGAACCAACTCCCTAGCGTTCAACAAGATTTATCATCGTACCAGTCTCAGTTTGCGTCCCTCCGCAAGCGAGCGGAAGAAGCTGAAGCGGCGCTGGTCGAAGCGAGGTCCGACTTCGAGAGACAACGATCAGCTTGGAAAGAGGAGAAAGCCGAGAGAACGGAGCAGGACCGGCGGAATTGGCTAGAAGATGTTCCGACCTCGGCTTTCCGTAACATAAGCCGTCCCGAATCCCCGCTACTCTCTGCACCGCAGAGAACCTTCAGCGGCGAATTCCTCGGGCTCCAGAGCTACCCGGCGAGGCTTCGCAAGACCTCGGCACCCTCTAGTAATGGCGAGCCGAGCACGGGCGATCGACCGTCATCCGCAAGACGACCGTCAGCGCACCCGCCTATCCGATCACCCATGTTTCCCACAACCTCAGCGCAATCCGGCACATCACCATCCCTACCGGGTGGTTTAGAGGTGCTCGCCTCACCATCGACACATCCCGTTGATAGGGATGACATTTTCGAGAACTTCGAGACTCCGGCCTCTCCGCATAATGTTTTGCAGGATATGTTATCGGTGTCGACGATGACGGCAGGACCGTCTGTGCAGCTGGTCGAAAGGATGAGCGCCGTAATTCGTCGCTTAGAGAGCGAAAAGGTGGCGGGTAAAGAAGAGCTCGCCCGGATCTCGAGCCAGCGGGACGAGGCTCGGAGCGAGATCGTTTTGTTAATGAGAGAGGCTGAGGCCGGGAAAGCAGCTAGAAGCAAGGTGGAGGAACTGGAGAGAGAGGTGGAATCGATCAACGAGAGGTACCAAACCACGCTAGAGATGCTGGGAGAGAAGAGCGAGCTAGTAGAGGAGCTACGTGCCGACGTGGACGATGTCAAGGCCATGTATAGGGACCTCGTAGAACGCACGATCAAGTAAGGGGGATCTGGCCTCTTGACTACTAGGCCTTACATAGTCTACCTAATTTCTTAATAGACATAGGCACAAAACAAGGCAATGGGCGAGGGCCGCGCAAAGTGAGGGACAAGTAGCCGAGAGCCGTGGCCACGAAACTATAGGTCGATCCCCTCGTTCTCTGCCTCCCGCTTGATGTACTTGAGGACCTGTATCGAGCAACGTAAGCGTCTGCATCCAGCGATCCGCCCATCCCTAAACTGGTATCACGAACCTCCTTGTCGGGTGCCAGGTCCAACGCAAGATAACCATCCGAATCTCGCTTGTCAGCCTCAGCACCGGCCTTGAGCAATGCCACGGCAGTGTCACCTACATGACGTCTCGTGAGCCAACCTACTTAGCAGAAGCTTCTAGAGGGGGGGACAGACCATGCCCCTCGGCGACCGCATGGTGCAGGGCCGTGTAGCCGGTGATATCAGTCGCGTTGAGCGGGCTACCATTTTTAAGCAGTAAAGTGACCATGGGGACCGAGCCTACGGCGGCGGCCCGATGCAAGGGATATTGCCCGCGCTTATCTCTGACTCGCGTAGACGCAGGGGGCTTACTATCCAACAGCTTGCGGGCAACTTCGAGATTGTTCTTAGAGGCAACGAAGTGGAGAGCTGTCTATACCGCTATCAATCACTGCTGGCTCGCACGTTACCGCCTCTCGCACGCAAATACAAACCTGGCCGTTGTTATCTGCACACGTCAGCGGCCCGGTGGTTCAGATCGCATTGCAGGTGCTATGCTCTCTTCTTACTTACTCTTCTGATTCACATCGGCACCTCTTGAGAGCAGTAGCTCGACGGTCTTGTCCCCGTCCTTGACACTCGCTGCAATCATTAAGGGGGTCCAGCCGCTGTCATCCTTCGCAACTTGAGCCATACGGAACAAGACGGGTCCGGGTGGACCAATATACTGGGAGCGGTTGCCTACCTCGGCGTCAGGATCGAAACCCTCCTGCTGAGCTAACATCAAGACGATCGCAGGATGGTTTGCTGATGCTGCCCAGTGTACAGGAAGACGACCGTCGTCGTCCCTGACCTTGGATAGCTTTGGGTCTGCCTACCGAATCCCAAAGTCACCGGGGATATTCTTTGGAACGATGTAGCAAGAGATGGCGAGGGCATGCTTACATTCAGCAGCGACTCAACGACGGTAGCTACCAAGCCATCAGCGAGTGCGACGTCATAAGGGATGCGTGGCAGAATGGGTAAAGGGAAGAAGGGATGATGAGCTCATGTATATATACCTCTACCCTCTCTCGCGGCAGCGTGTATAGCATATTTTGAGTCCTCGGACGACATGTTGAAGGCTGATGTGGCGCGAAAACCCGACGGATTCTCACGGGACGGCGTCTTATATGCTTATATGATGTCTAAGGAATGTGCACTTGTACAGGAAGGTACCTACCCGGGTAGGCACGTAATAGGTACGTCAACATGACCGTCGAAATATATTCTCATAACGGGATTCCTACGTAAAGAAACATTCAACTAAACAAATAAAATAAGCTGCATTTTTAAATATAGTTTTATTTATAATTTATAAATGAGTAATGGTTCCGAGTATTATTAGGTAATATGTTTAATTATAACTACTATTAGAAGCTATGAATTATATTTCTTATTTCAAACTTAATCTTCAAAAAATGTTATTTTAGAATGCATTCGCTTTTTGCGTCTACCTACCTACCTACACGTACTCATACCGAGTAGTAACCTGTGTTTCGCGTCGGCTCTCGCCCCCCCAAACCTCCCTTCATCCCGAGACTTAGCGGAACCTCCAGAAAACCCTTCGTCGCGTGCCGCCCACCCATCTCGTGTTCAGCACTCTGCCCAGTCCAGTACGAGCACTCCTCAATTCGATGGAGGTCGCTCACCCGGACCTCAGATCCCTCGTGGTTCAGAACGCCCGGCGCTCGAAGACACTCTTCGCTGAGGAATCAGCTCGCAAGAAACTCAAGTTAGCCACCGACACAACCGAGCCCTATCGCTTCCGCGCCGAATATCAGCATGTCCAAGAACTGCCACCCGCCCTAGCTCAAAACCAGGCAGGCGCTCTAAATGCCAGGAAGAAGGCAAAGAAGCCACCTGCAAATGGCTCTTCAACCGCGTCTGTGGGGGAGGAGACCCAGAAGCTTCTCGAGGACGTCCCGCGAAGCTCCGAAAATAATAACAATAACCAGGAGCCCTCGTCGGCCTCCAACAACACCAGCGCTCTCATCCGAATACCCAAACCGGCGGCCGCCTCCCAAGGGCCTAGTAGCGATGCAACCTCGCGGGCCTTGAGCGTCGCCCGGGCTCAGGCCACCCACCAAGTCAAGCCCGACTGGCATCCCCCTTGGAAGCTCATGAGGGTCATCTCAGGCCACTTGGGCTGGGTCCGAAGCCTCGCTGTGGAACCGCACAACCAGTGGTTTGCTAGCGGCGCTGGCGACCGGACCATCAAAATATGGGATCTAGCGACCGGCAACCTCCGATTGACCTTGACCGGCCATATATCTACTGTCCGTGGTCTTGCCGTCTCTCCCCGCCACCCGTACCTCTTCTCCTGCGGCGAGGATAAGATGGTCAAATGCTGGGATCTGGAGACGAACAAGGTCATCAGACACTACCACGGGCACCTGAGCGGTGTCTACACGTTATCGCTGCATCCGACGCTAGATGTCCTCGTGACCGGCGGGAGGGACGGCGTCGCCAGGGTCTGGGACATGCGAACACGCAGCAACATCCACGTCTTATCCGGTCACAGGGGCACCGTCGCCGATGTCAAATGCCAGGAGTCTGATCCGCAAGTCATCAGCGCCTCACTGGACTCAACAGTCAGACTGTGGGACCTCGCAGCCGGCAAGGCTATGGGGGTGCTCACCCACCACAAAAAGGGCGTCCGGGCCCTCGCCCTGCACCCCACCGAGTTCACATTCGCCACGGGGAGTACGGGTAGCATCAAGCAGTGGAAGTGCCCAGAGGGAGCCTTTATGGGAAATTTTGAGGGCCACAATGCTATCATCAATTCTCTAGCCGTCAACGAGGACGTCCTGTTTTCCGGAGGGGACAACGGGTCTATGAGCTTTTGGGATTGGAAGTCGGGACACCGGTTCCAATCTCTGGACTCGATCGCACAGCCAGGATCCCTAGATGCGGAGGCCGGCATCATGAGCTCGACTTTCGACCGCACAGGACTACGTCTTATTGTGGGCGAAGCAGATAAAACAATCAAAATATGGAAGCCAGATGAGAAAGCTACACCGGAAACTCACCCCCTTGAGTGGAAGCCCGCACTAGGGAGGCAGAAGTTTTAGGGGAGGAAAACGGGTGCACCAGAAAGTGTGGCCCCCCTCATATATATCGGCGGAGAAGCCCTTGGCGAGTCACAAATAAAGAGGGTCTGGTTGGGGGAGGATATCATCCTGAATAATTGAGGGTTCATTACGGCCCGTGTGTACGTTAGAATGCTATACCCAATGCCCTGATTTCGGGATCATCCCGGAATGCAAGCTTAATTTCCTCGTCGCCGACTGCGAGCTTGATCTTACTTGGCCGCTCCGCCCGCTGCGCCTCCAGGATAATAATTCCGGCGCCGGCCAAGTCGGCGGCCGCGCTGCTGATCCCCGCCGGTCTGGCGAGCTTAGGGTCTCGTCGCGTAATCCTTCCCACCCCCGAATCCTTCTCCCCGGTGCTCGTAAGCAAACTGACCCGCCGGCTACTAGCATCCAAGACTAGGGCCCGCCTCATCTCCTCCACTACGTCGCCGTAAGTGCTATCAGGAAGACCCGTGCGCTCGTTCCGGATGAGCAAGGACGAGAGGACCAATTTAGAAGCGAATGGAAGGGCGCGCAAATACTGCTGTAGTGGGCTCGATGTTGCTTCATTGATCGCTCGTTTCACTGTCGCTATAGTTACCTTTCCTCTTACGGTTTTCGGCCTGTCCTCCTCTCCCGACTTAAACTTCCCCCTCTTGCTTGGCGTCGCCGGGTCGATTCCCGAGGCTTTGACGTCGGCTTCCGCTAGCTCTACTGCTCGCCGGCAGATATCCAGCGCGCGTCGCGCGTCGCCACTCACAGCCGCAACCTTACGGCTGGCGAATTGGACCGCATCCGGCTCAACGACATTCCCCGGGACCCCTTCGAGGCGCGAATGGATAATCTTCATGAGCTGCTCGTGGTTGTAACCCGGGAACGTGATGCGGGTAAGTCCTAGGCGACTACTTATCTTGTTACTGAGCGTCCTCTCGGGAAGATCCATCGTGTTGGCCACCGCTAGCACGATAAGTCGAGAGTGTTTCAACCCCGGCCAATTGAAGAAGTTATACATGACGCTCTGGTTTTTCGTAACCAGTTGGTCAAGCTCGTCCATTAACACCACACATGGGACCCGACGAGGGCTGGGGTTATTGAACTCGCGCTCAAGAAGCTCTAGCGCCTGGCTGGGGCTCACTCTTTGTCCCTTGAGAGCTTCCCAAAGGAGGGTATATGACTGGTGGGGATCAGTTATTTTCATTCCGTTAATCTCGACGAAGATGAAATCATCCAGTTCGTCGGAGCGTACTGCCTCGTCAAGTTTCGATACCACCTCTCGCACCGTGGCTGTCTTTCCAGTCCCGGGGGTTCCGGATATGTAAATGCAAGCGCCAGATCCGTCGGTGATGGCCGTCTCGAGATGAGAGTATACCAAGAAGAACTCGGATTCTCGACAAGGCAAACTTGCCGGGACAGATGCCACGTGCAGCTGAGCCCTCGCGAGCTGGAATGGAGAAGACTGGTGGTGGCTCGGAGAAAGCATGCGGGTTGCGAGTGGCGTGAATTCCAAGGCCTTTTTTATTACAACTCTAAGGTGGGGGGTTAACGATGCCATCACGATCCCCTGGCGTTTGAAATGGGTAAGACAAGTTACTTACCTACGGTTCGATGGTGTCACGGTTCGCGGTGCCTTTCGTCTCTTTCTTGGGGTAACTGGCACTCGTTGGGCAACATCGGAGCTGTCTTCTTCCTCGTCCTCGTCGTCTCCTTCGGGGGGCGTAGCAATGTAGTCGGTTTCTACGGTTGCGATATTGCCACGGCGGCGCTTCCTCGTCGATCTAGTTCCGTCCTGCACCAGTTTCAATAGGGTGCCCAGGTGCTCTGGCTTGCCAGAGTAGACACTCTCCCATACAAACTCCTGGGTATAAATTGTAGTCCTCGTATCACACCCTCTCCTACAAACAAAGGTCTTATTATAGCCCAGGGAGCCGCGGGGAACCTTTCCACTCGGATACCTCTGGAGGAACTCCTGCTCGGACATGACGGCAGCCTTGTCGTTGATAGACGCGAGGGGGTTGACGTCAGAGGAGGGTGTGATATACAGTTCGTTCTAGTGCCAAACACTTGGTTAGCTGAAAGGTACCGGTAGGACGAAGACGAACGGAGAACCGACAGGGAGAAAATCTGTTCGTTTCCGGTCATTGTTTCGAATCTCCTTCTCTGTGGAGAACCACAGGAAGTTGGCAGCTTTGTCTCCGTCTTCGTCAGCCTCAAGGAACTCGGTCACGATGGCAACCCATGCCTCATTAGAGCCCTCGGCCTTCAGAAGAACACAGTCGCCGACGTAGCATTCGAAATTATCTTTCCTAGCCCCTATGATATCGAGTTGGGCGTCTCTATTCCCCGTTGACGTCGGCCCTGAAAGGGAAGCCGAGCGATAAATCCACGTCCAAGGATGGTCCTCGACGCCGAGCTCATCATCGCTATCCGAACCGCCGCCAGAGGAAGCGGCGGTGGTAAGAAAGGAACGCCGGACCATTTAGGATTAGGAGCCGAGGGTCGGGATAATAAAGTAGGCGATTTCCTAAGTGTAAAAGGTAGAGACAGAGGTTACGAATAGTACCATGATCTAAATTATCGATAAGAGCAACGCGTCCCACGACGCGTGCTACGTAGGTAAATAGATAGGTACCTAGGTAGCAGAATTGTGATGGGCTGTGCTTATTAAGGTTGTCTTAGCTACGGCCAGGATTACAAGCTTATCGGATTGAACCACTACATATAATATACTTTTTTCTATTTATATATATATATATAAACCAGCCTTTAGAATAATTTTAATTAAAATTTTTATATTAACTATCGTATATTATTTATAAATATTTATTTTTTATATTTTTATATATTTAATTTAAACTATTTATATTATTAATATAATTTCTTTTAATATAATCTAAATTACATATTTATAATAATTATTCGTTTATATAAATTTTTAGTTTTAAAGTAAAAGTCTTTAAATTAAGTATTAAATATTTATATTTTACATAGTATGTAAGTATATAAAAGCTGGTTTGATTTTTATATAATATTAAGATAGTAATATATAGTTAATGATAGGAGTTTTTATTATTTTTTAATAAAATAAAAGTAGCTTTGTTGGTAGGTACGTACGTATGGTAAGGTAAAGTAAACAACAGTAAGAAACAATAGGGGTGAGACGATGTGTATTATGATGTTTGAGGAGGAAAGGGTCTCTTCCTCAAGAGGGACCCATGGGGATCCCATCTACTAATGTTTATAGGTACAAGGATACAACGGATAAGACCTTCCATTGTCATACAACCATCAAGCTTAAAGTATATATAGCCTAGGGCTATATGACAGATTATAAATTATAAAATAATTTAATATTGCAATTATCCCCTAGTCTCTATAAACAACCTAAGCTATAGCTGTATATCTATATATCTAGGTAGTTTATTAAAAGTGAGCCTTATCAGAAAGCTCTCGTTGCTGCCGTATATCCCGAATAACTTCGTCAAGACATCCTATACTAGCTGCCACGAACCCAAGGTACGTAGGGGACGGAGCGAGGACACGAGAGGTAAACTCCGGGTGTGCTTGGACGCCAACAAAGAAGGGATGGTCCTTTAGTTCAACCACTTCCATGCGTCTACCTGTTTCATCCTTACCAATGAAGTTAAGCCCAGACTGTTCCAGTTCTTTGATGAAGTCAGGGTTAACCTCATAACGATGTCGATGTCTCTCCTCCATGATGGTGTTATCCCCATACAAGGCGCGAAGTTTACTCCACTCGCTCCCAGGCTGGAAATGGGTTGCCTTCGTACCAAGTCTCATTGTAGCCCCCATGATCTCCTTGGAGCCTTCCGGCATGAAGATGATGACTTGGTGCTCCGCATGCTGGTCGAACTCTTCCGATGTTGCGTCCACGTAGCCGCAGAGGTTCCTTGCGGCTTCAATAACAGCAACCTGCATACCCAGACAGATGCCCAAGTAGGGGACTTTGCACTCACGAGCCCACTTGGCTGCTTTCACCATCCCCGGCACCCCTCGACTACCGAACCCACCAGGGCAGATACCAGCACAGAGAGTTAGCAACCAGCATGTTGACGGCGCATGATATCACACTCTAGCTGCCATTCCGGCTCACTAGCCTCCCCCAGGAGCGCAGATATGGCCAGGTGGGGATAAAAGGGGTCAGATAGGACTTACAACCAGATGCAATGGTAAGCTGTGACCAGGCTCTATGATATGTCGTAGGGTCGCTCTGCAGTGTTGCATCTTCAAGATGCTCTGCGTCGATCCATATCAAGTTCAGTTTACGATTACATCGCATGGCTGAATGCTCTAGTGCCTTGATTACGGATAGGTAACCTGCGAGGACCCCCAGGGTTCTGGTTACTCATCATTACTCTAGAATTGTCAAAGGAGACGCCGGGCGCCCTCCAGGAGCAGGAAACGGGCCGGTACGACGTGGGGGCACTTACTATCGGGGAGTGCGATATACTTTCCAACCAAAGCAATGTTCACCGGGTCCAGGTAGGGTTTTGACACGACCGTCTTCTTCCACAGTTCCCACAGGTTTGAGCCTTTGCGGACTAAGGGCTCCGAGAGCGGCAATTGATCCAGCATTAGCGCCTCACGGAGCCGGTCAAGGAGGCCCTGCTCCTCGAGGAGGAGAGGTACTTGATAAATCGTCTCTATATCTCGGACTGTGACAACTTGCTCAAACTCGACCTGGCAACTTCGGGCAATCTTCTGCGTTGTGACCGTGTTGAGCGGACGTTCGCAGCGACATGCAATCTGCGAGATTCTTTCTTAGTTCATCATCATCCAATGTTAGTTCTCTGATTTACGAACCAAATCTGGTATCAAGCCAGCGCTCCGCATCTGCTTGATAGCGTGTTGCGTGGGCTTGGTCTTCTCCTCCCCGTGGATGATAGGCACATAGGAGACATGGATGTTGACCATGTTCCCCTTGCCAACCTTGTACCGGAAATAGGTCAATGCCTCAACAAATGGCATGCTTTCAATATCGCCAACTGTGCCGCCCTAGTCCATAGTTAGTATGTAATTCTACCAGCTAAGGTTCCAATGGATAGCCGGCTGGCACGTACTAATTCAACTAGACGGCAGCATATTAGCAATGAGGACTAGGTGGTGAGGACTAGGTGGACCGTTATGGACAACGCACTGATGCAGACATCGGGCTCCTCTCCGCTATCATCGACGGGTATCTTGGCCACTCGTTGAATCCAGTCTTGGATGGCATCCGTAATGTGAGGAACGACCTGGACGGTGCGTCCTATATAGTCCCCTCTCCGTTCCCGTTCGATGACAGCCCTTTTTTTTTTTGGAGAATTGATGTGTTAGCCACTAGACAGCCCAAGGGAAAGGGGGGGTGGGATGACAGACTTGTATATCCTCCCAGTTGTTATATTATTCTCATTCGTGAGGTTGAGGTTGAGGTAACGCTCATAGTTCCCGAGATCTAGATCCGACTCGCCCCCATCCTAACATTCATCAGGCACAGTCGCGAAGCTGAAGCTGGATAGTAGTTGGACAGGCTACCTTGAGTACAAAACATTCGCCATGCCTGTCGGATGAAAGGATGTTAGTGCCATGGCCTCGATGCCCGCTCCGGCATCTCACCTACTCGAGTGGCCCCAGAGTACCGGCATCAACATTCAGATATGGGTCGATCTTAATTGCCTAAGGCCGAGACAGTCAGTCCAGGAGTAGAACAACCTAATGCCGCCTCATATAAACACCGAGTGACTCATACCGTAACTTTAAGTCCGGTGGTCTTCAGGAGCAGGCCGGCAGAAGAGGCTTAGGGGCGTTAGCGACGCAGCGTATGGTAGGCTTCTTGCAATACATCGCCGTACCTATGATGCCTAACATCCGCGAGAACATTAGTGTCTAATTAGGGAAAATAGTCGGGCGAAAAGAGGGCGGGTAGTAACATGGAAAACAGTACCCTTTCCAATGCCGCTTATAACGCCTCCGCTAACCAGCACGTACTTCATCGCGACGACGAGGAGTAGGAGCTGGGGTAAATATAGATCGAGGGGCAACGCGGACCTGGACTATTGATTTAGGAATCGACGCGAAACTGCCCCCTTGGCATGTGGGGGTTTTCCCCCTCGGGTCTTGAGCTCTCGAACTGTAGAGAAGGGCGGTTGTGTCGTCGTCTGTAGAAGAGTTGGTATCGTGTATGAAACTTGCAAAGAAGCAGAGACTTTTATAGGCTCCGACCGAGAACGGGACAGCCAAAGGGGAGGAGGTTTATTAACAAGAACACAATTTGACAGCAATAAAAGCTCCATTACAAACAATTCACAGTACGCTATTAAAGAAAAAGTTTCCCTAATGCCCCGCGATTGAATGTCCGATAACAACGCGATAAGCGATAAGAAATCCCCCATATACCTACCTCGATTGTTAGATCAGGTGGGGCAACATGACAGATGTAACAGGTAGGGTACTAGGTAATAGGTACTTACCTTGTATGTGAGTAGACACTACTTACATAGTAGGTACCTGCAGGGACCTTATTCTGTGTTCAAATCCCATTTTCAGGTACACGCTTACCGCCTCAACTTCATGTACCGGATACCTAATACACGTGCATCGTTAATCAAGGGGCAATGTATTAGGTAACATAGGAGGGGCTCGAAGGAAATTGAATGTAGGTGGGTACCTAGGTACCTAATTTGGAAGGGTTTTGTCAGTTTCCACCAATCCTCCTGACAGATAGCGAAGACTCCAATGTTGGGAGACATAATTGTCTCCCCCAAAAGTGCCATTACCCAACTGACCTAGAGATAACCATCTCAACACCAGTGCATGGTTATGAAGTAACGCAGCCAGACCCTCTCGTATCAGAGATGGCATCCACAACGAGTCACTCCGGGGACTTAGCTACCCAGGTCCTCCAAGCCCTCGACCGGTCCTCTCCTCTACTCTCCGCCGAAGCCTTTCCAGTCTCCAGCTTTATCGAGCTGAAAGCTGCCCTGGATCGATTGGCTTCGCGTGAAATGGCCACTTACGATACCCTGGAGCGGGAAGAGGTCGTACTGGAACCCGAGGGCGAGCAGATAGCTGCAAATGGCAGCCACGAAGCGCGAGTGTTCGATACACTGCGCTCCGCTGTCGATGGGCTTACCGTACAGGATCTGGAGAAGGCCATCGGCGATAAGAATGTTGTCAAGATTGGCCAGGGTAAGGCCTTCAAGGAGAAGTGGATTTCCAAGACCAAGGGTGCGTAGGCAGTCCGCTTCTGTCCTTGGGGCTACGAGTTACGAGTTACGGGGCTAATCAAGCAACCTTTACCTAGACGGAAAATTCAAGGCGGCAGTAGGTGTCGATGCTCTTATCCAAGTGTGCGTCAGCGAGTTGTATGCTGGTTTGCTAACTTCCGTCTTCTCTGTCTTCGCTCCCCCTGTTCTAGGTCGACTCGATACAAGATGTCACCAGGGAGCAGATGCAAACGATAAAATCCACACGGACATACCCCGATGCGAAACTCCTCGCCGATCTGAAAAAACGTAAGCTTATCAGGTTGCAAAAGATCATCGGGTTCAGGATTCACAAAGGCGCCAAATTTGCGCTCAGGATCCCCGAGGAGGCCACGGACTTGACAGCCGATATGATCACGTCAGGCTCTTGGAAGACGGCCACTTTCAAACCCTACAACTTCAAGGCTTCGGGGGCAGACCAACGTTCGGGCGCATTGCACCCGCTCAGTAAAGTCCGCGCGGAGTTCAGACAGATCTTCTTTGAGATGGGATTCGAAGAGATGCCCACCGACAAGTAAGAGCCTCTCCCTGCCCTCTCTCATAAACGGCAGCTGGTTGTAGTTAACATGGGCCTCTCCAGGTTCGTTGAGTCTGGGTTCTGGAACTTTGACGCCCTTTTCGTGCCGCAGCAGCACCCCGCGCGTGACCTACAAGATACTGTACGCTACTTTCACAATATTCTCACCCAGGCTTAAATACTACATGTTTTCCGACATGCCGGGACCTCTGTAGTCCTACACCACCCAGCCTGCCCTGAACGAAGTTCCACACACGGCTACCATCTACTCCTTAAAATCGGCTCCTAACGTCTATTATTTCTAAACAGTTCTACATTTCCGACCCGAAGGTCGCCGATATGCCGCGTGCAAGTTCACCTGAGGACAGCAAGGATTACGACGCCTACTGGGGGAATGTGAAGGCAGTCCACCAGGTGGGTATTTTACCGATTATCCTTCCCCTGCAGGCTTAGGATATCCATGTCAGACAGAATACCCACCTATGTCTGAACATGTTGTTGATGCTATTTGCGTTCGTAAACAAGCCCTAACTTGGCCTCTCCTAGGATGGTAAATACGGCTCGATAGGCTACCGGTACCCCTGGTCCGGTGACGAGTCGTTGCGGCTTGTGCTGCGTACGCATACGACGGCCATTAGCGCGAACATGCTTCACGGGCTTGCGGCTAAGAAGGGCTCCGATGGTCGCCCGCCAGCGGCACGCTACTTCTCCATCGATAGGGTGTTCCGTAATGAGAGTGTTGATGCGACCCACCTTGCAGAATTTCACCAGGTCGAGGGCGTCATCGCCGATACAAACCTAACTCTGGGTGGTCTCATGGAAGTGAGTTCTCCAGCGCACTTGGCCCGCTATGGATGAACAGTTGGCTCACATGGCGTAGTTCATGGATATATTCTTCGGCAAGATGGGGTTGAAGAACCTGAAGTATAAGCCGGCATATAACCCCTGTGAGTACCAATCCCGTTCGACTCCTCAACTTCCCAAAATCCTAATCTAGGTTTCCGACAGATACTGAGCCCAGCATGGAGATATTTTCGTATCGTACGTAGTCCCGGCCCTCCCTAGTGGAATCTCCCATCCCCCCTCGCCCCCGCAAGCACTCTCAAGATGAATTGCCCTCTTCGGGGGGGGGCTGACATATCTTGCCAGACGAGGGCTTAGGAAAACTCATCGAGATCGGGAATAGTGGCATGTTTAGGGCCGAGGTGCTAGAGTCGATGGGGTTCCCGTAAGTATCTCTGTCTTGAGATGTCTGGCAACTGCTGTCAGGAATCCGTAAACTGAAACTTGGTCTTCTAACGTGTGAATTAGGAAGGAGATGCGCGTCTACGGCTGGGGGCTCTCACTGGAACGGCCAACCATGATCAAATACGGCATTTCGAATATTCGGGAGTTGTTAGGCCATAAAGTAGACCTGAACTTTGTACAGAACAGCCCAGCCGTGAGGCTAGATAAAGATTGATAGAAAATGAGACTGAATGTAGCTCAATAGTATTAAAATACGTCGAAGCACTCCGCGCTTCTCTACGTTTTCGTGTCGAAAATCTAGGACCTCTCCGAAGGTTAGGGGAAAAGGGGTAAGTAGAAATCGACGCTTGATTGAACTGCGAAGAGAGATTAATTAGTAATCGACTCTTAATTAAACGGGGAGAAACTGACCTTAATTAAACGGAGAGAAACTGGCCTCGATTAATCCGTATATGAATAGAATTAAAATAGTATTAAACATGTTAGTAGGTACTTAAATAGTAATATATGGATGCCGTTGCGTATACTGCAGTTTTATTAAATACATTCCTTTTAAGCGGGTCCTACGAACTTTTAACTAATTAAAACGCGTATATAAACTTTTAACTAATAAAAATAAAGTATCTTTTAAATAATTACGTATTTATAAAGGTATTTAACTTTATAATTAATTAATATAATAGAGATTTTAACGTATTATAACTATCCTTTAGATAGAATAATGTAAACATATTTACAGTATTTTATTTTAGGTAGTTTATATTATGAAGTTTAAGTTGAGTATGAGAACGATACTATTTTAAGAATATGTAATACCTAGGTAATGGTATCTAATTTTTTAAAATTTGAGCTACCCCGCGTGTGCGATTTTGTCAACTACCCCTCCGTAGGGTCCTTGACTTCGTCTTGATCAAAAAATGGCGAACAGTAGCAGCGAGTCTAGTGCGTATCACCCCATAACCGCGCATTGCTCCGTCAACGGTGAACTAACCACCGCTGCCCGGAATACATAGTCAATCTCGACAGCCTGAGCGCTCCGCAGCTGAGCCAGGTAAAGAAGCAGCTCGACGAGGAATTGGAGCACCTCACGTCCTCGTTCGCCCAGCTGCACGCCGCTCAGTCCCGTTTTCGGGAATGCCTGCGCTGCCTTCAAGACAAGAATAAGTCGGCCGTCCTCCGGGGTACGTCCGCGCCCTCTCTCGAGTCGGCACGTAGTCTAACCAGCTCCGTAATCGACAACAAAATAGAGAATAGCTCAATCCTGGTGCCGCTCACCAACTCGCTCTACGTGCCCGGCACCCTCTCGAGTGCATTCCATGTGATCGTTGATATCGGTACCGGATTCTATGTTGAGAAGGTAATAATTGCCGGTAGACGACCATGCACCCCGCGCCAGAGCTGACGTGGGTCGGTAGGAGCTGAAGTCGGCAGCGGATTTCTACGAAAGCAAGGTGGGGGAGCTTGGAGGAAATATTAGGGATCTAGAGGCCATCGTGCAGGGCAAGACGAACAACGTTCGTGTCATCGAGGAAGGTACCTATGTTGTCTATGCTGTCTATCGACCATCGTATCTTTCGTACGAGCCATGACTGACGTGACGGCCTGTTTAGTTCTAAGACAGAAGATGGCTATCACGGCCCATCAAACACCACCGCCATAGACTGCGCGACGGAAGCTTTCGGTTTCTCATACTTAGGCAATTCCCGGCTCGTGTCCCCTAAAGAAGGGATCAAGAGTATCACGAACATCCATCACCACATGCAAGAAATTTGCAACTCTATCAACACCCTGGGGTCTTGTGGTTTGTCCGCCGTCCTCAAGTAGGAACTGGAGTTCCTCGCCCCAGATGTTCCCGGCGGCTTGGTCATCTAAGTCCCAATCTTGACCATAAATAGAGACACCGAGATCAATAATAGGTGGCGCCCGGCCGACCATCGCGGCGATGTCACTCCATCGATGATTAACTGCAATTTCAACGATGTATGTTGTAGCCTTCCACCGGAACCGGTAGACGGTTTTCATAATAGCATCCTTGAGTTTTCCCGCTATTGGGTTGCGGCGATCAAGAGCCACGAGTGGGTAGACGTCGAAATCATGGGCTCGACCGAGGTCTTCCATGTGGACCTTGGCGGACCGCAGGTACTGAACAATGTCCTGGGAGATTTTCGCGTGCTTCTCCTCTCTGATGGCCCGTAATGCCCAGTCGAGCTCCCTGATGCCATGGTTATATCCTGTCCACGCCTGTGGTGTTGGGAATTTGACTGTGAAACTTACTTTCCTACGCTTAAATTGGTAATTTCAAGCTCGGCGGCGTTGGGATCTGTTTCCGAGGCCGCTACGCGGTACATCTGACAGGTACCATGCCTTCTCGCGCGAGCTGTGGTTATGATCGATACATCGAACTTGAAGTTTTGCGAGTGTACCTCAAATAAGTAGTCGGGTAGGACGTCTGTCGGTGACGAGGCCTGGTTGCTAGTTGGCTGGAAGGGACTGTTTGAGCCATTCCTGACGAAGTCCAATACCCTCTCGGCAGTCGTTTCGTCTCCTATCCTACACAACAGTCAGCCGTGCTTGGTTTATCTCCTTACCTTCGGGTGTGCCTAGGTGCTTACCAAGTCTTTAACCGGCCAGAAACACGAGGATTCTTCATCATGGCGTGGAAGTCGCCATACTGGTAGACCTCCTTACCTCGCGGGTATGCCTCCAGGAAATAATGGCCTAGGTGAATTCGCAATGTTAGCAGCAGAGGAAATCTGCCGGCCTTCTTCAGTCCTCTATAAACGCTGTTGGTGAGGCTCGAGACGTATTCTTGGAAGCCTGGTTGGGATCCCGGATTCGCGGCATCTCCCCGTGGCTGGAGCCTCGGGCGCACACTAGAAGGGAGCAAGCCGACATTCAGGAAGACCCGAGCATCATTCTTGAGACCGGCGGGCGGCTCCTGGAAAATCCTTGATGCGCCGCTAGCTTCATCGGAAATCAAATCATCGGCTGAATCTCGTGCCGCCTGTACGAGCTCCGCGATGCTCTTCTCGGTAGAGGCGATGATGCGTAGATACGGGCCTTCGGAGCTGTGGCAAAGTTCAAGGGCACAATCGTTACGTGCCCGGGACAGTTCCTTATAGATGGCCTCGATTATATCTGAAGCCGAGTCTTGAGTATGTACGATGATAAAGTTGGCCTGAGCAAGGGGAGGAGCGGGGAGACGACGAGAGAAGCGTATTAGCCAACGGATTCCTGGCGTCCCTGGTGGTAAGAGGGCATACCTGGGCCTTTTTGGCGGTCGTGGGGTGACTACGCATCTTGACTGCGGTGGTATCGCGCACAGTGATGCCTCTTGACTGGTCTGGGGGGGGGAGAGGAGTGGGCAGAGCAGCTGGTTTCGCACGGCTCGACCCGACTTGATACGACTTCTGGGTTAGCTGGGCATCGGAGACGTCATCGTGGGTTGTCGGCGCGACGGATAGTTCACCGACATCGCCCATAGTTCTGCCGGAGCTGGCTTTGCCTGGTGATTCCTGTGAGGCTGATAGATGATCGGCACCAGGGCTCAAGACAGGGCAGGCTTGAAGTGCAGCTTCCTCGTGGTCAGAGCTTCCGAGGAGGTCACCTAGGGGCGTGATACAGCCTGGCTGGCCACTGCTGGACGGCGATGTGTCACTAAGCATGGTGAGAGCCGTGTATGAGCTTTGTCAGGGGCAGCATCAGGAGCATTGATAGGGGATAACGATAGGGGATAGATGTCAAGGGGGGGAGGTAGAACATACATGTCAATTAGAAGCCCCATGCTAGCTTGCTTCTGCGGGTTTCCTACGAGATTTCTGCCGGCAGAGAGCACGCACTCCCGACCTGTATCAGGCAGGAGACGAATCGAAGTTAGCTATGAGGGCAACAGGTGTAGATAGGTATGTGAGGGTGTGGGTGAGTTGTCTGCGTAGTCTGTCCTCGAGCTCGGGAGCTGGGAGGGCGGTTCGAAAGTGCTTAATTATGCTAGTTGGCCCTATGCATTCCAAGGCAACCCGCGATTTCCTAGAGATCAGAGGGGAGGAGGCACCTGCCCACAGGAATGCAGAGAGATGGGCAGGCAGGTACAGATGTACCTGGGTTTAGGCAGGTGTAGGTGTACATAGTTTTAGCTGGGAGGCAAGTAAGTACCTGAGGTATACCTACATCTCCTAGAGGCAAGTACTTGACGCTGCTGATATGGAGAAATCGGGTCGTAGATGCCATGTCATTGGCGTCTCGAAGTTGTGCCTGCCTTTCGAGGCCCCGGCTCCCTCCTGCCCACCTAGACGCCGCACACGTGCCCACGCACACCGTATTGTATGTGGTTAGATTAAGTTGCCGTTTAGTGCTTCCTTGCGTGTGTCTTGGGAGCACACACCACGTGACTGGAGTTCGACCTCATGGTGTCAATAGGTGTAAAGGTCGAGTACTTGAAGTGAGTCACAGATGCATCTCGATAATGGCTATGGACATAGCTTAGAAACTATCGCAGTATGGCGTCCACAACCCGAAGCAACGTCATAGAGGCCCATCGAGAGCTTTAACGCTATAAGCACACATTAAACAGGAGATGATTCATGCCCACGGGAGCCGACTGATCAGTTGTGAATTATACCTACTTGAAAACTCATTGGGGCTGACATGCTGATGTACACACGCACACCAAATCTACCCGCAAAGTCCATACCCAGATCTCATCACGTAACTCCACACAAACTTCGTCTGAACAGGCCATCACTGATGGGTCATGAGACCACCCGGCTCAACATCTTTTCTCAGTGGCTATGGAGACCTCTTTGATATAGCATCTGTAGTCAGCAACTTCTCACACATAGGCAGTCGGCGGCTCATACCGTGCAGCAATATCCCTTCGATAGAATATGTCCTTAAATCGAATGCTTTCTACACCCCTATATGCCAAAGACACTGCTTCCTCGAGGCTGGGTCCGTAAGCGGCGACGGAGAAAACACGCCCACCGGCCGTTTTGAGCTCGCCATTGGTGTTTCTCTCAGTCCCTGCATGAAAGACCTGGACGCCTAGAAATACAAGACTTAGAAATAGAGCACCGTCATGAAAGATGAAGAGAGAATAAACCTTCAGGGTATGGCCCTAACTCTATAGTATCTCCTTTGGAATAAGATTCTGGATAGCCACCTGCTGCGACGACGACATTGCAGGCGTAACCGGGGAGAAGCAGAATAGGCACTGTGGCCAGTTTGCCCATGGCACAGGCAAATAAGATAGCGGCAAGGTCGCATTCTGGTGCCAGAAGCATCATCATCGTCTGAGTCTCGGGATCGCCGAATCTAGCGTTATACTTTAGGACCTTTGGTCCCGTTTTTGTCAACATGATGCCGGTGAAAAGCATCCCTGTAAACGGCCGGCCTAATTACTTTGGGAAGTCCGCTTGTCCCTCCATTTCCTGGCACAACGTAGACGTGTTCGACCAATGGACTCTGGGTTAATTTCCAAGCTAGACTATGTTCGCGACCCCCCTTTCCGACGAGGAGGATCTTGAGGCTGGTGTCGTCCATGGCGGATTGGAAAGAAATTTGAGAGATAAGCTATCGTTGCTCAACAGCAGCTACAGAAAGGGAATAGATAAGAGGATGCGACCGATTAGCGAAGTTGCGCTGCAACCCTTTTCGGCCCCGATACATTGCGATTTTATCAAGTGGATCCTAATATACCCATCTGGAGGTTCGTTGGATCCGGTGGGTATTACATAAGTATTCACTACAGTACATGCAAAGCTTGCTTCGGCATTAGCTACCCCGGTATTCCGACCGTCATGAATAGCCGGGGTGGAGTACCTTACAAGAATGGTCTCGTTAAGGGGTGGGGTGTTCCGGCCTCGGCGATGGCATTACAAGACTCGTCTAATAGGTATCCGATGTAATGCTATGATTCCCCGCGTACGAAACTCCCTTCCAGACGGCAATATATCATATACCGATAGCCCCTAGAGTGTGAATGCTGCTCGTACCTGGCCCAGAGGGTGACAATTCGATTCGCGGTCAGATTCTATAGTCTTGGATCTTTGCTGTTCTGGTTTCTCGTCAGGGCAGACTTCTTCTCCGTCTTAGCTGTTCACCGGTGGCGCCAGTCCGACCATCCCGCCGCAGCCTACACTGTTAAAAATGGCCACCACGACACTGAAGATCGCTGTTATACCCGGCGACGGTATTGGCACGGAAGTGATGCCGTACGGTGTTCGGTGTCTCAAAGCCGCTGCCAAAGTATTTAATATCACGTTAACCTTCGAGACGTTCAATTTTGCTAGTTGTCCCTTTTACGAGGAGCATGGAGACATGCTTCCGCCAGACTGGAAGGAAACACTTGTCGGTTTCGACGCCATATATTTTGGGGCGGTTGGCATGCCGGATCTCGTCCCCGACGACGTGTCTCTGTGGGGAAGCCTGTTGAAGTTTAGGCGTGAATTTGATCAGTATATCAATCTGCGTCCATGCCGGCTCCTAGCTGGAGTCAACTGCCCGCGTGCGTATCCCACCTGGTATCACCCGTTTCTATCTCCGCCCCCGTCTTCAATATGAAGTCTATATCTGCTAACTCTGGGGGTACTTCGTAAAGTGAGTGGCCGGAAGCCTGGAGATATCGACTTCTGGATTGTCCGTGAGAATACCGAGGGTGAATACAGTAGTATTGGGGGGAAGATATTTGAGGGTACCGATCGCGAAACGGTTATCCAGGAGACTGTCATGACCAGGACCGGTGTCGATAGGGTCCTCCGCTACGCCTTCGATCTAGCGCAGAGCCGACCGCGAAAACGGCTCACTAGCGCGACGAAGAGCAACGGAATCAGCATCACGATGCCTTATTGGGACTCCCGGGTCCGTGAAATGGCGCGTGGGTATCCAGATGTACATGTAGAGAAGTTCCATATCGACATACTTACCGCCCATTTCGTCCAGAAACCGGACATATTCGACGTAGTCGTCGGCAGTAACTTGTTCGGGGATATCTTATCCGACCTTGGCCCCGCCTGCACTGGCACTATCGGAATTGCTCCTTCGGCCAACATCAATCCAGATCGTCGGTTCCCAAGCCTCTTCGAGCCAGTCCACGGCAGCGCACCCGACATTGCTGGCAAGGGCATCGCGAACCCGGTTGGCATGATCTGGGCTGGCCAGATGTTGCTTCAACATTTCGGATATGACGCCGCAGCCACGGCGATGCTCGAGGCAATCGAACGCGTCCTGGCACGAAAGGACCCTTTTATTATCACAGCTGACATGGGCGGTAAAGGGACAACTAAGAGTCTAGGGGAGGCTATCGAGGCTGAGATCCTCTCGGGTAAAAGGGGGTAACCCCCTCAGCTATGCATGTCGGCCGTCGTTCGACCGGGAGAGCGACGGGCCTCTGATCACGGTGGTTCAGCGGAGCTTTGGCCGGTTCGCCTATTGATCCGTTTCAACTCCCTCTCTTTCCGTCTACCTCTATACATCTAGTCGGTTCACTGGTGTCTCTCCATCATAGCCCATGCCAACATACTACCTGACTCCCCGGCTAACAAACTCGAGATTCTACATTCGATGCACATACGCGCCAACTTGTGTTAGATTACGGGTACATAAACTGACTCCTACCACATTTTGTGGTTAAGTTTGGTAAGGGCCTCGCATATCAGTTAATATTCTAAGCTGTGCGCTTGAGAAGAAGGCAGCATCACGGGCTCTCTGTGTATAGGTGGCTACTCCCGTTGTCATATTCCTCCAAGAAAATCTCTTCTCTATTACACTACTACACCCAACTCTCCTGCTTTACGTCACCGTTCACATGGAGTTCCCTTCGAACGATGTGATAGGTATTCAAGCAATACTAGAATTCAGTAGAGTTAGACATTTAACCAATTGTATAATATCAATTTATAACTGTTTATTTATATATGCTACCCAAAATATGTGTTCAATAGGGCCCCTATCACCCCATTTGCTTCCTCCAGCCTATATATGCCTGCATATAGGGATCTTAAGGCCGTGCTGCGTGTTCTACAGGCGCTACATACATCTTCGTGGCATTATACCGTATATCCTTGGCCCCCATATTGAAACAGCTGTGTTACCACTGATCAATTGCAAGCCGCGGAGGGGAAACATGGACCCTGTTAAACAATTTGTTGGGGCAGGCCCTTCCCATCAACTGGAGCGCACTCTCGGGCACACCCATGGCGTCTTCTCCGAGCCGTATGTCGCTGCCAGAGGGCGATATCACGAGGGCTAGCTACCTATTTCATCGGTATCTGGGGTCTTGGTAACCAAGATAAAGGATGTGGGAGTTGGGGTGACGAAGTCACATCTCTATCGATTAAAGCTGGTGTGCACCTAGGCATAGTGCCGGGAAGAGATTCGTTGCTCTAGGAGAGCGAATGGAGGCGAGGGGACGGAGAGAAATATAAAGAGAGCCTAAGCAGACAATGCCGTGTCCTCTCACTCAGGAGAAACTTGAATTTGAGCCCCTCCTAACCCCTTATCTCCGCTCGAAAGGGAGGGTTGAGCCCACAGCTAGTATAACGGGCGTCATGGGTGTTCGATCAATGGCTTGTCTCTGTATATGTATAGCGTAAGGGGATCAAAACTGGTCCCAAGTGCTTTTTCATGGGTATATGGGCACAATACCCACGCTGATATTCCGTCTCGATGTACACTTCAATTATATATACACCTATATGGCTTGTACCCATAGATACCTTAGGTGCTCTGGGTAGGTATCTGCTCGCCCCTTGTTCGTGTGGTAAGTTGATTAGCGTAAGGTGCGTGGTGGACAGACCGTATATTTGTTACATTTACATGTAGCTGGACCTTCGCCTAGGAGGCAAAGGGATGGCTACCTAATAAGACGCTACGCTCTACTTGGACACCCTCGGAGCTATGTACTCATCTATCGTATACACATCTTTTGAGGCCACTGTATCGAGATCGAGACCGCATATCGTGTAGATATTGCTCCTCTGTTTGCAGGTGGGCACGGTAGGACTGAGAATGTGTATGTACACGGGAAGTAAAACCTAGTATACCTTTGGCTAGAGACATAGCTCCATGTAAAACGCCTGGGTGAGAACGTCTCCTGATATATAATCTTGGAGTTCGGATGTCGACTGTTGACGTGTCTCAAGTAACTTGAACTCTTATAAACATCTGGTGAGTCTTCGTTATCCATGCTAACCCCCCAATGTCTTACGCGGGTATACAAACACATATGCTCCCTCCCTCTCCCACGCCACCTCTTTACCACACACATTTATATATAGACATCCGCGGACGGACGGGGAAAGGAAAAGGAGTAACGATACTACCGTTCGGGATAGTCAGAAAACCCGGCAGTTGGACCGTCCCGGTTTAGCAAGTACGAAAACTTATCGGGGTGTCCTAATAGAGCGGTTGGGATGTCACTGTTGTTCTCTATTCTTTCATATTCTTGCCCCTCCCGATCCCAGAGGTCCTTCCCGCCCCTCACGCGATCCGCAATACGGTCCCGATCACGGTAAGCCTCCTGGTTGAGCCAGATATGGGAGAAGGACGCCAGCTTAGTCAGGACCTCACTGACCGTAGAGAAACATGTAGAACAATGCCACCCGGCATTCCACAGTTCGCCCTTTTCCAACCCGATCAAGGGCTGGATGCCGCCGTCCGAGTTGCGCAGATTCACGGGCAGGATCGTCCTCCAGCCTTGGTAGTACGTCGCCTGAGGATGGGGCCACTGAGGACCCTTGTGCATATACTGAAAGCTATAGTAATAGAAATGGCTCCGAAGCGTAAGTCGACGCGGGAAGCTGCAGGATTTAAGCACGACAAGCGTCTCCGGGCGAACGATCTCATCCACGTCAGCGACGATGATGACATCGCCATGTATGGGTGCCTGTGCCCCCCTCAAAGCTGGGAACACTTGCTTGTATGTCGCGTCCCTCTGAAGATCCTCCCACGCCCAGGAGGGGTTGGGCCTGTCCGAGTGGAACCCTTCGGGGATCTGGAGCTCGTGATAGATGACCTTGTCGCGGTACGGGGCAAAGCGGGCCATGTTGTCCTTGATGACTAGGGGCTTATCGTGGTTGGTGAAGGTCTTCTTGGACTCGACAATGATGAAGTAGTCGACATGATGGTAAGTGGTATTGAGACGAATTTCCAACCAGTCCAATTCGGTGTTGACCATGATAAGATCATAAACCTTCCGCTGGGCGGGCTGAGCGTAGGGAGGCCAACCGTGCTGTCGGCATAAATCCAGCACGTGGGCGGCATTTGACAGATCAATCTGTTGCGGGTTGAATCGCGACACGTGATGAACGGACCGGTTGGCCCAATTGGCGTTCAGCCAGAGCAACAGGAGACAGGCGAAAACGATCGCGAGGGCGAGGCGAGTTGCTAGCCTCCGCCTATCGGGACGGAAGGGAGCGGTCATTCTACCGATGCCATAGAGACGCAACATCCGGCAGAAGAACCGTAGGTAAAGAGTTAAGCGCCGGACCGAGTCCGTCCTGGGGCTTTCGATCCCTTCTCCGCCGTTCTCCCGGAGATGGCTATTGAGACGAGTAAGGCGTGTGCGAGCGCGTGCTTTATATAGGTTGGCGTTACTGAAGTATTGCCGTCGGTAACGTGGATAGGCAGCGTGAGCGAGAGAGCCACGCCAACCGCCAGGCTTCTCCTGGCCTCGCCTGGGCCAAGGACTCCTGGCCCGAATCTCCATGGCGCCAACTTCCAAGACCTTCTCGTCGGCTGGGCGCCTGACCCAACCTTGCCGATTTGAGCAATGTAAAAATTGCAAGCTTGGCAATGAAGACACCTTCCCAAGCCTGGGGTTATCTACCTATACATGGCCTTTCAATACAAAAGATGGCGGATTCATCAGGCCTCACGCTTTAAGCGCCATACAGGGAGGGGGGTCTATCGACACTATGTCCGCAATCGTTTCTATGGCTGGATATGATGTCTGCATGGACATTAGAGTAAATCAAACACCAGCCTAACATTATTACCATCTACCAACGTAGTCACTACTTGTGCGTAATGTCACTATTAAAAAAAAAGGTAGGTAATTTGCGGACGACATCCCGCCTTTGGATGGGGGCCAACGCTATGATGGACCAGGCAAAACAGCTTGTGTTTGGTTATTGAACCTCCCCAAATGCAACCCCACCTCCTTCACAATTGCCTCGTGGTGCACCTCAGGTTCTGCCTCCATCCCCAACACACACGTTGTAAATTGGATGCGACCCTAAACCGCAGCCCGCAAACGAACAGCTGTGTCCTAAGTAGGTTGGAGGAATTCGTATTCCTGTCACAGTGACCCGCCATCGACAGGACCCCAAGAATGGTTGGCTGCCTTCTGGCTGTCACGGTGTAGCTGAAGGAACCTTGTATTGGTATGGGATTGACGGGGGCACCGGCGAGAGACGTGGCAAGTTCGTCACACTGCTTCCGCGTCACAGGTGGATGTGACGCAAAGAACTCATTAATAGTACCTATCCTCCAGGGAATAGAGGACGGGCTCCATGGGCGAGATATAAGACTTCCTAGCATGCGTAATATACAAGATTGATGGACGAGTATGTGATGTGGAATTGGACGAATGTGTCTACCCATCCAAGTTGTCCGATCGGATGACTTGGGTGATTTCCTACCCTTCCATCCTTTGTTATCTTGGCTAGAAATCCTCTTTATCTTTCCACCACGTAGATTGTTCTAGTCTCTCGGTGGCTAAGGTACATACGTATCAAGTCGAATCAACGAACAGCCATAAGCATCCGGCCCAGCCATTTCGAAAATCCAGGTGAGATTCGGTGGACCTAGCTACCTTTGCTCGATCAACCACAGCCATGGACCCGAAAAACAGCATGAACCTGGCCATTATCCCGCCTCAGTTCCTCCAAATTCCTTTAGCCTCGTCGAGTACCTCACCTGCAGAGAACCCAGGCTCCGGCCCGGGAATTTCTCTGTGTGCAGTCCGGGGGTCTCTCGCCAGCAGAGACCATCTTTCTTCAGTTTGGCGAGATGCTGATCCTCCCTAGGTGTGAGCTTTAACCCCCTCGCTAGGCACCCTCGCCTAGTTGCCTTAACTTTCTTTGACGCGGCGAGAACATGCTCGGGATTACCGGCCTTTCCATGGCGTTTCGTACACGAGTCCCACTCAAACTGCGGGGAGAAAACCGCCTTGCTGCCTTGAGTGACGCGCTTCAGAGTCGCATTTTGGAGCGGCCACTCTTCGTACTTCGCACGAGGGCCTGCGCCCCCGTCTGTATCCGACGGGTCATCCGAAGTGAGGTATCCAGCGGTAGACTTAGCCTGTACTGACGTTTTGGCGACTCGGGAAGAGGGCGATGGGTTGCCTGGCCAAGAGCGTCTTGAATCGATCGACGTAAGACGGGGAGTCCGTGATACTTTGCGACGCTTGTATGACCGCAAAGGCGTCTCCGTCTCACTCTCGCTACTCTAGAGATGCTATGAGGGGGTGGCGTGGGCATCTTGTATCGCTTGAGCGGTCGCTGCGGTGCTGTCCTGTGCTGGATCGTAATCCTCTTCGTTCTCGTCCTCCTCCTCTGCAAGAACTGGCCAGGTCTAGTTTATCCTCACTGCTGTCGCTGACATCTTCGAGCGGCCCCGCGGCCTCATTTTCGCCTTCGCCCTTGCCGTGGTAGGGAGCATCAGCGCATTTTGGATTGGCTATCGCGTCGGTATCGGTGGCGTACGGCGTCTCCTCCTCGTTCTCGGTCGCCTGCTCTTCGGGGTTTCGAGTATCTAAGCAAGCTGGAGTGGCCGATGGAGGATCTGGTGCTGCATCAAGGCTGGATGGTGATGTGACTGGTCGTGTCTCGGAGCCCTCTGCGGAGGAGGCTTGTTCGAATACTTCGGCAATCGGATGCGTTGCAACGGGCTCGCGAGGGGCGCCAAGCGCTGGACTCTCTAGAAATAAATGTCAGCAGTTGGCGTACTTATCAAGTTGTCGTGGGAATTGACCTAGTGGTGGCAGGCGGTCGTGGGTGGGCAATTTGGTGGGGTTGCGACGAAGGCAGTGTGGGCGATTGGGCCAATCAGACGATGCCGCCGAAAGGGGGCACGAGCAGCGACTTCGCTTTTACTATAAGTATTTTATACCTCATGAAAGCGTTCGTTATTATTACCTTGTTTGAAGGTCATATCTATACCGTGTTAGTATCATAGACATACTGTCGATAGACACCTACCTTCTGCTATCGTACGTAGGTGCTTATCTCTCTTAAGTTATATCTCCGCAGCGAAATCGGATTCGGGGATATGTCTTTTAGCAAGCAAGTTGGAAGTTGGTAGGCCACAGTTATACGGCGGTATCCCATGGGCCATGGGTCGTTTAAGGAGCCCGTTGTTCAGGGCACTTTTTACCAAAGCCGCCCAAGTAAACGACAGGTCTGCGTGGCGACGTTGTCGGGCAGTGCAAAAATCGGCCACCCCGCCACTGCTACCAACACGCTTCTCCACGTACAATATCCGTGCAAGTCGCTCTGATAACTCGTCTCCTGCCTCGCGCCCTATGCAACACTCCGACAGTGCCTCGGCCGGCAGCTGGCTGGGCCACCAAGGCGCCGCCGCCTTCGATTTCAGGAGTAGGGCAGTTCCTAACCCCCCCCCTTCCTCCCATTATTGAACTGCCAAGGTCTGACTGCCGAGTCCTGTAGGCGATACGATGACCACACCAACTAGTGCCATGCTGCTTGCGATCCAGAAGACCACGTTGCTGGATGATGTCTTCGAAGAGGACCCGACCACTATAGACCTAGAGGCCCACGTCGCCTCGCTTACGGGCAAGGAAGCTGGTCTGTTTGTGCTTTCTGGCACCATGGGCAACCAGATCGCACTGCGTTCTTTGCTCAGGCAGCCGCCATATGGTGTGTTATGCGACCACCGCTCGCACATTGTCAAATATGAGGCTGGAGGGTAAAGAGCCGACCTCATCTCGCCATGTCTCGCCATGTCTCATCTGAAGCTAACTGCACGCCCACGGCTCATAGCGTATCGTCATTAACCGGCGCAATGGTCTCCACAGTGGCACCCAAAAACGCCACCTACCTGACCTTAGAAGATATCCAGTCCAAAGCCGTCCTGGGTGATGAAGTCCACTCCTGCCCCACGTGTGTCATAAGCCTCGAGAATTCGCTGAATGGCTTGATCATACCGCTGGCCGAGGTGAAAAGGATTTCCGAATTCGCGCGAGAGCATGGGATTATGATGCACTGCGATGGTGCTAGACTGTGGGAGGTTGTCGCTGCCGGCGCCGGATCCCTACGAGACTTCTGCCAATACTTCGACACCGTCTCCCTATGCTTTTCTAAGGGCCTGGGCGCACCGATTGGGAGCATCCTCGTAGGCAGCAAGTCTCTCATCAAACATGCGAGGTGGGTGCGTAAGTCGATCGGAGGCGGTCTGCGCCAATCTGGCGTCGTCACTGCTGCTGCCAGAGTTGCAGTCGACGTGACGTTTGGAAAGGGGCCGGACGGCGAAGGCGGGCTCCTCAGAGACACCCACGCCACGGCAAAGCGTGTCGAGAAGCTGGTACGTAACCTTGAGATTTTGCCCTCGGCTGGTACGACCACTGGTTGGCGGAGTAAGACTCGCCGGTCTCGATAGGTGGCGCCCAATTACCTATTCCACGGCCTGTTCGTTAATAGAGAATGCTGACTCTAGGTGTCGTAGTGGACTGGTCTAGGTGGTAGGATGGAGTGCCCCGTCCAGACGAACATGTGCTGGCTAGATTTGAAGTCCATGAACTGCTCCGTTTCTAGATTTGTTGAGTTGGGTAACCAGGTAGGCCTTAAGTTGATGGGCAACCGTCTTATAACGCATTATCAAATTGGCGAGGAGGCTATCCAGAGACTGAGCGGAATCTTTGAGACGATCTCTCGGGAGAAAGAGGGTCCCGAATACAAAACAGATAGTCAGACGCACCAGTATGGGCCTTACGGGGTGTAGTGGCGGGAAGACAGCGCAAACCGAGCGGGTGAGCCGGAGTTCTGAGCCCTAGCTAGGTTCTGCTTCCAAAGAGGTAGTTGCTATATCGGCAAGATATCGTCGAGGAAAGGAATCCAACTTCTCGACGATGTCTTCCAAACCCAGCAGTGACCAGCCTTATTGGACCTCCTTCGCGGTTGTACGGCTAGCAAGTCGTTGACCGCGCCCGCCTATCCCTCCGGCCCCCGACCCGGTGTTGTGACGCATATATGTGACAAATCTACCTAGTCCGGACGACGTACCAACACAAATGTCATTGAACTGACTGGCGCGCACTCTCCCTCGTCGCAGATTTAGAAATAGACATATAGCTGTTCTTCTCAGGCCAAGGCTCCATGGGCGAGGCGTCATAATCAACCCAAGAACTAAACCCTCGCTCCCCACCCCAGTCCTGTTTCAATATCACGTAACCCTTGACTCGGAGGCGTCCGTCTCTCCTGCCGGCCGGTTCTCTTTACACCTCCGTCTTTCCCACGAGGTGTTTATATACGGTTCAGATGCGTAGCCTTGCACAGCCAGTTCATCGTGCGAAGCGCTCTCGACGTGGGATGTAAATCCGCACTCCCGCGCTTTGTCGAGCGAGCCCAAGCAGATCGCAACGAGGTGGTATTCGTTGTAGTTGTTTTTCGTTTCGGGGGTATTATGTGTAAAGTTGGCAGTTATAAGCAATGGATGCGATCCCACCCCCCTGCTCGTTATGCTCGAATGGTATTTTTTGCTGTCTCTGTCGAAAAGATGCTGCCAAACGCCGAGAGAAAGTCACGATGGTGTAAAGTCATTACCATAAAACCCACCAAGGGCCTGAAACCCACCCGGTCTCTTCCTTAGGACTTCTTGCTGAAGATTCCCCTGCTCTTTGACTTGCTCCGGGGACGCTTTGATTTCGTGTCGCTGACGTCGTCGCTATACTTTGCTTTGTGTATCCTACGAGGAGGCCATGTTAGCCGCGAACAATACTCTCTAGAATTGATGGGGACCAACCAGCTATTCCCTGGCATACTCATGCCTTTGGCCTCAGCCATGCGATAAAATTTGGCGCTCTTCTTGAGATCCTTCTTGCAACCGATGCCCTGGGCGTAGCAGAAGCCCGCCTCTGCAAGAGCATCGACGTCGCCCCAGCCTGTACCTACAGTCAGAGCTCTGCTTAAATTGTTTTCGGGGACATATATTAGTCGACTTACTCCCGGCAATCTCGAAGCATCGTAGAGCAAGTGCTTTATCCTGCTCGATCCCCCAGCCGTTCATGTGACTAACACCCAATTCGTAGATGCTTAAAGCAAATTGGGCTTTACGCGTTTTTCGATCCATGAAGTCTACCGATTTGCCCTCTTTGACGTGATCTTCGTCGTCCGCAATTTCGGCGCTGACGACCTCCGCAGCCTTGCGCAACCACTCGACACCTTCCCGTTGGTTCGGGCGCATACCCCATCCATGTCTACAGGCCAGCGCGTATAGAAGCATCCCTGTTGGATCGCCAGCACGTGCAGCAAGCCGCAGATGGTAGGTAGACTCATTTACTGATCCCTCCTCGTGGCACTTGATCCCTTTGGCCAGGTGCTCCTCTGCGCTCATTTCGGCTGCGGTTGGAGCGTGCGGATGCTGCGGCTTCGTTGGTTTGATGGTACTAGCAGAGTCGCTTGTCGATATCGATATCGGCGTCCGTCCGCGGGTTTGGTCATGAGGGGGCGGCGTCACGGAACGTCCTCCAGACAAGTCTTCCGATGGTCTATCCCCAGCCGATGCGCGACTCGGTCCAGGGGACGGCGACCTCCCATCCGGCGACATTTCATTGGCAAGCTTGCTTCGTTCTATGGACGGGCGAGCTGGAGGAAGCTCGGCTGTAAGCGGTGCTTCCTGGAACCTCGAAGAAGAACTCGATGGGCGGCTGGGTGGTGATGGTGGGGCTTGATCAGCCCCAGGAAACGACTGGACATTGCTTGAAGGCGCGACTGGGTGTTCCCAGATGGAGGTCGGCGGGTCTGCGTCGTGGAAGACGACTGAGTTACGTTGCAATGCCTTACCCCTAGGTAGTGAGTACTTAGAGTAGATATAGGACGAGGCGCCTCCCCTCCCATCATCCAACAAACCACCCTCCGAAAACGACTCGCTATGCAGGCTGACCGGTGTGTGTGCAGTATCGTCGGCAAGAATGAAGGACGGCTGGCTGTCGGACGAGGCTTGCCGAGATGGCGCATCCAAGCCCGGCGTGCCTGTGCGGCTCAGTGGGCGAGAGAAATTAAAGGAAGGTCGAGGCAGCGGCGCAGAAGCCTCAGAACTAATCGAGGGGGATCTCTGGTAATGAGCAATTGGCGATGCAAGTCCTGGCCCCGAAAAGGCACTGCTCGAGGACAACTTTCGGCCAGGTTGCGAGTGAAAAGAAGCACTTAAGGCCTCATCGCTATTGGAATCAAGGGGTGCCGACATTATGCTGGACGAGCGCTTAGGAAATAGAGGAGGCCTCGGCGGCACTAACCCAGCGGATTCGTGTGAAGGTGTTTTGGTGAGCTTCTCTGGTGACGGAGGAAAGTGGCCACGGCTAGGCGAAATATCTCGAGCGTCCATATGTTCCATTGATTTGCGCCTAAGTCCTCTCTCAATTGTGTTCTCTAAGCTGCCAGGTGATTGTTCCCTGCGAGCGCCATATAAGCCACCGTCCTCTTCTAGCCGTTCAAGCTGCCGGCCCCGCATATATTCTGCGAATGGGTTCGGAGGCAGAGGTATGGATTGATCCGGTGTAGGGGGTATGCGGCTCATTCGGGGGTGCATCGAAACGGGTCGTTCTGGCGGAGTTTCTATCTCTGTAGTCAGACCGAGGCCAGCATTTGGCTTTGGCGACTCAAGTTGATCTTCAGAGTCGTAGGACATGGAACGAAAATACTCTGAACGGCCTTGGACGATCAAAGGGCTTTCCGTGGTCAATGGGGGCAAGCGACTCATCCGCCTGCCGGCTTTGGCACTGTCTTCAAGCTGCTTAGCAAGCAAGCGGCTCTGCGCTGCGAAGGCATCGAGGGGGGACAAGGCGGGAGGAACCTCTCCTGCGACGTGTAAGCGTGGCGATTTGAGGGGGCGCAAAGAAGCGCTGGCGACGGAGGCTGAGGAATTAGCCCTCAGATCGATGAAGTTAGGTCGGTTCGCCATCGCGAAGGGGGATGGATCGGGTTGAAGTTCTCCAGTGCTGTAGGACCTCCGTCTCGAACTGAAAGGTATTTGGTGTCCCGTGTTCGATTCGGCTCGCGCAACTAGGCTGAGCCAAGTCGAATGGGGTACAATTCAGATTCAGGCCTAACCCTAGGTGAATGACGGGCACAAGTCGGGGGTGGAGACGGTTTTCGCGATATCCACCTAGTGCACGAAACACGAGGTTTGAATTGGATTGACTCTGCGGGAGGTCTAGATAGAGGGCGGGATGCGACAGGAAGGCAGGGTCGACGTGATGAGGGATCCGAATATGCCCAGCAGACCGCTGGTGCCTGAGAGACGCTCGGAATATACTACGCGAGGGCCGGTAGACAGACAGAGTATTGCCTCGAGTATAGAGTTAATGTAAAGCATCAATGGCAGAATGTTTAAGGGATAGAGAGAGGGGAATGAATACAGTGAAATCGGAAGCCAACGAAAAGGATGAATGGGGGAGGAACTTGAGCCAGCACCTAATTGGCCGACGGGAAATGATTGGCTGGGTTGTATGCTGCGCAGGTAAGAGAACAGATGATGACTGGTCACATCAACAGGAGGAATGCTTGGCCTCGACAGCAGGATGGAGTAGATGGGAGGTGGACAACTAGAAGAAAGAGAGGGGGGAAAGGATGGTTGGGAGAGTGGTGGGTTGCTGTTATCATACTACCCAGTACATGTTTGTTCGTGAAGGAGAGAAGTCGAGTGAGCGAGCAAGTGAGCGCAGTGAGTGGGAGCTTGGTTAGAGGGTAAAAGCGCTGTACCGTGTGCATGCATGAATGTAGGTACCCAGCCAGTCATTCAGTCAAGATTTGCCCCGGATACATCTAAGAAAATCAGACAATCTTAAGAGCAGGGGCGCCTAGTTTAGTTCTAATTTCATTTAGTATACCCCCCCTTGATATAAGCTAAGGACAGATCCTCTCTCTCGCTATTTAAGAATTACTATAAGCGCATAAACGTAGTTACGTATAGTACTAAAGATAAGCTTTCTACTATAACTTAGCTTCGTTTAAATAATTAACTTAAGCTATAATATATTAAAAGAAGACTTAAATAGTTATAATTAAACTACGTTTTTTATAGTTGCTTTTTAATATAATGTTATATAAATTAAGAAAGCTACGTAGTAAATAGGAGTAGCGTAGGTACACTATAATAGAAACCTATATAAGGATAACTTAACTAGCATTACCTAAGGCGGGTAACCTCTGTAATACATCTGTACCAGTGCAGGTCTAACTTGAGTAGGAGAAGGTACATTAGCTCCCATTGCTGCGACCGCCAAGCCTTGCCCTCCATGCAAGAGTTGGTCCCTTCGTGATTCTCCTGGAAAGGTGAAGGTGGCCTTTCGGGTGAACAGAACAAAAAACACCTACTATCTCTACGTGGGGAGTTTTAATTCCCCCTAACCTCTCTTGCCAACGAGTAAAATTCCCATTTCCTGCTAGATACGAGACTGGCCATTCAATGCCGCGTCCACGGCGGCCCTTTTAATTCTCCTTGATGCTTCGCTGTTCTTTTTGATCCAGGGAATTGATTTACCACGCCGTTTCCGCTCCTGCGTCTCGCGAGTAGGCCACCCCAGTCGAGGACTTCTTCCGCTCGCGTAGAGGTTCGAATTACCAATTCCCCCGACATGCCTGCGAAGTCGAGATTTACGAGGTTAGATGCCTTCACCAAGACCGTCGAGGATGCGCGGATACGAACCACTTCCGGTGGAATTGTCACCATTATATCTTTGGTAGTCGTCCTCTACCTTGCCTGGGGGGAATGGGCCGACTATAGGAGGGTAGTGATTCACCCTGAACTCATTGTCGATAAGGGCAGAGGTATGATCACTGCCTGGCAACCCCTGGCCCGTTATGCGCTTCTCACATTATGCTCGTAGGAGAACGAATGGAAATCCACATGAATATCACTTTCCCTCGACTCCCTTGCGAACTCTTAACCCTCGATGTAATGGACGTCTCTGGCGAGCAACAACATGGCGTATTGCATGGAGTGAGGAAAGTCAGGCTGCAACCCATCTCCCAAGGAGGGGGGGTTATCGACGTCACTGCCCTATCTCTGTAAGTAGAATGATTCTCGTTCTGGCTCCGTTATCTTTGGTTTTCATCATCTGCCTCCCAACGTCCTCTTCTCCTTCTGGCTAACCATTGTCTAGTCATGGGGAGGAAGAGACTGCCCTTCATCTGGATCCAAATTACTGCGGCCCCTGTTATGGCGCCCCCGCCCCAAGCAATGCTGTAAAACCTGGATGCTGCAGCACCTGCAGCGAGGTTCGTGACGCGTACGAGCAAGCGTCTTGGGCTTTCGGCAGAGGCGAGGGGGTCGAACAATGCTCCCGAGAGCATTATGCCGAGAAGTTGGACGAGCAGAGAAACGAAGGATGCCGAATCGAAGGCGCAATCCGTGTCAACAAAGTCATTGGCAATTTTCATTTCGCGCCGGGTCGAAGCTTCAGCAATGGCAATGTGCACGTCCACGATCTTAAGAACTATTGGGATAGCCCAGTCCGCCACTCGTTTGAACACGAAATCCACCAGCTTCGTTTCGGGCCTCAGCTCCCGGAGGACATCGCGAAGAAGCATAACAGAAACAGTCCCTGGTCCAACCATCACCTAAACCCCCTTAACCAAGTGAAGCAGACCACCGACGACCCTAACTTCAATTTTATGTACTTTGTCAAGGTTGTTCCCACTGCTTACCTACCCCTCAGCTGGTCGCGGTCGAGCAATCAGGCGACGGACGATGATGTCTGGCTGGGAAACCTGGGAAGCGCAGTCGACGGAAGCATAGAAACGCACCAGTACTCGGTAACCAGCCACAAGCGCAGCCTGGCTGGCGGCGATGACGCAGCCGAGGGTCACCAAGAGCGGATGCATGCAAAAGGTGGCATTCCGGGGGTCTTCTTTTCTTACGTATATACATCTCCCACCCGAGAATGGCCGAAGGGCAAGTCACTGACATGCGATAGGATATCTCACCTATGAAGGTGATAAACCGAGAAGAGCGCGCGAAAACCTTCGTCGGCTTCCTCACGGGTCTTTGTGCCGTAATCGGAGGCACTCTCACGGTAGCTGCAGCAGTGGATAGGGGTGTCTACGAGGGCGCCTCGAGAATAAAGAAGCTGCAATCAAAGAACCTTTAACAAAATACAACTAAAGGTAGCTAGTTTTAATGATTATATGTTTTTTGAATAAATTTGACGTTTCTTTATAATGGGTTTTGTGATTTTCATTTTTAATTACTGTGACTGAAAATCATCTACTTTATATTTAATTATTTTTTTAATTCCTTAATTATTAACTTAAGTATATAGTTTACTCTTAAAAACTACTATTAAACGAAGTATTAAAAAGTACGTAAAGTATAGTCTTATAACCGTAACTTTAATTTTTAAATATATTAAGAAAACCTATAGGTACACTGTATTATTAATAAGTATAGCGAGGTTGTAATACGGAGCTCGCTTGTTAGAAAGCAACCTACCCGGCGCCTTACCTGCCGGGCTCGAGAGCAACCTGCCCGGCGTCGATCGGGCCTACCGGGCCTGTATAAAAGCGGCTTACCCGGCATCGGTACTCTCAGGCTCGTAAGAGAGCGACCTGCCCGGCGATTAGAAACCCTCCCGAGCTTATTTACATATATATGAGAGCAACCTGCCTAGAAGAGCTTCCCGCCGTTCGGAAACTAATAGCTTTTACGAGCTTTTTCTATTATTTAGTTTTCGAGATAGCTCCTATATGTAGATAAATGCAGCTTTTTTACTTTACGTAAGAGAGAAATCGACGCCGCGTTCTTATACGCCGTTGACTGAGGGGTATATCACGTAGAGGTAACTCTCTAGGTTGCTCCTCTTCGTTGCTTACCTTAGCAATAGGAGCTTCTATATATATACTCTCATTGCTTCTATTTCTTTAATTAGTTCTTAGACAGAACAAGATCTTTTCTTCCTTTACTCCTCCTCTCGTTACTCGTTGCTTGTTAGATAGCTCTTCGTATGTACTCTCATATACATAGCTCTCGCTCTGTGATATATTTATATATAGATTAATTAAGGTTAGTGTAGTGGTGCGGTGGATCTAGGCCACGTAGCCTTTTCGATGTATATTTATATAGGTCGCGCACTCATATTTTCATCAGTCAGACTTAGACCTGTAGCTATCACGACCAACAGCCATTCACTCGTTTCTTGCCATGCCTTTTCTCGCGATCCTCGTTACCCGTTTCTAGTCTCCTTCCTTCCTTCTTTTTTCCCCTTTCCCAGCTGCCGTTTTCAGCTGGCCGATCAACCGATTACAGCTGTTTACAGCTGTGATCTTAGTTGATCGGCACTGAGCCAGTTGTTGGCAGTTGGGTAGCCGTTTCGTGCCTCCGTCAGCGTGCCCACGCTGCTCCTGTTCATTAGTTTCTCCCTACTTAATCCAGGTTAGTTTCTCCCCGTTTAATCTAGGTTAATTTCTCCCCGTTTAATTAAGAATCGATTGCTAATTCATCTCTTTTCGTAGTTTAATTAAGCGTCGATTCCTACTTACTCTTTTTCCCTTAGCCTTCGGAGAGGTCCTAGGTTTTCGGTACGAAAACGTAGAGAAGCGCAGAGTGCTTCAACATATCCTAAATTAAGATAATAATATCGTAAACAGTTTAATTATCCTTGAAATATAGTATAGCCCCTGCGGCCCCCCGAAGGGGGCTCTGGCATGCTTGTGCTAATCTATAGCAGGCACTCTGCATAAGACACGGCTAGGGCTAACAGGATTGCGAGGCACCCTAAGCACAAGGCTCTCCTTATATCAAGCTTACACTTGTCCTTGAGCTTTCTCTGTCCTATATACACTATATGACGTGCTGCACACACACCGTAGGCCTTTTGCATAGCCAACGTACTGCTCTTTGCCAAATCCAACTCCTCTAGGACATGATTGAGGTGAGATGCTGTTGGTTAGGTTCGTTTGTCCGAGATGATAACCTCCAATCAAGTCATGTCCAAACGGCATGCTGCGGTGTGGCTGGTTGGAAGACCTACATGAGTTAGAATAAGTCTGCACTGCCAGGGCAAAACCAACTAACAATGAGGCTCAGACGGCGTGACCTACATGGCGGTTTAAAGCCTCTGTGAATGGCGAATAACAGGTCAAAGCGCAAACGCTGAAACATTAACTACCTACCCTATATGCCTTATGAGAAGCACGTGATAATCACCTAACGACTAATCATTTCTTAACCATCTGCCTGGCCTACTCAGTAGCCCGCAAGGAATTTTCCTGGCGCAAAGTATAAAAAACAAGCCAACACTGCGATTCTCTCCGAACCTTCGTATTAGCTAGCCTAAGGTTAGTATAGATTTCATCCCTTCTTCATGTTCCTTGTCAGGAGAGGCAGACTTACCAAGCTACGACGCTTGAGTTAGGAATTCTCTAAGTTCTCGTAAGAAAAGCTGCTGTGCTAGCACGACATGACTCTACTCCTAGTCTAAAATGGCGATAACTTTGTAACTCAAGCTAAAGAGAAGGCTGTTTATAAGCAGTATAATCTCCTCATACATCAGCACAAAGGGCCTCTTATTAGAGAGTCGAGCTATATATCGGCTACGAAACGGCTGAAATGATACCTAACATAAAGGGTCCGCCCTCTACCGCATGCTTATCTGTCATCATACCGGTTTTTTTTTTCCAGCTCATTTCTAGGCCTAAAATCACTCGGCACAGGTATGTATATAAACGTCTTCTTTAATATCACTGCTTGTAATTCCGCTAACATAAACTCACCGCAACAGAAGTTACCTTGTCACATTCCCTGACACCTGCGGCTCAGCATACCGGCCTAACAGTTTGGGGCTCATGCTGTCTTGCAAATGACAGGGCGGCAACCCTAAACCCCGCGCCGTCGACACTGCTCCTCTAATTATGATTGCGCAACGGCCTCATGTCTTTATTTGCCACTACCATTTAGGCCGAACGGCCCTCACGCATACGCAGTTTCTGCCTCGGGGAGGAAGTGGCCTAGCATAATGGCCGTCTGTTGGGCGGCTATGGAAGAATGTGGATTTGGCACAGGCAGGCATTGACTGTGTATAGATATTGATTAGTATGGAAGGTTGGGTTGACCATCATGCTGCCCCGGAATACGTCAAGGTTGGCCTTGAACAGACCTTTCAACGGTTCGTTTTGGCGCTGGTCATCAAATCCAAGGCCAGGAGGCACAAGGCTGACCTTCATGTATTGGCATGGTCCGCGTTGGGGCCGGCCACTGATGTTTAGGCACCAGGGGGCATGGTTTGAACAAGGCGCAGAGAGAGGGAGAGAGAGGGAGGGAGAGGGAGGGAGAGGGAGGGAGAGGGAGGGGGAGGGAGGGAGAGAGGGAGACGGACAAGGCTCTGTCTGTCGTCTATTTAGAGTCGTGTCTCTACCTGAACATTAACGAGAGCGTAACTGTGATAAAACCTCCCACCAAGTTAGCCGTTCTACTTTCCTATATACGATAAGCCATTTGCCGCCATCAAGTTACCTATTCCGGTCACTTCCTATACGACAAGCTATCCCAACTAAGAAAAATGTGTACGTGGACAAATAACCTCTGTCCCCGCTGCGGCCGTGTTACGATGGCAACTGTTACATCCTGTCAGCGGAGGGCTCATCCAAAACAACACCAACTTTGCCGACGATCTCCAGAGCTGCGAATATTGTTTAGAGTACGACTCCGGTTACTATTCGGATTCGAGTTCCGAGGGGTCATCATGGAGCACGGATTAGAGCAGGTACGTGCCATACATATTCAAAGCCAGGGGTTCAGGGCTTACACTTATTCAGGACGGTCGGTCTTGATCAGCACCAGGCGGTGTGTCGGCGTCTCTCGGCCAAGGAGGGTGGTCCCTGTTGCTCCTTTGCCCTGCAGGCAGGATATAGAATGGAATAGGAATGCTTGCTTTAATTCCTATGTTCTCCCTTGGATTCCTATGTTCTGGCTCCAGTGGATTAGTTCAAGTAGGATGGTCGATGTAATATAGGTTCTCGAGAGCGTAGGAGACGAGGCAGTGCTGGGGCAACTTTGCTGCGAGCCTAAGGCGGAGGTAAACAGGGATCAGGCGAGGGAGAAGGCAAGAACATGGTTGGAGAGCCAGATAGCGGCTGACAAGGAAAGCAGCAAGAAACGCGCTTTCTGCCTTGCCATCGGTGGCATGCGATGGGAAGTAAATGGTTGTTGGCTTGGCGTTTGCGCAGGCGCTTGCTTACCGTGACCACACGGCCACAGAATTCACTATTTAATCTAGCCGCTCCTCCTGCTTACCAGCCATATCAAACAACCTCTTCCACGCAGCCTCCCCTCACTCACCCATCAGTTGCATCGCAATACGACGTGTTGGAAGTCGCAGTCGCCCCCGAAATGTCCGCAGCATTGGCGGCGGACCTCGCCGTGCGGTGTCTTCTCAAAACGAAGTACGATCTTGATTCCCGACACTCCAAAGTCGCCATTGCCTGGGCCGAATCGCGGGCCGAGAAACTTACCAAGGCGATGTTAGAACGCATCGGACAACAAACAACCGGTTTCAGCATACAGCGGGGGGGAAGGGGGGGCGGAGCCGTAGGCCGCCGGATTATGTTGGTCGTAGACTTCCGGAGGGTGTATACAACATGGCAAGCCGTTTCTGTCCTGTGGGTGGTATGGAATTCAAGGTTTCATTTACCTAGAGGAGAAGAGCCCGCCGAGCCACTGTTCACAGGCTGTTGTTCCCTCGAAGCGCAACCGATCTACAACATCCTAACTCGTCCACGCCTTACTACCTAGCCAAACCTCGCTATCCACCGGGAATCGATAGGCGATAGCTCAACAGCTCTTTGGCTGATGCTGCTTCTTTTACCATTTTCCTGGCCAACACTCGCCACGGTAAAGTTCCCACATTCTGGCCTCCTTAACTTGTTGGCAAACGTGTCGACTGCCCAGATCAAGACGCCATTCGTCCAACCAAATCCCTCGACGACCTCATACTCGCCCCCTCCGCCAGCGACGTTTGTCGAGCTGTCGGCATCTACACCTAGTTAGTATTTCTAGCTCATGCCCGAGAATCCCCTCTTCCTACTCTACGAGCGGGTGAGAGTAAGGAATTATGGAAAACAGAGGCGTCAGGACGTACTAAGATCGTGTTAGGTCATGCAGAGAACATCAATTAAAAATGTAGGATAGTCGAGATACGTACCATTTTTCGAACATGATTCCAATGTCTTCCGGGCCGAAACCCCCTAGCTGGGGAGCCTCGTCGGTAAAGCCGCCAGTGGCGCGCCACGTGCAGAACGTACTGTCCAAATACCGTTGTGCTAACGCGAGGGCGAGGTCTTGCGTCTCGATGTAGGCCGGATCGCCCGAACCAAAAGTTTGCGGTGTCTGGAGGAGCCCTTTCATCAAGACGTACATCAGGGGAGGCCATACGTTTGGTTGATCCCACTGCTGGCCCGTCACGAAATTCGTGGCAGCGATACCACCCGCCTTTTCGGAAAGGAGATCTGCTATACGCTGGAAGGCAAGCTTCACGGCTAGAGGGTTGTCTTTGAGTTGTGCAGGGGCGGCTCCTAGCCAGAACGGGTAGAACTGAGCGGCATGAAGGAATACTTGATAGCCCTCCGGAGCATCACTTCTTTGCGTTGGCGTGGAATCCTCGTCTAACGGTACGTATATGTTCTGCGACGCCGATGTTAAATTGTAATCAAAATAGCTGTTGTATTTGCTGTTCCACATTAGCTCGTACATCGCCGCCGAGCGATTCCTGGCCGTCTGCTCAAACTCTGCAGCTAGCGCATCATCACCGCTCTCTCGTAGGTAGCCTGCTATAACGACTTCATTGGCGTATAGTATCGAGTTTAGGTCTACGCCAATTATACTGTATGTATTGAGAGAGCGTAACGGGAAGTAGACATCATCTGCTGCATCGGATGGCGTCGCGACCCAGCGCGAGCTATAATCCCATCCCGATTCGGCTCCCGATGCCAGATTGCCGTAGAGAGTAGCTTTCTCATCCTCATCTAATGGCTTGGTTTCGGGGTAGATAATACCGGATGTTGCATAATATGACCTGTTGTTTGCAGTAACGTAGTCTTCGCGATACGACTGCGGTTCCCACGTAAGTTTCATTGCGGTACACATGCGCCTGGGGAACATCGAGGGACTGGTGGGGGACGTCCAGAAATCCCCTCTACGCTGACAACAGAAGGGGAATTCTAATCGTGTGCCTGTGTTGTTTAAATAGACGTACCTCCGGCCGTGGTTCAGTATTTTGGACGCCATAGCTATTCTGGATATTAGACGTTGTGGAACGAAACAACGGCATATTATAACGCCCTCGCCGCCTGGAAGAGGAGGGAGAGGGGGCCTACCGTGCTAAATTGAACGTCTTTTCACCCGATGTGATGGCTACCGTTCGGTTCTCTATCCAAAAATTGTGCTCCTTGATGAGTAGAGGCAGCGCACGCTCCAAGATGCTCGTGTCGTTGGTGTAGTCAACGTAGACCTTGATCATCTGCGTTAGAAGCGGCGGCTGGGAGCGATTGAGATAGTCTGTTGCAGGTTAACACCCCCTTTCCAGTGTAGTCAGCCTCAGACTCCTCCACCTGCCCGTGTCGATACCGACAGAGATAGAGCTAGGTTGGAAAAGAATAGGTAGACGGGAATACTTTCACATACTACAAAATTGAGTTAGTGAAGGGGTAAGCTACCTAGGTATGTGCTCCTACACATACCAAATACGTGCGCCGTTAGGCACAAACCCAAACTCGTCCACGAAATCGAGGAAATTCTCGATAATGTTCCTGTCGGGCATGTCAGCACACCCGAAGAGACTTAACCACGCTTATTATTAGGCCGGCTGACCTAGAGATCTCAGTAAAGCTGCCGCCGGTTCTCAATAGACCCTCCACGATCCAGAAGGAGTCCCAGTAGTAGGGCTCCCTGAATCGTCCGCCGGCGACAACGAAGGTACGGTTGACTGGGATGAAGCTATCGACGCAACCTGCGCAGTCAGCAGCACCCACATCTGCAATCCTCGCCGTTAGCCCTATCTCGTCGAGAGGGGATGTAATCCGCAACACGTCTTCCTCCCTAGCCCGGGCCTGGTGCCTCGTATATAGATATAAATATGTTATTATTATACCTACATGTCCGGGTTAACGCGGGCCAAATGTCTATAACCTTATGAACGAACTGCTTGATAACGTTGTCTTCGACCTTGTCTAAGAAGACGGGGTCGGTTGCTAGCTGATCCCTAGGGACCGCGGCGAGCTCGGACCCGGCTTCCCCAAAGTAGGCGGACAGAAATTCGGCAAGCTCAGTGCCATTATTGAGCGGCTTCGTAAGCTTGTCAAAGGCCGCGATGACATCGTCTAGGGGCGCCTTTGTTGGTCTGTTCGCACATCAGCTGGTGGTACAATAAAAAGAGGTAGACACTCGTAATTACAGGTCTACGAAGGTCTTCGAGTCAGAGAACGGTCGGGCAAGCTCGATTTGCCGAAGAATATCCCCGCGGCAGTACAGAGGCGAGTCACACGGGGTGAAACTCGAGCCGTCTTGGTAGAGAGCGTGGACGGCAGCAGACCACTTGAGGGCAAACACTGCCGTAATACCTCCAATGGCCCTCATAACGTCTTGGGTACGTTAGGAGTAGAATATATTCGTGTATATGGTGACGTAGATTGGAAGATGGTAAAACCATTCGATGTATTGACGCGTAAGGGGGGAGGAGGGGAACTCGCGAGAACACGGTGAGTGGGCGTTAGTCGGCGTCGTCGGCGTCGTCGGCGAGAAGTTTGGAGGCCGGTTTCAACGTGCCTCACAGCCCTCTCACTTCTAGGTTTGTAGCGACCTAACATCTAACTGCACAAAGGCTAAAAGAAACATCTGGCGGGCTATATACCGGTCCCCGAGTTGCCTCGGATGCCGAAGCTGCCGGCGGGGTAGCTTGGGTTACGATCCTGGCGGAGTGAAGAGTCGGTGGCTGGGATGGCGGACATCGTCACCATCACCTTCACCGCGACGTGTGCTCATGCCGGATGTTACCTACTTGTCTCCTTTATTAATGGATTATACCCAGAACCGGAGTATCCGGGGGGTCTGATGGGTCGGGTGGCTGCTTGGCCTTAGATCCCCCGCATAAGCGGAATTCCACTCCGCATTAGCGTAGCTATACCTGCCCATCATCCTGGCCAATATTGGTTGTTATGGGACCACTCAACAACGCCCGTATGAAGTCGGCAGGCATACCCAACCCCCTGGAGTAGTTGAATTGGGCACATGTCCGTGGAGCTAGATTTTGACCCCCAGAGGCGGGCAGCCAACATGGGTTCATACGAATTAGGTATATGAAAGGGAGATGAGCGAGAAAAGGAGCGAGGAGCAGCTGCGTTGTTAAGGTCGTAATTCCGAAGCTGATGCTTGTGAGGAGGGCCCCGTCACCTATCGGATAGTCTTCTTGCTCGAGTTAGGAACCAAGCGAGCACCTTCAGAGGCCATATGGCGCAGTGGTTCGCACCACCGCCTAAAAGGTACCTGTGAACTATCCCATTTGTGAACAGAGCATCCTTCAATTATCATAGGTATGTGGACCTCAGTACAGGGAGCCTGCGCCAGACCCCGTAGGAGCTCGCGTGTCTCACGAGTCCACGTCCATCTTTTCACCCTCAGTCGACTCCAGCTCCTGGACACTGACATATTTTCCAATCTCGTCTCTGGTGATGATCTTCTCATTCAGTACAGCGGTAGTGCCTCGTTTGAATTTATAATTCTTCAGCTTCAGACTCCGCTCGTTCGGTTTGACAAAGCCGCGGTGTAGGGTAGTCTTATCAGCCGTGATGACAGCTAAGTCAACGTTGGACCCTGAGCCTAAATCATTGAATATACCGGCCTGGATAGCTTGAGAGCAGAGTTGCATTGCATCCTCCTTGGTGCAGTCGGGCTTCCATTGCGACTCGAAGACGGACATAGCCGCCAGCGACCCCGAGCCCATGGTTACATAGGGAAGCTTGTCCGTACTGCCGTGGGCGTGGACGGTGAAAAGGTGGGTTCCGGTGGGATCGACACCGGCAACTACGAGGTATGCCCCGATGTGCCCTTGATATCGAAAGAGATGCTGCTTAAGGAGGGTCATACAGGTGACGACACGGGGCTTCCGGCCGGTCGACAGAGAGTGTAGCTCAAGCTGGGAAGAGATGAGTGCGGTAGTGAATTCGGTATCGGCGGCAGTACCGGCGCCCGCACACCAGATCTGGGGCGAAATGTAATGTAGCTTCTCGCAGTTTTTGTCGGCAACAATAGGCCCGCTGGTGGCTCGAGTATCGGCGGCGATCTGTCAACACCCTATCAGCACCCTATGAAAATACCCCGAAGGCCCAAATGACGGTGCAGGAGCTGACTCACCACTACACCCTCGTCATATATGCACCCGACGATAGTAGTACCAGTGCTGGTCGCCTTGGGCAAAGGGACGCCCCGCGCGTGTAAGGCCGCATTGCGGTTATAGTTAGAGAAATCGAAGCCAGGCATGCTGGCGGATGTGGTGCGACGAGGGGACGAGAGATACCAGTTCTATGGACTTCTGCGGGCGGGCGCCAAGTTATGGGTTGATCTTAAATGAAAGGCTATAGTGCGAACAGAGGAACCCTCAAGTAGTCAAGATTTTGGTATCGTGGAGATTGCTGAGTGAAGGCAGGCGTCATGTAGTCGGCTGGTTGTCGAGTATTAGAGATCTAGGATTGATGACGACCAGAAGCTAGCTGCCTATCTGCGTGGGGGAGGCACCTCTCCTCGCGTGCCGTATGCTTAGGTAATTACCTAGGTACGTTCGTGTGCCTGGGGTGGTATCAAGGTTTTCGACATATAATCCGATAGCTTTATAAAGTACTTTTTAAATATATACCTCTTATATAAAGGCAGAAAATTTATAAATATTATAATAAAATTATTTTTATACTTAAATATTACTTTTATAAGCTAAATAAATATAAGTTATAAAAAAAATAAACTTTCTTAAATTCTTAGTTTATAATTTTAAAAATAATAGAAAAATAATAAAATATAATTTAAATTTTTCATATTTTATTTTCAATTTTATAAATATATGATGAAATAGATTCATTACTTATTATAATATATATAAAACTATAAAAAAAAGAGTACTCATTATACTAAAGTATATGGGTACGTACGTGGTGGTACATGTCACCCTTGCTCTCTAGGTTGGCCACAGGTCCCACTTTTATACTTAGCTACCTGCCTACACGTACATAATAGGTAGGTTTAGGCAGGTATCCATTACTGCGAACTGCATCTTTTTTCAAGTCAGCTGCATTTCCCAAGGACTGTCCTTCACCAAAAGCGCGTCTCCCCCTTCTCTCCTCTTAGGGACAGATATCTATGCGATCCCACCCCGTGTCGCATCTTGTCCCAGATCGCGAGCCATTATCCGTATACGGTCGGGCTCGACACACTCTCTCTTCCCGACTGGCTAAGCCGGCTTAGCCCTCCGGTAGAAACGATCGATTCCTTCCGCCAATGTCGCGAGGACAACAAGGGTTTCTCATGAAAGCACATTTCTGAATTAAGCACACTTCATCTATAGCCATGGCCTTCGGCTTTGGAAATCCAGGAGGTGCCATCGGTGGATCTGGGGGAGCTACCCAAGGTCCTGACCTTCAAGTCATTCAGACAGAATCTCTCGGTTTCTTGTCGCTGTCTGGTGACGCGAAGCTACAGTTAACGTCGCGATGGACTCCGCCGCCCGCGGATAATGCCTCCCTCATCAGTATCGCTTCGCGAAAAGGGCTTGTTGCCGCTGCCGGTCCCGATGCCGTCATACTTACCTCCACCGAGGCGGTCCGAAAAGCGTTCGATGGCCCTAAATATGGCGACAGCGAGACTCGGGTCTTCGAACCCCCGTTAAAGCTCGCTCTACCAATAAGAATCTGTCAGCTCGCCTTCACGTCTGACGAAGCCTACCTGATATTGTCGGCGGAACAAGGCGGTGGGCTGGCGGTATACGAAGTCGAAGCTTTGCAGCAAGGCTCATCCCAAGCCGCATTCGAGATACCAACAAATGGAGAGTCGCTTAGACTCCTAGCGCCCAACCCCGAGCCAAAGAGGGGCGAGCTATGTGCTGTTGTGACAAATGGGGGCAAGCTCCTGATGGTAAATATGCAGGAACGCAGTTTCGTGTCGGGGCCTAACGGCCAAATTCTTAAGGACCAAGTAAGCTGTGTCGCCTGGAGCAATAAAGGAAAGCAGCTTGTGGCTGGGCTTGGCGACGGCACCATATTGCAGATGACACCGGAAGGGAGTATCGAGGCTGAAATTCCTCGACCACCGGGTCTTGACCCAAATTATTTTGGTAGGCGTGTTTACAATTCCTTATTTACCACTCGCCATTCTGGATACTAACAGCTATTTAGTCTCTTCTCTGATTTGGCTCAAGGTCGACATATTCCTAGGGTTTCACGTCTCTGCCTCGGAACAACCTCCCCAAACTAGATGTCATTTGATCACGAGACAAGGACAGCAATTTCAATTTCAGAAGCTCAGTGATCCAGTAGACCCCTTTGGGAGCGAGAAGACCCCCCACCACACGATCATGCGGCTGAGGGACTTCCCCCCGAACCTCCTGGATGTTCTTATTTGCTCTTCAACTGCCACCCCTGATATCGGTCTCCTTACTCGGTCGAAAACGCCGTTGGCCCCTAATGGTCCTTCTAACCTTTTCGCCACCACTGAATTGGCCGATGATTCTAGGCGAGCTACTCTGCCAATGGGTGATGGAATGGAAAGCCCGGCGGCTATTGGGACAGCTCTTGACCTGTCCAGCCGGGATAACGTTTATAAGCCCATACCCACTGACGAGATTGACCAGTCTGCTGGTCCCCTGCCAGGTTATTGGGTCCTCAATGTCGATGGAGTTCTCTCCGTTTGGTGGATTGTATATTCCGAGTCGATCCGACAAAGAACCGTTTATCCGGGTCTTGTTGCTTCGGAGGGAAATCCACCAGGCTCCATCGAGCCGGCTGTACCCAAACAGGCTCAGCAACCGTTCAGCGCGGCAACCCCCTCGCCGTTCGGAGCTCCGATGACGGCGCCGGGGGCAGCATTTGGAAGTCCTTCAACGCTGGGATCGAGCGGTTCGCCCTGGGGAGCCCAGCCTTCTTCCGGCCACGCCCGGGGCCCTGCGTTTGGCTCTAGTGGCTTTGGTACGGGAACTGCTTCCTCAACGCCAAAATTCGGCACAGCGTCTTTCGGTGTTTCGAGTTTCGGGACAGCTAGCACACCTGCATTTGGTCAGTCTACTGGGCTTGGTGCCAAGCCTTCGCCTTGGGCCACCGGCTCGACTTCGTCGAGCACCCCGGCCTTTGGACAATCTGGCTTCGCCAAACGCGCTGACAATACCAACGCCTCTGCAAGTTCGTTTGGAGGCGCGAGTTATGGCGCCGTAAACTCGACCGGCGGCTTCGCCAGCTTCGCGAACAAGGGCGGCTTTGCTTCACTAGGGTCAAGCAACGCAGGAGGAGCCAGCATTTTCACGTCGACGAAAGCGGAGGCACCTGAAGTATCGATGGATGCGGAGACTACATCGATATTTCGACCATCAAGCTCTAAGCCAAGCATAGGTTCTGGGGCTATCTTTGGGTCGCAGCCATTCAAGCTGACGTCAAGTTTTCAACCTGATCCTAATGTGAGGGATCAAGACGCCAATAAAAACGATAGAAGCAATGAGGAACCCATGTTTTATGAGGGGTTTGCAGCTACATTGAATGGGCCGATAGAACCAACTCCCTTAAGTCCACCTTCAGCAGGGACGCAAAATACCTTCGGGCAATCAAGCGCAGAATCAACAACGCCGATTTCTACACCTGCCCCCTCGAAATTCTTAACCCAAACTTCACCTCCCCCTCAAACCAAAGGAATCTTTGACATCCCATCGAAGACTTCTAGTAAAGTAGCCGACACTTCCTCACCTTCTACTTCCCAGACGCCAACAGGAGATATATCACGAAGTCAGCCCGAAATGGAGACTCCTAAACCGATGAAACATCTCCCGGAAGTTCCTCTACCCCCAGAGTCTACTAGCAAAGCAAGTTACGCGTTAGGCGAGTCCTCCTCGTCATCCGCCGTTACTGCAGACGCTCTAGATGTTAATGAGGCACCACCTGGTGACGAGAGCGTAACTCTCCCTCTTGATTCCACAAACTCGCCAAGGAAAGCCGAACGCGGGACTCCACTCAAGGCCTTGCCAGTTGTTGTTGACGATGCCCCTCTGCCACCAGATCCGATCAAGAATAAGAAAGCATACGATACCCCTCTGCCCCCCTTGCCTGGAATGATTGCTAGCGCTAAGGAGGTTGACGCTGCTCCCTCGCCGCCTGACCCTGCCAAGCAGACGAAAGCATATGAAGGCAGATTGTCTGTTCTCACCATTGCGAAACCCGCATTTGCTGCTGCTGGGCCTGGGTTTAAGTTCCCAACAAACCCCCTCCCAGTGTCATCGGATAGCGACGACGACGATTTATCCGAAGAGGAAGAAGGCACCGAGGCTGTTAGTGAAGGTAGCGGTGTGGATGTGGCCAAAGATCTCAGTCCTTCGAGTATCGGTGCCAACAGGACCCCTGGCTTTACCCCTCAGAGCTCTTTTAATGGCCTGGCTGGAAGCTATTCTACAGTACCTCACCCCGACCAAGAAAAGCGATATTTTGGTGAACTGGGCCGGAATATGCCCATATTGCCTCGGCCAAACCTAGCCAGTCCTCGCTCTCCAAGTCCCGTGAGGAGTACAGTGCCCGCGAGGATACTCGTGAAGGACCAAGCACGATCCGTTAGTGCTCCCGGCATGGCGTCTCAGATCCTCAGTACGTCTAGGAGACACCAGTCTCGATTAGGGATGTCAATTGTTGGCAGGGATACTCATGACGAAGAGGCTGCGGTTGAACAGCACCGAATGGCTAAGGCACGAAGGGAAGCCGAGGAGAGCCGGTTACTTCTAGACGAGGAGGATGACACTATTCAGGAGTTGTTGAGAACAGAAGTCAAACCGACCCTAGAGCTTGACGAGTTTATTGCACACTCCGGTGTAGCGCCACCAGCTGGCGATAGCGTGCCGGCGCAGGTGGAGGCCGTATATCGTGACATCAATTCGATGATAGACACACTCGGGCTCAACGCGCGGTCTCTTGCCGGGTTCATTAAGGGCCACGAGGAGGTCTGCACCAAAGGGCTTACCAGACAAGATCTTGCTTCTGCGGACAACTGGACTCTAGCTGGTCTTGAGAACTTGGCTGACATAATCGATCAGGATCTCAGCTTAGCTTTAGACGAAGCAAGGATAGTCGATGTCGCTGACAGACTGGCACAATGCGTGGATATCCAGCGTGATCTAGGTCGCGATCGTAATAAGCAGGCTGATCTCAAGAAAATTGTTAGCTCGCGCTTGGATCCGGACCTAAGCGTTGCGTACCGCGCTTTGCCCCTCAGCTCGGAGCAGGCAGTGCAGCAGAGCGATCTTCGGCGGGAATATGCTAAATTCACGAAGCTTCTGGCGGAAGCTGAAGAGAGCCTGACCATGCTCAAGGCTAAAATTGTCTCCGTCAATAGCGCTAGTGGGAAAGGTGGACCGGCGCCGACCATTGAAGCGGTTGTACGCACCATCACCAAGTTGACTAGCATGGTAGAAAAGCGCAGCGGCGATATCGATGTCCTCGAAAACCACATGAGAAAGTTGCGTGTCAGCTCCTACGGGCTTGGTAGCCGAGAGGGATCGCCTTTAGCTGCGTCCCATGCTAGGAGACTAACCGTGTCCTCATTACTGTCACCGGAACGGTCGGCCCGGGAAAACACACCGCAGCGTAGTAGCGTCCTGCGGCACTCCATGTCGGGGTCCGTGGCAAGCATCGGTGTGGGAGTGTTGCATACTCCGCCGCGTAAGAAGCTCACTGGTTTTGGGGATGCGGAGAAGAGGGCTGTGATGGAAAAGAGGGATCGCAGAGTGGCCGTCCTCGGAAAACTTAGGGGTAGTCTGCAGAAGAGGGGTGTCGGTGTTTGGGCTGTGGACGACATCGAGTAGGCCTGATGCTTCGCAATAGAGATAGCATAGTAGATAATCCGACGCCGTCTAAGCGAGAGGCGTAGACAAGGTAGAAGAGATAAGACGGCGAATTTTACGATACTCTAGTGCGTAGATGATCTCACGTAACCAAACTATTCGCTGCGGCGCATGGCGGTTTAATACGACAAGACATGACCGAGATTCTCACAACGTCTAACCTGCCAAGGGTAACTGAATATTACTGCAATCCCGGCTAGACACGAATGTGGCCAGCACTGTGTGGTCCGCCCTTCATAAATGCCATTCGTAGGTCGGGTATAACGTACGTAGGGACGCGGGTCAAGCGACCACCCAACCTCAAAACGACATGTTCGCAACTAGAAGCCTCCTACTTAGCAGGGGAAAATCGAACCGGCCTACGCGAAGCCGGTAACACCTCCGCTCACGGCCTCTAGTCTAGCCACAAGCTTCTTAACGTTAGTCCACTCCTCGCTCCGAACCGTCTCCTTGCCCCCCAAGTCAGGGCCAACCTCGAACACACTAACGACGGCATCTATGCCACCCGTGGCCAGTCGCTTACCCTCACTACCTTCCCAAGCGACCTTGTTAAGACTTCTGCTGAGCAGCTGGCGACCGTCCTTACGCGGCGTGGGGCTGATCTTGGCTACTGGAATCTCGGTCTCGACGGTGATATCCCAGAGTTCGAGCGAGCCGGCTCCGTCGACCAAGGCAAAAACGCCTGGACGCACGGGCGACCACGCGGCGTCGTACACTACATCCTCGCGCACAAATTCCAGGAGCGGCGGAACAGTGGTGCCCGCACTTTCGACGATAGTGCTCGTCGCAGCAGGGGCGCGTACCTTCCACAGCTTCGCAGACCAGTCGAGAGACGCGGAAAGTACTAAATCACCTAGATCCACGGGGCCGCGCGCTGGGTGGAAATCGACGCTCATGACAGGGGCGGCGTGGCCTTTATAGGAAACACGAGAGTCAACACCGGCCTTGGCGCCGGCGCGGTCGTACCGATGGCATGGATAAATCGAGCCTTCTTCTGAGCCGATAAGAAAGTATGTCGGGTCCGCTTGAGGGAAGGCCATGGTCGTCGGAGCGAGGTCTTCAAACTTATTTGGAGGCGGAGTGGTGAGGGTGAGAGATTCCTGGGGCTGCGAGAGCATATCGACGCTCCACACACAAAAAGCCCCGTCCGTAGAGACGGAGATAATATTGTTCGCGTTTTGGGTACCCACAATGTCGACGGAGTAGACTGGATGCGAATGCCCAGAGCCTGTCAATGGTGTCTTTTGCACTGGGGCGGATTTGGCCCGTGTATCCCAGAGGAGAACCTGGCCCGAGTATGTGCCACCTATAATAAGACTTGGGTGGAAGGGAGAGAACTTGGCAGTGAGGATATCAGATTGGGCGTGGAAAAGAAACTCGGGGCGATCGTGGAGATGCTGGTTCCACACTTGTACAATGCCATCGGGGTCATGGGGAGCAGACGGATTCTTGGTATACGAAGCAAGTACAAGCTCGGGGAACTTGGCCGAGAAGTTGATGCTGCTGATCATGCGTTTTTTAGACCACCTCTCGTCGTAGAACTGTACGACTTCCTTGACCCGTCGCCGACCCTTTCCGCCTGTGTTACCCGCCTGCTCATCCTCGTCCTCGATATCGTGGGCTTGAAGCGAGTAATCCGTCAAGATATCGTACTCGCTGCTAATGTGCAACGCGCGTTCAATGACTTTAGTAGAGCGCTCTACAAAATCCACGAAGTCGTCGGAGGCTACGACAGCCGCCAGTTCCTCGCTACTCAACGCCCTGGCTGGGTAATTTGACGTGACGGTGGAACCTGCCGGCAAAGGCCCATCAACGACTAACTCGCGAGCCGCCTTGAGCTCCTCCTCAATCTCTATTCGTAGGCTCTGGCGAATTTCCTCTTCTCTGTCACGTTTCCACCTGCTCAACCGCTTGTTGGGGGTGGACGTAGCGCCAGAGAGCTCATCGTCTTCGAGGTCTGAAAAGGCGCGGGGAAGCGCGGCTGGTGGCGTCCAATCATCTGCGGTCTGAACCGCCTTGCTGTAGGAGAGGACTTCCTTGACCGGGGAAGGCGGGCATTCGTAAATAGTTTGTAGCGGCACGGTAGTTAAGACTTGCGGCTGTGTTGAGACCGGTTGCCCGTTCGCTTGCGAAGCATATTCCGAGTTCTCACCACTCAGCTCGTCGGCGCTAAAAACACTGTTGGGCCGACTTCCTCGGAGGCCGGGAGAGGCTGCGCCAGTGATGCTGGAAGCGGGCCTGCTCTCGCTTACCAGGCTATTGATCAGCGTCTCGATGACTTTTCGATTGTCACGGCCCGGAGTGGGGGAGATGAGCTGCCGTCGAAGTTAGTCAAGGGATGAGCGAGGAAGAGTGAAGCTGAGAGTGCAGAAGGGTTTCGGCATAAATGATAGGTATATTCGAGAACTGACATCGCTAGGTCCGCCTATGTTGGACCTAGCAACATTGGCGGCTTGATTCGCCCTCAGCTCCCGTTGTCGCTTGAGCTCAGCAAGCTTTGCCTTCTTGGCCAGAATCTCATCTCGTCGCTGTTGCATCTTGCCCTCCACCAAAGCCCATCCCGGGTTGCTCTCTCGGCTAGGAGAACAAACGGATACGTAATCTGCACAGGCGGAATCCACGCGCGGGGGAGGTGGGGCGAAGTACGAGTCGAAGGCGTCAAGAGAAGCTACGCTACGAACGAGACTTTATCGTATCGCGACAGTCTCTATTTTATCTGTCGAGGTATCTCGTGGTAGGCTGGATGAAGTGGTCGGGGTCGGGGTAGTTCTTCGGCGTTTCGTTCGATGCCGGTAACTTATGTAGGTAGTTAAATAGCTTCAAGATGGATATCGGCGGCCGTAACGAGGTGGTCAAAGTAGGTGGCTGTAGCTTGGTAGGTTATGAGTGTGTCTGTGGTGAAGATATATATATGGTAGGCGTAGGAGTTCATAGCGGTAAGGCGATAATCGGGGATAGGCTTCATGGTAAGTTGCCTTACTCTTCAAGTTGGTAACATATACATAGACAGGTACATGTAATAGTATCATGCAAGGTCTGTATCTTTACTTATAGTTGCAATCTCGAACTTTTCTTTATTAACTTATTAAAAAAGTTCAAATTATATAATTAACATATAGGCTTACATACCCTAATTTCTTTAAACCAGATGTATAAATTTTATAGAATAAAATATATTATAAGATATTTAATAATATAAATATCATTATATATATAATTTATATATTTATTAATATTATAATTATATATATATATATATTTAATTTATAATAAGTTAAAATCTATATTAAATACGCGTCTTTTAATCAAAAGGGCTTATTAAAGAGAACTAATTTTATAAAATCTTCCAATTTAGTACTTACTTTCGGTATTATAATTTCGAGAACTTGCATTCATTTCCCTTGTGACTTCCACCCCACGAGCTAGAACCGCCGGCATCTTTTCGCCTCAGGTATATCGCGAATTGATCCTTCTGTCCATCTCGAAAGCGAGCGTTTGCGCCATAAACTAACAGCCCAATGTCTACTACCTCTGGAGTGAACGTACGTCCTGCCAACCGTCTGCTATGATTCTACCATCAGTAAGGCGGACCCGGTTGACTGACTGCTCCCCCCCTTCTCCCGTACAGGTACTCCGGTACTCAGCCTTAGCTGTGGGTGTGTTCTACGGCTTTACACACCAGAGATCCATTACCGCAGCACAAAAGGCCGCCGCGGCGCAGGAGGAATACAAGCACAAGCAACAGTTGATAGAGCAGGCCCGGACTGAGTACGCTAAGTCCAAGAACCCAAGCCCCCGGGCATCCGAGAACAGTGGCCGTACGTCCTCCCCAGCAGCAGAGAGTTTTCAGAAAAGGCACTTAGGTGCTGACTGAATTGCTAGTAAACCAAGACCCAATGGATCCCAAATTCGACCTCGAAGCCTACCTGAACGCCCTTTTGTCGCAGAAAGCATAGGTGTTTAAGACGAAGCACATAGGGAACTCGGACATATACACAAGGCGCGATAGCATTGGGGTTAGAGATACGGCTGCTCCTCAGCTCATTTAGAGCTTAAATGGGAATCGGTGCTTGGATCGACGTCGTTCCAGGAGGGAAGGTTTTGGGGCAGCGTGTATGATTGTGATGTCGTCCGGAAACGAGCCTCATAGATTTCCTTGAGTGTTTCGAGCTGTACATGTGTACCATACGAAGACTTAGCTAACCTGGATTGCGGAAGATGGCCAGATATGCCATGACATTCACGATGCAGCTTCTCAAGTCTCCCTTATGACTTGGTTCGGCCCCTTTGCCTTAAGTCAGGTCAAGTTCCTTGCCCTGTTCTTTTGGCATGCGAACTACGGCAATTTCCCGATACCTGGATTATCTCCCCACCTATCGATCTCCCTAGGAGCAGCATAGGCGTGCAACACAGGTTATGGTTGATATGCCTAGATAGGCGGCCATTGCTTGTTACGTTGGATCCTCTTGAGGAGTACCGTTGGAATGCAGGTTGGGTGATACCTAAACTGAGTGTCTCATGCTAAGAGATAGGTAGGTGCCCGGATAATAAAAAAGATAAGATGTATCTTGGTGATATTTGATCTTCCGTGATGGTTTTTTTTTTCGTGTACCTTAGGTACACACACGTAGGCTAGTAGTACCTAGGTAGGTAAGTACCTGTCTGCAGCTGTTTATATGTAAGGCAGGAAGCTGAAAGAAGGTGTAGGTACCTAGGTAGGTAGGTGTTTAGGTATTAATTAAGGGCTTATCTACCTAACCCAAGCATATAGGCGTAATTAATATTTTACGATAAGTACCTACACTTGCGAAGTGTTCGAGGTGGGTACCTAATGTTGCTCAATACCCGCCTCCTAAGGTACCTCCTCACGTCTAAGCTGGTACCTACCTTAGTGTGGGAGAAGCTCTCCCACTAGGTACCTAATACACAATGTACATGACAAACTGCGATATGCACCTCTTAAAAGCTCCAGCTGTCCTCTCACACACAATAACCACGGAGCCAGCAGTACAGGGTAGCAGCGTGGTACGTATGTGCAGTCTATCTTCCTTTTCTTCAGGCCCTTCTTTTCTTCTTCTTACTTTTCCCTTGAGATCCTGGTTATGAAATTCGTCCTTCCCGAACCTGTCTTTCTCGCTTCCTCTCCCTAAGCGCCATAGATGTTGACGACGTCTCCCAGTTGCATTGTCCCAAGACAGCAACACCAATGACGGCTGTCGCAACCAGTCTCGACGGCCTCGCGCCTGTCAGCATGCTCAGCAGCGTCGGAAAGAGTCAGGAGATCAAGACCTTGCTTCGGGTCATCATTCTCTGTCTCATTGCTGCTGCCGCAGTTTCCAGCCGACTCTTCTCTGTTATCCGTAGGCCCTCGCTCTTCCTACCTCCGCGCCTTTGTCTCACCACCTGCTAATTGTTCCAATCTCTCCCATAGGCTTCGAAAGCATCATCCACGAGTGTCAGTCTTCTCCTCCACTCTACAGTACTTATAGTGGCGCACCCCCTCTAACCTTACCACCGCCGTTTTTCCAGTTGATCCGTGGTTCAATTTCCGGGCAACCAAATATCTCGTTGCCAATGGATTCTATGACTTCTGGGACTGGTTTGACGATCGGACATGGCATCCCCTCGGACGAGTTACCGGGGGCACCCTCTACCCCGGTTTGATGGTTACTAGTGGTGTGATCTACCACCTCTTGCGAGCCCTCACCGTTCCCGTCGATATCAGAAATATATGCGTTCTTCTCGCGCCAGCCTTCTCTGGCCTGACTGCCATCGCCACCTACCTCCTCACCAATGAAATGACCACCTCCCCGTCGGCCGGCCTCTTCTCTGCAGCCTTCATGGGGATTGCCCCGGGCTACATCTCGAGATCCGTTGCGGGCTCCTACGACAACGAGGCCATTTCCATATTCCTCATGGTTTTCACCTTCTATCTCTGGATCAAGGCCTTGAAGTTGGGATCCGTACTATGGGGAGCCCTCTGCGCGCTATCCTACGGCTACATGGTAGCTTCGTGGGGTGGATATGCCTTCATTACGTGCTTGGTCCCCCTCCATGTATTCGTGCTCATCTGCATGGGGAGATTCAGCTCGCGCCTCTACGTGTCGTACACTACTTGGTACGCCCTCGGTACCTTGGCCAGTATGCAGATCCCTTTCGTGGGATTCCTGCCGATTCGCACCAGCGAGCATATGCCAGCTATGGGTACGTTCTCGGCAGCGCTCGCCCACATATAATGAATTAACAGTCTGTCGCAACAGGTATTTTCGGATTCATTCAGATTGTGGCCTTCCTTGAATACGTCCGATCCTCTGTCTCGGGTCGCCAATTCCAGACATTCCTCTACTTTAGCACGAGTGCTATATTCGTGCTTGGCTTGTTCTTGTTGGTTGTACTCACCTCCAAAGGCTATGTCGCCCCCTGGTCCGGCCGATTTTACTCGCTGTGGGATACTGCATACGCCAAGATCCACATCCCCATCATCGCATCCGTATCCGAGCATCAGCCAACTGCCTGGCCGGCCTTCTTTTTCGACCTCAATATGCTGATTTGGCTCTTCCCTGCCGGCGTATATCTTTGCTTCCAGAAACTAGAGGACGAACATGTCTTCGTCATCGTATATGCCTTGTTTGGAAGCTATTTTGCTGGCGTCATGGTGCGATTGATGTTGACCCTTACGCCAGTGGTGTGCGTCGCCGCTGCCATAGCCGTTTCCCAATTTTTCGACACGTATCTGGTTGCCAAATCGCCGGAACCTGCCGAGCCGAAGGAGGAAGAAGGCTCGGAGGCGACCAAGAAGGCGTCGAAACATGGCGTCTCCCGAGCCACGGCCAAACCTGTTGGCATTTATAACATTCTGTCCAAGGGCTTCATGGCTGGATGCATGACCCTGTACTTGCTCGTCTTTGTGCAGCATTGTACGTGGGTAACCTCGAATGCTTACTCATCTCCGTCTGTCGTTCTCGCCAGTAGGATGCCCGATGGTAGCCAGCATATCATTGATGACTACCGCGAAGCCTATCAATGGCTGCGACAGAATACCAAGGAGGACGCTAAGATCATGTCTTGGTGGGACTACGGCTACCAAATCGGAGGCATGGCGGACCGTCCTACTCTTGTCGATAACAATACCTGGAACAACACCCACATCGCCACCGTTGGCAAAGCCATGAGTTCTAGAGAAGAAGTGAGCTACCCAATCATGCGACAACACGAAGTTGACTATGTGCTCGTTGTCTTCGGCGGTCTGCTTGGCTATTCGGGTGATGACATCAACAAGTTCCTCTGGATGGTGAGAATTGCCGAGGGTATTTGGCCCGACGAGGTTAAGGAGCGTGACTTCTTCACGGCTCGCGGCGAATATAGGGTTGATGGAGAAGCCTCCGAAACAATGAAAAACAGCCTGATGTGAGTCCCTCCATTGCCCGGTTCCTCAGCGCGAGGTATAGTTTTCTGATCTTTCTACTTCCCCAAACCTAGGTACAAGATGTCCTATTACAATTATGCCTCCCTCTTCCCGCCTGGACAAGCTCAGGACCGTGTGCGAGGTTCTCGTCTTCCGGACCAAGGGCCAGTCCTTAACTCTCTAGAAGAGGCGTACACCAGTGAGAATTGGATCATCAGGATCTACAAGGTCAAGGATCTCGATAACGTGGGCAGAGACCACGCATCAGCTGCCTCGTTCGACAGAGGACATAAGAAAAAGAAGGCAGTGAAGAAGCGCGGCCCTAGAGTCTTGAGAGTAGACTAGGGAACTAGTGAAGGTCCGGGGAGAAATGTCGATTCGCTGCATGAGACGACACAGGCGATGGGTCTGGAAACCAGCCTGTTAGTTGGGCTGGAGATAGAGTTGCCACGAATAGTTGTAGATGATCGTGCACAGATCTCCATGCAGTATAGCATTGCGAAAAGGGGACCTAGAGAAACAAAACGATCGGAGTCAGGTGCTAATAGGTCAAATAATAAACAGCAAAATGAATTGAGGGCCATGCCCTATAAGAGCCGCCCAACGTGGTTCGGCTGTAGAGAGAGAGCTACCAAGTACTGTCCATACTACCTAGGTTTTACTATTAACTAGAGTTAGACAAAACGTTGAGAGATCATCCATCTCAGATTTGTGTCTATTAATATTTGGTCCTTAAAGCCGCCTAATCGATCAGGGATAAGTACCAACGGTGCTTTATCGAAAGGCTGGACAACCTAAGTTCACCTAAACTTGGTTGGTGGACGGCGGTTGGGTAAGAGGTTTTTTTTCTATTATTCATGATTGTAACAGAGGAGAAAGAGGAACAAACACATATCTACTATAGACGGACGAGGAGCCGTAGAGTTACGGAAGTCTTTTCATGGGAGGCATAGAATAGCTCGTCTTAACACTTAAGCAAAGGGAGAATAGAACCACTGAATAAGTGCTGAGAAGAGGGGGGATCAAAAGTAAACCTAGAACGACTGTATATAAATACCCTAACCCCACATAGTCATTGATTAACTATGATATATGTTTAGAAAAAGATGAACCCTATAAAGAGGGAAAAGTGAGATAGATGCTCTTGGAGAAAAAAAAAAGATTTGTGAATTTGCAGGGAACTATATCTTCTTACTGCCCACTACTGGAGTCGAACCAGTCATCTCCTCATTGCCTTAGCCCAGTAGAACAACTGAATGTTACTAGTGAGGCGCATTACCGCTGTGCCAAGCGGGCTGTGATTTTGTGACGTCGCAAAATCATATATGAACCTGCCTAACTAAGCTGGGGCACGACGTTCTCGCGTACAGCCAAGAAATTACACCTAAGTGGGCCTGAGTAAGTTGAGGGGTCCTTTTGATACCTATACGGGCATGCTAATTTGGAGCGTTCAAAAAAATAAATAAATAAAAACAGTCTGACAATAACCGCATTATGCGATATGACTCTAAGGGGGTGGGTATGTGGCAATACAAACGAATGCTGTGTGCATCGTCCCCGGCGGCGTGTAAATTCCCTTCGAGATGGTGGGTAAGTAAGCTTGATAAACGACAAGAGAGCTTGAGGTGTTGACGTGGTCAACCTATGGCCCACCAGGGCTTTCAAGCCTAGAGGCGATTGGTAGGTATACTTTACAGAAGGCCATCTCAGCTTTGACTACCTATAGAATTGTCAACATGGTCGTCCGCCAGACCGACCCAGAGAAGCGCCGGGGGTATCGGGACCTCTCCCTCATCCGTCAGCCCATCCAGCCAGCCGTCTATCACACACAAGGCCGTTGCCTACTAGGCCGTTTCTGGCACAAGTCAAATGTACAATAAACCATGCGTCATAGCCGCTAACGGCGCAAGGCACAGGTCTACTACTTCTTCCCTCTCCTCCTCGCCCTGCCGGGATGTTGTTTCTCGCCAGTGGCGAGTAGAGATACAATGGGGACCCGAGGGCCAATGGGCAAATGCTTTGACCCAGCTGATCGAGGGGTCCTAAAGCGCGACGTGAAACGGCCAGTGAGCAACACGAACCACCCCGCGGGCAGACTCCGCGGCGGCCGAGGTCAACTCTCCCCGGCTACCATCCCGGGCGGCGCGGCCGTCGGCGCCGACGGGCCACAGGCGGCGCGCCGTGCTCGGCTTGATCTGTCGGCAGCGTCTCGGCGGAATGCCCCGTGTGCGCAGCTAGCGAGGCCTGGGAGATCAGCGAGGGGCCACTTGACGCGGCGCTCGATGCCTCTCTGCCGGAAGCGCGAGCCGTCTCGGGTCTCGGGGACGGCGACCGGCCCTCGTGGGGGCGTGTGGAGTGGTCACTTGCCGAAGACATTCCGTCGCGGTTGCGCGCGGCCGCCTTTTCGACACGATCCGCGCAGCTGGCGAAGCCTGTGTTGCGTGCGGTCAGCTGGCTACGTGGGCGGGTGGACGGCGACGGCGACGGCGCGGCGTTTCCGAATGTCGGGAGCTGACCGAGCATCTTGACGGGGCTGTCTTCCCCCTGGGTGGTGTCGTCGACCTCGGAGCTCTCTACGAGCTCGTAGTACTGGACGCGGCTGGCGCGGGTAGCGCGGCGCGTTGCTTCCTGGCTGTCGCAGGACTCTATCGAGATTTCGCTGGGGATGGGGGAGCCAGAGCCAGGGAAGGCTGGGAACGCGAAGTCGTCGAATCGCATGCCGGCCGCGGCTAAGTCTTCCTCGGCTTTATCCCGAGCCTCCTGATCGACATCCCCGCCCTCGCCCCGATGGCTTGCTGTCCCACACGATTTGGGTGCAGCGCCCGGAGTAGCGGCCTCCTCCCCAGACGACGGATCTGTGACTGCGGGCTGCTCCCATCCAAACGCACACGGATATTCGCGCGGCGTCGGAGGTTCTTCTTCCCTCCCATATCTCTGGCGCCTCCTGCTCTGGACTCTGGGGCGCTCCGTTCCGGCGCTTTCGTGCCGCTGCCGAATTTTGCCGCGACCATAGCGCCCTCGCTGATCGGGTTCTGAGCCGCTTTCAGATCCGGGCATTACGTCCGGGTGGGCGTCGTGGCGGCGGCGGCGGCGGCGGTGTCGTTTCCCCGGGCTGCGCGTCTCTTCGCCGACCGATGCATGAAAATCTCCCAAGTGCGTGGAGTGTCCAAGCCGCACGCGCGAAGCTGGCTCTCGACTCGTGGGTTTGTTCCGGTCTGCATATCGAACCGGAGACTCCTCGCAGGAATCGCCTGTATTTTTTCGAAGACTTGGGAGCGGCGCGGTCCTTTTCTGGTTTGGGCGTCCGCGGTCGCCGACGCGGTCGGGGCCTTCGGCGTAATCATTCCTTGGGGCACCTTCTTCAGCTCTACCCTCGGGTGGGGTTTCTCGATGATGAGACGACATCGCGGGTTCTGATATATGCACATTGGCGTCCGCCTGTTCCGCTTCTTCGTCAACCACCGATGCCGCGCGCACGTTCGGGTTTCGTTCCGCCTTGGGCTCGGAACTTCCCCTAGACAATGGCGATGTAGGCCTTTTCTCACGAGGCTCCGGCATAGCCGGACTCGCATTAGTACTGAGAGGAGATCCAACGGCTTCGTCGTCGTCCTATAGCTGTTAGTTTTTGGAGTATATACTGTAGCCTCCACGGGGAATACTAACCTCGGGAAAAGTCCCGTCGTGTAGGCATTTCTCGCAATAATGTCGTTCCAGCCTCTCTTCCTTGTCCAAGGGCCATTCCACTCGATATTCCTTGGCTCGTTTTTTCCCACAACCGATACAAAAGTTGGCATGCCGAGAACGCTTGCTCAAGTCCTGTTCCGTCTCCTTTGCCTTGGCCACTCCTCCGTCCTGATCTCCGTGTCTCTGCGTATCTTGCTCTTGAGCCTTCACGTATGAGTTATAATGATCCTCGAATCTCCGAGTTTCGCTCGCCTTGGGGTGGGCGTAGGCGTTACTGGCTGCTCTGCCTATGTTGCCTTGGGTTTGTGTTGTCCATAGTGGCGATGCCGAAGGGGGTGTCGGTGCCGGATTAGGTATAACAGGAGGGCCAAGATTTGGTTGGAGGTACGGATTTGAAGACGGGTAGTATGGATAGAAAAGAGGCGCCGAGGCTGCTCGAGGGTTTACAAATCCGGAGCTATTAAGGGACTGCAGGTTTGGTGTCATAGGGCTGTATGGTGTTGCGTAGTTTAGAGAGCCGTCTGCGTAGGAAAACTGTCTCTGATGAGCAGTGTACATAGGAGGGAGTGTTGGTGGTGCGGGTTGTTGGTATTGGGTCTGGATGTTGGGTGGCAGACTTGCAGAGTTAAGACCACGCGATGCGGAGTACGGGGCTCTTGGCCCTACTGTTCCATTTGAACCGGAATCCTCAAACCCACGAGTATGGTTGCGGCTCTCAGGCCTACTGCGAGGGATAGAGAAGCGAGTGACGCGCGTGGGAGTGGCAATGCCCGAGCTCTGGGGTGTAGACGGGGCGTTCATACGGCGAGCCCACCGTTCAGCATCCATGCGGGACGGGATGCCGACACTCTGGCCAAGGAGGTCAAACCCAAAGTCCTGCAAGAGACTGTCGTGCTTCTTACGGCCTAAAGCAGGCCTCCCATTGTTAGCCCGAGTGATGTAGATGCTACTATTTGGGAGGTAGAGTCTGTCGCTGGTGCCGGCACCGGCGCCGGCGCCTGCTTGTTGTGACATCAACTGTTTCGACAGAGGGCTTGTGGTTCTAACAAGACGTTAATATGTCAGTGGGTGGTCGGAATTGGGTTAAGGCAAACTCGTTTTAGTATGCCCTGGGCTTATAAATTATGGTTGCAGTCGTAGGGGTAGATGGTGATTCGTATATGGGTGATCTATTCGTTGTGTGGCAGGGCAGCGTGGAAAGGGAGACGTGATGAAGACAAGTAGGAGGTAAGGAAGTGAATCAGAAGACTGGCTTGCGTGGATTACTGTCCATTATGATTGTTGTATATCCATTGTTTGGGGGGGGGGTTGTTATGGCACCATGGAATGGGGTTGGGATAGCGTTCGTGAATTGATGTAGAAGGCAGGTACATGGCACATGGCGCGGACCGGAGGAGGAGATAGAGAGAGGGATATAGATGCGATTTAAGACGGTGATGTGTGAAGGAGTTTGATCTTTGTTATTAGCCACCATCTCAGGACATCTCTAAGGGGATAGGGCTTACTGCCTGATAACCAGCACATCACCACACAGTGTAATACATTGGGTACCTATGATGTATTTACTCCCTGCGGCCCTCTTAGTACCTTCGATATGGACTATATGATCGTCAAGTGAAGTTGAGTCGATGAGCTCTGGAACGAAATATGCCCTATAAACTCGCGTGCACACATCTATACATCGGCGCAAATTTTCCTTTCCTTCTTGCCTTACATATTCACATCGCTATCACACATATTCTCTTCCTTCCTCTCCATATTAGATTGGAAACACAGAGAGTGTGTTAAAAATAAAATAACATAAAAGCCTTGCCTCTCCTTCCTCCCAGGCCAACACTTTATGTGTAGGAGCACGGCTGTAGCCCATACATCCAGACACCCAGTCTACTAGTTTTGTGCTGGGAGGGGAGGCAGGCGACAAAACTTAGACGAAGCTGCTAGTTGATATGGCAGGAGGCTAGTACCTCGAGCACGTCACCGTGTACGTGCCTGTTTCTTCAGGGCGCTGGCGCAGTGGGGAGGTGGGTCGGGAACATGGCATGGCCGATAGAATGGATAAGGCTGCAGGGTTTCGTGGGCACCACGGTCCTCTCTAACCGCTACTTTGAAGATACGACGATTGATATTGGTGGAAGAGCGGGTAGGCTGCTCTCCCGATGGCCGGAGTTGCGCTGACCGGTGAAGTTTGGCGGGAGGCGAGGGCGGCAAGGGCTTTGACTGCCTCGGCCCGCTTCTGCTCGAAAACACGACTACGCTCCAGTTCTTGGTCCATATGCCTCATTCTGGTCTCCTGGTCGCGCTGCGCTTCGGCCTTAATTTGATCGTAGTGAAGCGTCGTCACGGCTTTGGGCCAGAGGCGGTCAAGTTTGCGGGCTTGTGGCTCGGGTATGCAGATGGGAGGCTCGTTTGCTGGCCTTGCCCCTGAAGACCCACCCCAATAGCACTCGAAAGTGAGCTTTGCCTGGCTGTGCACGTTCTCGGTTCCCCAGAAGACTATCGTGTCGCCGTGATACAGCTTCACCCAATATCTGCAAGCGGCGGTGCTGTCCTTCGGCTCGTTGGGCTGCAGAGGACTATTGTTAATTCGTATTCCGTTCGTGGCCTTCGTTGATATGTAGAAAGCGTACGAGTCTGGCTCCGGAGACGCACGCATGGTACGGCTAACCACCGATCGACTAGGGTCCCAGGGGCGAAATTCGTCGAAAGACGCTGTGTAGCCATCCCTCCATAACATGACCCTGAACGCGTTCTTGGGAACCTTAGATTCAGCGACTGGCTCGTAGACAACCGTGTTGTTGCGGTCCCGTCCCCACGAGACGACGGGGTCTTTTAGGCGGATCGCTATTCCGGGTACTAACGACCCCTGGGCCGAGTAAAATGCCGCGACGGCTTTCGGCAGCTCCGTAGCTGGCGTGGCTGGGGGTGTCTGAGTCTCGGGAGGAAGCGTATCGGGAATCGACTCTAATTCCTCTTCGATAATGGGCGAAGCCTTCTGTGCTGCGTCCCATTTGACGGCAGCTTCGTCAGCTAGCCGGCCGTCGCGTCCGAGTCCGGCAGGACGCAGCGCGAGGGCCCTGCCGGTCCCCTTGGGTTGCTGTCGACTAGGCGTAGGCGGGAAATTTCTCATCGCGAGGTCCCAAAGTCGGGATTTCCCCGGGCTGAACTCTTCCTTCCTCTTCTCGGCAGCAAGCTCGAAAGCATTGTACTGAAGATGGGTCATCTCAGGATAGTCGAGGTGCCATGTGTCTTTGTTAGAACTATCCCAGAACGTCGTCTTGGGAAGGGGGTAGTCGATTTGACGACCCGATTCATTTTTCGCAACCTGTGGGACGGATGCGAGCAGACCGATTTCGTCTTCGGTGCCGGAGAATGTGACGTCACCTTGCGACTTGAGCCTCTTGATCGACGGCTTTACCTCGACCGCGATCGCCCCGTACTCGTCGCTCGTATCGTAGGCGGGCTTCCTCTTGCTGGTGGTCAAGTCTCCGGTCCTAGATTCGAAACTCAGGTCGCCGCTGGCTAAAGATCTGACATTCAAATTTCCCAGGATCGAAGAGGCACCGCCGAGGCTCTGAGAATGCGCCCCGGTCATTCCCAACACGACACTACTCGTAAAATCTTGGGATGAATCATCGCTGATTGATAGGATATCGTGGCTTGGTGGGCGGGTTTGTCTAGGCGTAGAAAGATCCCCCGACTCCTCGAAGCTATCGAGAATCTCGGTCTCTAGCGTGTCAGCCTCTCTGATGTTTTGGTCTGGGGCGGAGAGGTTTAGGCGGTCTTCCGTGATGGCGCCCGAGCTGCCGATTGCCGATACGTTTACTTCCCCGAACAACCTGTTCGGTCGGGCCAGTCCAAAGGTGTAATTCTCTTTCTCCGACTCGCAGTCGACAGAAAAGTCAGGGTCGGGCTCCAGCAGAGAACTTACATTGGGGTCGGTAAGTTGGCCGTCGTATCTATCGTCGAGGCTGAGTTGCGAAGCCCCCTGCCCCAATTCCTCGTCGGCAGAGATAGAACCGGCGGGGTTCGCTCCGCCCGTCAACCACGGGTGTGCCTGGAGCTCTGAGATCGAGGCCCTGGTCTCCGGTCGTACGTGGATCATTCTCGTTAGGAAGTGGATGCCGTTTCTAGAAACGCCGTATTGCAACAATGGCGATACGTTAAGCGGTGTCTTGATGATGTGATCCAGCAGCTCCGTGTATGCGATCCCGTTCTTAACTGGAAAAGGCGGGCTGTTGGCGAGGGCGTAGAACAGCACGCCGCCAAGAGACCATATGTCTATAGCGTGGTCGTACCTCTCCCTATCCACAGCCCTGTGGCCTCTCCTCTGCGTGCGCCTACCGTTGTCGTCATACGAGGAATATTCGCTGTAGACTTCCGGTGCACAGTACAGGAGAGTCCCACAGAACGTTTTCAGATAGGTCTGTTCCGTGTCAATCATCTTGGACAAGCCGAAATCTGTTAGCTTGACAACCAGAGGATTCGTCGACTGTATTAGTATATTATCGGGCTTCACGTCGCGATGAGTGATCTTGTTATCGTGTAAGTACCCGAGCGCGCCGAGCAGCTGCTCAGCCATGACCTTCACGTGGGCTTCTGCGATGGCGCCGTGTTCTTGAACAAACCTGCCCAGGTCGCCCCCGGGAACATATTCCATGACGATGAAGAATTGGTGCAGGTCCCAGTCGAAATGCTCGATATACTTGACAATGTTGGGCTTGGTTTTGACGGTTAGCGGGTCGGTAGGGGAACCTAGTCGCCAACGGTCTACTTACGTGGTGGACCTTTTGCATGATTTTCATCTCATTCTCAACCTTCTGGTCCAGAACGCCATTCTTCATAAATCGGCGTTTATCTAGCTCCTTCGCCGCGTAAGGCGATCCGTCGTATTTCGAGGTCACCTTATGGACGGTGGCGAAAGCGCCCTTCCCGATCACGCCTACGCGCGCGTACTTCTCCCCCCACGCCATTCCCGGGGCAGGCGTTGGGTGGGTTCCTGAGATATGTCCCAGCGATTATCGACAGTCCTGCGCCCGTCCCGTGGAGGCGGGAACAGATTGACCTAGCATCCAGTCAGTTCCGACCCACGCGAGAAACCGCAAAGCGAGAACTATCTTTCTTACATGGCCGCTTGGCCCGGGTCCGATTGTCTTGTTGGGGTCGTCGTTATTGTCGTCGTCGTGGTGCGACCGTCGCAGGTACGCCTCCAACCTCTTCCGATACGCCGTCTCATGGTCGCCATCCCGGCGAGGAATGCGGACGAGGAACACGAGATCGCTCGCATTCTGATGCATAACGATCTTGATGGTAGAGCCGCTCTCTAGAACCCTCTTGGTAGGGCCGAGCTGGCCCGACTTCTGAGGATCGCTCCTCTTCCGGAGCAACTTATTGTCCACGACAGTGCCGTTTGTCGACTGGTCTTCTAGCATGACGCTGCCGTGCCTGTTCACGAATATGCGAAAGTGGATATTGCTGAGCCGCTTGCTCGGATCGTACGCGAAGCAGAGATCACACCGGGTGCGGTTGCGGCCAAAGGTGAAGCCTAGACGGGGATTCTTGAGGACAGAGGATAATTTGATTACCAGGGCATGGTCGCCGATTCCTCGAGTCCGACCAAACTCCCGAGCGTCGTCCTCGAGGTATAGATCCGAGTCGATGGCGTCGGCAGTGTACCTCCCGGTGGTATGGAGGGCGTATTCGGGGGAGGAGGCGATCTTTTTTACTTCGCGACTCGCGCCGTCGGAATTGGGATAGAGCAAGCAGATTATATCGGAGATGTCTTCGTCGGAGAATCCCGAGTTCTGCTTTCCAACCCTCCTGGGATCCAAGGCATTTTGGGTAGCTAGAGAACGTTGGTTGTTGTTAGGAGAGAGAAAGAGAGAGAGAGCAAGTCCGACCGGGACAGTCGGCACACAATCGTAAGGCTGGGTGGGAGCTTACCTGGTTGCGTAGCCTGCGAGTCTTCATTCGAGTCCATCGGGAAATAATAGGGAAGAAGCACACGCGCAAGGCCAGCGCTGGTCGGGTGGGCGGCGAGGCACCGTCGTTCGCAACCCCGTTCACACAACTCACACCGACCGCGAGAAACACGATTCAGGCAGTCGGCCGGGGGTGGTGTTCTTGGTCGAGGAGGCAGGCTTCCAGCCTGGCCAGCCGCCTCTCAAGAGCTATGCACGTAGCAGACCGCTTGTCGTTCGGAGAAACGGGGTTGCATGCTTCGCGTAACCGGGTCAAGTCTGCAACGGCGGTGTTGCTGCGGTTGCACCGGCGGCCGTGACAAACCGCGGATGGGAATTTATGTAAGCAGTGGATCGATCGAGTACCTAGAGCAGGTCGATGGCGGGATGCGAGCCGACCGTTACCCAGGCATCCGGGCACACTGGGGGGGGGGGGGGGTAAGTGTACGGATGAGATTTAATAAATTGGATAAAGGTACTGGGAGAAGTGCGTGTGGTGTGCGGTGTGCGGTGTGCGTGTGTGTGTGTGAGAGAGAGTGTGTGTATGCACACGATGCTGGTGGTATCAAAGTAGGATTTCGCCGACGCTGCGTTTTCTTCTTCGCCGTCGCTACATGCGGACGATATGGCGTGTGTGGTAGGGATCGCGTCTGTGGACGTGCGCGGGCGCCGGGGCGGGCGGGTTGAGCGAGAGATTGGCTTATCGCGAGGAACTCAATGGGAAGAATAATCCTCGTAATTCAGGCAAACCGCAATGAATGCACGACAGAAGAAGGGGCTGGTTCCGTTCCTAGGGTCGACGCACACTACCTTGGGGTACCCTACATCGAATATCAGGTAGGTGTCCACTACCACTAGTGGACCCTTACAAGTCCCAATACTAGACGGATTCCCACCGTCCACTAGCTACGGGTACCTAACCTTACCTCCTGGGCGGTACCTGATGCGACGAGGTACCTAGGTACCTGGTAGAGGTAGGTAGGTACCTGGTAGAGGTAGGTAGGTACCTACCTCCTAGAGGTAGGCAGCACATAGGTACCTAGGTAGGTACCTAGGTAGGTACCTACAATATATACCAAGGTGCCAAAGCATTCCTCTACCTCTAATCCAACCCCCGCTACTGCTATCACGTCCTACCCGGACCTGCCTACTTATAGCGGTTTCAATGCCTCAGGTAAAAAGGTCGAAGGAGACGGTATTCTGTCGCGTGGGAAGAAGGATAGGAAAATCTCGTACGCCCGCCTGCCACTCCCTTGTGCCCACCGGCCTAGATCACCCTATCGGCTCAGAGGAGAACCGACCGGCGAGCGCGCCGTCGAGGTTCCAAAGGTACCTAGTTGACCCCATAGGTCGGATCCTACCTATGGTAATACCGACTGAACTTACTAGGTACTAGTAGGTAGGTACTACGCAGCACACCCACACTCACACACAATCGCATCATATATCCGAACCTATGTCAGGTACCTCTATCTATCCATGCCTCTACCTAGGTAGGTACCTACTTACTCTCCCAACACCCTAGCCGCATCTAACCCTCCATAAGGATATATTTCCATGAGCCTTGTTCCAGTATAGCTCGACGCTCCGTTCATCTACACCCCAGTCTGTCCGAGCTGTCAGACTGGACGCTGCGGGGTTTACCACACGTATCTCTAGTATTAACGTGCCTCAGATATATCCCTTCTATATGTATTGGCCTATCCTGCCGATAGCTAGACAGGTCGCGTGTGCGTATGCGTGCATGCATAGACAACACTCGGGCAAAAGTGCTTACCCGGAGTGATGGGACCCGCTATGGCATTGTCAAGTCGGTAGATGAACAACCGTATTCTATCCTGACTAGTGAAACGCTAGGGATGCGCGGGGATCCGTATTATGCAAAGTGCCGTTCTGTATGATTTTCCGATGCCCTTTATGTATACCACCCGTTGGGGGGGGGGGGGGGGGGGGGGGAGAAAAAAGAACAAGGAAAAACTAAATAGTATACGGCAGATGTTATGGAGAATAGATTCCGTTAAAAAAAAAAGGTCTGGGGACGAAAAGATAACGAGTCGTCAATCGTGAAGCCGGTTTAGAAAAATCCCCTCTTCTTCTTCGGTTTCTGATCCATATCTTTTAGTATATCGTCGAACGTACTTCCGCCGACCGAGTCCTGCCGGGAACTGGTCCTCGAGTCCGTATGCGCGTGAACAGGAGAACCCGGGAGGCCACTGAGATTGCCCGAAGACCTGCTGCGGGCCATCGCGGTGCTGAGCGGCCGTTGGACCGGCGAGACGCCCCTGACGCTGGTGACCCGCGACCCGGGCATTGGCAGACCATCCACAGAAACCGGGACAGGCTCAAGCCCCAATGCTACGCTACTTCGGTAGGATTGCCGCCTACCACCAGGAGACGCAGTCCTCTGTCTGAGGGCAACCCCCGGCGGAGCAGCTTGCGGAGACTCGCTCCGGCTGATCAGCGCTGGGTTCGATACGCTAGGGTCCATATCCGTGAACACCGACTGCGGCGCTGGGAGAGGGGATAAGTTTCCATGTGGTGCTGGGGAATTAGCGCTGTCTCCGAGCTGCCAACGCTTCGCTACCAACCAGCAGTGGCTACGGTGGTAGATGCCCTCGATGCTAAATTCCACAGCATCAGTCGAAAGCTCCACCAGGCCACCCCCGCCAGCTACCTCGTACCACCCCTTGCGTACCGACGGGGCGTCCTCCATCCATGGCGCGTGACCCCTAGGGGGCTGGCATAGGAAATATTCGACACCTTCCGTAAATTGCAGACCTGGGGCGTCCACTACCAGCATCGGAAGCGATTGAATGACGACGTAGAGGAATAGCCAGTAGCCAATTCGCTGCTCCGCCATGTCTGCGGCCGTTCTCCCCTTGGCCTCCTTCTGTTCAAATTCCTTGAATTCCTCAAGGAACGGAATAGCCAACTTGAAGGTTTCAAAATCGTACGCCTTATTCAGAATCAGCATCATCTGGTACTCTTGTAGATTTCTGTCGAGCCGTGCCTGCTCCTTGGCAGAAAGCTCGTAGTAGTTCTCTTGAACGCTGGTCATGCTGGGTAGCTTGGGAAGGTCGAACGGGATGGGGGGGAGTACAGGCGGCGAAGATTGGTCGAATTCGCCGAGGACCTTGCGCAGAGCCGAGAGGTGAGGATTCTTGTCGTCGTTGGCGATATCTTCTGCGTTCTGGTCGATCACACGCGTAGTGATCGATTCCCGGTCGGCGAGCAAGTCGTAGAGCGCACAGAGGTCCGAATAGAGGATCTTCAGAACTTGTCTGTTCAGGCCGCTCTCAGTGAAAGGGTTCTTTTTACTGCGAGCCTTCGGCGGCCAGCTCCCAAAATTGGTTTTGTAGTAGCCCAGGACGAATTGCCTCATGCGGCCGAATGATTTCCTCCAGGTGTTAAACTTGACATCCTTGTAATCCGAGTTGGACGTCGAGTTAGCGACACCAGAGAATAGGGCCGGGAAGTCAAATGACTCTAGTCTGTTGTTGACGCCGTTCTGCCGATTCACCAATTCGAAATACGCGCGCTCCAGCCTCTCGCGCGTGATCGGGGACACCTGTTCCCATAGAGGAGAGTTTAGGTCTCGGATCGCCGAGTACTTGCCCACGGCATGAGCAAACGCCTCGTTGTAGAGGGTCATCGAGCGCATTCGCTCGCCTAGAATCAGGGATTCCAGTGTCTTCTCTCTGCTGTGCCTTACATCGGCAAGGCCCATTTGATCCATAAAGAAGCCAAAACTCATGTCGACGGCGCCTCCGAAAGTCGACCCGGTGTCATCCGTAAATTCAAACTCCTTCAACAGGGCGGAGATATTCAGGAAAACGCTGAAGAGAGTTGGCTGTTCCTTGGTACACACCAGTGGTTGGCCAGTCAAGAACGCAAACATATTCCGGGTCGATATTAGTCGTTCCATGTCAGCCTCCGACCTGTGGCCGGGGGTTGACATAGAGACGGGTAGGTACAGCCGCGACTCGCCTTCTCCTTGCGGCTCGAGGAGCGGAGGCGACTGGACCCTGCGCGTTGCGTCTTCAACCGACAGGCTATCTCGACCGCCGAAACTGCGAGCACGACTCCGTCCCGAGCTCGTAGGCGATGCCATCTCAGCCTCGATGAGCTCAGCAAAAACTAGCGAGGAATCCACGACAAATCCTGGAACTTTAAAAGACGGGCTCGCGCCGCTACCTTTAGGGTCTAGGTAAATGTAAACGTTTCCGCCCTCGTTCCACAGCTCTGGAACTTTCTCCCCGTTCGCTAGGAAGGCCGTGTTGTAATCGGCGTTCTGTCCGAGTATCCATGCCGTCGCACCCGTAGCTTTCGCCTGGCCTCTGGAGTGGGATCTCGAGCGTGCTCCGGGGAGCCAGCTTTTTCTCAACCGCCCACGCCGCTCGCTTTCTCGGGTCGGGCTTTGGCTGCCATTGCTAGATCCCGGGCGAGATAGGGCTACCGCGGCTGCAGATATGGCGAGATTCCCGGAGGGCGGATCTGAGCGGTTAAGAGGTGGCTGCGCAGATACGCTCCGTGCCCTAGACTCGGGCGAAGCCTGTCGAGGGGCCAAGTTTGCTTGAGAATGCGATGGTTTGTGGGATCTTCCGAAGACGGAGCTACTACGTTTCCTTTGGTCCTTATCAAGACGTGGGGGTGACTTGGTCTCGGTGAAGTGAAACGTAGATCCCCGAGCAGGTGCGGCGAAGGTGTCTGTCGAGGGCGGCGTCTCCGTCCTGGGGGGGGTCTTATGTAGCTTCCCCGTAGTAGGACTGGCCACATTACTTTCTGTCGAGTCCCTTTTCCGGTCTGTGAGAGACCATGAGGCCGCAGGGTTGTCGGGGTCGTCATGCAGGCTTGTGATCTCAGATTCGACTATCTGTTCGGAGGGCTGCAGAGGCAGGCTCAGAAGACTCGGTGGAGCATCCCGGACGGGAGACTGGGCAGGTAGGGGTTTGCGGTGGACAGCTTCCGGGGGGGGATCTGGAGGTTGAGAAGTATTGATCAGTGACGGGAAGAAAGACGAGAGGCGGTCAAACCGCGACTTGGAGCCGAACATGGTGGCCGGTGGTGTCGCGGTCTCGAGGAGGGTCGTGAATCTGCCTTGGCTCCGAGTTTGCCGCCGGATGGTATACAATCATTGATCGTCTTCTCTCCGTTGCCATCGCCGGAGGGGGGGGAGGGGGGGGACTGGTAGGTGGAAGGGAGGGAGGAAGAATATAAATGGAGGCTTGGCTCGCCAACTTACTTGAAGCCATGCTGCTAGGCCCAAGACCGGGGATAAACCCAGCAAGCACAGCCTTTTTTTCCCCCTTCCCTTCAGGCAGACGGGCGCAAGCTCGGGTACGGCGAGGTACCCAAGTATACGTGGGTTCGATGAGAACGGTGCGCGTGTAGGTGATCCTTAGTCGAGGTAACACGATGGACCAGGGTCCACTACACAGGTAATATTATTAATAAGAGCGCGTGTCAAACAACGGTGAACCTTGGGGCGGAGGGCGTGTAGTGGTTCTGAGGGTGACAATACGTAGACTCCTCGATAGTGCGGAGCGCCTCGGTGGGTAGGCGGTTCGAGGGAACGAGACGATGACTGGCTTCGCCAGCTCGACTGATTCAGATGGAAAGGGAATGTCAACCAATACTGCGCACTAACGGACCGAGAAAGCAAAAAAGGGGGAGGGAGAGAGTGAGAGGAGGAGGGGAGAAGGGAAGATCTCGTACACGATGGTGTAATGTTGTAAAGTAGCCTTCTTGGAAGTTCGAGGAGGCTACTACAAGGTAGGTATGAGTACTAGGTAGTTTGGATTGCGTATCACTTCGTATGCTTCCCACAATACGGGCATCTATGGCAAAGTACGTACCTAGGTACCTAAGGTACCTACTGAAACTGCGAGTACCTACGGTATCTGTTTATGAAAGTACCTAGTACGTAAATTAAATAGGTACCTCCTACAGTAGATATATATACTAGAGAATTAGATGCCTACTTTTATATACCTATATATATTTATAAATAAAATATATTTAGCTTTACATACTTATATAAACATATAATATATAATATATTTAAATATTCTATAAGTTTATAAAATACTTCTAATAATATTATTATGTATATATATTAAAAATCATATAAAATATTATTTACTATTTGCGTTTCTAGTTATATTTAAAGACAGAGAGACTCTTAATGTAAATAGGTACTTAACTTAATATATGAAAAGTTTACGTTTATATTAAGTATATACCTACCTTAGACATATAGGAGGTTTGTACCTTAGCTACTAATAGTACCTTACGCGTTTTAATGCCCCGTATCAAGGGACCTCAGGCACTGAGGTACCTGATAGGTATCTGCTGGAGTAGGCGTCCTCATCGTGTAAGGTACCTCCCATGGTGGATTCATTCATCAGGTGGATGGAGGGATTATCCAATGTGCCACACCACATTTCTCTGGAGCAGGTCTATGGGTACGTACCTACACCTATATATATCATGCTTTTCAACCCTTACCATCTTAAGCGTACGCGCGCATACTGGATCGGCTTACGAGTATGTGCGTACATAGGTACGTACGGTGCTAATTCCGGCTAGAGAAAGGGTTTCCTTTAGGTTGCCTCGGGTATCAGCGCAGGTAACCAAGGTACCCGTCCGAAGGCACGTAATGTACCTTAATACAGTAGACTTCTACCGCCAGGTACCTCCCTAGGTAGGTACCTAAGGTATTGATGTTGTCCTGGCTCCTGGGTATGTGGATGTGACTTGGTTACATGCTCGATGACGCAAACACGGCAGACGAGCTGCAGGGACGGGTTCGCGGGTTGCGGATTGGTCGGCAAGGCTGGCCTCGATCCTCCCTGAAAGCTGACGTGAGACTGGAGGTTGGTTGGTCCGGAGTCTCGAAGAATCCTCGGGGAGGGCTTCGAATCTCGGGCCATCGATGACAACCGTGCCACCTGCGAAAACAGCCGGGAATACATCGTATATAGTAAAGGTATGAGATTGTGCTACGTCAGGAGTCACCCAATGTTGGACACGAAAGGGTTGCGGGTGGAATGCATGAAACGCTACCTTGGGTAGGTACCTTGAGTACCTAAACCTATCAAGCGGGTTACGAGCCCTCCTGCCTAGGTAGGTACTCGATCTCTACAGCTTGAGTCTTTTCTCTTTCGTACCTCTTTGTAACCAGAGCGACACAATCAAGTAAAAACTACGCATCTAATCCATCGGTCTCGTTCCTTGCGCGTTTCCTTCTCTTCCCCTCGCCCCCCTCCCCACTAAGATAGGTAAGTTATGAGTAGACACCTGAAAATTGCCCAGGAATCCCAACCCGAAACAGCAAGGGGGACCAGACCAAGAACAAGAACCTCACAGAGGACGATCCCATTTATTTATTTGAGATAGGTGCACGCAGCCTTCATTTATAGCAGGTGTGATTCCATATGTATATATATATATATATATATACATGTCAGTAGCCAGGCACCGAGTCTAAAAAGAATCGGCTCGCAATAAGCTTGGATGAGGCATATAGAGAGGAGGGAGGCCCCATCTTTGAATACAGGTACCTACCTAGGTACCTATGCAACGAAGTTGAACCCCTATCTATGAACCCCTTGAACGATGAGATCTACTATAATCCTGGAAAGAATACCTTTGGTACTCGTAGACTTACAACATTACGTAGTACAATACGCCAGCACCATTTTACAGGTATTGCGCCAGACTCCCAACTCGCTATCGCAGCAACGCACCTAAGGTAAGTACCTATATGGTATAGGTATACCTACCTATCTATATACCTATATGAGAGCCTAATTGCCTACTTACCTCCTAGGTACCTAGGTAGGCACCTACATCTAGCTCGTAACAGTACCTAACTCTTCCGAACCTTGTAGAATGGTACGTCCGGTTACAACAAGTGTTAGCACGTACCTATGTATTCGGAGGCCAAGGCAAACTCGGTTAGGTAGATAATTGATTAGATAAGACCAAATTTGCCTACTTTAGCTATGCTCTTTTGGCGGCGGCGCTCTTTTGAACGCTCTACCTCTGTCACGCTCTCTAGCGATGGCCCTTGATAAATTAGGTCACCTGTCATGTCATGGTTGCTACGCGCAGTCAGAAGGATCATGACCCCCGAAGTGAAGAAGGTGGCGATCCCCCGCAACGGCGTCGACTACCGAGGCAAGGTCGTCCTCGCGCCGATGGTTCGTTCGGGGGAATTGCCGTCGCGACTTCTGGCCCTGCACTACGGAGCTGAGTTGGTATGGGGTACGTTATCTGCTTCCTGGCTTCGATCTTCTCTCCACCATCCTCCCGGTAGTCACCACACGAGGAGATAAGGCGTCTGATTCGCTGCCGGATAGGGCCCGAGACCGTCGATAGGTCCCTGATCGGAACAACGAGGCGATATGACCCCGAGACGAGGACGATCGAATGGACGCGGAAGCCATCGCAAGGCGCCAAAACCCCGCCAGCCGACGCCAGGGATAGCATAATTTACCGTATGCACTCGGAGAAAGAAGCGGGTAGGCTCATCTTTCAGGTTGGCACGTCGAATCCCGAGCTCGCAGTGCAGGCAGCCAGACTCGTGGCTGCCGATGTTGCCGGCATCGATGTGAACGCCGGATGCCCAAAGCCGTTTAGTACCCACGACGGCATGGGCGCTGCCCTACTCCGAACTCCCGATAAGCTGTGCGCGATCCTAGAGGCGCTGGTCCGAGAAATTACCCCAGAATTCCAGATTGGAATCAGCGTCAAGATTAGGATCCTCGATACCGCAGAGGCGACCGAGACCTTGGTCAGGCGGCTAGTGGCGACGGGAATAACCGGCCTGACGGTTCACTGTCGGACGACGCCCATGCGGCCACGAGAACGGGCTATTCGGGGTCAGCTGCGCATGGTCGGCAACATTTGCCGGGAGGCAGGCGTCGCGTGTCTGATGAATGGCGACGTGGAGAATAGAGACCAAGCCCTGGAGCTGATCCGGGAGTACGGGGTCGATGGGGCCATGATAGCAACCCAAGCAGAGAAGAACCCTAGCTGCTTCCGAGCTAAAGCTGACGGGGGCTTTCTGCCGTGGAACGAGGTTGTGGAGCAGTACATCTGCTACGCGATGGAAGTCGAAAACAGGTTCGGAAACACCAAATTCCTCCTTTGCCAACTCATACCCGGAAAGAAGCCCGTCTACCGCCACATTAGCGCCTGCAGGAGCTATACGAGGGTGTGCGAAATTCTTGGCCTTGACCACTTGATAGGGCGCGCACGGGAGGTCGATAGGAGTCTCGAAATTGACCCCGATAGTCTGGGGCAGAAACCCAAGAAGATCACCAATAGCAGTGCGCTCGCCGCGGGTGGTCTCATGGCAGAGTCTAGGTGCTCGGAATCGCAAACCAGGAAAGGCTTGTCGGAACGTGGTGTCACTATGCAGACAGAGGCGCAGCCAACCGAGGGGGTGCCGATATCCGCTTAAGGGTGGACGAGGAATCGCATCGCAGGAGTTGGCGAGAGACGGCATACGGGGGTGTCGAGCGACATAGGTATATATATACATAGTTATATGTATATATATATCGGGCCTCTACTCGATTTTTGTGACAGGATATTTACACTGACGTGCCAGCAAATGGTTGGCGGATCGGCCTAGGAAGTGGGTATGAGCTGGACGGATTTAGGCTCGATATCGTCTGAGATAATTCTATTCGCGTCTAGTAACTTAACGGCTACGGAACGAACGCTTGTGTCAGATAGCCCGGCCAGTCGGCCGGTTCGTGGCCAGTACGGTTGATATCACCCTGGCTACCATACATACAGCTAAACCTTCTTTCCCTGCTTCAAAAGGTCGGATACTTTAGGCGGTAGTATCAGCGCGCTTCTATCGTTACGACGATGGAAGTCCACGAGTGATATGGCGGTCTTCTCGGGCAGATCCTCGTGGATGAAATGGCCTGCCTCCGGGAACACTTGTAGGGCGTACTTCCCTAGCCCAGCGAAAGGAGTTAGTTAGTTCCCGCAGAGCGCTCGAGTCGAGACTGACAGAGGAAGAGGGTATGCAGAGCACGAACCTTGCATCTGACCGATTGTTAGTTCTGTATCCAGCCTATCCGTTCCGGCGAGGAGCAGTAGCTTCCCACCCTTCGCACTCAGGAACTTCTTGCTCAACCCGACAAACCAGTTCTCCCAAAACGGCTGTGTCGCGCCGAGATTGGTCCTCCACTTCCAGGGCCGCGGGTCGCCAGGCCGCTCGTTCAACACGAGCAGAGCCGGGACGCTAGTGCGTGCGGAGACCGAGTTGCGAATCGTCCTCGATCTGATATGCCAGTCGATACCGGCTTCTAGGGTCGAGAATCCGTCTGGCCGCGTCGAGAGATAGGTGTGCATGCTCTGGAGGGCGTCGATAGCCGAACCTTCGACCACGTCAAGGACAGCGTACCCTAGAAGCGCGCTGCCAAGCTGTCCCGCCTTCGCGAGCTCGGTTACCACGGCGCCGCCCAGCGAGTGCCCAACCAAGATGATCGGCGGCAGCTCAACCCACTTCATCTCTTTCTGAGTCAACAAGATGGCGGAGAGGAGGTCGGCAGCCAGAGTCTCGAGGCTGAGGTCGCCTGCTTGGCTGTCCGGGGTGGTGGTCGAGCCGTGGCCCCGGGCATCAAGGGACAGAATGCCGGCGGACGAGAGGCGTTTCCGGATTTCGGCTCCCACGACGGCGAAGGAAAGGCCCGACGAACCGGCACCATGATGCATGACGAACAGAGGGCCCTTACCGACAGGAGAGGTCAGGTAGGCATGGATGGTCGGATTCGCAGGGCCGCTTGGGTCGTGGAGGAACAGCTCCCTCTCGAAGTAGGTGGTCCAGGGGATCTGCTGGAGGGACCGCCCTCTCGGCGCGCTGTGTACGAGATCAGCTGCCGCGGAATGGAGGGTAAACGGTTGGAGAGGAGCTACCCCTGAGGCCTGGCAAAGAGGTTCTGGCTTGGAGACGGGATGACGGTGCCGGTGGAGGAGGCTGAGGATGCCGAGGACGAATCATCGTCGGGATGCTCTGGCAGGTCGGAGACGTGGCCCGCCTCCTCCTCGTCCCGCTCGTCGAAGCTCTCGGGAGGCAGAAGACTCAAGCGGTTCTTGGCCCAGGCCTTCTGAAGGCTACTCATCGTAACGCAGGTCTGGCGGGCGGGCGAGGAACCTGGCTCAATTGCCCAGCCGTGGTGCCGAGTTGGTGTGGGGACGGGAGTGGAAGGGAGCGGAAGATGGGCGACTTTCGGGTTCTCCTGGATGGCAACGGAGTGCGCCCGCAGCAGCGAGTTAGCGGGACGTTACCTTGGGCGCGTAGGTACCTAGGTACTTGAGGATGTGGGCAGCAATGCAGGGCAGACAAGAGAAGCGACGTCCCGAGGGCCCCTAAATGTATAGTGCGAAGTGAAGTGCAAAGCTTATGACGTGGGTAGCTACCTAAGGCTCGGCACTCCCACGGCAGCAGGAGATAAGGTAGGTGCGCCCCGTGGACTCGATACGTACATATGCAGGGCATCGCTTCCGCGACTCAACTACCCACATGCCTCAGGTACCTAAGGTACCTAACCTACCCACCTAAATACCTAGTAGGTACACAAGTACACCGGGGGGAGTTCTGGAGGCGATGGTAGGAGGTACCTAAGGTATACGATGGTATAGAGGACGGGAAAGGATAGCGGGGTTGCTCGGATGTGTTACGCTTCCAAAGATGATATATCTACCTAGGTACCTAAGGTACTCACCTATACCCCGCTAGGTACGTTCCCGGATAGGTGCCAGATCAGTAGGTTACTTAACGAAGGATAGGTTCGATTCCTAACAGCGCTTCTTGGTAGTCTTCGCTACTTAGCTCATCTGTGCCTACCATACGGGGGATAGAGGTCTATTAATAGGTACTATGTTGAGAACTGTTACTATCTTTAAAATTGATTACTATCTATTAAAAGTATCTCTATTATAATGCTAAAATACATCAAACTCAGACTATAATATAAATATAATATAAATATTACATTAATTTAATAAGCTTTTCTAAAGATAAAAGGCCGATGCGCTTGAAAGGCAGCCCTAGGCTGTGCCGTGGTCGATATAAGGACAGTACTTCCAGGTTAACCGTAGCAGCTTTGTGGGCGCAGCCTCGGGGAGGCTTCCTCTCCAGAGCCTTAGTGTATATATACAGGTGGGCATATGTATCTGAGCCTTGTTGCATGATGGGGATGACGCGGCCCGAGGCTGCGTGCCGACGGCCCCTCCCGCACAGTGTTTTATCGCAGTGGGATCCCGAGGTGGCCGCCGCCTGAGCTGGTGACTGGCTCTCACTGCGACCCATGTGTTGAAACCCTCGTGATCCCGGCGTGTAGGGCTGTTGCGGGTAGCTCCTTCGCGGCTAGACAAGCATGGCCCTTCGCTGGGAGGTGCTTGTAAATCCTGTCTAGACTCACACGACCTCGGCCAACCCCGATTCAACCAGCTTTCTTGCGTCGGACCACCTCAGGATGACAATATCGCCGTTCTTGCCGTTCATGGCACCATCGGCATCCGTTCCTCGACCTTCCACGAGCGTATCGCTGAGCAGGCGGATAAACACGGCCGTGTCTACGTCGGGAACGTCAATCATGCTGGCACTCCCAGCGGTGTCGTTAAGATTCTGCAGAGGCGGAGGGAAGGATGATAAGAAAGAGGATAGGTAGTGATTGTGGAGTAGCGCCTGGTGTCGTGTCGCATATGCAAGCTCTGCCGGGGAAAGGCGTGCTTGGAGGATGGGGCTTGACAGATAGTATAGCGTGTGCTTGTCGACCTGGTTGAGGCGGACCGGATCAGCAGGTTAAGCAGTGAGAAAGGCGGCGGGCGCATAGGCTCTACCTTAGCCATGCGAGCTCTCAGGTAGCTTCGTACTAGATATTTGTAGCGCTCGAGCTCCGTCTGTATGACAATGAGGGCAAAATTCGTCCTGGGGTCCATGTCGCCTGTCATCTCTTCGATTTTCTCGATCTGCTGTTTGATGCGCTCGCTCACGCGCTCGAAGAGCCCGTCAGCCGGCCAGCTACGAGACAGTGAGCTTCATTAGCTAGTCCATCGACGGTCCTGGCAAGCGGCTGTCGCACCGCGCGTGACGTACGCGAGTAATTCGGGGGAGCATCTCTCGGCCACCCAAGCACGCGTTAACGCCTGGAGGTCTCGGGTCTCTTCGGGGGTAGAGTCGAAGGTCGGATCCACGTCTCGTAGAATATCGTCGATATCCATGTCCGATTTCTGTGCTTTGTATACGTGCGGGTACTTGTGATGTGGGAAGGCAAATGAATGCTCCGGGGATTGGGAGCGCCGAGTCGTTGACAGAGAATGTCTCCGCTCATATTGACGTATCCAACTTATACATATAGGTGCCAATCCTAATAGTTTAGAGGATACCTAAGTTAGGTGCCTAGGTGCCTCTAGGCAGTGAAAGATACATACGTAGGTACCTCTCGAGAATGAGATAAGTTACCTGTAGGTACCTAGAGATTCATAAGGTAGTAACGTAGATGGCAGAGTTTAGGTATATTTTATTATAAGTACCTAAAGTACTATATAAAAAATAAAAGTTATTATAATTATGATTATACTTATATATATATATAATGAAATATAATAAATTAACAGTTGATATTATTATAAAATATAAATATTTATATTTATGCTATACAGTATATAGGTATATAAATGTTAGCTTAATTATTATATAATGAATAGGAGCAGCGTGGGTACGCTGTGATGGAGGCACGAGAAAAGGCTACCCAACTGCGAACAACTAGCCCAGTGCTAATCAACCTAGATCACAGCTATAAATAGCTGTAATTAGTTGATCGGCTAGTTGAAAGCGGCAGCTGGGAAAGGACTAGAAGGTAAGGATAGCTAGATGGCGAGAAAAGGCATGGCAAGAAAGAAGTGAATAGCTGTAAGGTTATGATACCTATGGATCTAAGTCTAACTAATGAAAATATAAGTGCGAAACCTATAAAATACGTCGAAGCGCTCCGCGCTTCTCTAAGTTTTCGGCACGAAAACCTAGAACCTCTCCGAAGGCTAGGGAAAAAGGGGTAAGTAGGAATCGACGCTTAATTGAACTACGAAAAGAGATTGATTAGTAATCGACTCTTGATTGAATGAGGAGAAATTAACCTGAATTAAATAAGGAGAAACTAACCTCGATTGATTTATATATGAATAGAATTAAACTGCGAAAAGGGATTAGTAATCGATTTTTAAACAGGGAGAAACTAACCTCGATTGATCTATATATTAAGGAGGAGCAGAGCGTACGCGATACTAAAGACCCGGATAGGTTTATTCGAAAGTATACTCTATCGAAGACTATAATACGTACGATGGTCCAGGATAGATAAAACTAATATCGTTATATTAATCGAAAGGTAAGGAATTTAATGTAGTTATCGTATCTTAACTATGCCTCTTAGTCGTAAAGATATAGTAGTCGCTAGCCCGAAGGCATAAGAGATAAGGAGAGAAAAGGAGTAAAACGTAAAAGTTACTTATTCGGCTATAGCGGTACGACGAAGTAACTTAAGCGCCTATAACTAAGATATATATATTAATCGGAAAACGACGAATCTAATGATAAAAACGAATCTTTAATTAAGGTAAAAAAATAATAAAGATAGTAATCTAGTTAGGTAATAAATTAAATAATAAGTATCCTATGTCCCGTACTTACGGAAGCTATAGTTACTTTATATAGGTATAAGGTCTATCGTAACGTATTACGTAATATATTAAGAAAGTATGTCTTACCGTACTACTATAGCCTTCTTAATTTAATTATACCGTAAGGAATAATTAAATTAAAAAGGATAATACGGTATATCCCGATTAATATCTCCCCTTAAAAATTACCGCGAAACTTTATTCTACCGGCTATTATTTAATTACTACCGTCGTATCTTTAGCTTTTCGTTTAATATTATAAGGAGATTCCTTTATTATTTTACGGCTAACTTAACCCGGTTTACTTTTACCGATCTAACCCGATCGGCGTTCTCCTTCTTTATTTCGGTTACCTTCTTTTTAGTTTCGTCCTAGCCCTCCTAGTTAAGGGAATAATAAGGAAGCGGGCGCGTCCCGAAGGTTAATTAAGTATCTCCTCTCTACCTATACGATATAAAGGTCTCTCCCGATTAAAAAGCCCTAATCCTTTCTGATCCGGGGGAAGGAAGAAAGCGCGTTATAACCTTAACGAGGTTATCGTAACGAAGGTCTACGTCCGTTAATACGAAGGAATAAAAGGGATTAAGTATTAAGGCTATAAAGGAACGGTAGATTTCGGCTTATGCGATAAACCGAACGGAGGATTTACGGCTAAGGGACTCGCCGATCGGCGTACTTTAAACGGATACTATAGCGTTAATAAGGTTAATTCGCTTTTAATAATCTACGGTTTACCGAAGACGTTTAACGATACCTACTTTTCCCTTTAAAACTCGAACGCTATAAAATTACTCTACTACCTCGGCGTATTTTCTTATGGTATTAAAGGAGTTAAGCCCCTTATTTTCTTAGGCTTAACGAGCGACTTCGATCGGTCGTTTAAAGATAAGATACGGTAGAATACCGCTTTAAAACCCGTAGTTAAAGCTATCTTATTAATTTATTAACGCGACGTAATAAGTAAATTAAGGGGTTATATTAGGCTCGAGATTACCGTCTTCTTATGCTCGCCGTAGTTAGCCGAACGCGTACGCCGCTTAATCGAAGGCGTCGTTTCTAATTATATTAAAGCTAAATAATTTCCGGGGCTTAGGAAGGTATAGTATTACGGCGAAGTAGGCTTAGAAGAACTTTAAAGGGTCGGTAATAACTCGTTCGGGGTTTATTAGATCCGTATAGATCGTAAAGATTAAAGTAAAAGTAAGGTTATCGAAGAGGTATTAATAGGTTAGGAAGTTAAACGATTTTATCGATCGATAGCTTATTATTTAATACGGGTTTACTTCGAAGGCCGCCTTTCGGCCTTTAAGGTCGTAGCTAATTATAATATAAAGGACGCGGATATCTTCGTTAATATGGTAATCGTAACGGGCGAGGTATACGAAAGAATTAGTTAAGGTTACTTTTATTTACTTTTATAGCTATTAGTTTATGGTTCGGGATCGATTAACAAATAACCGGAAGGCTTAAGCTATATCGGATTTTAATTCGATCGAACCTTTTCCCGAATCGTAATTATCTAGAGTACTAAGCTAATATTCCTTTATATTACTTTAGTTATCTTTATTACTATAAATCTCCCGTAGGAGTTTTATTAAATCGGCTATATCGGTACGACGTACGTTTCTATAAACGAAGGAAAGGGAAAAGGAAGGAGGGATTCCGGCGGAACGAGGGAAAGATATAATAAAAATAAAAAAAAGAATTAAGAGGAGAAAAAGAAAAGATAATAAGTTAAAGGTAAAAATAAGAATTTAAATTAATAATAAGAAAGGTAGGCTAAAGATTAATAAGAATATAATAATTATAGGGGGAGGGGTTTTCGAAATGGAATACCTAAAGAGGAAAAAGAAAAGAAGGAAGGGAAACGTATTAACGATATAATTAGATATATCTTTACGGTTAACGCTTTAGAAAAGCGCGTTTTTCCGTATACGTATAAAGCTATAATAAAAGACGCGTTAGTTTATAGCTTTCTATTATATGCTCTTAGTAAAGTAATAAGTACGTACGTTCGTAAACTCGTAATTAAACGTAGGCTAGGGTAGGTATTATTAAAACTCTTCTAAGTACGGTACTTACGACCTAGGTAACGTATTCGACTCTCTTATTCTCGTCCGACCTTCCCTCTTATTTTTCGTTATTCTACGGTTCCGATCTACTTTCTTTCTTCCTTTCCCTAGGTCCTTTATTTTCGTTTTAATTCGTTTTTCGATTTTTCTTAATTCTAGATTTATAATTTCGTCGTTTCTATCTCTCTTTTTCTTATATATATATATATAATAAACCCTACTATCTAAAAATAACTCCTTAAGCTAAACCGGGCGACCGTCTTTAAGCTACTTAAGTAGCTAAAGGCTACGGGAATTACCGACGAAGAGATTACCGGAACGTTTAAGAAAGCTAAGGAGGATAAAAAGAAGGCCGTAACGTATTAACGGGCTAAGTCGATACCGCCGCCGGTAAACCTAATGAATAAATAACCCGACGAATCCTTCCGCCGTTTATCCTTTACCGAGAAGTTCCGGGACGTTAATCGGTTAATTCCTAAGCTTTAGTAGGTACCGTACGCCTCGTACTCCCGTCCGTTAAACTAAAGCCCGAAAGTAATTATCGGCCGGTAGTTCCGAGGCATCGAAGGAATTCGGGTAATAAATTAATAGCGCTAAGTATATAGCTCTTAATATTAATAAGATTTATTAATCGAAGGCTATATTAATTAATAATAAAATAATTCGTAACGTTTAGTTTTATTTTCTAGGTAGGTCGGCGGCCGGCCGGTATATCGCATAAGAGATTATAAGTAAGGATTTTTAAGAGGTTATTTACCTTTAAAGCTATACTATACTCCTCGCTTATTACGTTTAGTCCTTTCGCCGCCGGACGTTATTTATAAAGATTAATAATAAGGACCCGGTTAGCGAGTATTTCCGTCGATTAACGACGGACCTTTATTACGTCGTTAGTTTATTCGTTTAATAATATAAGGTACCTAACGAGGTACCTTATTAGTATTACGAGCGCCGGTTCGCTTCTTCTAATATCGCTAAGTACGTAAGTATATAGCCCTTTTTTTCTTACCGATCCTTAGCCTCCGATCGTATCTTTAGATACTCTTACGGCGTTTATTTCTTTTTTATTAACGGGGTACGTTATAAATTCCGGGACGAGCGGTTTACCTACCTACGGATAAGAATAGATCGTAACCTTTCTCTAGTAAAGGATCTAAGCTAAGCCTTATACCTGCTTATAATACGGGTAACGGGGGAAGAGTTACTAGCTATAATAGACTCGAAAATCGCTACGTTCCGGGGGTCGGGAAGTAAGTAAGTTTTTAATTTTCTTAGTAATTAATAAGTAAAGAATAGAATAAGAGGGTAGAGAGAAAAAGAGAGGTACTAATCGACGGATATACGTTACTTCTGGCTTATTTTTAAACGCGTATTCCTTTTCTTTCCTTTTTCTTTTACTTTTATTAATTATCACATAGAGAGCCACTTATATATGGCTCCCTACTCCTTCTCGAGTTACTCGCTTACTTAATATAGCTCTTAGCTCGCTTATATAACATAGCTCGTAGCTTCCTATCGTTTATATATAGGTAGCTCGTATCTCCTTTATTAATCTCCTTCCTTTTTAGATAATTAGTTAATTTACCTTCTTCTTCCTACCTTCCGTTGCTCTTAAGAAGTAACCTTAGTACCTACGTAGCTCTCTTAATCTACGTATTAATTATAAGCCCGGTAGCCCTTCTAAGGAGCTAAGTTAACTAAGGTTTTATAATATAAGC